AATCTACTCTAATACATACATATGTACCTATTCAAACTAAGAAAAGAAAAAAAAAGGGAAGGTAGGTAGGTAGGTAGGTAGGTAGATAAGTAGAGAGGTAAATATAAAATTGGGTAGAAAGGCGCGTATGGTATTGCTAAAATAAATATTAAAAAAAAAGTCTTTATGATTATAGGACTGATTTCCTTTGATATGATCACAAATATTTCAAGTCTTTTTATTAATTAATTAATTAATTAATTAATTAATTTTGTGGCTGTAATAATAATATCTGACTACTGTTATTAAGATTACCTTTAAAAGTAAGACTATGTTGACTGTAGTCTGCAGACTGTAGACTGTAGACTGTAAAATAATATTCTGTATATATTTATATATATATATATATATATACTTAATACAGAAATACTTGACAAGTTATCTAGAACAAGAAAACAAAATCAAGTGGTGTATTATCTATCAAGCTCTTTACAGCCACTGCTATGGTGTAATCGGGGATAAGTATCGAAGTTGTTAAATTTATTTCAATTTTCTCTTGAGAAAACTCCGATAGTAAAATGCACACTTTTTTATATATGGTAAACTAAAAATTTTAAAGGCATAAACGGAAAAAGAAGTCACATTAGCATACATTTTCATATTGGGAAGTTTATTTAAATTCCGTTAGTAATAATCGTATATGTTTTTTTACAATTTCGTAAAAAAAGTCAAACTCCGCTGTAGATCTACCATTATGTCCCAACTTTATATGACTTTTTACCTAGGACAGCCAGAAAAAATCCGGACCGTGGAAACAATAGGTGATGATTATATCTATCGTTTCCACGGTCTCACTTTACGATAACTTGATTTTTGCAAAAGTCATATACGTTTGAAAAAGTGCCAAAAACTTAGATGGTTATCTCCGATTGCACCATATTCGGAAAATTGAGTATTTGAGGTGTAAATTTTAATGTACAAATTAAAGATTGAATTGTTCATATATTTATACAAGACCAAAAGCATCCGTGAATTATATAAAGGTATTGAATTTACTAGTTTTTAATAGTTGGGTATTTTAATCAGATCGAATTTTTTTTTTTTTTAAAAAAAAAAAGAATAATAAGCAGAAAAGATTCGTGCTTATAAAACTCTACAAATCTTCATCATCAAAAAATGAACTTATACTACTTTTATCATCAACCAACAAACTATCTATCGATTTGTGCTGGATATGCTTGACTGATAATTCTGTACTCTTTTTAGGAGGAGTATTGGTCTTCTGAATGGGTGACAGCACCTCGTCCATCTGTATCAGAGGCATTGAATCTCTTTTCTGAGTTGAGATGGTGGAAATAGAAGGAGGGTATGTGGGTGATAAAGGGAGTAGATTGGAAGACGTGTCTTCAGGATCCTCGAATAACATACTCGCAGATGGAACATATATTGGCTTTCTAAGGCCAGGTCCAGTTGCAGATGCAGTTCCAGTTTTAGTTCCATTTGCGGTTGTAGTTGTAGTTGCAGTTGCAGTTGCAGGTCCAGATTTAGATCGTCTCGGTTCACTATCCTTTGGGGCTACAGACTCATTCGGTCCTTGTGTGGTTGGTTCAGGGTCTACGCTTCTCCTCATAAAAGAAAGAAGAGTCCGACGACGAGCAGGCGTAGCAGATACACTTGGCTTCAAATCCTGATTGGTGACACTATTCAGAGTCGGCGCTGAAGTATCACTGTCGGACGATGTTTGGTTAGTAGTGCCAGTTGTGGTCGAAGAATTAGGTACAGAGGTGGTCGAGGAAAGAGTAGAAGAAAATGATGGTGCATCAAGTGAAGGTTCTTTGCTTGAAGAGTCAGTATTTGTTACCCCAGGTCGTCTATTTGAATGGTCTGTCTGGATCTTGTATGCCTCTGCAAAAAAAATATCGTCAAAGCTCTTTATAAGATCACGCAATAGGCGTTGGGGATGTTTGTCATAAATCCGAATTGTAGTCTCAATTTGTGGCCGAATGAGTATGTGACCAAATGTGGTAGCCAAATTATCCAGCAATTCTGTATTATGTTCATCATCTGATTCTTTAAATAGCCTTTGGGATCGTTTAGATAAAGCGTATATATATATATATAGGTACGTATCATACAAGTACATACGCTTGCACACACCAAGAAAAAAGTGCTACTTACTTGTGAAAGTGTTTCATTAGGGTCTTTAGGGTATAATAGTTTGTAGTAGGGAGAGTAGCTAGAAGCTTAGTAATCGAGACTAAACGGCTTTCGTCATCCTGAGTCCCTATGGTAATAATAATAATAATAATAATAATAATAATAACATTAATTAAGTTATTTGGCTTGTTATCTTGTTTATCCAACTCAATAATCATCCTTACAGTTTGTATAAATGAGCTTAAAAGGTTCATAAAGTTCAAAGGTTAACAAACATTCCGGGATCTCCATAAGAAATAATCGGATAAGTGAGGCCAGTAATAAAACATCGTAGCGTCTTAGGTAGTCTGCTGTCATTGCCACCGGAGAATGATTGACTTCCTCTCTTGCTGCATGTACACGATCAAGTGGCAATTGTGTAGTCCATGCCTTGTTTTTCTCTGATATTATATATACATATATACGTTTAAAAATGACAGGTATTTGCATATCAGCAATTATTACTAATACAATCAAAATATAGCATACCTTCATCATACAGCTTGGTGAAACCTAAAGAGTTGTTGAAATAAGAAGAAGAGAAAGAAGAAGAAGAAGAGAAAGAAAAGACGTGTTAGCTTTACCAGCGTATCCACAGTTTATCTTATATTTATTTTATTTTGTTGAAAAACTAGTTTTAAAGTATCTAACCAGATTCAATGACGACAAGGCCTTGTGAAATCAATGGGGGTACTATCAGCTGACGTGCGCGAGCTAACTCTTCCAAAGAAATGCCAAATACTTGACCTAATACATACATATGCATGCACATACACATACACACACAGATATATATATATATATAATATATACACAAACACATTTTAAACCACCACAGCTTTAATTCATTTGTAATTGACTTTATTAATTGAAAGATCTGCTTTTCTCTTTCTCTCTCTATATAATTAGATAACATGACCGTACACACATGCACTTACCAGATGCAGGGCCATGAAAATGATTTTGGTAAATAATCGGACGAGGGCAGTATCGACCAGTACGATATTGCTCCACGATAAACCGGACATCTTTGTCGGGTCTCAGAGTTTCCTGGTAGAGCATCATACGGTCGTACATTTCTTTGCACAGAGGTATCGTATTGGACAAGGATGCAGCTATACTAATGAATGCTGTAAAATTACCATTAATTAGCATTTTATGTTATTTATTTATTTGGTTGAAGAATTAGTCTTCTTTATTTTATTTTACCTTGTTTTATGGTCTGGATTCTTTCTAATTCAAGACTTTCCATCTCTTCATAATGCATAAACTACATACACATATATTTTGAAAAGAAAAACACCGTAGAAAATAATGCACATCCACATTGTAAGAGATACAGAAGAAGAAAAAAGAAGAAAAAAGGGTATATATTACCAGTATTTGTTCTGTTTCCATGCGCATACGCTCAGCCTTTCTCACTGCTTCTTTATAGATCTTGTCGGCTTCAAACATTTCTTGAATAGCGATCTGTCGATATTCTTCGTGGTGTTTATGATTCCAGCGCTCAAAGATACCTCCAAAAGCCCCTGGGGTAGGTGTTTTTGATTCGTCAAATCCAGGTTTTGCGGGATCGTATTTCCGGACTAGTGTACTACCCTTCAGGCCGCTGAGTGGTTGTTTGTGGATCCGGTAGAGACGGTCTGGGGAACTGTCAAACACGTGTGTTTTTACTGCTGCTATTTCCGGTACTGTTTCTGCTGTCGATCCAGGTGCCGATGCTGATACAGAATGCAAGAAACATTGCTGAAGAAGGTCTCGGCAGATCTCCATTGACTCGAGCTGGATAAGCTTTTCTTCGGTGTCCAGTCTTCCAGAGTCAAATGACTCGCTCTGGCCAATGTTCTCGTTTGCTATCAGTCTAGAACAGTAGCCATGGACCCAGTTGTACACATAGCTGCCTGTCAATGAAATATCTTCCTCTTCTTTGGTGCGATTGAATTCCTGACGGTAGTCCTCCTGCATCTGATAAAGAACTCGAGTGATTTCTCTGTAAGTGAATGCCCACTTGCCCAGGCGAATCTGCAGGTCCGAATACGGGAGGGGAGGAATGTAGTCAAGGTCTTGGGTTTGAACCGCACGACATTTTGCCACATAGGATGTTCGGAGTTGTTCTACTGTGCCTGCCACAAGTTCAAACGAAGCGATTCGTTTGTCCATTGTGGCCTTGGTGGTTGTGACAATCCGCTGGTAACGTGTGGTCAGTCTCTCGAGAGGATCAAGAGCAGCTTCTGTTAGATTAGCGGCCCGAGAGAGATGGCCTTGTGCTGTTTCGCCACTCTCAGAACGAACAATCTCAAAACTTTTCTTTAGGCTTGCTCCAACGTCTCGTTCGAATGCTGTGTTTAATGAGTCATTGGGTGCCAATGCCAAAAGAAGATCGGCGTAACCTTGTTCTGCGGCAATACGACGTCGAAGATATTGTACAATCACCGAGTTTTCTTCAACAGATTGATGTAGCTTTTGATGGAGTACATTTAATCCTATAGAAAAGTTTGGGACTGGGTCTATAGCTGCATTAGGAGACCAGAATGACTCTTGAAATGGGTGATGAAGCATTGTTATTGTTGTCGTTATTATTATTTCTTATTTATTATTTTAAAATGAACAAGAAAGAATCCCCAAGATGTCGCAAAAGTCAAGAATAAGGCAGACTCAAAACGCTTCAAAGTCACACAACTGTCTCTAATGGAAAGTGGTTATAATCAAGTTCCCTTCAACCTCCTAGCCTTTTTTCCCCCCCTTCATTTCTTTTATCTCTCTCTTGGTTCCATTCCCTTCCTTTCTCCCATTACGTCAAATATGATATTCTGATGTGCTTGTATAAAGTTTAAACATTTGCCTGCCTCTTTTTTCTTTCTTTTATTATTATTTATTTATTTATTTATTTATATTTGATATTTGATATTATGCTTTCATTGGGGTCTGGGCAGCTATTGGAAGTCCAAATTCATCCAACAATATCTCGTGCTGCTGTTATAAATATAAATATTAGAAAACAAGGAAAGAATAGACTTGTGTTGTAGTTTGCCAAGTACCTGTTTAGGATCTGTTTCGGCAACCTTTGGAAGATCCTCAGTAGGATCCTGTAGATAAGAAGGGACTTCGTCTTCAAAATCAAGCTCATCACCAAGAGCATCCAATTCTGTATGATGATTAGTGAGTGACAAACACAAATAAATAAATAGAGATAAAGATAATGCATAGGCTTTTAACTTGTATCTAATTTCATCTGACAATATGAATATAATGTATATCTTAATACTTTACCTGCTGCAAGGTCATCTTCATCAATATCATCAGGCAAATTATAAGATCGACCAAGTGATTCTTGAACTTCGTTTGCAGCCTCCATTAAATCCTCCATTTCATCTTGCAATTGCTATGTATTATATATGTATTATATGTATATATTGTTAGTCTCAATTTAATATTACCACAAAGAAAAAAGAAAAGAAAAGAAAAGAAAAGGAAAGGAAAGGAAAGAGTCTTACATCAATCTTGTCCAAGTCAACATTCTTGTATTGCTTTTTCATTTCCTTATTCGCTGTCTGCATAGCATCTACTGTAGCCATAACATTACGCAAATTTTCGGTTGTCATTTGTGCTTGTTCCATATTAAAGGACTGTTGCTGTAAGTTGTCTCGCTGAGCCTCATAGCTTGATAAATATTTATTAGTCAAAATATTATGTTTGACACCCACCCACTCACTCACTCACTCACTCACTCACTCACTGCACACACACATTTATTTAATTATTTATGTGTGTATATAGTGTGTGTAGTGTGTAGTGTGTAGTGTGTCTTGGCATTAATTTACTCACAGTTTTTTTTGTTTCAAGACTCTCAACGCCTTTTGCTGTACTGCACTCTACATCAAACAAATAAAGCATTGATGGATTTGCACTGAGCCAAAGACACTCTATCATTCATTTATTCATTCGTACATTCATTCTTTATTTTATTTTATTTTATCTTTTATAAACCCTTTACAATGCCTAACTGTCTATTTCTTTTTTATACTAATAATTATAATAACAGCAGCAAAAACAGCAACAGCAAAAAGGCAATATCCGCAGCAATATTTATAATAATAAAAAGAATAATACCTTGGCAGGTCCATCTCTCATTTTCTTCATCTGATCTCTGTACCTTGTAAGTTCAGCATCAAGTTTCTTGACTTTGACTTCAACAGCATCAGCACGACCATCCGTCTGTTGAAATCCAGAACAGTAAGAGAAAATAAATAAAGAAAGGTAAAGAATGTTACTACAAATAATTCTGCTAAGCACTCCAATACACACACACATAGAGGCATAAAACACACAGGCACACAAAAGGAATAAAGAAAGAAACCAAAACTTTGTTTCAAAAATATAATATAATATATTGATTTTATATTATTTGATTTTATTTTATTTGATTTTTACCGAAGATATTGCGTCGTTGAGTGTAGGTTTTGGTGTCTTTTTAGAGGTTCCAAATAGTCTGTTCATTGTGTAAAGAATTCGAATGAAGAAAAGAAGAAGGAATAAATGTTCTTTAGAGGGAATTATAAGCGTAACCAATAATAATAATAATAATAAAATAAAAAAAATAAGAATATAATCTATATATAAATAAAATTAAAAAGCCCGAATAAAGAAACTCAAAAACTGAGAGACCAAAAGGGCAAATTTAGATAGAAACGGAAGCTGGAAGTTGAAGGTTACAAAGTATAAAGCTTCCATTAAACAGCCAAATATAAAGATTTAGTTAAAAGGCATAAAAGCTGTCACAAACAGTCAACTAGCCAGCTAGCAAGAAGAAGAAGAAGTATAAGAAGAAGAGCCTATATATATAAAAAAAAAAGCACGATTTTTACAAGCTTTTACATATATAATATATATTGTATTATATAATGTTATATAATATTGTATAATTCAGCTGTTTATTCAACGCTTATTTCTTCTACCAAAAATAAATAAATTATTATTATTATAATAGCGGAAAACCTCTTCTTCTTCTACCCCCAAACAACATCTTTCTTTATTTATTTTTTCTTTTTTTTTTTTTACTTTATAGAGAAACACAAAAATAAGCTTGATATTTTTTTCTGTTTTATTTTTGCTATCATTCTCACACTGGTCAAGACCCCCATTAACTCGTATTCCTTTCACCCATTTCATGTCTTTCGTTTCAGACTCCTACAACACTACTTCATTTGACTGCGACACTCCACACGATCAACAAACTAATTATTATACATCCAATCATGGCTCTGTCAAATCTTCCTCTGGACCTTCCACTCTACCTGAGCTTGGAAATGCTTTTAAGAAAGGACGAAAGGGTCTCCCACCTGTAGATCCAAAGTAAACCACACCAGCTAAATAATAATAACAAAAAAAAAGAAAGGGCACTAACCAACTCCATTTAATAACATTGTATATAGTGCACCATGCTACATCCAACAACTCTCTGTAGAGCTACTCACTCATGTTTTTGCACAACTAAATCCGGTCTGTCTTACCACAGCAGCAAAAGTATGCCACCTCTGGCGCCATATTGTGAATGACGATAGTTGTTGTAAGTTATACAAACGTTTTATATTTGTGAGTGTGTTCAGGCACAAGTGGTACATTCCGATACTATGGTATCAAATACATAAAGCTAATATAACTACTCTTCTTCTTCTTTTTCATCATTTTGCTAATAAAAATAAATTAAATAAATTAAAATTAAATAGGGAAAACTGCATTTGTGTCTTATTTTGGATCCCAACCTCATAAGCGCTTGAGACCGAGTAGCTGGAAATTGGAGTACATTCTTCGAGCTGATCTTCTTCGGTAAGTATTTATTTATGATCACATAAAGTATTGAGCCGTTACTTTGGTTTTGGTTTACTGATAATTAAACTCTAGTAAATGGGAAAAAGGAAGAGGAACAGTCATGACTTTGGATCCAATGATCAGAACCATTGACGATATGTTTGTGGATTTTGAAAACTCTTCGATGACAATGGGGGCTGCAGAACATGGTAATTGATTTTCCTAAACATCCTTCACCCCCCTCCAGTAATACTATATACTCGAAAATTATTATATTTAAAGAAAGAAAGAAATGAAAAAAAAGAATGATAATCATTATCTAATCTTCGACTATACAAAGGTCTTGGTGCCAGATGCAATATAGACACCGGGAAAATGGAAAAGCCATTACTATTCTGCTCAGGTGTACAGATTCCTATGGCTTTGACGTGTGTACATGTGGATCAGTAAGATACAGTTATCCTTTATTATATGTATATATGTATGTATATGACTATTCTTACATTGTAGTTTTGTAGGAGTCGTATTCTGTGGGGATCTGGTCATGGTTATATCTCCTTGACAATCCGTAACAAGACTCATGATGGAAGACGACCCAAGATATTTTCTGAATTTCACCGAGGTGTCGTGAGAGCCTTTGCGTTCTCAAAGTCAACCCATGATGTCTTTCTCAGTGCTGGGGATGATTCGCGGATCAAGATCTGGAGTATTTCCGAGGGAACTTGTGTAAAGAATCTTCATGGTATGTAAAACGAAATACAATTACAAATGTATATACATGTATAACACAGCACTGTGATTGTAATCATCAGCATCATTATTCATTTACTTACAAAATATTTTCTTTTCAAATTTTTGGTAGGTGTGGATGGGCAGCCAACTTGCCTAGAAACAACACATGATGGACACATAATTGCAGGTTTTGGAAATGGAGCAATTGTGATCTGGGATATTCAATTGAACGAGCTGGTAAAGCGCTACCGTGAACAACGACGTAACGGAGAAAGCTCAAACGATGAATCCGATGATGTTGCTGACAATCGTAGAGTGATATCTCCGCCGATTGTCGACAAAAGCACACCCGTAAAATCGATTAGATACGATCCAAAGTCAGAGATGTTGATGGTGGCCTATGGTGACACCTATCAAGTCAGAAAGTTCAGTATCAACAATGGAGAGTGTGTTGCAATTTTTGAGCCCAAAGAAAAATTGGGCAAGGTAACATGTATGGAGTGGGACACCGCCCTTCCAGCCGGAGCTCTTGCTGTTGATTCTGGTTCTGGTCATAGTTCTGGTTCTGGCTTTAAGAACATACACAGCTACGTAAAAGGAGACAGTACCGTGATTTCGCAAAGTACTCGAGAAATTGTGGCAGTAAAGACGACTCAGATTATGGTCACAGGTGACTCGACTGGCACAGTATATTTGTGGGATGGAGATTCTATCGAGAAAGATGGTCTTGTTAGGCCTTTAAAGGTGATGCATGGCCATATCGCAGCCATCAGTTCAATTTATATAGATGCTTTTAAGATTGTTACTGGAAGGTAAGCTTTATTTATATATATATATATTTGATCAAAGAAGGACTAGTATCTAAAGTCTTGTATTTGTTGTACTATATATCTATCTATCTAAGTAATGATGGGTGGATAAGAATATGGAATCCTATTACTGCCGCTATAATCAATGTGCTTGGAAATAAGTAAGTCAGCACAATTTTTTTACATGCATTAGATACACGTCTCCCCAGGGATTACCATTATTGCTCACGCACCCTTTGATTATCAGAATCCCAAGAAACGCACCAGTAGATCGTAATGATATTAGCATTATGCGAGTGAACAAGATTATGTGCAGTGATTACAAGGGAGTAGCTGCCATCGGGCACCACTTAAAGACATGGGATTTTTCACCCAACAAACAATTGCTTGGTGAGTGACATAGCTATGAAAATTATTTAAATATTTAGATAAACAGATAGATAGATAGCGTGCTTTTTTTATATTATGTTATATTTAACGCCCTCTCTTTGTTAGCCCAACGTAATTTAAGAGAGAAAGTAAAGGCACCCGGTGCTGGTCTCCGTGATCAAAACCTTCACTACGAGATCAAGCAAGAGCTCAAGGACTCTACAGAAAAACTGTCCCAGGAAAAGAAGGAGCGGTTTGTAAAGGCTAAAAAGGTACATAAGTTGACCTTGGGTGGACTGTCCGACGAAGAGATGCTGGCATATGCTACCATGTTGTCCCAAGAGGAAATGGTATCAAACCGTGGCTATGTATCACACGAACAACAACAACAAGGTTCTTCTGGGGGTGCCAAAAACGACATAAATAACGGTGATTACATCAATGACGAAGAGGATGAAGACCTTCTCAGGGCTGTCATTGCTAGTCTGAGTTTGACAGAAAACGAGCAGTACTGTGATCAAGAAATTTTGGCAACCAAAGCCGCAGTAAATCACAGCAGCAATAATAGTAGTATTGATAGTGGTAGTGGTAGCAGCCTTGGTAGCAATAGTTTTATCCCCTCACTCCAACCCAATCAAGCTGGTTTGGTTTCTCGTGGCAAAGAAACGGCAGAAAACGATTTTCCTGAAATCGACTTGATTCGTTCATGGCCAACTGTCAGTGGCAGCATAAACGCCACTACCACCACAAACAACAGCCAAGACAAAGGCGACAATGGTGGCATTCATACTCCTTCTCTCACTGTTAATACACACAATTGGAGTGATGTGAGGAGCCGTGTGATAGAACCGTTGATTGCAGAGAATCAAAGCAAAGGCTCGTCGAATTTGCAAGATGAATACGACGAAGAGCTTCAATACGTTCTTATGTTGAGTCGAGGTGAAATTTGAAATTGACAGAACAACGCTAGTATAAACACACCCACGCACATCCATATATATATTCCTTCTTAAGTATATGGAGATATTATTTGATTAAAAACAAAAAGGTTTCTTATTTTTTTGTTGTTTTTGGTGTTTTTTTTTTGTTGGTTTTTTAAGAGAAATATGTTATTTACAAACAATGTAGCATGCCACAAACATCAAGAGAAATATCTCTTTCTTTAACGAGCCTCGAATTGTACCACTAAATAAGAGAAAAAGAAGATTAGGTTTGGGATTAGAGATAGCTCGACATCGATAAGTTATTCAAATTGTTGTACTATTCGATTTTGGTCTTTCATTTCTTTTTCTTTTTTTTTTAAAAAAAAAAGACGTACTTCTCTTGGTTCTCTTCTTGTACATGATTCTGTGGCCACAATCCTGGCAACGAATTGGCTCTCTGGGTTTGAGCTGATTCTCAGCGCCGCAATCTAATTTACATATAAGAAAAAATGAATATAAAGTATCAACATTAGATCATTGTGAAAATGAAATTGATCATTTGTGCATAAATATTTATATCTAGTATAAATGCAGCATTTGATTTTCTTTTTCTTAAAAGAAAAATTGGCCCATACCAGCACAGATGTAGGTCATGGCGACAGGTGGGCGGATTGGGGTGGACTGATAGCCTTCCATGGTTGTAATGCGTTGTTGAGAACAAGTGAAGAAACAAAAAAAAAATAAAAAAAATAAAAAGCCAGATCTGAAGGTTGAGTCTATTTGCACATTATTTAACAGTCACTTCCTGTCAAAACCCCCTCCCCCCCCCCCCCCCTCATCTCCTTTCCTCCCTTCATCTCACTCCTCTTTTTTTTTGACTTTTTTTTTTATACTCTATACAATCAAAGATGTACGAGATAATTGTAAAAAAAAAGCATCAATATTAATGGCCTCGGATTTGGCTTTAACTCGAATTCTCTCGATTCATGAAACCAAAAATATTCTATGTCTTTAAAAAGTTGGAATATAAGCACGTAATTTAGACTTTGCCTTTAAATTCTCTGCAAATCTTCTTACTATTTTGCAACCACATCACTTAAAGTCTACTATCCATTCAATAAACTGCTCAACTCATTTTTACAAATTAGCTATAATATATAGTATTTGGACTTTTCGTAGCGAATATATACATAAAACTTGAGGGTATGGGGGGAGCTTTACTTTCAAAAAGTATGTTAATTATTTGTTAATTTATTCTTTATATAGGGCTAGAATTCATCATAAAAAAGATTTTTGTGTGTGTCCGAGTGAATTTATGTGTGCCTGGGTGGATTTATGTGTGTGTAGGTAGATTTATGTGTGCGTGCGTAGATTTTGTGCGCCAGACGTGGCACAGCAGAGGTACAAATATTAAGAGAGGCAAATTGAATAGTAAGAAAAAGAAAGTCTTTATCGATTGATATATAAGCATATTATTCTACCTCTTTAATAAATAGCACTCTCACAGTATATACTCTTTCTAATATTGACATAATATACAAAAGTCATTTCCGAATATTTCGAATATTATTTTAACTTTCTTTAATAAATAACACTCTCACAGTATCTATTTTTTCTAATATTGAGATACTAACCCAAAATCAATCACAAATACCTCAATTGCATTGCAGTATAATATTTAAATACAATTATGATTGGAATAAGAGGGTCAATTACTTGTTATCAAATAAAAATAAAAAATCAAAGACTAACTGAAAACTCGTAAAAAAGCAAAAATAAAATAAAATAAAAAAATAAAATAATTAATATGAATTTCAAATGTCAAGTATTTCTGGCAGATTGCAGGGCATTTTTGGAACTCAAACTGTCTAAGCTTTTTTTAGTAATTTAAAAACACCTGGGAGCGTGGCATTTTTGTGAGGCTAGCAGTTTTCCTACACAAAAAAAAATGCGACGGTGTTTCAATATTTTGTTTCTCCTAATGTCGTATAATCAAAAAAGCAAAATTTTCAGACTTCGGACTTAAAGGCTTACTTTAGAAAATATTTTACTAAACGGCCTATTTTTTATGTGCTACAAGTAAAGTAGCAAAAAAAATGTCGGAAAGTGAAAATTAAAGAATGGGATTTCATATATAATATTGCACTTTGATGTGTGTGTGTGTGTGTGTTTTTTTTTTAAAAAAAAAATAACTAAATCATTTTGACTTTGTTTTGTACTATCTACGATGTAGAGCTCTAGTATATATAGATAAAAAAAGTCGTACAAAGTTTAGAGATTCAAAGGTGGACTTTCAAGTTTTACAAGTTTTAATAATTCTAACAAGAAAATTGAAATCAAATATCAAGCATTTTCTTTCTTTTGTAATTGAACCTTTCATATAGCTACTTCCATTGCTACCTTATGCTTTGGTTATAAGAATTGTCAAGAAGAAGAAAGAAAAGGTTAATGCTAGCATATAATAAATTTATTTTATAAGATAAAGATATATAGATTGCAAAGAGATCTTTATTTCCATATTTTAATTGCCTTGATAAAGATGATTACAAAAAAAAACAGTGCTTCATGTGTGGCTTATTCATTTTGTTCCCTTTTTAATAAGAAGACTGTAATGCAATTTTTGACATTTTCACATACTATATAGTAATAATGATAATAATAAAATATGCCTTGGATTCTTGAATTGTAAGCTTTTCAAATTGTAGATTTTTATCATTCTTTTTGTATTTCGTTTAATTTTCTTTTTACTTTCAAAAAAAATATTAGTAGTTAATCCTAATTGGTTTAAAAAAAAAGAAGAAGAAAAAGGCATTCAATTGACCACCCTTAAGTGTTGTGTGGGTGAATAAGTAGTCTAGAAATTAGCGACTAAAAATAAAATTGGTGATTTCCAAAGAAGACCAGAGAACTAAAGAAATGTGTATGTATATAAAAAATATATATATATAAATCACTTTAATTCCGTCACACTTTTTGGGTCTGTTTTTTTTTTGTGACGATCAATGTAGAAAAAATATAAAATTCTAGTATTCGTTGTTTTAAATATGAAAAAAAAATCTCTTTCTTTTTTTTTCTCTCTACTCTTCCTTCTCTTTCTCTCTTTTTTGTATCGAGTATAGTAACCATGAGCGCCGTCCAAGAAAACGCCGTACCTTCCGTCCAGGAGAACACCGCTGCTCCCGTTCAAGAGACCACAGTTGCTCCCGTCCAAGAGACTACCGAAGCTCCTGCTCAAGAGGTCACCGAGGCTCCTGCTCAAGAGGTCACCGAGGCTCCTGCTCAAGAGAAGCCTGTAACTTCCATCAATGACAAAATCCGCAAGCAGTTCAACTTCTACTTTGGTGACTCTAACTTGCCTTACGACAAGTACCTCTGGACTTTGACCGGAAGCACTGGAACTGGATGTAAGTATCTTGTACACACGTGTGTGTGTGTAGATATATATATATATATGCAATTTCTTTTTTCAAAGAAAAAAATGGAAATTATTAGAGACGTATTTTGAATAGAGAGCGCTACTCTAGGTCTCTATTTTATGCTTTAAAGGGAAAGAATCAAGTCAACTAATCATTGTCATACTTCTTACATTTCAATTCAACAGGGGTCCCTATTGAGAAGGTTGCCAGCTTCAAGAAGATGCAGACAATCTGCGACGATTTGAACACCATCATTGCTGCCTTGAAGGAAGTTCCCTCTGACTTGTTGGAGATCGATGAGGAAGCCAAGAACATTAGACGCAAGACCACTCCCGTCGAAGTCAATCACGAAATCCGTTCCATCTATGTTGTGAGTAATTGATTAGAGTACTAATACTAAAAATGAGTAAAAGTAAAAGTAAAAGTAGCAATTAAGAAATTATTATTGTTATTATGATTATGATTATTTACTAATTTTTTCTTTATAAAAATAATAATAGAACAACCTTCCTTTGGTTGATGCTGGTATTGATGATCGCTCCATTGCTGCTGAAAACATGATTGCTCTCCAGAACGAACTCGAGGAACTCTTTGAGACCGTAGGTGAAGTTCTCGCTCTTCGTTTCAAGAAGTTCCACAACAAGATGAAGGTAATAAAGACGGGTCTGAATTCATACATAAATATCATTTGAAAATAGAAGGATAAAGCTGTCATAAAATTAATTGAATTTAGTTTACGTTAATTTGTTTCATTTATTCATTTTACTTATTTTTCTTTTACTATTGCTGTTATATATATAATATGAAAATAGGGCTCTGCTATTGTTGAATTTGCTACTCCCGAACTTTCCGAGAAGGCTGCCGCCAAGGAATGGGAGTTCCGTGGTACCAAGCTTTTTGTTCAAACATCGTAAGTCTGATAGTTTCTTTTTTCTTTCTTTCTAATTATTATAGAAAAATAATGGTATATGGTTTCTTATTGTTTCTATTGTTTCTTTTAGCACCCAGCACGCTGAGCTTAAGAAGAACAAGCCCGTCAACAAGCCCTTCAACAAACACTACAAAAAGCATTATGAATTCAATGCATTCAGACCTGCTCCTCCTCGCCCTACTCACAACAACAAGCGTAAGGGAGATCATGAACATAAGAAGCAGAACAAATTTGCAAAGAAGGAGCAGACAGTAAAAGAAACCGTTGACGAGGAAATGCCCACAGCCGCACCAGTAGCAGAAGCACCAGTCGCACCAGTAGCAGAAGCACCAGCAGCACCAGCAGAAACAGAAGCAGCACCCGCAGCAGAAGTACCAGCACCAGCACCAGCAGCAGTAGAAGAGAAGGCTCAGCCCGAGGAGGCAAAGCCCGTAGAGGAGAAGGCAGAGTAATAAATAAAACACAAAACGAAGAAGACGAAGACGAAGAATTTACATACATATTACACACATACATGAACAACAAACAACCCAAGATATATTAGTGGAGAAGGGAGGGGATGGGACGTGAAATCAAAATATCATATATTTCTCTATCTATCTATCTATCTATCTATCTCTTTACACAAGAATGGCATAGACTCAACCATGAAAAAAATACAATAAAATAAAGTGTCTACACATGTTACATCACAAAATAATAACAATAATACGCATTATTTCTCTCTCTCTCTCTCTCTCTCTCTCTCTCTCTCTGTCTCTATAAAGCTCTTATAAATGTTGAATGATCCATTTTATATATAAATATAAATATAACTATATTAATTTTTAATTTTTTTTTTCAATTTTAATCCTTTTTGGAATCCTCGGTGGTTTGATCAACCTTTGGTTCTTCCTTTACTTTTTCGCCAGACTTTGTGGCAAGATAGACGATGACCAACAATGCAGACACACCCACGGCAGAAAACAAGAAGATTGGTGAAGTGAAATCCAAGCCAGGAGCATTGAGAGGCTTTACAAACTCCTGCTTTTCCTGGCCAGTAGTAGGGCTGTCAGGGTTGCTGCGATGGATATCGACCAACTCTACATCGAACACAAGGGTAGATCCACCTGGGATAGCGCTTCCCATTCCATTTGCGCCGTAACCTTTATCAAACCAATGAATAAATGAATGAATGACTTGGAAAAAAAAAAGAGTGATTATAAACGTTGACTTACCCAAATGGGGAGGGATAACCAATCGACGCTTTTCACCAATGCACATACTAAATGGGTGTTTTTTTTTGGAGTGAATAAATGGAATGGATGAGATATATATATATATAAAACAAATAGAATTGATTAGCAACATTGGTATTTCAAAGTCTAATTTAATTGATTATAATAAAAAATAATTCTTCATACTTTTTCAATCCAAGGTCCCATCCTTTGATGACACGACCAGTGCCAAGGGTGAACTCAAGTGGCTGGTTGCGGTCAACACTGCTGTCAAACTTGTCACCAGTTTCAAACAAGGTACCAGTATAGTGCATTGAAAGTGAATCACTGAGAAAAAAAAAATAAGCAAGTGTTTCCAATATATATATTAGTTATTATTTGCTTACCCATCACGCGAACGAATAGTACATTGCTCTTCAGGAATCTTCTTTTTAATTCCTGTGATTAATTAATAATGAATGAAATACAATAGATAAGTTTAGATTATTGTCATTGCCATGGTCATTATAATTTCCATCGTCATTGTGATCAACCTTTATTGTTGTTGCTATTTGACTTTACCGATCTGTAATGTAGTAGGAGGAGTTTTGAGGGCCTGAGCACTGACAGCAAAGGAAGCAGCCATACAGATGGCTTGGAGTACACACAAAAGACGCATGGTATTATTTTCTTTTATATATATATATATATGAAAGATGATTGCGTAAAAGGTAAGAACGACAACAGCAACAAAGAGGATAGTCTAAAGTATTTAATTAATGAATTATAATATTTTATTTTATTTTATTTTATTTTACCTATCAAAAATTATGCGTGGCTAATGCCGATTGGATTTCTTAAATAAAATAATAAAATAATAATAATATAAATATAAATATATATGCCAATATGCCAATATGATATAGTATTTATTTCGCTTTCACTTTCACTGTTAATTTTGCTGTTTTTTTTTTATTATTATTATTTATAATAATTGATGATATTTTATGATAATTGGTATGTGCATATATTCGTATTATATAGTGGTGTAATATAGAGTAATATGGTGTTTTGTGGTGTGCTATAGTATTATTGAAAAGCTAAATGTATATATATATGTGTGTGTGTATTGATATAGATAATATGAGGTTAGTTGTTAAAGGCGAGGGCCAGAGTAATGAATAAATAAATAAATGAATGAATGAATAATGATAATAATAAAGTTTGTTCTTCTAAAATAGGATATTATAATTAAAATAATAATAATAAAAAAAAACATTAAAGAGAAAAATCTACACGGTGCTTGAGTACAAATTCCTTGACTTCCAGGTCGTCTACCCAACATCTATAGTCGATGAGTTTTAGAAAGGCGCGTTCGATAGTATTGACTTGCTCGAGTGAGAACAGGCCAGAACACAGATTGGATAGCTGGGCATTGGTCAGTGGGCCGAGACAATAAGAAGGATTACTGGAAAGATAAGAGTAGTAATGTTGCCATGATGAAGGTACGGTTGGTAGTAGTGGCTGGTGAGGAGAGAATGGTGGCGACCATCGCGTTCCACGCAAATACTTTGATGCCAATAGCATACTAGCAAGAAACATACGATGAGGAGTATCTTAAAAATAGAAATATATAGTATATATGGTATATCCATATTAGATAATTTTATTTTTATTTTTATTTTTATATTCTCTCTATCTCTCCCCCCTTTTTTTTTCTTTCTTTCTTTCATAAAATATAATAGAATATATAAATAAAATAGAAATTCATTTATGGAATATGCTGTGATATCTGTATATATATATTTATGTTTATATATAGGTGTGTGTAGGTAGGTAGGTAGGTAGGTAGGTAGGTAGGTAGGTAAAGTGGGGGGGACATCTATTATATATTTAAATATACAGAATCATAATCATAATCATAATCATAAAAAAAAAATTACCGTGGCCACCAGCAGCACCTTTGGGTAACGCGGCCTTTGCGCGATCAAGGTAGATGAGAGCCACGAGGGCAGTACGGCAGTTGACACCGGCTGAAAATGTGATCTTTTGAATGAAATGAACTAGTTCTGGCATAGGGTGTCTATCTTGCCCAAAGGTATTCTGCTGAGATTTGCATTTTCTAGAAGGTATAAGATCGCACACTGTCATGGCCATAAAATCTATTTTATAAATCATTAATATCAATAGCATCTAAAAAGAAAATTAATCTGCAGACTACAATATAATTGAATAAATTCTTATAAACTAACCTATCAGAACTGAAGGAAGAGCCAGTATTTCGGTGGGGGTGGACGGCTGGGGTGGAAGAGAAGGAGAATTTTGAAGCAGCATGGGAAAGAAATTGAATAAAGAAGAAGTCTGGAGATAATTATTATTTTATTGTATTTTAATTTTATTTTTAATTTTTAATAAATAAATAAAAAAGAAAGAAAGAAAAATTATTAATATTGATACTGATACTGATACTGATACTGATATTATTTGCTCTTTCTCTTTCTGTCTTATGTATTATCTTATTTTGATAGTCTATTTTATTGATTGTCTTGTACTCCCCCCCCCCTCTCCCAGGAATTCTATTTCTTTTATATATATATATATACTTATTTCAATTTGTATATCTCTATATCCTACAGAGGTCTTGGTGGTATCAAAGTATACTGCATTCCGGCAGTACCATTAATTGGCTATTTCTTCTTTTTTGGTTTTTCTCTTTTTTTCGTTCTTGGCATCACTCCTTACAAAATGTATTTATATACAAAGGACAGAGAAGTGAAAAGAGTAAAAGAAAAGAAAAATACAGCAGAATTCAAAGAAGAAGAAAAGAAAAAAGAAAAAAAAGGGTAGCAACCCAATGATGAGAATAGTATATTCAAATCCGGTAATATAGGGAGATGTCCTTTTTTGTTGTTGTCATAGCGATAAGACAGGAAAATAGACAGGCTGACAGCCAGATAGACAGTATATGTATATAAAAGTACATATTGTCTCCTTGCCTCTGTTTCTCTATTTCTTTATTTGTAGGGATAGTAATAGTAAATCATTAACACATAATATATGCAGATGTGTAAAATATCTAATTACTTGATTGTATCGTCTTTATCTATCTATTTATCTATCTCTGTAAAGTAAGAGCAACAAATCAAGGCTTGTCAATTATAAAATAATAATAATAGTAATAATGATTTTTATTATTGGACCGGTTACAGGTCTAGACTATTCTATTTATTTATTTATTTATTTATTTGTTGTTTCAATTTGAGTGAATTTCTTTCCTTTTTCAAATCAATACTCTCTCACACAAACACACATTCACACATGTCAAATAAAAAACAAAACAAGATTCTCAAGAAATAACAAAATACAGACAGGCAGGCAGAATTAAATAAAAAGGACTCGTATTAAATAAATTGTAAAACATGATTTAATCCAGTTTAAAATAAATATACATTTATATATATATACATTTATATATATATTTGAAAAATATAATTTACAGTTCACGCGTTTGTTTGCATTTGCATTTGTGCGTGTGCGTGTGCGTGTGCGTGTGATGGTGCTATATACAAGTGTGCATATGTTTAGTGTAGTGCGCTGTAGTTTAGTGTGTTGTGTCGTGTTGTGTAATGCTCTATGTCGGTGTACAGTTCAATTGTTTTTGTTGCTTTACTGTATCACTGTGCTGTGCTGTGTAGGTGTAGGTATGTAGAGGGTATATGTACATATGATAAGTAAATAAATAAATAAACAAATTGATCAATTGATCAATTGATCAATCAATCAATCAATCAATAAAATTGGTGATGGTGTGGTTTTCGATTTTCTTTTTTCAGTTTTTGCGTTGTTGCGTTGTTGCATTTTTGCATTTTTTGTGTTTTTGCGTTTTTTTTCTTTCTTTTTTTTTCTTTTCTTCTTCTTCTTTTTTCTTGGCTTCTTCCAGTGGTTGTTAAGTATGGGTCGGATGAACAGTATCCAAATTTGGGGGTACAATCAGAGGGCGATGGTTGTTAAGAGTACTGTGTTCTTCAGTCGAGTGTTCGGATATCGGTGTCATTTGATTAAGAGGTGGTCTATATGGTCGACCCTCCGGCATGCTAATAGACACACAGCCCGAAGGTGTGCTATTCAAACGGTTGGTTGGACGACACATGTCGTCAAACTCTTGGATCGACTGTTCGTACTTTAGGCACCTGTCTCGGTATCGCAGTTGTTCCATCCTCAATAGTGCCTCTGCTGCAGTAGTTGGATGATGAGCCCCTGGTTGCTTATCAACCAAAGCCCCACTGAATACCAGGTTAATTTCCTCCAATGGTTTTCTCTATATAACCACAAACGATGATATTATTATTATTATTATTATTATTATTATTATTATTATTATTATAATTAAAAAATGCAATAATAACACTTCATTGATTTATTTATTTACCTTTGTCTCTGGGTAGAATCGACGGACGGCACATATGATTATAAAACAGAACAAACCATAGAACAAGTATGCACCCCACAGAATGCTACGAAACATGAAAGGTGATATGATGGTAATTATCAGGTTGAAAAGATAACTTGATGCAGTCGTTACACCCATTGCATTAGCACGGATCAATTGAGGGTAAATCTCTACAATAGATAAATATAGTCATTAGCATATTATCGCCATTATACTTGATGTAGTTACTATCTCTCTTATTCTCTCACAAAGCAGCGATATAGAGAGAAATCAAAAAGCTATTGTTTTATATACCTGCTGGATAGATCCATCCCATTGATCCCCAACTCAGCGAAAATCCACTGAAGAATATGATTAGGAATACAAGGATCACATAGGTTGCTGCTTCGCTGCTCAAATATGTTGTCGAGCTGAAATCCATTCCCTGGTACACATCGCTGCCGTGAGTAACAATCCGTTCTGCGAATCGGGCCGTAACAGCCGAGATGACTACGAGTGAAATCCCCATGACCAATGCGCCGGCTGTCATAATCAATCTTCGGTCTAGCCGATCAATGTAAAAGAAGATCGGAAGTGTGGCCAAGAAACTAACCGATCCACCCACACAATTGCCTGGTTTTGTTTTTACATTAATAAATGTTCAATTATTATTATTATTATCAGTATTTAACAATTTTAATTTTGACTTTATGAAGTGTACTATAGATTAGGTAGTAACTTACCAATTAATGCTGTGTGTCTATATTTTATTCCTGCGGCTTCTAATACATCTGGAAGATAATATCTGTACAAATTAAGCAATCGATTAGTAAGATCAAGTATAAATAAATAAATAAATAAATAAATATTTCTTACAATAGTGCATTGATTCCGGTAAGCTGTGTAAAAGCATGGATACCGATTCCAAGAAGGGTTCGTCTTCTGTAGTTTGTGGTGCCGGTTTGAAATAATGCCGTGTATGGGTTTGTGGTGTATATCTTGTCAAATGAAACGTCTTGTACAATTCCGGTAAACTCCATTCTCGCATCCATATCACCGTCAGTTTTGTCGCGTAATTGTTCGAGTATGTATTTTGCTTCATCGTAATGTTCTCGATAAATGAGCCAGCGAGGACTTTAAAACAAAGTATATACATAACATTTAGGTTTCTGTTAGTGTATGTATCTATATATATATATATATATATATATTACCTTTCTGGTATAGCCCATAATCCGGATAACATTATTAGTGGCGGGATCAATTGAACAGCAAAAGGTATTTTCCAATTATTGTTTTCTGAAAAATAAAAGGTACCAAAGCACATCCAAAAGGCAACACATGAACCCATTGTTGTGCCAATTTGGTATATGCATATCATTCTACCACGATTTGATGCCTTTGCTAATTCGCTTTGATCTAATAAAGAAAATTAATTTAATAGACAAGTAATAATAATATGTATGTATGTAACTTACATAGTGGAATCAATAAGCTATAAATTCTGTAAACAATATTTATACATATATATATAAATGCATGTCAAAATTAATAGCTATAATTTATTACTATCTCTCTCTTTATTTATTTTTAATTGATCAATTGAACCCATTCTTTTCACTCACCCCAAGGCAATTCCAGAAACACCTCTTCCCACCAAAAATACTGATAGCGTGTTTGATGCGACTTGTATTATTGAGCCTGTGATGTGTATTATACTTGCAATATAGAATATCTTTTTTCTTCCCAATCGATCGATAAAATAACCTGTAGTCTATTGATATTAGCATCATAATTAGCATTGATATGTTGTTAAAAAGGTATATAATTAATTAAAAGATAAAGAAAGAAAAAAAGAAAGTACCAATGAAGAAAATATGGCAGTAAGGTAAGCTAAACCCATAGCAGCGATACCATCAAGATCGGCAGGATTTTGGACCCCAAATGTATTCTGGAAACTTGGCATAACAAGACACGCAGAAACTATACCGTTGTCCAGACTTGTATTGATTGATTGATTTTCATTGGTAACAAAATAAAATAGAATATAATATATAAAAATAGAGAGGGAAATTAGTATTGAATTATATCAAATTACATTAATATTATTGACAATTAATTATTATCATGACTATACTAATAATAACAGTGGCTTACCCATACTAAGTACGTGTACATATATATATGCATGGATACGTAAAAGTATATATATACATTGATAATAATAATAATAAAAAAACAGCAATTTGATTAAGTACTTTCTCTCTTTCTCTTGTTAGAAGCCCAAGACAATATATATATATATATAAAGAATAAGAAAAGACAAGTTGATGAGTCTTACCAGGAATCCACCAATTGACACAAAACTTTGTAAATATAATAATAATGACAACATGTCACTTGAACATTAGACATTGCAGAATGGCAATCGATAATGTATGCGTGTATTAAAAATACCTGCTAATGATGTATAGTCGTGCCTTTGGAGATACAGGTAATGTGATCATAAAAGACGATACAACAATACGCACATAAAGTAGATAATAATGACAATAATATAATATATAATTAAATAGTAATTATTTAATAAAATAAAATAAAATAAATAAAGAAGTATATATTAATATTACAATAATATGTTGAATAAGGAAAGCAACAAAATTCAAAATTGACATTGAAATTGAAATTGAATTTTTTTTTTTTAAAAAAAAATAGTCAAAAATAAATGGTATTTTATTTTATTTGATTTATTCCATTGGAATATTTACACGTATATTGAATATATACATATTTATGTGTATGAGCTTGTTATGTAGAATGAAATGATTAAAAAGGTGAAATACTAAGGGCTAGATAATATAGGTATATATATAATAAAAATTAATTTTAACGAATGGCTTGCGTTCTTGCTCGTGTTCGTGTATTTGAATATTTGGGTATTGGGTATTAAAGCACAAAGAAAAATGTATAAATATGTAATAATAATAATAATAATAATAAAAATAAAAAAAAAAGGGAAAGACTGAGTACAAAATGTAAGGTGTGTGTGTGTGTGTGTGTGTATGTGGGGTGGCAATGTCAGATCTGAGGTCACTGCGACTGTTAAATTATGCGTTTATTGATGTCCCGCTCAATTAACGCACACACTACGCACACATACATACACACACCCAAAAAAGAGAGAAAAAGATAAAGATAATAGAGAGAAAGGAAAAGTGAGTAAAATATGGTGGAGTTAAACAAGTACATTTTGGGATTTTAACTAGTTGAACCAATGCCAGCCTTTATTGAACAATCCATTCATCAACTGAATGATAAAAATCAAGCAATTGAACAAATTAAAAAAAACAATACGCAATTCCAAATCCTTCTTACCTTGAGACGCAACCTGGCATCTGCAGTTACTTTGTACCGGTCAGCGATCATCCAATCAGGAAGCGGTTCGTGTGGCTCGTGTGGCTCAAGTGGCTCAAGTGGCTCAAGTGGCTCGTGTAATGATTGAGGTTGTGTTTCCCTTGTTATCACTCTTGCTCTTGTTCTTGTTCTTGCTCTTGCTCTTGCTCTTGCTCTTGCTGCCGCTGCTTGTTCTGCTGCTGATATTGCTGATAGCGCTGCTGCGGCTGACACGATTGCCGGTACAAGTAATGATCCTCCTGCCATTAATTCCTCTTCTCTACTAGCATCTCCTGGCGTTACTCCTGGTGTTGCTCCTGTTATTACTGTATTTGTATTTATTTCTGCTGTTACTGTTGTCATTGTTGTTGTGGCTGGTTCTGCGTGTGGAAATAAGACATTTACTGTGTCCAGATAACTCCAAAACTCTTCTCCAGCCTGGGTTACCATCATGCACATGTCGTCCACGTCAACTGGCTTTTCTGCTGCCACACACAACACCAACAGACTCTCGACATTTCCACTCACAAGAGCCTCGCCCACGCACTCCTCAAACGTGCCACTGATGTTCGATTCCAAATAAAGACTCGTAACTTCGAACAGGCATCCAAAAAAGTGAGCAAATCGCACATGGACCTCCCGTGTGCTAGCCCATGCCCGGTAATCATTCGTTTTCAATAGCTCAGACACCTTTGCACATTGGGCCCGCCACAACCATGCATAGTCCCGAGGTAAGAAAGGGGCCAATGGGTATTTAGTACTACGCCTGCGGTATTTCTGTATTTTATTATTATTATTATTATTAATAAAAAAAAGAAGAATATTATCATTATAGCCTTACATAGTCATGAAGTACCCGTATAGCCGGGGTGTGCATATAAGTCCTTCGAACTTCCAGACAAAGTGAAGCATAATCCTGCTCTAATCCGACTTGGAGATCTGGAGAAAGAATCCGGCGTGTAACCAGTTTCTGTAGTGTGTCGAGAAGATCGGTGAATGTTGTCTGCCTGTTTTGCTGTTCGTGATTCTCTACGATATGACAAATGAACTGCAGGAGCTCCATTGCTAATCCACTCCGCATTTCATGGTCCCGACGTTCATCCACACCAAGGGATTCGAATGAGCGCAGCAGAGACGCAATCGTGCAATGATAATGAAAATGTTGGTTGAGGTGGTGCTGAACAATTGGTCGAAGAGACTCTAGGGTCGAGAGTGTGTCGAGGTCATCGTACTCTAGTCTCCCAAGTACAACATCAAGAAGTTCATTTGGTAGTCGTGTAAGCATAGTAAGAGTTGTTGTATTTAAAAAAATAAAATAAAATAAAAAAGATAAAGATAAAACAAAAAAAGTATAAAATATAAATATGAGAACAAGAATATATTGATAAATCTAAATATACAAAATATATGTATATATGTATTATATACGTCTTTTTAGTGAATGAATGGGTGAGTGAGTGAGTAAGCGTGTGTGTGTAAAAATGAAATGTTCAAACAACACACATATATATATATATATAAATTTGTATGAAAGGGAAACTCATCCAGAAAAGTCACGACGGAGTTTATTACTTCTTGCTCTCTTGGGGTCATCTGACACTACACAGATACTTTAATTCAACACTAATGATTATTGGACTAATATTTTTTATCAATTCTCTTTATATATATATATCTGAGTGAGTGGGATTTATTATTAAGTCTGTTACTGTTACTGTTGAAAACTATACGATTTTATAAAAGTAATGTATGGTAGCCAAAATATTGAGAAAGAGAGAAAGAGAGGGTTTCAATTAATGCCTTTCACAAATATTGTGCCTATAAACCAAAAGAATAGATAAATCGATTAGAATACTTTTGTAACGATTTTTAGTACCTAAAAAATAAATTAAAAGATTCTGATTCTATATGGTAGTATAAATCCGACTAAAATTATTATGTTATTTATTCTTTACTACGATTATCACTATTGCATTAGAAGCAAGATCAAATAAATCAAATAAAATAAAGGAGGAGGTCAAGATGACGTCTATTTGGATGGTATTTTGAGGAATAAATAAAGTAAAGCAAATTGGAGTAAATTCGATCAATAGAGTAGCCTGCCAGTATCTTGGTTCTCTTGTTGATTTTGGTAAGCTTGTAATTATTTGACAACCATTACCACAGCCCACAATCATTCTTTATATCATTTCTCAAGCACTAAAATATAAATAAAAAAAAATGGTACTAAATAAGTCTTGTACAATAATATCTCTTTCTCTGTAAAAGCTTAAATTAAATAACCAGGTGATTCCCGAATTTCTATAATGTAACTCTATACAGTATCCGTGTCCTGGACCGGCGGCTCTCATTATATATCTTCTTTGAAAATACAGAAATATATTCTTTATTAATGAATTGTTTCAATAATTCAGTAGCAACCATATGATATTTGGTACCATTATTGTTTGTTTGTTTCTTTTAAATAATAATGATAATAATAAAGAGTATTATATTCTATGATCATTTCGGTCAGTAGATCGGCTGATTCCATGTTAGTCTAGATTACGTGTGTTTAAACGGGCTAGAAAGGGCATGTAATTAATTATTATTTTTTTGCTTTGTTGTTGTTACTGTTACTACTGCTATTGATATCAATATAAATATTTTTTTTGCTGCTGTTGTATATTTGACATCTACAGACACACTAAATACTAAATACTAAGCATACACACGGTCTGGTTGAACATTCATCGGCTCACTCACATATATACATAATAGATGTGTATATGATCAATTGATATCAATGTTAATGTTATTTATATTTTATTGATTCTTATTTTATGCTATTGTTCTTTGAACATCTTTATTACCATATCTTGCACTGAACAACAGTAAATAGACTGTAAAAGTATATAAAGAAAAAGCAAACAGAAAACAATGTCAAAAACCTTGGTAGAATCAGACTCTGTTGAATATATTTGCGATCAATCGGCAATAATGACTCCCTGTAGACCTTGTTTGAGCCAGACTACGCTCACCGAAAAAGAATGCGCTCAGGATTATGAAACGATTGCAGAAACCAGAGCAGTAACGACCTTTGTGTCTTGTTCTACCCAGACCCCTGCAGCCGCTACAGTTGCAGCCATCACTACATGCCCGTCTACATCTACATCTACGTCTATGTCTGCATCTATATCTGTGTGTGGTGCTACTTTTGAGCCAAGGTTTAATACCAGAAGAGACAACCTTGAACAAGGCCAGATCTACTGCACCCATAACCCTCCTCCAGATGACCCTCTGTTTCTTCTCTCGAGCAAGAAATCAAAAGCCGACTTGAAACGGATGAAAAAAGAAGGCATATCGAATAAGATCCGCAAGTTCTATATCAAGCAAAACAAACTTATCGATTCTATGCTTTCCCCTCATCAGTTTGAAGTGCTTGATCAAGACAGCCAACAACTCAGGGTAAATAAATAAATTTATATATATGTATGTATTTACCCACTCATTTGCTCATTTGTTATATTCTGTTTTGTTTCAACTATATGTATATGAAATAGCTCAAGATTGCTATATATGGAACAGTAGGTGCAAATGTAGTCTTGTTTTGCCTTCAATTGATTGCCGCTACTACCTCGGGATCTCTTTCCATCTTTTCAACCATGTCGGATTCTTTTATGGATCTCCTGAGCTCAGCCGTCCTATTGTGGACATCGAGACAGGCAGCCAAGGTCAATCTACTCGAGTATCCCAATGTAAGAATAAGCAATACAAAAGAATATATATATATATATTATGGTTGAAGTTAAGTGAATCTTTATTTTAATAGGGAAAGGCTCGTGTGGAAACAGCAGGAATCATTGTGTTTTCTTCACTAATGTCATGCCTAGCCTTGTTTTTGATTGCAAGTACAGGCTATTTGTTTATTTAATCAATCAATCAATTTCTTATACATAAACTCACTCTGGACATCTTAACATTAGATCGAGGCTGTACAAAAACTGGCCAATCCAGGAACTCCTTCTGACTTGGGGCCTTTGGCAATCGGTTGCATTGCCACTGCACTAGGTAATAATTACATCTATCTATTTTGTTTTCTTTAATTAAACTTTGTGTGTTGTGTAAGCTATAAAATTGGTTCTCTACTGTTACTGTATATCGTTATCTCGGTACAGCTCAGCAAGAGTTCTGGCTCAAGACCATTTCAATGATCTGTTGATAAATACTTTGGGACTAACGACAGGTATTGTCGGAAGCAAATTGGCAGCCTGGGTTGATCCCGTGGGATCGATCGTAATTGCCTTGATTATTCTTAGGAGCTGGCTATCTACCCTACTAGGTACGTCAATATCTTTTTTTTTTATCTCTTTTAGTTTATTGCGTTATTTGTTATTTGTACGTGTGGCTTGATAATCCCTTGCAGAAAAATAAAGGATATCAAGCCAATAATACTTGCTTTATATATATATATATATATATATTTACTTTTTCTCATTCTTTTCTTATTCTTCTTTTGCTGTTTCTAATTTTCTTACCTTTTTCTGACTTTGTTCTTGTGGCTGTTGCTGTTGCTGTTGCTGTTGCTGTTGTTATTAAATTCTTGGAAATGTTTTGTATTCTAGAGCATACAAGGCTTATTGTAGGTAAAAGTGCTGATCCAGAGTTCCTTCAGATAGTCACCTATATTGGTAATTGTTTTTGTTTTGTTTTGTTTTAAAGTTTATATAGCATATATTTTTTCTTGCCTAATTTTGTATATTTACATATACGTACATATAAAAGTATATATTATTCATACATGACATTCCCACTAGTACTTTCTTTTATATATATATATATATATATATATATTTACTTGTCTTTTTAAACTTTTCTCTCTTAATAATTATTTATTTATAGCGTTGACTCACCCAAGTGTGGAATTGCTGGATACCTGTCGGGCATACTACACTGGAAATAGTCTATTTGTTGAGGTCGATATTATTCTGTCACCAGATACTCCTTTGAGAAAGTCTCACGACATTGGAGAATCTCTTCAAGAAAAACTAGAGAGACTCAAGGATGTAGAAAGAGCATTTGTACATGTAGACTATAGCAAAAAGTCTATTGAGACCGCTAAATATTAAATATTAAATAAAAGTTATATTATATTATATCCTTGATTATTCATACGTAAAACAATCATAATCACTTTTAGCTTATTGTGACACCTCTTTGACAAGGTCGATCTAAATTTGACTTACATCACTTATGAACTCTCTTTCTTTCTTTCTTTCTTTTTGTACACAAATTCTTTTTCAAGACTAATGTCCTTTTATATAAGATATAGATACACATAAATACAGGAGAACTAAGAAAACAAAATAAAACAAAATCTAACATAAAGTATCGTTATTATCATTCTGGTATTCGGACTTGGTCGGTCTAGGGATCAGCCGTTGATCTTTCTCTATAGAAAACAACAACAAAAAGTTCTTTTGGAGAAACCGGACTCTCTATTTTCTTGTGCTCTCTTGACGTCTTTTTTGCGTGATACACTGTGCCATTCTATTATTACGTTTTTTTTTATCATGTTGGATATTCACACAATATAAAATAACAAAAGGTCCTATAATTATTTATTTTTTTTTCAACGAAAATATAAACAACCGTTCTTCTTCTCTTCTTTATTGCTCTTCTTTACTTATTCCCTATTCCTTATCTTCTTTGTTGAACTTTTAACTTATTTTTCTTTCTGCCATTGATGGCACATTCAAATATGCTTCACCCCGTAGCACCCTATCAAGGTAATATGAATATAAATTCATATAAAAGAAGTAAATATTGATAATAAGCCATGATCATTGTTTTTTTTTATCTTATCTTTTGTAGAGTCTGGATTTACACCCATTGTACTGGCACCTTTGTGCCTTGGACATTGTACTCCACTCTTACAACGCGCTCACATTGACCTGCTAAAGTTTCTGCAGATGAGAGACCCTAGCGATTTCGAGAATATCGGAATACGCGATTTCAGTGACTGCAAACGGCTTGCGCTGTTTATTAGGTCTCTAGAGGTCCACTTGGCGGACAAGGGGCTTTTAGAACAAGGAACCAATTCCTCGACTTTTTTATCACCAGCATCATCAACATCATCTCTGTTATTATTACCACCACCACAACAACAACAACAACAACAACAACAACAGCAACAGCAACAACAAAAACTTAAGACTCGGCTGATTAATCCAATCAAAAGACATGAAACATCATTTTCTATAAACAAAAAAGACAAAGAGGCAGTCAAAAAGGCACTGGTCGCATTTGATCGACAGGTGCTTCCCAGTCTCTACATGACTTGTAACTCGCCACCTTTACCCAGTCTTCCCAAATCAGAGACTTGTTCCGGATCATTCTCCGCCCTCAAGACCGTACGACCGAGCTATTCATTCAGTAGTGACACCGGAAAGACATCCATTCAATCGTCCAGCACTACCACCAATACGGTATCGAGCGACATTACCATGTTTGATAACTCGGATGATGATAATGATAGTGATGAAGAAATGCCCTTGACAGACCCACCAGCCTACACAACCATACCCATACCCATACCCATACAAAGCACGCATATTGATATTGATACTAATACTAATACTAATATTAATACAAACTCAAACTCAAACCAACAAGACACAAACACAGACACAAACGCAAACACAAATATAAATCCCATAATTTCAATTACTCCTCAGGATGGAGTACAAACCAATATAGTACCTAGACATCGACAGCCAATTGCTCACACCAGACCTAAATCACTTCCCGCCTACCTCATTAGCCGACTTAGTTCCTTGCCTTTGTCTGCTATTGCTCCAACATCTACCATATCTGCCATATCTGCTTCTGATTCATCTTCTTATTTTCCTTCTGCGCTTAATGTTGTACAGCCGAGTTCATCTAGCATCGATGTACCAACAAACCTAAGATCCGAACAGAGATCTTTGTCTGCACCACCCGATTATCACGACAGCGTTCTGCAGAAGCGATGGGAGTCCAGGCAACCGGTGCTTCCTCGAGAAGAAGAAGGCTCAGAAATCCTTCCTGACTACAAATGTACTATCTTTAAGATGGGCCATGTCTACGTAAAGCGTGAATTTGAAAAACCGGGTGTACGATCCCGAAGGAGGGGTTGGAGGTATGTTGTACAGCCTGTTTTTATATATATTTATCCACTATACATATTTTCAGAAACTTTAGCTAATTATAGCTACTAAGAAAAATATATAGTATTAATATTATCAGTATTGAATTAATTGATTGAATTAATTGAAAAAGCCAAAAAAATAAAAATAAAGTTAAATTCAATCCAATCCAGTCTAATCCAATTAAATAGTAAAGAAAGTAATAATTCTAATTCTAATGCTAAATGATATTCAATATATATATATATATATATATATATCTTATTTTAGGAAATTGTATTTAGAGGTATGGGGAACAGTCCTTCGAATTTACCGTGCATCACCTAAAGAAGGCTCGATCTACTCTTCATCATCTTCTTCGCCTTCTTCTTCGCCTTTAACAACCTGTTCATCAAAATCTACATCAGTATCCGTATCACCATCAACAGCATCTTCATCTTCATTTAAATCCAAATTAGCATCAAAGTCAAAAGCTTCGTCTTTTTCAGATGGACTGTTCAACAATCGATCGAAATACAAGACGGCTTACAAGCACTGGCACAAGTACTATTATACACCAATTACTACCATTTCCCTTGCCGGTGCAGATGCCACACGTGCACTTGATTACACCAAGCGGCCAAACTCGCTCAGGCTCACGACAGTCAATGGACCTCAGTATCTATTGAGGTTACCGACCGTTACAGACATGACACTCTGGATTGACAGTTTACAAGCAGGTAAAGAAAAATTAATTATTTTATTTTATTTGATTTAATTTATCATATATTATATTAGCTATCAATATCTCTCTTGACCTCGAACACCGACCGATGCCTAAATTCTTGACGATGCCTGCGCGTGCACATAATGTATCCAATCTCGATACTCGTATGTTGGCTATTGAACGTGCACGACAACAAAGACTAAGGGACCAAGCTGAGGTTCTTATTTGAACAAATATATATTGTTACCCTCTATTTATTTATTTATTATATTATATTATATTATATTATTGTTTCAAGTGTTGTAAATACATATCATTTCACAATCATCTTTACCCTTCTTCTTCTTCTTCTTACACAGAGAGAGAGAATAAAGAACCAAATCAAATCACAATATTAAGATATACAGCTGGAGAGAGAATGAGCATTTGGGTATTTATGAAGAAGAAATAGAAAGCAGCATTCCAACAAGTTTAATGATTTAGACTACATACATAAATACATACATTTAATGGAATGATATTTGGTATCAAAATCCATACTCACCATCACCCTCTTGACTTTACTTATTCGCATATAAAGAAGATAAATCAGAGAGGTGGGAAAAATAATAACAGAATCACAAGAACATACGATAAATATACCTTATACACTGTTCTACTAAAACTGTGTGCTTTATACCAAAGAGCTATACATAGATATGTAGCTCAAAATATGGTCGATTGTTTAGTAAAGACACATCTCTATATTCAAAACAATTCAATATACAAAAAAAAACCCAAAAAAAAAATTCTTAATTTTTATTTTTATTTTTCAAACAATGCAATTTTTTCCCCCAAAAAAATAAATAAACGAAAAAGATGACAATACAAGGATCAGAGTCGCGTTTAAATCCAAATCCAAATATAAATATAACTGAAACTATATGAATAGAATAAACAACTTCTTCAAGGCTACACTTCTTTATATGCTGTTTATCAATAGTAATAGTATTCTTCTTTAAACAGATAAACACCCCCCAATATATATATATATATATATATATATATACGAGAAAAAGGGGGAAGAAGAAATGAAGAAATTACAAAAAAAAAAAATTGACGAAAAAAAAAAATCAAATAAAATTATAAAGAGCGTGATTGGTGTTGGGTTCAAGAAAGAAGAAAGGAATAGGAAAAAAAAATTCAAAAAAAAATTCACATATAAAATCAGTCGTCTAATTTTCATTTTTCATTGTTACTCCTTTTTTTTTTTTTACTCTCTCTTTCTCTCTTTATTTTCATTTTTTTTTTAAAAAAAAGATATATATCCAACATAAGAAATGGCCACCACTACCGCTGCCGCTGCTACTCCCAAGGTCAAGTCTGCCACCAAGAAGGCTGAACACCCTACCGTAAGTACATTTCCTTTTATGGGCAACAATGTATACATCTTCTGGTATACATACTGCTACAAAAGTGTGGTATCTCTATATGCATTTATATGTGTGTTTGTGTGTGTTGGAGAATAAAGACAACAAAAGAGTATACATGATTCATTTGCTAATTTTGATTTCATTTTATTTCATTTCATTTCATGTATTCCAATACAAATACCAAATATTCAATACCAACATCAACACACAAATACACATCCCACCAATCACCACATACCACATACCAACGAACAACAACTGTCGTAAACATTAACAATATATATATATATATATATATATATATATATATGATAATATCAACAGTATGAAGATATGATCAAGGGTAAGTTTTTTTTATTTGTTTTTTTATTTGTTATTATTTTTTCATAAATTTTTTCATAAATTTTTTTGTAAATTTTTTTTCCCTGAAATAATAATAATAATTTTTTTTCTCTTAGATGCTGTCTTGTCTCTTAAGGAACGCAAGGGTAGCTCCCGTCCTGCTATCAAGAAGTACATCTTGGCCAACTTTGCCGTCTCTTCCGGCCCCCACTTCGACTCCCAGATCTCTGCTGCCATCAAGCGTGGTTCAGCCAAGGATTTGTTCGCTCTCCCCAAGGGTAAGAAAAATAATAATAAAAAAATCCAATTAATTAGTTGATTGATCAATTAATTTTTTTTTAAAAAAAAAATCAATCAACTAATTAATTAATTAACTAACTGATTTTTGTTTAAGAAAAAAAATCTAACTGACTAACATTCAACCTATATCATCAAAAGGTCTCTCTGGTACCGTCAAGCTGAAGAAGGTTGAGAAGAAGGTTGAGAAGAAGACCGAGAAGAAGACTGCCAAGAAGGTTGAGAAGAAGACTGCCAAGAAGACTGAGAAGAAGGCTGCTGAGAAGACCGATGAGAAGAAGGCTGATGATAAGGCTACCGATGCTGACGAGAAGGTAGAGAAGAAGACCACCAAGAAGGCCCCTACCAAGAAGGCCGCTGCCCCTAAGAAGGCTGCCGCCAAGAAGGCTTCTCCTACCAAGAAGACCACCGCCGAGAAGGCTGGTGTCAAGGCCCCTACCAAGAAGGCCGCTGCTACCAAGAAGGCTGCCCCCAAGAAGGCTGCCCCCAAGAAGAAGGCTGCCGCTGCTTCCACCGAGTCTGCCTCCGCTGAGTCTACTGAGGACAAGAAGTCCGAGGACAAGAAGGCCGAGAAGAAGACCACCAAGAAGGCCCCTACCAAGAAGGCCGCTGCCCCTAAGAAGGCTGCCGCCAAGAAGGCTTCTCCTACCAAGAAGACCACCGCCGAGAAGGCTGGTGTCAAGGCCCCTACCAAGAAGGCTGCTGCTGCCAAGAAGACCGAGAAGACCGAGAAGAAGGCTGCTGCTCCCAAGAAGACTGCCGCTGCTGCCAAGAAGGCCACCAAGGCATAAAGCGGATAATTCTTGTCAAAGCAAAAAAAAAAAAGTAAAGTAAAATAGAGAAAGCCAAAAAAAAAACACACAGACACAGACACACACACACAAAAAGGGAGTGAAGAAAAAAAAATTATACATCTTTTTGGTTTGTTTTTGTTTGTTATTTTTTTTTGTTTGTTTTTTTCTTCTTCTTCTTCTTTTACTTCTTTAGCTTTATTCTTTACACTTCTTCTATTTTACTTCTTTACTTTATTTGTTTTTTATTCTTCTTCTTTATTATTATTTTTTCATTGGCAAGGGGAATCTCTTTTTGGGATTTTGGTTGTCATCCATGTACAGTCATGATTTTTTTAAGTCTGCTTTTTTTTTTTTATCTCTTTATCTATCTCTATATATCATAAATATATATATATATATATATATATAAACTATTTGTGCATGCACAATATATTAAAACATATATAATATAATACAATCCAATTCAATTCATTTATACTACATTTTTGATTTATTTGGTTAAAGAAGTGTTTTATTGTTGTTACAAAAAAAACGTGTCTTGAAAATCCTATTACAAATTTGATAGATAAAAAAAAAATTGGAAAAAAAAAAAGTGAATTGAATTAAACTGATTTGAAATTGAATTAAAGCGCGTCAAGAAAGTAAAAAATAAAAAAAAAAAATCACGCTCAGGAGAAAGTAAGATTTTCATATTTCACAAAATATAATTTTTATAACTTCAAAAATATATTCATTTATACATATATATTTTTATTTTTACTAGAAAAAATCAAGAAAAAAAAATAATCAAAAAAAAAAATCAAAGGAAAGGACAGCGCGTATCATGGTTCAATCTCCGCGCGGCACGCTTTTTTTTTGATTTTTTTATTTTTATTTTAAAGCAAAAAAAAAAAAATCAAAAAAAATCAAAAATAAAAATTCAAACACACACCCACATAGATTAACAATAATTATTTGTATTTATTTTTGGTAGTAAAGATTATTACCACATAAAGTAAAGCCAACCTTAATAGACACACAAAGCTCACAAAGCGCATAAAGTCACAAACTTACGCACGTACGCACAGAGAGAAAGCGAAAAAGATATGATAAAAATAACATAAACGTCTCTAATAACTTGGTTATTTATTTGGATTGATATTTTAGTACGTAAATTTAAGTTGCAGCCAATAATAAACCAATATTTTCTTACCTTCTTTCTATTATTATTATTGCTATCACTATTATCGTATAAATAAATAATCATTTCTCTAAATATTATTTTTCTGTCTATTCTGTATCTTTTATATATGTAAATATGCGTTTATATATTTTCACATCTTTTGTATTTCATATTTCTTTATGTCGCTGTTTTAATTACAAGGTTATTTTTTTTATATTAATCTTGAACAAATACTCGGTATTCTAATTACAGATTACACTGCAACAAATCCATATTTTATAACAACAATTAGAGCTTAAATTTCCAAGTATTTAAATAATAGATCTATATATATATATATTTTATTTTTAAAAATAAATAAATAAATAAATTAGAGAGTCAATGTATTGACTGAACCATCAGCTTCACCAAAGTAAGCAATCTCTGCCATGTTACAGAACAATCCGACCTCATACACACCAGTCAACAGCTTCATTTCTCTCAACAGCTGAGCAGGATCCTCAATACCACCAAAATGAGCATCAATCACAAAGTTACCATTGTCAGTCACAACAGGGCCAGCCTTATTTATAGCCTAAATTATATATATACATGAATACATTTTGATATATATATGTGTGTGTTTATATTATCTTACCATACGAAGGGTACTCTTTAAAGGCTTTTGAGAAAGATTCTCAATAGACTTCATGACAGACTTGTAGGCTATCGGAACAACTTCTACTGGAACACCCTTGGTCCACTAAGTTTACCAAACAAGCAAACAAGCAAACAAACAAATAAACAGACAGAAAAAAGTTTAATACACTTCAATATATGATATATTTAGAAATGACATCTTTATTACCTCTGTACCAAGTTGGCTGGACTTTTTACGATAATCTATACCACCAAAACCCCACAAGTAATACACAGAGTGAGTCATTCATTACCACCACATCACAAAAATACAATATATCTATATTTCTTTCTTTCTTTTGGTTTGGTTTGGTTTGCGAGTGGTTTGTATCAGCCTATTATTTTTTGTTTGTTTGTTTCTGGCCAATAACAAACAATCATTTTGGCTTGTTGTTGTTGCTGCTGGTGGTGGTGGTGACATGATGTTCACGTAATATAATGTAATGTAATGTAATGTAATGTAATGTAATGTGATATATCTTATCTATCTTGTGTGTAAAGAACACACACATACATAAATACATACAGAAATATTTATTTACTCACCAGCAATAATCACAAACTTTTTTGCTGCTTCGGCCACAAGTTTTTCCTGGAACTGGCATGCTCCTCCACCCTTGATGACATTGAGCTGGCTGTCGACCTCATCAGCACCATCAATTGTAACATCGATATCAGGGTACCTTTTATAAAACAATATTAATAATGAATATCCACACATTTATACATTTCTGTTGGGCAAAGTTTATTATCTAACAAATACATATATGCATATAATATTCTTACTTTTCTCTCCCCACCCTCTTTCTTTTTGTTTGTTTGTTTGCTTGCTTGTCACTTACTGCTCAATGCTTCCCATAGTCAGGCCACCCTCTACAATCAATAACTTGCTTTGGAAACTGGTGGGTACGTAGATTATGTCCTTCAACTCGGGTCTCTGGAGAATACGTTCGACAGCATAGACCACAGTCGAACCGGATCCAATTCCAACTACCTTGCATTCAGAGTTGATGTAATCATCTACAGCCTGGTGAGCAGCCCGCTGCTTTCCAATTTCGACAGAGCTACTGTTAGACATTTGATCCCTTTTTTGTTTGTTTGTTAAAAAGAAAGAAGAAGAAAGAAGAAGAAGAAAAAAAGAGAGTTAAAAGTTTTGATCTTACTGGGTTTTGAATATATTTTTTATTTTTTATTATATTGTATTTGTGTGTAATATGTGTATGTATAGCATGTGAGAATATGAGTGAATGTGAGTGAATGTGACTTGGTAGTTTTTTGTTCACAGCCTACTTCATCATTTCGGAATACAGAATACCTTTGTTTATATTTATATAAGATAAACAAACGCACAATAGATACATATTATTTATATATTATTTATGTGGAGTATTAATTATTGTAAAAATTGTTTAATGAAAACCAATTATATTGACAGTAAACAAGGATATTTTTATAGAGAATAATAAAGAAGAAGAGAGGGATAGAAAATACATAACAACAAATAATATTTGTTGGAGACAATTGTAGAACAAGTTGTACAGAAAATCTAATTGAACCCAAATAATCTTGAAAGAAGCTTGTGTTGTACAAGATCTGTAGCTCACACCTAAATTATTATTTTTTTACTATGCTACAGGGCATCAGAATTAAACATATTACTGTCTTGTAATAATCTTTCTTCATTTCTTCATCTATTCTTATTCTTTATGTACTTGATAGTCTTTATGAAAAAATAATTATTATTATTTGATGTGTAGAAAAACAAAAACAAGACAAAGTATATAAATATAGTAGGTATTAAAAAGGAACAAAGGTGTAGTTTGATTGTAATGTAATTTAATGTAATGTAATGTAATGTAATTTAATGTAATGTAATGTAATGTAATGTAATTTAAAAAGGAAAATTGTAGATGTGCTTGTAAGAGTGTGCTTGTAAGAGTGTGCTTGTAAGAGTGTGAATATATGAATGTTTGATTGAGTGAGTGATTGACCTAAATGCTTAAAGAGAAATTAAATAATAAAGAAAGAAAAAAGAAGGGCAGATGAATGGATCGATGAGAGTCTTGTGTGTTTGGTTCAATAATTTGGTGTGGGGTTGCTAAGAGAGATGGAATTGGATTTGGACTGTACAAAGGCTGCGTGATGAGCTGCTACTGGGTTAATAGAGTTCTGAGGATGTGGTTTATACGTCCCTGTCAGACCAGGATTTGACAAAGGAAAGGAGTGGCTGACAATCGCTCGTGCTTCAGCCGATAGTCTACTGGATGTCATTTGTGTGTAATAGTACTCGTTGGGGTTGGAATGCATAAAGGGCATTTGAGGATAATGATGAGGATGTTGCTGTTGTTGTTGTTGTTGTTGTTGTTGTTGTTGCTGGTTTTGAGTTTGAGTTTGATGATGGTGCTGATTATTATGGCTATGGCTATGGTGCTGGTGCTGTCGGTGTTGCCCTGGATTCGTTAAATGATTTAAACTCTTTGAAGATGTAAGTTGTGTGTTGAGGGGTTCAAACTCCAATGATTGACTTCCAGCTACAGAAAGTGCGCCTTGGGAAATATCGGGTGAGAAATCATAGTCGATGGCTGATGATGCGCGCGAGTATGCTGGAGACTTGGGCCAGCTATTTACTACGGACTGAGATGTCGTAGGCTGTGATGGTGCCATGCTATCTACACTGTTGTTTCGGTTGCCTGTCATTGTCGGCCCCAGGTTGCAGCTGTTTACAGGAGACACTGATAATGTCCGCTGAACGGGGTGTGACAGGGATCCAACTTGATTCCCCCTACAATCGATACGTTCTGAAGAATGATCAGATGGAGCAAACTAGATATAAAGCTTAATAAATACATTCATTCATTCATTCACTCAAATATATATATATATGATGGCTACTTACTACAGACATAAATTCAGCAGAGAGGGGAGATGTACTGCCATTGACAGAAGAAAGTGGGTTCCTAAAATAGGCCATGTCGATTTCATGATCCAATAATAGACTCGCTTCTGATGTTGTCGGCACAGAAGATGTACTATGATTACGATTGTGGATTGTCGACTGAGTAGGAACTGGGTTCGCCTCTGGTAAGGAATCAAGTTGAATAAATGGCGATCTGGTGCCGTCCAGAGATCGAGTGTGAGTGTGGGTATGAGAGGGAGTGTGAGACGCGGTCTCTAGGTTCACAGTGGGCGGCTTTCGAGTCATCAGACATACAACATAGAGATTCTCTGCAGAGTTTGGATCAAATAGATCTGCTCCTAATCCACCTCCGAGGTAAAAACAGGCCTCGAATGTCTCGTCGGGCTGGTGGACACATCTGAATACCAGAGTCTCTTTTAATGTCTGGGAGCCATTGGCAATCCCGAGTAAGGTAGACGGCGGCGTGTCGGTAAATGAAGACGAGGTGGTGCGGCGCGTGGGCGGCAGACTAGTCTTTGGGTCTACTTTGTACTTTTGGTATAATTGGGTTGCGTTGTCTAGCAGTCGTCGATGAGCAGAGCCTATCTTACCAGAGTGCTCAGGTAATACAAAATCGTAGAGTGGTCTATGCGAAAATTCTTGAGGATATATTCCAAGCAATTCGAGCGATTCGTCTGATGCACGTGCACAGCACATATCCATCGTCAAAAAGATCTAGTATATATATATATAAATGCTTGACTTGATTAGTTTTAATTTTCTTTAAAAAATAATAATAATTTCAAGGTGAAAATTGGTATTACTATTATTACTATTGATACTATTAAATTGAATTGAATTGAATTGAATTGAATTGAATTGAACTGTGTTGAGTTTTGTGTACCGTCATCATTTTGTTATTTTGGGAATTTCTGTGTTCTGGATACCCTAGGTTCTGAGTCATTGCAAACGATGAGTTCATCATATTTGGAACGCTTATCGATGACACCGTTGATTTGGCAAAGTTAGATCGAGTGGATAAAGGACGCTGTTTTGTTGGTCCGTCTCGACGTTCGCCTAATTTTGGTCGACCTCGTTTCTTGGGTTGAATATCATGACATGAGTCTGATTTGCCCACACATACACAACGTTTGCAAGGTCTTGTAACTATAGATATACATTAAAAAAAGAAGAAGAAGAAGAAAAAGAGAGAGAGATTAAAATATTACTAAGTATATTTTGTATAGACATATAAATCAGTAAACAAAACAAAATCTAATTCAAAACATACGATCACACGCCAGGTGTGCCTTTTTGCAGTTGACCTATATTGAGATAGAGATAGAGATAAACATTATATTAATTGAAATATTCAATGGCTATTTTGGATCTTGCTGTGAATCAAGCGTCTTTGATTATTATTATTATTATTATTCATTTTTCTTTTGAAACTATTGTATTCGGTAAAATCACAATAACTTACGCAGGCCACCGGTACCTGGGCTTTACTAGGACGTTTCTTCCGAGCAGCAGTCTCTTCGGAAGGTGAAGGGCGAGAACACAGTGTGCCGGACGGAGATGCTGGTGACGGAAGTGTGTAAGGTTGAAGGAGGACGTTCATCTAAGAAATATTGAGCGTGGCTGTGCTTCTGGCTGTGGCGGTGGCGGTGGTTGTGGTTGTGGTTGTGGTTGTGGTTGTGGTTGTGGTTGTGGTTGTGGTAATGATGGTGAAGAAGAAATAGGTTGTTGAAGAACGAGAATGAATTGGACTTTACTGTACTGTACTAGTTTGTACTGTACTGAACTAAGGTTGGACTAAGATAGATAAATAGATAGATAGATAGATATATATATAAACTTTGTAGAATGATGGAAAGAAAGCAAATTCACCAGCTCAGAATAAACGATTGTTGACAATGCTGGGATTTCCTGTGCACCCTATAAAAAAAATAAAAATAAAAAAAATAAATACAAAGGTTGTAATGTCCGGAAATTTTATTATATTTTATAGGCTACGGACATTAGGAGAATAATCAGTCCCCGCGGGTCTATGTTTTCACACCACACTGCATATTCCCTATCGTATCATTCATTTGAACCATATATTATTTGTGTAATGAATCCTCGAGTGTCATCCACTACAGCATGAGAAGAAGTCTTCTACAGGATATAGCCAACAAAGACCATGGAAAGAAAACCTAAATTTCCTTTAGTTTATATATATATATATATATTTCTGTTGTTGCATTTGAAGTGTATTTTCTATTGTTACTTTATTATTATTTTCCAATAATGTAATGTAATATAATGTATCGAATGTATTGAGATTTAGGTAAAAAGTAGTCCATGCACGCACGCACGCACGCTCGCTCGCACGTACATACAGGCACACAGGCACACACAGGCACACACAGGCACACATCTAGACACAAACACAATCCCGAAATGCGGTTCAATAATAATGTATTTTATTTAATGACGGTCAGCATATATCGAATATTGTCAATGCTCACCAACAAATATAATTTTTCCTAAAAGCAAGGTCCTGGATATAGTAGGTATTTCCCCACTTTGTGACCTGAAATAGTGTAACTCGACTAGTTTGTACCCGCGGATACTCTGGATAATATCTATCTATATATCTATATAATTATTATCATTATATATTTTGTACATAAATATTATTTTATATGATTTTATTTTGGTTACCTTTTTTGTCAAACTTACAGAAATCAAGGTTTTCGAAACTTCATGGTTCGATTCCTTTTATATATCTTTACTAATCTGCTGGAAGCAAGATAATGCGCCATTTGATTAGTAGTACAAAGAAGGTTCATGTAAAATAATAATAAATAATAATGAAATACACACACACACATACGAACATGTAATTTTTACAGTAGTTTCATCGACAGCCTTCTGGGTTTCATTTTCAACAAGAGAACCAATGCTTACATACCAAACATAGTACATGTCTTGTTGTAAGGTCTTTATAGGGATAGAGAAGAGAAGAGAAGAGAAAATAGCACAGAGATTTTTTTGTGTACGAGTGCAATAGGTGTGGCTAGCTAATGTACTTGACATATGAAATAATACCATCTTTTAATCAAAAGCATAAAAGGAAAGAAAGAGAATAGGAAAAGAAGCAGAGAAAGAAAAATAACAAGACGCTTAGTGTATTTAAAGCACATGGCTAATATTCAGGTTAATGATAAGATTGGTGGTTGTTTGCCAAGAGAGATGAAGTACGGTGCAATTATTAGATATTTTAATATTAGCATTAGCATTAGCATTAGCATTATTTCAATGTGATATTCCAGTAAATGAGTTTTCCAAGTAACCAATATTTTGTATGATATTTCTTTAAAGAATGAAAGAAATGTAAAGGAGAATAAAGAAAAGGGAAAAGAAGTTAACTAGTAATATAACCGACTGATCGTTAATATAGCGCTTATACGGCTTGAAAGAACTTTATTTTATTTTTACATCTTTAACAAAAGAAAAAATAAGGTAAGCAGAGATGATAAATAACACCTGATTGTAAAGGAAATATTCAAGATTATTATATTTATTTATATTTAAAAAAAAATGGATGGTTTTTTGAAATATTTTCATTTCGAATATTCGAGTTTGTATTAATGGGTCTGTTATTAAAACTTAGAAACTTCTAGTGGGCATATATAAGCTGTATCGCCAAGCAAAACAAAAATAACAGTAATAGCAGTAACAGGAGTAACATCAATAGCAACAGGGTACAAATGCTAATGGTAACTCAATATTATTTCTGGCTCTCTATTTCTGGCTTTGGTTAACACCATTTACCATTGTAGTCCTTTGAATAGGCTATGTTGTTACAATTGTGCTTTTATCCAATCCAAGAAAGCTTCCATTAAATCTTCATAAGTATTGCTATTTAGCTCATAATACGGAAAATCACGCCTTTTTTATATTTACAATTTTTAAAGAAGTACTATACAAAGCTACTCTTACATACAAAATATTGGTTACTTGGAAAACTCATTTACTGGAATATCACATTGAAATAATGCTAATGCTAATGCTAATGCTAATATTAAAATATCTAATAATTGCACCGTACTTCATCTCTCTTGGCAAACAACCACCAATCTTATCATTAACATGAATATTAGCCATGTGCTTTAAATACACTAAGCGTCTTGTTATTTTTCTTTCTCTGCTTCTTTTCCTATTCTCTTTCTTTCCTTTTATGCTTTTGATTAAAAGATGGTATTATTTCATATGTCAAGTACATTAGCTAGCCACACCTATTGCACTCGTACACAAAAAAATCTCTGTGCTATTTTCTCTTCTCTTCTCTTCTCTATCCCTATAAAGACCTTACAACAAGACATGTACTATGTTTGGTATGTAAGCATTGGTTCTCTTGTTTTTTTTTAAATAATATATTACATACAGCAGTGCAACTTGAGAATCTGAGTAGAATGGATCGAGATTGGTAATTTAAACAAATCATGTTACTTGGATCAAAGTTTTGTGTTCTTTTTGATAGAGTATATTTTTTTTTCAAAATTAATAATAATATACTAATTTGCTTGGTAGCTAGGTCAAATCCAGTAATTTGGTTGGAACAAAACAGCAAAAAAATAAAAAAAAATTAGATGAAAAGAATACAAACATCTTGGCACATGCCAATGTTATAAAGTGTACCTTAAATTTGACGAGGATTGGATTTTGAAATGGCGAATGTTGAAAATGAAACCCAGAAGGCTGTCGATGAAAGTGTAATGTTGCTTCATTGGTTTAATAAAAGGAAGTAGTACAACTCCAGAAAGTGTATTATCAATTAAAGTTTGCTTTTCTTTTTTGTTTGGTTTGGTTTGGTTTGGTTTGGTTTGGTTTAGATATATATATATATATATATAATTTTATAATATTAATGACAATAATAAGAATAATAAGTAAGTTCATTCAATAAAGAAGTATACAATGGATTTCCAATTCTGTAATCCGAAAATAGACTCCATCAGATAATGCATCTCAGAAACAGTATATATACATATAAAGCAACCTACAAAACGTATGATAATTTTGAAGTTATACTTGCTAATCTGGTATGTGTACACTGTCGATTCTTGTTCAGTTTGTTCCCAAAAACGGTATGTTACGGGGTATGTATTTGACACTTGCATGTAGACTTTGTGAGTCCCATTAGAATTACATTAGCCGCAAGTTCAATTTTATACATAGGGTACTGGGTACGATAGCCTGGGTCAATATTAAGTCTCTTTTATTTTTATTTTTACTTTTACTTTTACTTTTATTTATAAATTTTATTTTTATTACTATTATAGGTAAAAATACATTATGAAAGATAAGGATCTGTGCTCAAGACTCTATTACTAAGCAATTATACAAGTTTTATTTAATAAAAAAAATTAGAATAAAGAAGATGAATTACTTCCATTTACTTAATAAACTAGTTATATTTTTCAATTTATTGAAGAACAATAAGATTTATTGATAGTATAAAGAAGAATACCTCAGATTATAATAAATTTACTTGTATTAAATATATTAAATGTCTTGCAAATATACTTGCCTTTCATATGTGTAAGATCAAAGCTTGGCATTGTACGTGAAATACTATCTATAGCAATCAAGGTCATGTCATCAGAATGAAACCAGCTTTTTGTTCTATGAACATTGTAACACCAAAAGAAGAAAAGAGAAGAAGAGAGAGAGAGAGAGAAAACTACTGTTGGCCAAACTTTTTATGATACACAAAGAACCTTATTTATATATATATATATATATATATTTAATTTATTTGATATACTTGTACCCACAGGCTTAACGTATAGCCGGAATATAATAAGGAGCTACTACTACAATGTATGGCCACTCTTTGCTGAAATAAAATAAAAAAAAGGTCATTGTTGATCAATACTAAAAGCTATGGGTGAGCAAAACAACAAAAACAATAATAATAGTAGTAGCAGTAAAATACAATAAACTTTTTTTTTCTAAGAAAAAGAACCCCCCCCCCCACTGGCATACATTGATAAATCAAATATTAGATATATGGAAAAGGTATTGTATAAGAAGACTCAGAATATCTATTCATATATATATATATGTGTGTGTGTGTGTAAAAAGACGCAAAATTTCGAGAAGGACGCGGTTTCCTTCATTTATACACTCTTCTATCTCAATAAGAGTAATATTTACTTTGTTGATTCTTTGTTATTTTATAAAAGTCAATAGGTCTAATATTCTGGTGTGCATGGCCGCCTTTAGCTTATAGAGTATGCTGTTGGCGAGAGAAACCCAAGTTCCTTAAATCCGTAGATCTCGGACTGACTATTTACGCATGGGTATCTCGTAATAAAAGTCCTGAAATTGCAATTATGAATATATATTAGACAACCGGAACTGATATTCTCTACTTGTGTTTTTTTTTTAAAGAAAAAAGTTCTATAAGCGTTCGTATAATATATAGAGTGATTAAGATAGTTATTTATTTTTCCCTCTCTAAAAATCGATAATTTCGAGCCTTTGCGAACAAACACGAACAAAATACCATTATTAGCTTGATAGCTATCTATCTATGCTAAATGATCTACAAAACCTGCCATCGCACAGTGCAAATGATTTTTGGTGTACACAGCCTTACTGGCGGCGATTTAAAACACATCGCCTCTTGGTGTAAATATTGATATTGTCATTTTTAAATCTATCGATATCTCTATCAATATTGCTCTGATATTGATTTAATAAACACTGGCAAACATCGGTCAACTTTATCAACAGCTTTACTTAGTACAAAAAAGCACAAATAATTGATTTTTTTATGCGTGTCCCAAGGGAATTTGTGGATCAAACATGGTTATGTGGTGTAAATATTCATTTTTTATTTATTAGTAAATTGTCTTTTAGAGTGAAAATAAAAATGGAATCATTTTATCAATATTTGAGCACTAACTGTCAAACAACGTTTAAATGGTGGATCTTGATGTGCTCCAGCAGGTTACTTATGGAATTAAAAGTACTTTACCTTGGTAATTTGATGTATAGTCAATTGTCTGTCTCAATTAAAATACGTTTTCAGTAATGGCGTTGCTAATTGAAAAGGATATGAGCTAGGATGTGGTAGTTAGAGAGGGACAGACTCTTGATTTATTTATATATATATAAAATAATCAATGATGTCAGATAAGTTTTGTTTCTTACGCCTTACCAGCGTGACTGACCATTATATAAATAAAATAAAATAAAGAATCGTGTCCTTAAGATTGGTAAACATGATTAATGCAGCAAATACCCTTCTGCGCCACATTCGCATTGACACCACAGCTTGTGACTCGATTACCCCACTTTATGCAAGAAAGAAAAAAAAAGAAAAAGATGGGGTTAAAGTAAATTGTTCAAAGGATTTATTTGGATTGTTTCATTTGAATAGCATTTAGGGGAAGTGATTCCAAGCTTCTGATTGTTCTACTTCTTCTACTTCTTCTGCTTGTTCTTTGTTCTTTGTTCGTTGTTCGTTGCTCTTTATGGCTTATTGAACAGAATATAGATTTCATTTTAATGGACTTTTTTTTCTTCTCTTAATAAAATGACTAGCAATAAATCAATGACTGTGTTTCCATTGTCAGAGTTAGAAGAAACGTAATCCGAAGAGTTTATTTCTCATCGTTATATGATTTAAGACTAATATTCTACTTTGAATTTACTTTTGTATGTTGATCCTTAAAATATCATTTACTTATAAGAATAAAAGGTTATAGCAAATTGATGTCTTTACCCCATTCCTACCCCCCCCTCCTCCTCCCCTTCACTCTATTTTCTTTATATGTATATTATATATCGGAAAATAAAAATATATATAAAAAAAATCAAGCATTTTAGACAGATTGCTGATGTACAAAAGAAAGACCAAGTTGGGAAATGACGTATCCGGAGGAGGGGTAGACTTACATGGATATAAATCAAAGAATTCCCTTTTTGATTCATCAATCTCTTATTATTATACTTATAATTCTTTCACCTCCTCTCTAACACCAGCACTAATTCTCAAAGCATTAAACCTTTCAAGTCATGATTGAATACACTGTAAACGAAGGCTGCAAGACAATTCGTGTCAGCAATCTAGACACAAGAATCACCAGCAAGATGCTCACGGACATATTCTCAATGATATCTTCTGTCAAGCGTGTAAAGATTACCGATATCGAATGTGTAAGTAGTAAATAATCTTTTCTTGTAGGTGGTTGTTATTATCGGCTCTGGCATGCACTTTTCTCCTACTTCTTCTCGCTTTCTATGTACAGCTTGGCATAAGCTTTGGACCAGAAAATACCCCAAGATTAAATACCCTTTACATGGATTATTCCCACCGTTTGCTTTTTTTTATTACCCCTGGGATATTTTTGTATCACCGTCAAGGCTTAATCACAAAATATATAGAATCTATTGGGTAGTGATAATCATCGATAAGATAAGATCCATGGTCGTCAATAAGCCAATCCATTTATCCAAGGCTATAGAGAGAGAGAGAGAGAAAAAGAAAGAAATCATGATCTGAACTAGCACATTTTTGATGCCGATATTAGACTATTGTCATGGTTATTATTATATATAATCATTATAATTGAGCATTTCTATTAGGGGGGATAAGTCCGCTGCAGCAGGGGATTGTGTATCCACAATTCAAAATAACAAGAATAAGAATATATATATATATATACTTGGATTTAATATAGGAATTATACTAATCATATTCATTGTCCTGGAAATGGTGTATTTAGGGAGACGATCTTTCCCATGGTTTTATAGAATTCCATGAACATCAGGCAGCTGAGCAAGCACTTCAAGCAATGAATGGAAGAGCCATTTTTGGTCAAGTAATGTCAGCTAGTGTCAATACCTGAAAATATCACCATTCAACTAATACTAAATCCAATCAAAATAGAAAATCCAATTAAGTTGGGCAACAAATGGTTATTCTACACCATTACCAGAAACCGACAACCATGTCCACCAAACTATTCGGGTAGACCACTTGAGCCCTGACACAAAAGAAGAAGAAGTTGCCAAATCATTTTCAGTCTTTCCGGGCATGTTGTGAGTCGCAGTTTATATATTAATAATTATAGAATACACGGAAGATCCGAACCCTTCAAACCGCGGCATTTCCTAACATACATACATACACACACACACACGCGCATATATATATATATATATATATATTTATTTATTTTGAAAGAAACGCACGGATTGTCTGGAACCCGAGTACGGGGAAACCAAAGGGTTTTGGCCTCATCACTTTTAACACAAAAGAAAATGCCGAAAACGCCATGACTACGATGACTGGCAAGAGCATAGGTTCCAACAAGATTGAGTGTAGTTGGCTAGATACGGCAGTGAAGATCACAAACAGTCCAACAATCACATCAACTACAATAAGTACAGATTTGAAGAACAAGAAAGGTAAGAGTAAATGAATTGAAAAAAAAAACAAAAGCCTGTATTTACTTTGATATTTCTGTAGCCACAGTAGCAAATATGACTTACGAGCAGATATTCGCACAAGCACCCCTCTACAACACAACCGTATACGTAGGCAACCTTCCGCGCGGCATCACACGTAAATAACCCATCCTATTTCTTTCAATAAAAAAAACAAATAAACTAATATACTGGGCTGAAACCCCACGTTTTAGGTCAACAGATTGGTCCGTTCTTTCAACAATATGGATTTGTTTCAGACATCCTTGAACGCTCAAATGACGGTTATGCATTAGTAAAGTGAGTCTAGATTACAAATAAAAAAGGCAGCCGCTTAGCATAAACTCTTTATTCTAAACCAACCTCTGTTATTATAGGCTGGATACCCATGCAAATGCTTCTAGTGCAATACTCGCTCTTCAAGGGTTCAATATTGGCGGTCAGCCAATAGAGCTTTCCTGGGGAAAAGACACAATGCTTCAGTCAAATAACGAATTCTATGCAGGAGAAAATCTTAGAAAGTATACGCCCGGTCAAGCCGAAAATAATAACTGGGTGTTACCAGGAACAGGATTATGCGACTATAATACCATGCGACCCCCAGCACCCGTAGCAGGATCCCAAGGAAATACTGACAATGGAACAGGCGTGGGACAGCATGGATGGAACCAATATTACCAGCATTATTACAGTGCTGGTCACCAAAGTATTTAATAAGATGTCTTTGTACATAGGCGGCTACATAATATTGTATCTATTTTTTTACTGTCCATACCATCCCAGAAAAAAAAGAAGAAGAAGATACATTTAATATACAAAAACACAATTTTGAGCATACTTTCAATAATTCCATATTAATTACAAGATTTATATCAAGAATAGTCTGTAAATTACAAAGGCTGTTCTCTTAAAATCCTGTTTGCTTTTAACGATAACAAATCGATCTAACATTATGGGAGAAGAGAGAGAGAGAGAAAAAAAGAGGGTGATTTTGGGGGGAAATTTAAAGGGTATTCTTAAAACTAACTCTAGGGGGGTGTTTTGTGTAAGGCTGATATTTTCTTGTTTCAATTCAAAACATTAATATTTTATTACATCTTATAAAGTAAAACAGTAATAATGAAATCATAGATAATTTTTTTTTTTAAAAAAAATAACCCCTTCCCCTTCCCCTTCAAATCTAAATCCAAATCCCCACATTTTTTTTGCTGTAGTAAAGAGATGTCCAGAGAATGTATATAATTTAGTTTTTAAGCTATTTTTTTTCTGCCAAATTTTACCTCACATAAATACCTCTTTACCGTGACTTTACCACCGATTTTCTACCAGATTATCACAGTAAGCATAATCGTAATACGAGCAACATCAACAACAGCAATAAATATATGCTTTTTATATATCTTTTATTGAAAATTGCTCGTGGCTCCCACACAAAAAGTTAATCCTTACGAGCACAGATGCATTACATGCATTTGTTTGTCAGATTTTAGTGCAACCAATACTGCATTCGTTGCGTATACTAATCTGTTCGTCCACTAAAACCATACCTAAGAACATAAAATAAGCATATTTGGTCGAGTTTATAAAAACCAAAAGATATTTTATTGATAAATACTGATGAGAGAACGGAAAAGAAAATCTTGTGCAGGTGGATATATTTGCTAACAAAAACACGAGCAAAGGTGAGTGTAGTGAACTAATGAGTATGTGAATTGATAGGATAAGGAATTGAGAGGAGGTAGTTTATCTTAACGAGTTTATATATACAGCCATGGGAAACAATGGATAAAGAAAAGAAAATAACCTCCCAAGGAACCAAATAAGAAAAGGATAGTGTGATGAACTCGGAGCTGATTTTGGGACAAACTATCTTAGACCTTTGGTGCTTCTGAATGACAGGGTAAGCCAATAATAATACGAGATTACTTTAACAAGATTCTTAGGGGAACAAGACATGCGCTTTATATCCCAAGAAGACAGTATCATATTCTACAATAGCGCTTATTCAAGGCTATCAAAAGAGGGTAATTAATATCAAGGCTGAGATGTTCATACTCATTGAATGTACTCTGTGAATTCTCAAAATTAGAATACGTAAAGGGAAGACTAATTTAATCAATGTCAATGATCCGAATGTTCGAATGTAATGATCCTGATAGAAAAAATATAAATTGGAAATGCTTTATTCTTGTAAGGCAGTATATAAAACTGGTACCAAGCAGTTATTGACAGAAGAAGCAATCATGCTTGCTATTATTGTTATCTTTGGTATTAAAATAGTATACACACACGTATTAATATAATTAACTTTGAATAAGATGGGAAGCATTCTATTAACGGTTAAAGTGTTATCGACCATGTTTATAAACTAAAAAAAAAATTGTTCACAAGAATATTTGATCATTTCAGTCCAAATGGCTCACAATAGATAGAAGGGTATTTTTGAACTGATTATAAGAACAACAATAAGGCTTTGAAACAGCTTGTTAAAGGTTATATCTCGATTATTTCGCAAGTCATTAAATGTAAATAAGACCCAATTAGCATATTTTGATAAAGTCAATCAAAAACAGCATTTGGAAATTCAAGTAAATTCAAAGATAAAGTCATTTACTTTTATAAGGTTCCTAAGAAAGTATTTTTCTTAATGTTGTAGATATCTGTATCAATTAAAGATCGAAACTTGAACACCTATATATGTATATCATCAATATTCAAAATAGACTCCCTAGATACCTTTTTTTTTCTCCTTTATAAAGAGGCATATTTTAATCAAGTGATATGTGTGTATTCTCATACGTCCCGCTCGATATATTCAAAGGTCTTTTACCAGGTTGATGTATAAAATATGCAATGCATGACTACCCAAACGTTTCAACCAGTCTTTTTCTTTTTTCTTTTTAAAAGTGCTTGTCGTATAATTCGTTTTTTTTTAAAAAAAAACCTCGTTAATCTTGGGGCTTAAATATATGAATTCATTTTTTCTTTAACATGCCTGGGGAAAAGAGATAGACTTTTTTTTTTTCAAAGGAGTACTATACTAAAGATGTCTTTCAATCTTTCTGTAATAACGACATCACCAAAAATCACAATTGGTGATAAAAGCTTTAAAGGAAAAGCTGATATTATTTGTCTCACGAGCTCTCCGGTATCTAACATTACTATTATTATTATCTTTCGATAGAGTTTAGAACATGAATCATTTGACTAAATGAAATGAGCATAGCTTGTTAATTTACTGTCAAGACGAACAATCCCCCATTACTGGCATCTTTTTTGTTGCTGTAATTAATTGGAGGAATCTTAAATGTAATCTTTGAAGAGTAGACACTAATTCAACGTATGAGATTTACCAGAGAAATTTATTCGAGACTGGTGTAGTTAATATTTTTGGAATAAATTAATAATTGGGTGTGTTATATATCGGGTAATATGAAACTTTTTTTTTTAAAAAAAAAGGTTCTCTTATCAGATCATGTAGCAGTCATACACAAGCTCATTTTATTTTAATTTTAATTTTAATTTTTATTTATTATGTAGCCTTTGAGAATTAACCTTATCACATCTCTTCTAAGACCAATTTTATATTCATTGGAACAAAAAATTTGGATATTGTCATTCTTAATACTCTAATGCCCAATGATTCCCCATCTTGTATCGTTGGTGTAGTTATAAATATCACTAAGAGCTTGGAGTTTGTTTCTATAGATTTGATTTATTGGCTTGAATGTAAAACAGGAAAAGAAATGGAAAGAAGAGAGTTTATATATTGCGTGAGAACCTTTGGGTGTGTAAAGCAAATTAGAGAAAATATTGGGCTGACCTGAGTGAAGGTTGATTAAACTTGGTTTACAGGACAGCCGATTGAAATGTATAAAGTTATAAAATCATCTCGGTTTAGACAAAGATTTATATCAAGAAAGGCGTTCTATATTTCGAAATGATGAGTATGATATGAACTGAAAATGAAGTCGAAAGAAAAATACGCTTTAAAAAAAGCTTACAATTTGTTCTGCTTAAAATTGCTATACCTTTTCACTGCTTAAATATGTTACATACGTTGTCGTTTACTCGGGTTTTCCAACTCGATAAACTTCATGTAGAGCGCCCAAAAAAAATCAAATAAGTATACCAATAAAGATAGATAAATTACTTATAAAAGTAGTCAACTAAAAACCTTGTTTGAACAAGATTAATATATGATGATAAACTATAAACATAGCGGAGAGTAGATCTTTATACTCACTATTCCCACAAATTATAGCTACTGGAATTTATTTCGGTATTAGCGGCTACTTGACTGTACTAAATGTTAGTTGCCAATACACAGTATGAAAGAAGTACCTTGGGATTGAATTGCTAATCCTTATTGTTTATTTAACATTATTTGTAATAATAATATCAGCACAAAATAAGTCTGTGAGGATATTCCCTTTTTTTTGGCCATGTAGAATTATAATGGGTACATACAGGAATACCTCTCCCCTTCCATTGAAATCACCACCCTAGGCTAGGTCACTCTCTTTAAGCTTACAATGATCACAGGTCCCCTTATCTCCTGCTGTTATTATGCTCACCATAGAAGTGAGGCGATAAACGCTTTTCTAACGTTGCCTACAATCATATACAGTTTTCCGCCATACCCCTGATTGTATGTAGACTACTTTTTTCGCCGTGCGGAAATGCAAGTGTATAATGAGTTTATTATTGTTATTTCTTTGTTTAAACATACACAAAGTATAAACCCCCCAAAAAAAACCAGCTGTAATCTAGTCTCGTCAAGAACCATAGATATTCACAACCAATAAACTCTAGAATTAATATTTCCCAAAAGAAAAGTTGATACAAATTAAAGGGATCTAGTTAACCCTTGGTGGTATTGTAGTCTGTATTATCTTGGTATTCAAAGAGTTTCTTTTAGAAGATAACAATAAATGATTGTTCAGTGTAGTGTGTGTGTGTGTTGCGTTGATTCTACTCCTTTGAAAGGTTTGTTTGATTATCCAAGACAGCTGTGAATTGAACTTATATTCGTAGTTTTTTTTTTCTTTCTTTTTCTTTTTTGATCTCGTCATTATGTAATTTATTGTATAATAATGACTGATAATTCATGACTTTGTGTATAAATAGAATTGGGGTTCGATAGTAAAGGGCATCAAAATTAAGCTAGATTTTTTTTGTAAAAGACTTGACTTGAGCTTTAATCAAAGATAAAAGTAACATGGCGGTTGTAATAGAGCTCATTAAAGGGGAGAATCGGTCTGCCAGTGAGATAGCGGATCGTGTATTTGTGGAACCAGAACCATTCCGGGTTGGGACCTGGATGGAAAAAGATCCGAGAGGGTTTATCTCTAATTCGCGTGGTTGCATGGCTCACACATTGGAATCCGTTGACTGTTATAGAAAATATTGTTCTTCTTGATGAGTGGTGTTTGCTTTTGTGTGACTCACATGCTAGACCTGTAATCTTTTGTGCAAAAGGTACGCTCATCATGGGTAATAAGAACAAGATTCAACCTTTTCTTTATCTAATTTTAGTAGTATGATGGCCAGATTCTTACCCTTGTCCATATGATTTCCCACAAAGGCTTTGCATCACAGAATATCCTTGATTTACTAGTGTTCATGTTTCATTCAATTAAGCTTCTCTAATCAGTTATAGAGTACAGAATACATGTTCTTCTGATAGATACTCGAAGCAAAAAAAAACAAAAACAAATAATTCCTTAAAGCTTTCATAAGCGTATCATCCGACAGATCCTTTTATTAAATATATCTACAAGAATTTGAACGAAGCTTTTGCTCTCTGGTAGCGGTTTAGGTTTAATACAATTTCCTTTTGTTTGAAGAAGAAGGAAAAAAAGAAAAGCTTATATAAAGAAAGAAAACGTCCTTATATATTAATGATCTGTATAAATAATAGCTTCAAGTGAACCAGCACATATTTTTCGTTGAACAAGTCTTGTGAATTAATAAAAACACCAACCATTAAAACACTATTGTCAAAATAACAATGTTTTTGTATTTTTTTTCTGAGACATGAAATTGTGTAGGGGTTTGTTTTATAGCTCTTACCGCTTTCAAGTACTATTATTGTTGTGAGCGTCTAAAACTTAATAAATGGAAGCTCGGGAATAAAGGAGAGAGCGTTGAATAGTTCGTTCTTTTTTTCATTACATTGTAAGTTTAGACTGGCTGTAACAATAATTAGAGCAATGGTTAGAAAAACGCACACTATCATAAAACAGCTCTACAACCATATTACGAAATCATCACAAAGTTTTAGCACAAGCAGAATGGTATTGTAAAGAACTAATATCCTGCAGTGATTCTACAATGCAAAAAAAAGGCGTGTTCTTAAAGGAATTGGCGGCATTCGAATCTCTCGCCAAGACAAGTAAGCTGTGACTTGAGACTTTAAGTATTTAAGCCTGACCCTAATACAGTAAAGGCACAAATGAGCTTTGAGTTGCAGGCTAGCTAATTTGTCATCAAACTATTGTATAGTAAGATCAGTAGGTAATGGTGTTGCTTTATGGATCTAAAAAAAAATGAAGAAGAAAACAGCTTGGCTTTGTCGTTGTCTTTTTGTTTCCTAATGCTCTCTTCTGGGTTTGGAAAATAAATGGTCACATAAACGTCAAAAACAAGTTATGGAATCCCTTGTTCTCTTGATTCAATTTACTCATGATTCCTAGAACTCATATCATTCTTCGTTCTCAACTTTCACAGTGCTCTAGGAGAGGTTGGTCCATTTAGTTATTTAATACTTTGATCGGAAAATGCCTAATTGTATGCAATTTAGCATTGCCTGCTCTGAATCGTCGTTTATATAGTCTGGATTCCAACAACAACAACAACAACAACAACAACAACAACAACAACAACAACAACAGCAGCCCAGATTTAGAAGACAATGACTCACGCTTGTACAAAAAAAGCAACCGACCGGAAAACAATAGCACCCAAAAGTTTAAAGACCTACTAGACAGCCTGTTTGATCAATCCCCTGTTGAAGATCCACCTCGACCAGTACAACCATTGTCAAAGTCAGGCACACTTATTGAACAGCGGCTTTTGGAAATGGTCTTGAAAAATAAGACACCTTACAAAGAAAACGCACCACTTCCGAAAGGTGTTCAGGTGTCTTTCTTCGGCAAAGCTATAAAGAATGAATCGATAGAACAGCCGGACAATCGCTCCCACTGGAGACTCCCGGAAGACGAGCACGAACCGAGTTTTTATGATGAATTTGATAGTCTGTGGCATAAACGATCGAGTTCAGAATTCGTAGAGCAAGTGTCGAAGCGTATCAATGAGGCAGAGTACGGACCAAATTACTCCAGAATGTTAGAATCTGCATTAGGACATGCAGCATTTCAGTTACGGGATCCATATCTAGCGGTCGCAATATTTGAACAAGTGAAGAATCACAGCGTCGAGAGTTATGTCAGTGGATGTACTGTAGATGTGTACAATCAAATGCTGAATATTCGATGGAGACTGTGGCGAGATGTACATGGCATAATTGGGCTGGTAGAGGAGATGAATGTAAATGGCGTCGGATACAATAGTGCGACGCGCGAAATGGGGAAGTCTATTGCCAAAGAGGTGCTGGGAGAGATGCGACTGGAAGGACAGAAAGATTCAGAAAAGTCGCTGTGGAGTGCAGACGAAAAGAGAGCAACAAATCTGATAAAGGCTTTGGTTGGAAAGTGGCTCCTCAAATAAATAGACCATAAAAGTGTACATTAAACCCCCCCAAAAGAACAACTGTCATTCATTGCACTACCAACAGAGGACGATCCTCTGTCCTCACGTGCATTGCCTAGATTTTCCAAATTGTAGATTTCCCAATTGAACCAAATTATATTTTTACAACTACGCCACTTCTGAACTTGTATAGCTTGATAATAATGAAAAAAAAGAATAGAGCTTCCTGAGATGGTATTGGAATAGAGCCAATGTTACATGAGAGAACCAATGACGCTTGGCTGACACAACAAAACATGTAGACATCCAAGCATGGGGTTCTATTGGGCTGCTATGGTGATGTATATATATTATATGACTAAAAAACATAAAGTATACTAAAGGGGTTTTTATTTATTGTTTTTATTTATTTATTTATTTATTTATTTATTGTTTTATTGTTATTATTGTTTTTATTATTATTGTATCGCCGAGCTGAACCGTCGGGTTTTTCCGATATTACCATGGCAACAAATAAAAGAATAAAATAAGAAAAGAAAAAGAAAAAACAAAATAACTTATCTCATCACGCGACCAACATCATTTTTTCTCATCGTAAAAAGAAAGAATAATAAAGAAATTTAAAGAGATAGAGGTGGGGGGTGGGGTTCAGTATCCAATGATACAAGATATAAATGACGTTACTAGGGATTGACCTGTTTGTCTATAGTCCACGGGGAACATACAAGGTATGCAAACCTCAGATGAACTCAGCTGACAAGTACATGTAAATAATAATGATACTAATACTAATACTAATACTAATAATAATCCAAAAAAAAAGCTGGCAATTTGAGTCATTTACACTCATCAAATAAGTGTGTAGAAAATATAGACGATTCATATTGCGGAGTGGCGATTCTTAAAGGGGTTGTAGATCGCTTATCAGACCTTGTTCGGATAACATTATCCGTCTGACAGTCGAGAAGCCAAGCAAGTCACTTTGCAATGACATTTATGCATTTCCAAAATCCCCTTTTTCTCTTTCTCTCTTTCTCACCTACTCTGCCCTTCTTCAATCGGGCAATGCGAAAGTGGAACTCTCTTTAATATAAATACCAGTACAAGTGCCAATACCAATACCAATACCAATACCAACACACAACCATAAATCATAATGGCATCCTACCAAGATATCGCCTACCTATCGCTTTCCAAATTAAATTCTAGCCAACACTCACGCACGGAGCCAAAACTAAGGCGCCAAGTACTGGTCAGAAACATCCTCTTGACATCCCTCTACCTCACACAACCAGAACCGCAGCATTCCTACCCACAACAATACCAAGCCAACGAAACCAGATCACAGGAAGAGATCTGGCTAGATGCCTGCTTCGAAGCTTGTTTTGATCAGTTAGACTACGACGATGATATGATTATGGATGATGAAACAGACAACCAAGACCCATGCTCAAAAGGCAACAACCGACTCGTACTAGCTGTCCCATTTGACTATGTGTCACCCGTAGGATCCACTTCTCTACCACCAGATCATCAGTCGTTTGAAAAAGACGAGCGAAGGATAGAACAGAGGCCGATTGCTCTGATCGAGTGGTCCTGGTGACTATAGAACCTAAAAAAAAGACCCCCCTCTCTCCTCTATCAATTTCTTTTTTCAATTTCTCGCTCTCTTCTTCAGTATACAAGACTTATTTATTTCCTTTTTCATTTTCTTTATTTTTATTATTTATTTATATTTTTTTTACCCCTTCTCATCCCCTCCCCCCTCATTTCATGGCCCTGTAATTTACTCTATCTATCTATTTCATCTTTTTGTCTCTATTTCTATTTCTATCTCTACCTCTACCTCTACCTCTACCTCTATCTCTCTTTTGCCTTTCGTACATAGCTCTATTTCACACTTTGTTTGTTTGTTTGTTTGTTTGTCTTGATGCACATAAAAAAAATACAGTCTTTATCCTCCTAGGACAAAGAATTTGAAAATAGGAAATAATTATTGTTTGATAAGCTCATGTGCTATTTCTTTTTTGTTACGAAAAGGCTATACAGTGAAAACAGTGATAAATGTCGGAACTTTAAAGCGATGCACGGAATTTGAAACACGATATTCGGATTGTAAATGATTAAAACGCGGGATGTAAATATCCAAAGGGTAGTTTTTGAGTATGATTAAGTTTAGGAGACCCAGAAACTTCACATAAACTATTAAATACACTTTTTCCGGAAAGTAAATTCGCTCAATAGCGAGAATAAAATCCAGATTGTATGAAAAATCAATTCATCCTGATCAAAATCAATTCGCCTGATGGAGAGAGTAAAATTTGTGTTGTTTGAAATGTAAATTCGTCCTGGCTGGCAAATCAGATGTCCTGCTGCCAAGAATATTTTATAGGGCAAGTCTTGGCATCTTTGGTTATATAAAGAGACGCCAAATGTTTGTATTTGTTTTATTGCTTTTTTATGGCTGCATCAGAAATCATAGATAATGAACATTCAATTTCTGTTTGAAAACGGGAAAAAATCTGTTGTTGACGAGGAGCAATTTCTGCTTGAAATGTTAAGCTCTCATACACAATATTTAGCTCAATTGCCTCCAGAAAGCGAGAAAGAAATAGAGGTAATTTAAGTGGAAAAACAATCGATAGCGCCTCGTAATGATGTTAATATGAGGGAAGCATCAGTGAAACGAAATTATACACGCTATTCTGATCAGGACAAAGTGAAGTTCTTCAAATTGTTGTTCGAGAGGTGTCTGAGTGGACCACTGCTCAAAAACAGCTTGGGATTCATGTTCGTACACCATAAGAACGGGCTAAGTATTATGAGAAGGAACTTAGCATCTTTGAGAAACGGAGAAAGATCGGCCGTTCACGCATTCTCCACGGGGAACATAAAAACGCTATTCTTAAGTGTATTTATGATAGTCTTCCGTCCTCCTAGACAAAGTAATGAAGAAGTTGAGACAAGTATGTACATAATTACAATTATCCAAAGCTACATTGTTCGACCTTGTAAAACAATATTGCAATTTGTCTCTCAAAAAAGCTCGGCTTCAATACATAGACCGGAATAGAGAAGAAAATATTCAAGAGTGTTTGGATTAGGTTCGTAGATGTGAACAAACATACATGTATTTTAAGAGAAACTTTGTATTTCTTGATGAATATACTTTTTATATTAATTTGAAACGTAGTATAGTATGGCCAGAAAAAGGTACACCGGAAGTGGTCACAGTTTCCAAAACACGAGCAACAATAGCGAGTATTTTAGGTGCGAGCTCTGCTGAAGGTCTAATCAAACGCAGCCTTGGGCTTTCACAGCCTCCACTCAATAAAACAAGAAAACGAGGTGATGGCGTTGGACATGTGAGCAATGGAACGGTTATGGGACACTAGAGAGGGTAACAACTAAGGGAAAATTTAAAAATATTGACCCTACGGACTTTACTGGGCTTAAATTACCCAGTCTTTTACCATTTTTACTATTATCCCGGGACACTTCTAGGGCACTTTTGACTAGATTTTCCCTAATTTATGCCAATTTCAACAAGAATGTCCCTAGAGCAGAGACAATGTCCCTAGTGTTTTAAAGTAATCCGATGAATACGATAGCATATTCTTTTCTTAAGTAAGCGCTAGATTATCAAAGATAGCATGCTATACATGTTATAAGCTAATCATCAGTCAATGGAGTCGATAATGGAATCTCGATCCCTTTAAAGAATCAAGGCTCTAATATATAAATATGATTATTTAAAGCTTTATACTTTAACATTCCAACAGAACAAGAATAGTAGTCTAATCTAGTTTATATAAAAGTAAAGATCCCTCTGTAATATACTTTCGTCTCTAATGAATCAATGGATTAATTAAACAGCTATCTCAGAAAGAGTAAACCGGGACTCTTCCTTGCAGTTGTCATCAGAAAGAGTTATTATATCAAGATGTATATAAGCAACTCTCTTAGAGTAAAACTAGATGTTTTGAAGAATGAAAATAATAGCTATATACAGAAGGAGTGATGGTACTCATTACGTTTTCTGTCAAATAGAAAAAAGAAAGAAGACGCAGTTTAATACAACTTCTATTACGTTCTCAAAAGTGCCCTACGTTGTCCCCTCCTCTACTAAAAGAAAAAAGAAAATACTCTGATAAAAAAAAAACTATCTTTTGGTAATTTTTAAAACCGATCATTGGTATTTTATTTTCCGTCCATATATTTAGAAAACCGCTCTTTGTCACTGTTTTCACCGTGATATTATTTACTGAGTTCGCTCCTGAATAAAGGTCGTACACGTGTATTCTGGTTAGTAACGCCAAAAAAAAACCTATATTTATGTGTACACATGTTTACCTGTGCTACAAATCCAAGCGCACTCTCTTTGGAAATTGCGTGGATTCTTGATACCTTGCCCTGGAAGGTCACACCATAGAATTTGTCTGCATTGGCCAACAACTCTGGGCGGAAAGTGGTTGTGATAAACTGAGCATTCTCAGACATAGTGTGTATCATCTCTGTTCAAGTCATTCAAGTAAAGTCATCAATATAATAATAATAATAATAATAATAATAATAATAATAATAATAATAATAATAATAATAATAATAATAGTAATAGTAATAATAATAGCAATTACCAGCAACCGCAGTTCGGTATTGAACATCCAAATTGGCATCGATTTCATCAAATAGGTAAAATGGTGCTGGGTCGCATTTCTGGATAGCAAAGATCAATGCCAGGGCAACCAGCGATTTTTGACCTCCAGACAATTGTTGCATTATCATTCCTTCGTCTGTCTTTCCATTAAATGAAACCTAGACAAAAGACAATAATTGTTTAATACAAAAACAACAACAACAACAGAAAGAACGTAGTCTTTATTACCTTGATAGAAACACCACTGTAACGGTCCAGGGCCTCTGTTGGGCCACGACTATCATCACCGTCCAAGTCCATGGCATCTTCGGTCTACATAGTAATAAATCTTATCTATCAGCTGGCCAAACATATTACTTTGCTACAATTAACCATCGGCAGAATTTAAACTCACGCTGTTTGACTTGTGTTTGATTACAAGCTCACCATGGCCTGCAGGGACGAGGGTCTCAAACACTCTAGAAAAGTTAGTGGCGACCGCCTTAAAAGTGCGCTCGATCACCTCATCCTTCCTTCGGTCCAAGGAATCAATCAATGCACGGATAGCCTAATACATGCATTCATATTCATCATCATCCGTATCCCTTATTGCTCCAGAACATTTTTTACTCATTTACCTCTGCAGACTTGTCCAATTCGGCCTTTCGCGTCGTCAACTGGTCGCGCTGCTTTGTGAATCGACCGTATTGCTCAAATGCCTTTTTGTTGACATGACTGTACTTTTGTAAAGACTCGTTCGCACGGTGGAGACGTTTCAACAACTAAAGCAACCAAACATGAGTCATACACATGCACTAAGCAGCTGCCTGATTTCCATTTCTTACCTTTTCTACACTAAGATTGGCGTACTTTTCGAATGCCTCTTCTGGAAGAACACCAAGATCACGGATGTTGGAATTACATTCTTCCTTCTTCTGAAGAAGCAATGAACGTCGAAGGAGGTATCTTTCCAAGTTTTTCTCATGACGGGTAATCTGTTGAGACACATCAACTTGTGCCGCCTAGAGTAAAGAAACAATTTTTTTTAGTTAAATCGGAATGTTCACATATTAACGTTTATTATCAGAGTTACCCGAAGTTGAAGGATAGACTGGTGCGCTCTTTCAAGGCCTTCTTGTTGCTTATCGGTTTCCAAATCCAATTCTTAAATTATAAAAAAATATTAACTCAAGGTACAAATGTGCATTATCAATATTCTTTTACCTTCAATGGTCTTTGTGAGTTTTCCGAGCTTTCGGAGAAGCACCTTGTGTTCTTTCTTTTTCCGTGCAAGCTCTTCAACACTACTAGTTGCAATAGCTCTGTCCCTCCGGCTCAATAACTCGTCACGTCGACGCTTAAGGTCATTATTTAAGCAATCATTTAGTGCATTAATCTGGCCCACGATCTAAAATGAAATGGAAATGAGTCTCCTGACACACACACCCGCACACTATAGTCGGTTGGACAAACCTCTGATTTGTTTGCCGAGAGCATCAACATCCTTTGTTTGATCTGCTCAATTGTAGTGTTGATATATATCAATCGCGTCTGCTCCTCTCCTGACAGGGCCTGCATAGGCTCGGAGTTGAGTTCATTCTCATAAGCTGCCAACTGCTGCTCAAGGATTCTAGCATTCTCACTGATGCTCTCCAAAGATTTTTCCTATTGTGCCCAGAATTTAGATCAACGGTGTTTACAATTTAGTCTAGTCTCTTTTTCTCTTCTTTTTTTTCTTCTTTTTTTTCTTTCGTTCTTTCTTACCTTAGAAGCCACAAGATCCTTAAAGATCTCTTCTTCTTTACGCAGTCTTGTCTCGTAATTGAGAGTATTTTCCTGGACCTGCATCTTCTTCTTCTCTGCAACCACCGATTGCAACTGGCCCAGAACTTGAGTCACTTGTTGGTCTAGTCTAGCAATTTCTTCCTTGATTTGCACACCCCTAGCCTTTTCTTCCTCGAGCTTAGCCTGCCAAGTCTTTAAGTTCTTTGCAGCCTCAAGACGTGAGTAGCGGTTATCAATATAACCACCCGACAGGGCTCCGCGTCCGTCCACACGGTCACCTAAAAACAGGTTAATTACTCGTCATCATCAGAATACCAAGAAGAAGAAAATAGAGTTGAGGAGGTAGTTACCATCTAGGGTCACGACCGTAAGGTTGTGAGATTTGGCATAACTTGCGGCCACTTCTAGATTAGGACAAGCGATAATTCCACCAAATAACTAACATATATATAATACATCTTATAAGAAACTTTGTCGAGGAAAAGACAGAAAATAAATAAATCGTATCCTTACCTGTTCAAAAGCCTTTTGATATTTGGCATCAAACTGCAGTTTACTCAAAAGAGGAATGGCATCACTGGCAACTGGGTAATTGGTTTCGCGCGTCTTAATTCGGTTGAGAGGAATGAAGGTGACACGACCTGAGCGTTCTTTGTTCATGGTCTCCAACAGTTTTGTGGCAGTCTGGTCAGTATCAACTACTACATGGAAAAGGCTAGACCAACATGGTTATAAGTAATCCCAATCCGGATCATACACCTTGACCAATTATACCTTGCTCCAGATGCAACTTCTACAGCAGTTCTGAACCGAGGATCGACTTCAAGAAGTTCAAATAAAGGTCCATACACACCAGTGAGATGTTGGTCTTTTGCAATTCTGGTCACAGCAGCAAGCCCACTAGTAGTGTTCTATATAAATTTATGTGAGTTATTCAAGAATAATATACATATATATCTTATATGATGTAGCCCAAGTCCATTTTAGGGAACACCTAATTAATGCTAGACTCTCACTTTGTCGATCGAACCGGCCAAGGTACGCTCAGCCTTACGAATTTCTTCATTGCAATTGTGAAGAACAGAATCCAGTTTAGCCTCCTCACGCCACAAAGTTCTTTTTTTTTTTTTAAAAAAAATGGTTATTTAGAAATTAATAATTTAATTACTAGAAGAATATTCCAATAACATTATACTAGAAATGGTATCTTACTTTCTCTTTTCAGTAGCTTCATCACGCTTCTGTTTGAGTTTTGTCTCGCGTTCGGCCACTTGTTGATGTGTAGACTGGCGAAAGGCTAGATCCTTCTTGACTTGCTCAAGAGCGTTGACCTTGGCAATCAGACCAATGTTGGCCTCGGCCTTTTCTTGTTCAAGAATTTGAAGCTACCCAAAAAAAAAAAAGAAAGCAAATCAAATTGGAATCATGATTAGAATTATGATTAGAATTATAATGAGATGAGTTGAGTTTGTGTGTGTGTACGATTCTTCAATTAACCCAGGGGTATTTAGTCAAATAAACCAACCTGATTGTTGCGGATTGTCAAGTTGGAGGAAAGATCCTTAATTTGATTCTGGAGCCACAAATCTCGTTCGGCCTTTGTAGCAAAGCGGGAAAGACGGGCTTGTTTAGCATGAAGATTCTGCTGCTCCATTTGAAGCATTCTCAGTCTATTCCATTATTTTGAAGTGCATGCACCAAACGGTTTTTTGAGTAACCTCTCCCTCATTTCTTTGTTTTCTTTTACAACTCACTGTTGTCGCATCTGCTTATCCGTCTCCTGAATTTCATTATAACGAGGCGTCAATTCTGTAACACCTTGGGTCTTTTCTATAATTTCGGTTTCAATACTCTTGAGTTGGGTATCGGTTTTTTCCTAAGGTTTCCGCAAGTCAGTGATCATTTTCCAATAATCTTCCATGCTCGTATATATATCATCGTCCTCTGCTTGCCTTCAATTCTGCCTCAGAAAGTTGCCCGTCCTCCAAATCTTTCAACAAAAGCTCCAATTGAGCTCTGGCCTTCATAAGTCCTTCTCTTTCTTCTTGCATGTCTTTTTTCTCAGCTTCTAAGAGGCGAATAGTTTGCTTCGTGTTGCGTTTACTAGTTTCCAATTCCTACCAAATTTTTGTGCACATATGAATACATGTCGTGTTTGAAAACCTTTGGATAAAACAAAAGAGATTTTTACATTGAGCGCATTCTCATTATCAACATATTCTTCACGACATGTTTCATGGTTCAGCAATTCTCGTCGTCGGTTACTATCCATCTCTTCCAATTTATCATTTGCGTCAGATTGCTCTCTAGCATAGATGGTGTATTCCAATGATCGTCGCTCTCTATCTAAAGTCTGATACTGTGACAATTCTTCCTTTTCTTCTTCAAGTTCAGCTAAACGATCTTGAATGTATTCGAGTACTTCTGTAATCTTTACACGCTTGGCATCTAATAACATTTAGTGAGAAAAAATTGGAATAAAGAATAATTGTTTAATTATTTTCTGCTCATTGAATATACCTGTGTCTTCCATGATTTTTGTACTTTCATTGCGCTTTTGCTCGTACACTCTTGTACCAGCAATATCCTTAAGAAGTTTCAGGCGATCCTCATCCTTGGCTACAGTCAGGGAAGTAACCTAGCACATTAACAAACATTTAAATTTTTCTCTTCTGCCCTCAATTGACTCATTGGACGTACTCTTCCTTGAGGTACAATATAATAAGGGTTGGCCCGAGAGAATCCAGCACTTTCTAACAAACTCATAACATCTGACTTTCTGTAGATGGACAGCAAAGCAAGTCAGTATTTTGTTGTTATTTTAGTTGACTTTACAAGCCATGATTACTCACGTTACACTCTTGCGATCCAAAGAATATTCATCTAATGTCAAGCCAATACTTCTACGCAACACCACCTCTTCTTTCCCGGTCTGAACACACCATCGCTTTAGTCAATCATTCTAAAACACAGATCCTTCATCATCCATTTACCGGAAATCGACCATCCACATTGTCAAATATGATCTCCACAAAGGCAGAAATAGTGGCTGCTCCAGATCCTTCCTGTTGTGTGTCGATTGATAATAAGATTTTTTGATGTATATGTGCAGTTAACATTTTCGATTGTACTTGCATGAAGAAGTGCTTGTCTATCTTCCTTTCCTAGATTCTGGTAGGCATCACCAAGAACGAATCGAATGGCTGTACTCATGAATGTAACATGATCAAAATTGTGCTCCCGATGTACTAAACTTATAAGGTTTACCTGCAAAGAAGTTACTCTTTCCTGTACCATTTCTTCCCACTAGAAAGAAAGGCGGAATAAAAGAGATGTGCAGAGTATTGGATTCAAGTCAGGGCAAATAAAAAATAAAAGCAGTTCTTTCTGTCGTTGTTGATTTAACTTGTAAATTACCAATGACATTGTGTTTGGGACTAAAAGGGTCAATAGTTGTCTGATCCTTATAGGACTTGAATCCTTGGATTATAATCTGCAGTCCATTATATGACTCTTGTCAGTCAATGATACTAAATCAATTATGGTGTGTACAAGTCTACAGACCTGCTTGATATACATGACGAAGCAGAAAAGAGACAAATCGTGAAAAAATAAGAACGCGACACACACACACACACAATTGAGCGCGTACTTAGGGTGTAGAAGGTGGATTTTTTTGGCCTTGAAAAGACCGCGTTTGTGGTGTGCTTGCCAAAAGTCACGCGCGATTTGGAAGCGGGACTTTTAGAAGCTTTACTAATGAATGTATAGATAATGATAATATACATATACTTGTATATACATTTTGTGGTTTTTCTCTTAATAATCTGATCTGTATACACTCATAAGTAGTTTTTCAACAAAGATTTAAAGGCGACAAAATATTATTTCTTATATTGTAAAGAAAGATATTTTATGAGTTGTGATATTTAATTTGTCATAAAAATATGGTTCTTTTGAATATATTATACAGGAACTTAATGAAATATAGTTAAAAGTCAAGTGTGAATAAAGGAAAGTTAAAGAAATTAATTTTGTATTTTATGAACCACTAAAAAGTTTGGTCTGGTTCTGCAATCTTATCTGTGTTATTTTATTAAACATTGAAATGAATTTTATGCCTGCGTAGATTTTGATAGTGTGCCTTGTTGATCTCATGTGGTGGCTCTTGGTATTTGTATTATAAGAGAAGGAATTCAATATCCAAGACGCCTAATGCCAAGATATTGGAATTTAAGGTTATTTGACTTGGTAGTTCTCACTAGGTTTTGATATATAGACTGCATTTTAATTTCTTTAATGCATTATCAAGCATGGACAAGATAAAGGTAGAAAGAATCGAGAATATCCTATTAGGACCAATGAGCATAATATCCTGCCAAACTGTATCAAATCAATCCTGGCGTCAAATAATGTTTAAAGCAGGGAACTGTTTTTTCTTTTATAGTAAATAACAAACATTATCCCCCAAAAGATAAATCGGGTTAATTGAAGTGGATATGGAAGTACAACGTGATTAAGCATATACGGTTCTCGGACTTTTTATTTATTTATTACTACTACTTCTACTGCAGTTACTACTATCATTGTTATTACTATTTTTTCATAAACCCGTATTTAATAGTCTCTTGGTTTGATTGGTTCTCTTATGTACACCAAACAGCTCTTCTTTTTTTTGAGCGAATAAAGCGTTAACGAAGACCACCCCCCATAATAAGACGATTTTCAAAATAATAATAAAAAAGAGAAAAACCAGACTACCCGTACTTAATAAGCCTACACAAACAGATCAGCAGAATGCAGGAGTACACAAACAGTTGATTTTTACAGGATTAAACAATGTCAAGATGTTACATTTGTATTGAATATTTATATGTTATCCGGAGGCTAGACCACAAATCGCAAAGGAATGCTCTATATTATTAAATTGGAAACTAAAGCGAGAGAGGGAGATAAAGGTAAATAACATCACTTTGTTTACATAAATGTGGTCATTTTGCTGCAATTTATGTTTGAAAAAAAACAAAGTCATTTGAATACTCCTAACCATAACGAATATAGCTTTTACATATCGTTTAAATTTTATTAGCTTTTATTTTTATGCACGTACACACATCTCCCCCTTTTTTTCTTGGTTTTATAAAAACGCAGACAGAAAAAGGTATAAATTGCCATAGGGAAAAATGCATAGCTTGGAAAGCAGGTCAAGTACTTTATTTAACATTGGTAGTGGTCATTCTAATTCTGGTCAAAATATGGCCAGCTTTATATCTAGAGTACGTACTGAGACCATTACAAGGCGGTTTTACGTTAATGAGATGATTTTAAGGATGCTGGTGGAAGATCCATAAGATGATATATACAATTCAAGATCTTTGATCCAACCAATTGACTGATTTATGCTTAAATTGAAAGAGACAATGAATTGGAAAAATAAATTCAATAGCAATAGAAGTTTATTAGCCAAAGACAGCGAAAGAAAAACTTGTATAGGGCATTAAATAGACAAATAACTTGAACTGGTGATCTATAAAATACAGACAGTGCCTTTTATTTTAGCTATCTTTACACTGGAAAATATACAAAAACAAGACTTACTCTTATATTTTAAGTACAAGACAAGACGAAGACGAAGACGAAGACTAAAGTCGAATTATAAAGTAATTGGAAACAAATAAAATAATAATAACACGAAGCGTTACATAGATGTGCTACTTTAATAAATATTCGTATGTCCTATATTATCTACGCTAATTGGCGAAAAGTAACGCATATTGCGATAATAAAGCGCAGAAATGGATATATATCTTATCTCAAAGTCATCTTTATAGGTTTTTTATATATCAAGATAAAAAGAAAAGAGAAACAAGCAGATGAATACACTAAATATTCAAAATACTATCAGTCGCTGTGAATTTACCAGTCGCTAAGCTTTAAATTACTTCTTTAAAATTAACAAAGAATAATTTTACAGTGTTATCCTATAAGCTTTGTTCTAGGTTAAAGAGCCTTTGATTCCTTTACAAGTCCTGCAAGTCCTACAAGATTTTATATTCTATTTCTTAACCACCAATCTTGAATATATATTAGTAATAATATTAATCAAGAATAATTTGTTTTCAACAAGATCCTAATATACTATATTATGAGCCTTTTTCTTATTTTGCCCACAAAAAAGAGGTTATAGACACTACCATAAATTATTTACATAGATACTAGATAAACTCATACAAGAGTCAATGATTAATGAAACACCTAAAGTAATAGCAAAAAATGTGCCTTTTTTTTAATAAAAAAATCTCCCTCTTTTCCACAGGATTCCCTTACAAATCCAAGGCAAGGATTGCGTTTGATGGATAATATGGCGGAGAAAAGGTAGTGAAAATGAGAAACGTTCTGGCCAGCGTACGTCACGTAGTGTCTGACGCAATACTCATCACGTGCCATAGCATTGCCGTTTGCCTTACGTTGCCGAGAAGCGCGACAACTGCTTTTGCCAGAATCCAATCTTATACATCATGTCGTCCAGTTCATCAGCACCGCCTCAATCAGAGATTGATCCCAAAGCAAAGGCTCTCAATGGATATAGAAAAAGACTCCTGGAGCATCGCGAACTGGACGCTAAACTGAAAGAGAGTACGTACCTGGTTTTATGCGTAAAGTTCCTTTTGTCAAAAAAGCTAAAGCAAAGTATATTTTGTCTAGTGCGTCTTGGGCTGAGAAAGTTAGATAAAGACTTTGACAAATCAGAAGATGACATCAAAGCTTTGCAAAGTGTTGGTCAGGTCATTGGCGAAGTGTTGAAACAGCTCGATGAAGAACGATGTAATTATACTATATAACCCTGGCCTGCATGCGTTACTGAAAATCGCATTATTCTTACTTTCTACTTTTGTAAAAAAAAATACTAGTCATCGTTAAGAACACCAGTGGACCCCGTTACGTTGTCGGCTGTCGTACCAATATTGATAAGGATAAATTGAAGCAGGGTGCACGCGTAGCCCTTGATATGACTACTTTGACAATCATGCGAGTACTCCCTCGTGAAGTTGATCCTTTAGTTTACAACATGTCTACAGAAGATCCTGGAGATGTTACTTTTGCTGGTATTGGTGGTTTGAGCGAACAGATCCGTGAACTCAGAGAGGTATGATGGAGGCAAAGAATGTGGAAGCAGCAGACTTGGAATCATAACGCTGTAATATTCAAAAGGTCATCGAGTTGCCCTTGATGAACCCTGAGCTCTTCTTGCGTGTCGGTGTAAAGCCTCCTAAGGGCGTTCTTCTTTATGGTCCTCCTGGTACCGGAAAGACTCTTTTGGCAAAGGCAGTAGCAAGCACATTGCAGGTCAACTTCCTCAAAGTTGTGTCAAGTGCTATTGTAGACAAATATATTGGAGAGAGTGCAAGACTGATCCGTGAAATGTTTGGTACGATTTCTTTTTGTGATATATACTGATTTTTTAAATAAGCTAATGAGAAGTGCAGGTTACGCAAAGGAACATGAGCCTTGCATCATCTTCATGGATGAGATTGATGCTATTGGTGGTCGTCGTTTCTCAGAGGGTACTTCTGCTGATCGTGAAATTCAACGTACATTGATGGAGGTAACGGATAAACTCTTAAGTTATGTGCTCCAATGCTGATATTATGTGATCGATAGCTTTTGAACCAAATGGATGGTTTTGATTACCTTGGACAAACCAAATTGATCATGGCTACTAACCGTCCTGACACACTTGATCCCGCTTTATTGCGACCAGGTCGTCTTGACCGAAAGATTGAAATTCCATTACCAAATGAGCAAGGCAGACTAGAAATCATGAAGATTCATGCAGGAAATATTGCCAAACACGGTGACATTGGTAAGTCTATTCTTGATAGATACTTTTTAAGTGTGCCTCTTTCTAATCACGCCTATGTTTTATTGTAGACTATGAAGCCATTGTTAAGCTTTCAGACGGATTCAACGGTGCAGATTTGAGAAATGTCTGTACAGAGGCAGGCATGTTCGCTATCCGGGAGGAGCGTGATTATGTAGTGCAAGAAGATTTTATGAAGGCTGTCAGAAAGGTCGCCGACGCAAAGAAGTTGGAGACCAAATTGGATTATGAGAAGATTTAAACAAAATCATACATTTAATAAACAAGTCACATCCATTTCCTTTCTACTTTAAGAAATAGCTTGGTATTCTGTTTTTAAAAGGCATGATGACTTCTCCACAGCTCACTCCAACACAGCCAAATCAAGGCTTAGATGATGAACCAGAATCACCATCTAAGATGGCAACGCCACTCGAATCCTCAAACTCATCCCTCTCCAACTATTTGGAACACGCCACTCCCACCTCAATTAGCTACAACGCCAGTCCTTCTTCAATCCTTGCATCAAGCATCGATTCACATTCAACCCCAACAAGGTCAGCTTCCGAAGAGACCTTGACTATTCAACTCCCTCCAAATGGAGGAGGAAGTCAAACAAAACGACACAGCATGCGGTCACCATCTTCTTCGCAACATTCTCTTCGATTGGCATCATTAACAGGCCCACCAAGTTCCATGAGTCTTGATCGCACAATGTCTTCTCAGAGCATTAATACCTCGCAGACTCTTTATCCATATCCTCCCAGACCTACCTCTCCTATTACCTCTCCAAGTATACACAAGTCACTTACAGCACTTGACGCAAAATCTATCACTAGGGATATGGAAAAATCTTCCCAGCAAATGCGAAACGATGATATGATCCTGACTTCTCCCTCTTCTCCTAGCGCCAGTAACAACCCTTCTGGATTTTATTTTAGTAACGTAGCAAATGGTAACGGAAACACCCCATATCAACCAATGACAGCTCAGTCTATTGCACCGAGCATGAACTATGCCTACCATCGGCAGGGAAGCATCAGCAGCGTAACACTAAATTCTGTTGCACCCAGCATGCAAGCGGTATTGGGTGGGCAGGGGGACGTATGGCAAACATTCTGTGTTCGAGTTCTCCCATTGTTTAATGGCGAAGGGGTTCAGGGCTCAATCGAAGATCTAAACGAACTCCTTAGGTGATACTGACGAATAATTGCGTGTTCTTATGGCTTACTTGTATATTTGTATTGTATATATATATATAGACGATGCTTAACAGATCCTGTGTCACCTCAGTTATACCGAGATATGGAAGCGCTTTTGAGAGACGGAATGTTTACTCTTAATGCAAAGATGTTTGGTGTGACCGACGAAAAGTTATTAGATAGACTTGTCGAACAGTGGTCTTTCTTCTTTACGTATGCTCTCCCATATTTTGAGGCTGTTTTTCTGCCACTTCGTACAGATGTTAGATACAGAAATGCAGAAGAAGAGGAGATGTGGAATGTGCGAAATATGGCTCTTCGAAGTTTCCGTGATAATGTGATCTTATTACAAACAAAGCGATTGGAAGGTATAAAAGAATAATAATATATAACAAACGTCTCCTTATACTTCTTATATATATTTGCTCCTTTTTAGACGTTTTTGCCAAGCTGTTTACTGATTTTGGATCGTCCCAAAATCCTGCATCCACTGCAGCCAAGATGTTACAAATGACTTCTCTTCTTGCGTCTTCTACAGATCACAATGAAGATATCGAGAGAGTATTATCGAGTCTAAAGGCTAACTGGAAGATTATGATGACAAAGGGAGATCGAAGAGGGTTTGCTGGAGTACGCAAAGCGCACTCTGGAAAGAATCCAGAGACTTCCCATATTTTTGGTGCTTTGGCAGGATAACCGGCCCACCACTTTTGTACATACTTTTGGAAAACAATAGAAAGTAGATTTCTTCTAACAATATTGTTCTATATTAAATATAAACATTTATTTATATTAAACAAATCCGACTACTTACTTGTCATGTCTTAAGCCAACTTAAGGGCACTTTTTTTTAAAAAAAAAAATACAAAAAAAAAGATTGGCGCAATGCATACAATTCTTGTTTGGTTAATCTTAGTGATTTTCATTTATAGAATAAATAATGTATTTAGTATTAAGATTGGCCAAAATCAACGTAACCAATGAGTTATTGGAATATAGCCTTAACTGTAAGGCTCCTGAGATCAAAAGTGTCATTTGTTGTCATAATAAAAAATTCGCAAAAATTAAAACGCCCATTACATATTGGTACAAAGTCATAAAATATAACCACCATTGAAAAAATATTTGTATGGTTCAAGAAGAAATCATTCTATATCCACAAGACATTCTTACGAGTAAAATATAGTCTTAAGTCTTATATTAATAATCAAATGTACAATCACTAGATATACCAAAAGCAATCTAGTAAAGGCAGCAAAATCGGCTGTTCACTGTCAGCATTTTGGGGTAGATGCTGGTATATAATCTATAAATCGGTTGCCTATAATAGAATATATCCCATATTAATTGAACGCTTTGGCAAAATATAACTCTGAATAATATATACTTTCCTAGCATTGTATTAGGGCTCATATGCATAATTATGCTTTGATCTTAATAAACTCTGGTTTTTATTTGATTTCACTTCTTTATACCAAAAGGTTCGGTAGTTGAAAAATATACCGAGGGCTCGCTGAAAAACTGTTGTGGAACAAAAAGTAGGGTAATTACATTTAGCCTTTAGCGAGAATATGATCGGTTAAATTCTATCACTGTAATTTGGTTTGCCAAATGTAACTTTAATAATTCTGGTTCAGTTATATTTTCTAAACTCGGTTCTTAAATAAAATCCTTATTGAAAGTATTTATATACTTCCATACTATTCTAGCTTGGTTTCTCAAGATCAGTTATTTGGTTTACTCTTTTCAGTAAATTTTGGGTCGCTTCCCGTTCACATGGATCACGGCCCAGAAATATTGGAAAAAATAGGACAAGAAACTACTGCGGCAGTAGATGTTTAGATCCCCGTCAACCTTCTTTATTTTGGAGAACTTTATGGACAATCATCGCCTGTTGATCTTCGAATTTTTGTACGGTCAAGTTACCATATACAGCTGTGTAAGTGTATCAATATTCAACCACATTTATTTCCAGGATCTGGAGAGTATTCAAACCCTAGTAATGGAATAAAACATACTGTCAAACGTTGACATAAATGGATAACATAATGTGACAATTTTCTTCGGTCATGACCAACTTATTCTTTGAACCTGATTGCTCAGCTCGACTGTCCTTAGAGATCATTTTTAAAAAACTATATCGGCGAATGTAGTCTGTCCTTTTTTTAGCGACACAAGTAACAAGTTCCTTTTTATGCCCCCACTGTTTTGCTTTCATCTAGTCCTTGAAATATCAAATTAAAACTAGTCCTCGTACTTGTGACTTGATTCCTCTCTTCTTATCACTGCGATCGAAAAACGACTAAAGCTATTAGTAAATGGAGCTCAATCGTCGAAGAGCAACACCATGTAAAGGTAACTTTATTGTGCTTACTATTATCCTCTGTCAACTTATTCATAGAGAAAAAAATTAAACAAAAAAAAACAACTTAACAATCAAGAGTGCAGAAAACAGCGTCGAAAATGTGTATGGCAGACGAATTCTAAGATATGTGATCGATGTTACCGTTTGGATCGAAAATGCCTTTCAATCTGCGATTCAGTTGATACAAATTCAGAATCATCGTCATCAGAACAAGAAGAAAAGCCAATGCCTAACGATAAAAAGCTTGAAGAGATGTACGAGCAAGTAATCCAGCTTGAGAAAAGCATAAAAGATCTCGAACTTGAATTGAATCAGAAAAAGTCGAAAGAAGCATATATGTCTCCAGTGAGCTTGTTATCTGAATCAGATTTCGAGGATGATACCTTCAGTGTACAAAGCAACCAGCTGCAACTTTTTGATAAGCAAATTGTATCTTCCAACCCATCTAACAGCTCATCGCGCTTACCACAATATGAGTGGACACTAGGAATGGTGAATGGTCGATTGCAACTGTTAAGCGAAATCCATGACTATGATGAGCTTTTAATGTACATGAGTGCCTCGTTAAGATACCTTTCGCCTTTTGGAGCCTCTTTTCACACTACATCCATCCTGTTCCAAACGAAGACACAGAACTCTTTTATGCCAAGAATGCTCAAACTTATGTCTAGTGCTACACCAACTAAAAACCGAAAACCCGTTGTACCCATCGGATTGGCACCCAACCCACGCACAACCATTGATATCTTGGTCAATTCTTTTTTTCACTGTATTAATCAATACCTTCCGTTAATACATGAACCCTCGTTTAGAGAATACTACAAAAAACTTGTTGATCCTCTTTCTTCTCCCATGACTACGGCTATATGCGCTAGTATGTGCAGCAGCCAATGTGGTCACCTTAACCTGCCGTATAAACTGAAACGAGATATGAGCGAATATTTCTACCAAATATCTAAAGATTCTCTTGGCGACATATTTGATGATCCTAACCGACGTTTGGAGACAGTAGTCACAACTAACTTACTGGCAGATTTCCTACTCAATATGATGCGACCACGCGAGGCGAGAAATTTGCTGTCTATATCCTTGCTAATCTGTCAAGATCTAGCGAGTTACTACAATTCTCCTGAGCGCACTCTTATGGAAACAGCTTTATATAATAGACACTACAACGCTTCTAACATCCTCTGCCGAGTGGTGACATATATCATCGAACGCAGGGTAAACAAGAAACGATTCATGCCAGTGCCACTATATCCTTTGCCTGGGGAATCACTTAAAACAGTGGCATACTTAGATGTATTTAACCGAATACTACGTTGGAACAACCACCCTTGCGTATTGCATTTTTTAGTAAGTCATATATCTAGTTATTTGTTAGAAAGAGATAAAAACAAGATTTAATAATTTATATGTTGCTTTTTAGGACCAAGTCAGACTAGTAGAAATGGGCCATGTCGGGGAACTCAACATTGAACATATCCTCGAGTTTGAACGAATAGTCAGCCTTTGGTGGAAAGAGCTCCCCGAGGAACTTAAGATGTGCGATGATCCGTTTGGTCACGATGTTGAAAAACTTGTTCAAGAAAACAAAGTGGAACTACAAATAATGCTCATAACATTTTATCACATCTTCTTGTTTGAGGTCTATTCTTGCCTAGTACAGCCCAAGTTTGTTAGCTCCAACCCCACCGATGATTCCAACCAAAACATCAAAAAACTGATTCAAGAACGAGCAGTATCATTCTTATTGAAGAGCGCGAATTTTCTTGTTGAAGCATCAAAACAAATAAGGAAGCAGAGCTTCTTGTGCTTTTGTAAGAAACCTAAAAAAAAACATTTTTTTATGGTAAATTATCTAACATTTTTAAATATATTTAGTTACTTCTGAATTTATATTCCGAATAGTCGACACACTTTCTATGCTAACCGAGATTTCTAAACCAAGTGCCACATTGGAAGCAAAGCGTATTCTTCGTAAAAGCTTAAAACAGTTGTATGATTACACTGATATATGCCATGACATCAAGGAGGTGCCTCGAAAACCATTTAACTTACTCTCGGACGAGAGCGATGAAAACATCATTCAATTATACGACTCTTTCTCAAATCCTCGTTTAGTATTGATGTACGATCTAATAACATCTATTACTAAAGAATCAGGTTTAACGAGAGAAGATTAATGTCTCTTAAAGACAATTTTTTCTGTTTTGTTTTTTTTTTCGCTTGGAATGTTTACAATTATTTATCATATATTTATAATCTTATCCATAATTAAATTGAATACTAGTATGTCAATTACCTGTAGCATTTAGCAAAACTATTCTGGCATTTGCCTCTCGATTTTCTTTTGTTAAATAAATATTGCGTATTCTACCTATATTCCTAGAATGTTTGTTCTGTTGGACAATAATTTATTTAGAAAGTTTTATTTAACGTGCATGTCTAATACTTATTACATTGGGAAAATATGGAATCCACTTTATGCTTAGTAAATACTCACAATGACTCAAATTTTATGCTGAAAATCCTTCTAATTTATAAATATTTATATTTATGCACGCTGTTAAATCTCGAGTTTTGATCTGGCTATATATTTTAATAACGATAACAATAGTAAAAGGCATTGACTAAGAAAGAGCTATAAATAATGACATGGCTTTTATAAATAAAGCTCATTATCCATTTTGTCCTGCTCAAGGTACATATAAGTAAACTGCTAATAAACAAAGCTAAAAATACTGAATATAATTAAATAATCCTTAGTTTTTATTATTGTTCTTTAGAAATCATTATTTTTATAATGTTCTCCACATGTTCCTAGCTTCTCAAGAATCACCTTTTTTGGAAGCAACCAATAAATTCTTCATTTGATAACCTGATATTTTCTGAGATTTAACCAAAACTTTTTGCGTCATGAGAAACAAAGTCACGCATTTGCAACTCTGATTTAGGCTCTTTGTTGCCACTGCCTTTTTTTTGGGGGCGGTTTGCTTTTTCTTGAACCCAGAGCTATAAAATACCATGCAAAATAACATCGATCCTCGAGTATCAATTAGCGAAAAAAGGAAGATGGCAAGTAATTCAGCTGGAAACGACTTCTCAATTACCCCTGGAAAATCATCAGCCGAGTCTCGTGAACTCCCCCAAACACATGTCAACTATTTCCCAGCTTCCAAGACAAATCGTGCAGGCGAAAAGAGGGAAAGACACCTGGAAGACCAAAACGATCGTAACGAATCCAACAAAAAACGCTCTAATCCACTCCCAATAACAGAACGTTTGAAAGGACAATCTGCCTCCCAAAAAAGCCTTCTTAATGGATCTCAAAAAAATAATACACCTTCTGACCATCAAGTTGGAAAAGATAAGAACAATGACCGAAGACTTCCAACTTCTCGAATATCTAGTCCTCAAACACGAACATCCTCAAACTCCAACACATTAACAGCCAAAGAAAGAGAAGCCTTAAAAGTAGATGCTAGAATGTTTATTCGGCAACTTCCAATCGACCCAAGCAAGAGAGACTTAATCGTCTTTTTTGAGAAGTACGGAAAAGTACTTGATGTATCACTCAAGGGAAACTATGGCTTCGTTCAATTTGATTCTCCAGAAGCATGTCGGTCCGCAGTCCGGGCTGAAAATGGGCGCCACTTTAAAGGCATTACTCTTGGTAGGTTCTTTACTTTTTTATTTTATTTTATATATATATATATATTCGTCCGTTTGGATTGTGTCCCTTTTCTTCTTTGTGGCATGGAAGTATCATTGGCATGATTTTGTATAGGTCAAACATTATGGTTGAGATAAATAGAAATATCTCCCATTTACTTCCAGTAATTCTTCCTTTTGGGAGTATCTGGGGATATCGAGCACAAATTTATTGAGTCTAGCATTCGCGAGATACATGTGAAACACTCGATTGATAATGATCATGTCAATGAAATTAAGAGAATTGCACATCTCTTCAACCTTGCACTTCGAAACTTTCTGCCCTATTTACCTCTCGCCCTCAATCTACGAACAATGAGCCAATTTGTTCCACTCATATTCTTTGCTTGCTCTTGACAGGCCTAGAAGTCTGCCGCCACAAACCTTCTGGTAAAGACGCTGAAAAGGTAGTCCCTAATCGCCACAACAACCATCGCGGCGGAAGATCGCCCTCCTCAGAGCGCCGTAAACGCTCTCCCAGCAAATCTCCTCCCCCTAAAAGACGCGAAAACTTACATTCTGGACAAAATCGTGATCACCAAGATAACTCCTCACGAAACAATTCTACTGGAAAGAGACGGGCCGAAAAAAATACAACTGAAGATACCTATGAAGACGCAACTTCTTACTCCAAGAGTGATACTTACAATAGTAAGGTCAGACGCATTGAAGATTTGTATCCTCCAGCATCCCCTAAGTACGATGTTCACTCCAACCCATACATCACTACCCAGTACCGACCCGAGACCTTTGGCTTTGGTGTACGCACCGTTGGCCAATCTCGCTTTCCAGAAGAATACAAACCAAGTGTAAGACGCGAGCTTACTAGCTCTGGCTTTGTCACTGTGCGCTCTGAACCGTTCCCAGAAAACTATCCGCCTGTACAAAATGGAATGCCTTTCCAGGATCGTTCTCAGAACGAGTACCGACTTCAACATCTACAGCTAAACAATTTTCCCCTTCGAATGCCCCCCTTGCCTTCTCCAACCACCGAACGAAATGAACTCAGACAAACACCTAACAACACCTCCCAAACTCATTCTCCTCGTCGTGCCACCAGCCCTCTTGCTGGCAACCAAGCAACTCCTTATCCCAATGACTTTGAAAGTAATACCCCTCTTGTGCAAGCAATTGTTTGGGGTGACGTCAACCACAACTTTGTGGAGTATATTCATATTGCATTCAAAGCTCAAGGAATCCCTATCCAAACCCGTTTCTTACAATATGGAGTTGTTTCCCGTGATATTGTTATTAAGCAGATGATAATGGAGGGTGCCCGAGCAGTTCTCATCGTAGAACCTGATCAAGAAATCCAAGGCAAGGTATACCTACAAGTTTTCGAGCAGAGCGGTAGTACAGACACCAACAGTGTCCGTTTTGATGGTAAAGTATCCCCATTTAATAAGAATAAAGAAAGATATATTTGATATATATGATAATGCTAATTTGTGAGAGAAATCGTATAGAATATGACAGCATTACTGTCAAAGATGCCATTATAATTCTCCATCGTGCCCTGCAAAACTCTCCCTCTCACTCTCCACTTCCTGTGGTACCTCAAGCATACAATCGTAGCAAACAGCCTGCTACTCTTCCTACTGCTGTTGATAAGCTACCCGTTTCTTCACTGCAGCCAAACCACCTAGGTTTTGGTGGTATTCCCCACCTTCCCCAGTTTGCCCATCCTTCCGTTGTTAACAATCCTGAGCCTATCCCAGGCATTGCTACTGGAAACGTAAACGCCCTGGCAGCCTTCCTTACCTTGATGCAAAATGCAGCTGCCCAGACACCAGCAGCAGCTGCACCCCCTTCGGCCACTGCCCCTGATGCTCTTCAGCAGTTACTCGCTGCTTTTGGTGGAGCAAGTGCGCCCGCTTCTGCCCTCCCCTCTTCTTCTACGCAACCTTCCATCTGGGCTTCTGCACTAGGCTTATTGGCCCAACAACAACCCCAACTCAATAACATTATGGGTGCTGCCAATCTCTTTAATGGCACAAACGCCCAACTCTTACAAAGCATGATGGCAGCTGCATCAAATCCCACCCAAAATATCCCCACCTCCTCCCATTACGAATCTAGCCAACAGAATTACCCAAACCCCAAACAATCCTCGCTTTCTATGCCTCATAATGGCAATGCCATGCTTGAAAGAGACGAGATGATTAGTAGATTGCAAATGCTGTCTCAATCAGTTCAACAATCCCACCGTGCCCAAGATAGTACTCCCAAAAAAGAAACTAATAATAAGCGTGTATAAATATTAAGGCATAAATAATGTGATTAAGATAGACAGTTTCTCATTCCACATCACATTTGGCCATTCTAAAGTAAAGTTTAATTAAGCAATGGATGTGGGTCGTGTGACCGCTTTTCACTTTTTGCGCCACACATTTTCATCATTTATGGAGAAAGAGAGAGAGGGAAAGGTTTCTCAAAAAGTGCATACATTATGGCAGACGATAAAGAAAAGCAAGATCTGTTTGGGCTTGAGGCAGAAGATAGTGATGGTCATTCATCCCAAGAAGAAGAGGTTGAAGTGGTAGATAGTCGCTTCAAAACCATGCGATCTCGTACAAAGAAATCTCAAGCTGACGATGAAAGCGATCTCGACAGCGACGATGACATCTCTGACGACGGCAATGATGACATTTTTGGTGATGAGAGTGATGAATCTAAAGAGGAAGATACTGAGGAAGTCTCGGGTGAAATAAACGATAAATCAAGCAGCAAGACTGCATCAAAGAAAAAGAAAAAGATCAAGCCTTTGACACCCGAAGAACTCGAAAAATTTGAAAAGGAACAAAAAAAGATGGGTGTTTGCTACTTGCCCAGAATTCCTCCCTTTATGAAACCAATGCGTGTAAAGGCCCTTCTTTCCGAGTATGCTGAGATTGGTAGAATTTATCTTCAGCCAGAAGGTAAAATAGATAAATGAAACCGAAGAATAAGTTAGCAGAAACTATGGAAACCAGGATATTGAAGATGCTTTGGTATTTGTAGATCCCAAGATCACAGCACGTCGGAAAAAGTACGGAAAGAACAGAAGAGTTAACTATGTCGAAGGCTGGGTAGAGTTTAAGGATAAGAAGCGTGCAAAGACATTGTCTACATATTTGAACATGAAGCAAATTGGTAAAAAAAAATCACTGGGCTAATTTTAGTGAACACAGAAATAATTGCCCATATAAACTTACTTTGTGAAAAAAAACATAGGTGGAAAGAGAAAGAGCCATTACTACCATGATGTGTGGAACATTAAATATTTACCGAAATTCAAATGGACTCACTTGACAGAACAAATTGGTAAGATATAGATATATATATATATATCTAAATGATTAAGTAACTGATATATTGTGATATTGTCTACAGCTTATGAAAGACAGGCACGCGAACAGAGACTCCGTGCTGAAATTGCCCAAGCAAATCGTGAAAATAAGACTTATATCCAGAATGTCGAACGATCTAAGATGCACAAGAGTATTGAAGAAAAGAAGAGAAAGCGTGGTGATGATGATGATGGAAAGACTGAGGTCTTGCGTAGATCATTCAAACAGAGAGAATTGGTGGAGCGTGAAGGAGACACTTCAGCAAAGGCTTTAAAAACTGGAAAGGCTGCCATGGATCGTGTGGATGATACCATGAAGAGTGTGCTCAGCAAGGTGTTTGGCAAATAGAATCCATCGTAAATAGAATATTATAATAATAACAATAAATAGCCAAAAAAAAACTAAAAAAAAAACTGAAGACATTGTTTCATTGCATGTGTGTGTATAAAGTCTCTTTTAAGTAATCTAAACGTCGAGACTCAAGACAACAGTTGAATTTATTTGGAATATTAGTATTAAACTCAAGTTAATCACCCTTTGTTGATAATGGCAGAAGAATATGCTATAGTAGTAGGATTTGCTCGGCATGTAGCCTCTCTCTCTTTTGTATGATTGATGCTTATTAGTCGCGTTATCCGACCAAAACATTTAGATTTTCCTTGGATAAATAAGAAGCGGGAATCTACACTTAGGTATCCAGGTTCCTTCATGAAACGGAATACGCATATGCCTCTTTCTCCAGACGCTAATTCTGTTGTTTCTAACGATTGAGGTATTGATGGCTCGTTGGATAAGCAATCTGCTGCGGAAGGATTGTTATTCGATGCTATTTGTGGCTCAGTCGCTGTGTTTTTTCTTATAGACATAATTCGTGCTGGTTGCCGCACGGATCCGAGATGAACTAGGCCACAAGCACCTTTTGCGATACGCGTTTGATGATAAAGGACATTAAAATCTGCCTCAAACTCGAAAAAGCACTCTGGGGTGTCTGTGCCTAATACAAACATTCCTTTTTTGATGCAAAGCTCCTTTCGATCCGGGGAATATACTGCAAGCGTTGTTGTTTGTCCGCTAGAGGCATAGTGAACTGGCATGCGATGTCTGTGCATTGAGCTAACCATTATATTTACAAAGTTTCCCTCGGAATCCGGGCCAAGGAAATAAGTTCGTGGTGTGCTACTGCCCCTGATATCAATTGAACCTTTTTGAAGAACACCTCCAATGACAGCGCCTACATCTACATTTTTAAAAGAACAAAAAAACTGAGCTTATCAAATTCAAACCGCACAATTTTTTTTGGGTGTCTTGAGTGTACCTGGAAGTGAATAGACACTCTCGATCTGGAATTCTACTGGTCCCACCAGTAGTTTTTCATTGTTCTCCTTTGTGGGCTTGGGCAAAAGTTCAAAAAAATGCTCAAGATGACTAATATTTGTGTCCATGACATTAGACACTAAGAATATCGGAATTTTTGACCCTGTTGAGACCAAATCTGCTGCGCAACTAATGATGCTGTCTGTGTCTTGCACAACTACTGGTATCCTGTTGATCAAGGGGGACTTAAGAAGATAAAAAAGGGATCTAAGTGTGCGACTAAGCTGATCTGGTGTAGCAGCATCTGTCTTTGTCACGACTACAAATACAGGAACGTGTAGCATAATTGCTAACAAAAGATGCTCTTGTGTCATATCTGTTATACGGCCTGCATTTCCAGAAACTACTAGGCATGCATAATCTGGTGCATAGCCCGTTAGACCAGATATGGTTGTCTTGAGATACTTGGGGTGTCCGCAGGTATCAAGAAGTGTGACAAGTTTTGAGCTTTGTTCACAGATCTGCTCCCAAGTACTGATGTTCATAGTCGCAAAATTTATGAGACTTCCCCCTGAGTCATAACCGATAATTTCGTGTGCAATAGAAGATGTGTTTCCAGAAGCAATTTCATGTCGATGCCGCAGTAGGCTCATTCGTCCAACCCCGTTACCATTATCTCGCTCTCCATGGGCAATTCGACCTAGTAGCGTTGATTTTCCTGCATTTGAACCACCTACTATTGCAATACGTATATCCATAGGCCATCGTGAGTGAGTTGAGTTGTTCTTCTTGACAAGGGCTTCCACAACTCTGTTATCAGGAATAGACGAATGGAACGAAAATTCGGGATCGCCGAGTATAACCTCCCGTACTATATACACATCGGCTTCTAATAAGCTAGCCATTTTTCTCAGAGTGCTCAATGATGTTTCCATTTCTTTAGACGAAAGACCTGTTCACCCAAAAAATTGGTTTGAGTATGTTTTGCAACATAATCCAGATCTTTTTCTTTTTACCTATACAAGTGCCATCATCAGCTACACCTATTTCATATAGAGCCTCTCCATTTCCTTCAGATATTCTAATGTGTATAGATGTGTATGCGTTAGTTAGTTGTGCCTATATGGAAGTATTCTTTCTCTATCTCTTACCGCCATTTTAGTTGAGTTACGAGCTGTTCTAGCCTTTGAGTGGTTGGTCCGATCAATTTTAACTATGTTGATAATGTATTTATCAGTAATATACACAGACATATGTATATATGTATATATATATATATGTGTGTGTGTATTGATTTGATTTGGTTTGAAGTGTGGTTGATAATGCGATATATTTTACTTTATATTCAACGTTGCCTTTGTGGTCGACTTCTGGGGGTAGGTTTCCTTGTGAAAAGCCGTTTGTCCAAAGAGAGTCAGAATATTCTTTGGTATCGTTTCGCATGCCTGAGTGAATTTTGAGATTAGTTAAAGAGAGAAAGGTTTAGTCATTGGCTTAATGGAATTCGGAAGGGAACTTTGCTTACTGCCTTGTTCTCTGATAGTGTGCCCATGTGGGTATCAATCGGAGCAAGAAAGTCCCACCGGTTCCCATTCCAAGCCAAGAGCTCAAAAACTCCCAATTTTGGTTGACCGTCACCTAGCTTTGGAACCTGTCTGGGCATGACACTCCAAATTGGTAATGTAAAGAATGACGCTGAAAATCCCACCAGACAAATAAATAGTGGATTATACTTTTGCAACCAAACTTCTTAGGGATATTTTTTAAGAGTTGGTACACTACTTTAGAGGATTGTAAGCCATCAAGAATAATATATTTAGCATCCTAATAAATAAATAAATAAATACACTGTTACATAAAGAAGTTGATTCTTTTTTTACATTGAATTTGACTTTTAAAATTATCTCATCCTAATTCCCAAAATCGCTCAAATTTTCTGCTTCACACAATTATAATGATTTATTGCAATAAAAATAATAAATATATATAAAAATCTTGCTTGTGACTCTCCCCCCACCCCCTCTTTCTTCTCTCCTTGTCCCTAATCTCTGCCAAACCTTCTTTTTCTCCCCTCTTTTTTTTGTATTAAACAAAAAGACATAAAGCCCTATCTTACAGCCAATAATCAATGACAGAACTTGCCTTTGAATACTTTGACCCTGAGTCTGAGCTATGCAACCTAGACGAAAACGGTCGTCCTATCCGACCACGTAAAAAGCCAGGGAGAAAGCCCAATCCTCCTACACCTGCCCAACGCAAGGCACAAAACAGAGCTGCACAGCGCGCATTTCGGGAACGTAAACGTAGGGAGATGCGAGAGACAGAATCGACTATGAAGAGGAGCGTCCATGTTTTAGATAGTGCAGCTAGAGAAACAAAATTGTTGCGACAACGATTATCCGAACTATCATACGAGAACAAATATCTAAAGGGGGTCGTTCTCACCCTTAAATTGGCTTGTAAGGCTAATGGTGTGGAAATACCAAAATTCTGGGATGCCGGAGAGCTGGACGACATGGGAGCAGAAAAACTGTTGCATTCAAAGTCCAAGGATATACCACAGGCCCTCGAATTTTTTTTAAATAATCACAAGCAAATAATTGGAATCCCTCCACTTCCGCTGTCATCATATGCTGCTGCTACTACTACCAGCGTCACCACTACCATGAATAATTCTATAAATACAAATACGGCTGCGGCTACAACCACTACATCTTTAAATCATAACAATCATTTCAATAGTAACCAAGGCCAATTTAATCTATCTCAAGAACAGGAACATACACTCTGGACACCTGCTGGCTTGTCATTAAATTTCCCGGACACTCCACCTCTGGACCTTTCCCAACCACTTGCCTTACACCCGTCCTTTTTCCAGGATTATTATAATTCTATTACGTCCTCTTCTTCTTCCTTTAATCCTAAGGCTAGAGAATATAATGGCCGGCCACCTCCCGAGTGGCGTAAAACGCTCGAAAATTTGGGTATACAAGTGCACGATGGAATGACTAATATGGAAGACGATCAATCCTTATCGTCCAAAGATACGAATACGACGGATGCATTGGATGATATGTGGGTTGACCCTGCAACAGGGCTTTCACGTACAGTTACCGAAAGCCCAACACCTAATTCCCCAGTTGAAGAACCTACTCGACGAATCTTTCCTCCAATGACAGCAATACAAGCATTAGAATTCATCGAAAATACAATACAGCCTGATGAACTTCAAACTCGTTCTTTATTCCAACCCAGTAAGATGTTTTGCTATTGTTACTGTATTAAAGTGCTTTATCTATATAGCTATATATATATATCTCTGTGTGTGGGTATATACATGTATGTATATTTAATTTATTTGAACAATGATTATTTGTAGCTGAATTGCAACGCATGATTCCTCACGATTCTCGTATAGACGTCATCCCTGGAGCGTCTATGCGTGATCTCATGATAATATACCAGGATTTCTACGATGCGGACCAAATGTTTAAGATGGTCATTGACTCAGCTTTGTTCCTTGGTGGTGACCTCGGGAATTTGGATGCTTGGATGGTAGGACCATCGTTCCTTGAGAGGTATTGGTTCTTGTGCTCATTCCAGATTGGAGTAATCCGCCTCGACAATTCCGCCAATTATGCTATCAAGATAGCGAAGAATATGATAAATCTACTGTTGACTGAACGGAAAAATATGTACTTGCATCGAGATCTATTTGAGGATTGTTTCCCGCCTTGTACAATCTGATTACTTTATTGGCGAATAAAGCACAACCAACGCTAGTAACTTTGAAGTATATGTATATGTATGTTTTATATTTACACTTATTTTTGTAGTCGTGTTTGTATACACATTTGATGAATAATTATAGATAATAATTGTCGTATTCTGGTACTCTGGTACTCTGGCATTCTGGTATTTGTACATAGATAAAGATATTAAATATATAAAACAAATAAAAAAAAATTATTACAAAAGAGGAATATTCAAGTGCAATGTTCTTTTTTCGATCTTCAGGAAGAACCCTTTTTTTCTTGAAAGTTAGAGGGTTAAATACCAAATTCTGGTCTTTTTCTTTCTTTTTCTTACAATACCAATTTGAAAATAAGCGCTTAATTACTATCGCAAAAATAATAGTTTGGTAACATTTTATTTTACTTTTGAAACAATAGATAATATAAATATATATTATATATATATATATTAAAAGTATTGCTGTTTAATTTTAGCCAATAATGGTTTTTATTATTTGGTTTGTACTAAAACAACTTGACAGTTGTACATCCAAGAAATATCTACATCGCCGCACTTGGAATTTTAATTATACTTCTCCCTCAATAATGAAAGTGCCAGTAAATTTCTGCTGTCATGAATAATAAGTCATAATTTGAATATTATATATCAACAAAAGAAAAGAAAAAAAAAAGCAATTGAACACTGCTATTTTTTGTATAAATATATATGTATATATGAATGTACATATATAGGCATATACATATATGTGGGTGTAGAATAAATGAATAAATAAAACAAATATTTAGATTGTCTGAACGTGGTTTTCAAGGCACACCTGTCTGTGTGACCTCGTTCAGATCTGATTCTTTTTTTTTTTTTTTTAATTTGACTTACAGCACAGAACTAATATTTTTTACGCTCTATTTCTATCCCCATATTTACCTATACCTCTCCTTTTGTGTGCGTGTGTGCGTGTGTGTTTGTAGTTCTTGTGTGCGTGTTTTTTTTCTGTAATTAAAGTCAGGATGGGAACGCATTCCACTCAGTCTACTCGTTCCAAGGCAGCTTTTTACGGAATCTGCTGTACATTTGTACTTGTCATCTTTACCGCCGTCCTTCAATTTATCTATGGTAGGGCCCTAGACAAACCACAATAATTAAATGAGTAAATAAGTAGATAAAACAATGTCGAAGAATAAAGAAAGAGAGAAAAAAAAGTGTGCTTGACATCTTGAGTAGAACCAAACGATCGCAGTCGCTGCAGTGGCATGCTCAATGATGGCTGGTGGTTGGATGATGCCTACAAAGTATGGCAGCCGTCAGGATGTATGATGCACAACTTTCAGACATCAGAAATCTCTAGTTGTCTTGGTCACTCTAAACTACTCTACATTGGTGACTCTGTCGTTCGCCAACAATTCTATGCTACGGCCACATTGATCCGAGAAAACACAACAAGCATAGCCCCAGGACACACTGATGTTCGATTTGACTTTACCCCAGAAAACCTCTCGGTCGAGTTCTGGTGGGACCCTTATCTTAATTCTACCCGGACAGTCGAGTTGCTCGAATCAAGATCAACAGCTTCTCGTCCTAGTCTTCTCGTTGTTGGAACTGGTTTGTGGCACATGCGACATCTCGAGGATGATTACTATGTCGAGTGGAGAAATTCTGTCAATCGTGTATTTGATGCTGTCCAGGGTAACAAAAATAAGAATAACAAAATTGCCGATGCGGTCGTGATGGCTCCAGTCGAATTACCTTTTTTCGACCAACTTTCTAAAGATCGACATGACACCATAACTTTACCTAAGGTCGAGGTTATGAATGGATATCTCAAGGATAGACAAAGTGAACTCGAATTGACCACATCATTTGCTATACCTTTTGCTTGGAACAAGATATCAGTAGGGATGAACAATGCGACAAAGGACGGGTTGCATTTTTATCCCTCCGTGACTCAGGCACAAATCCAGCTTGGCTTGAACTACAGGTGTAATGATCAATTACCAAAGACCTTTCCGATGAGCAACACATGCTGTTTCCGTTATCCAACCCCCAGGTGGTATCAGACCATATTCTTCTTCTTATTCTTGGTATGGATACCTTTTGGCATGTACCTTGCCGGTTCAGGTAAAACTTGATGGAATAAAAGAGAATAATAATAATATTATTATTAGTATTATTTACTTATTTATATATCTATATATCTATACTTGTGTGTGTGTGTATACTTTTATCTATAGGATACATGAAAAGCGTGACCCAGTGCTTGTTTCCTTCAGAGTCTGTGCTGAAAGCACTGTTTTTGTTTGGTCTGTGCGTGATTTACATGTTTTTCGGCGACCGGACTCACCTCTTTGGCAAGATACACAAACACTTTGATCCGGCCATGTTTGGTGGACTTCTGGTTGCTGTATTGGTTGGGGGTCTGGTGTCCTTGAAATCAACAAACGAAGGTGACCTAGGATTCTTGAACAGAGACCAGACCGATGAGTGGAAGGGGTGGATGCAGGTCATCATTCTAGTGTACCATTTCACAGGCGCTTCTAGTGTTTCGGGGATCTACAATGCAGTCCGAGTACTTGTGGCGGGCTACCTTTTCCAAACTGGCTATGGCCACTTCTTCTTCTTTTACAAAAAAGGGGATTACGGATTGGGCCGAATTCTCAATGTTGTGGTCCGACTGAATATGTTGACGTTTGTGTTGCAGTATTTGATGGACACAGACTATCTGAGCTACTACTTTACGCCTTTGGTTTCGTTTTGGTTCTTTGTAATCTGGATTACGATGTATATACACAACAAGGCTAACCGGATAGTCTGGTTCCTTTTGCTGAAGATTGTGATTGCGTCGATGGTGACGACGACCTTGATCCATTACCCTGGGATCCTGGAGACTATCTTTGAATGGCTCAAGCTTGGATTCAATATTGACTGGGATGCTGTAGAGTGGCGGTTCCGGCTGAGATTGGACGCGTGGATTGTGTATGTGGGTATGCTGAGTGCATTTGCTTACATAAAGTGTATGGAGTACAAACTTCATGAGTCTGGAGTGTGGCCTATGGTAAAGAAGACCTGTATTGGATTGTCTTGCGTAGGGATGACCTGGTATTTTTGGTTTGAACTTTCGCAGGATACCAAGGTGGTCTATAATAATTCGCACCCTTACATTTCATGGGTGCCGATTCTAGCCTTTGTCGTTCTTCGGAACGCAACCGCAAAACTTCGAAATACGAGTTCTCGATTTTACTGTTTTATCGGCAAGATTTCACTGGAGACGTTTATTGGACAGTTCCACATGTGGTTGGCAGGCGACACACGGGGGTTATTAGTTGTACTTGCCCGCCCAGAGTGGGCCCGTGGACTGGGCTGGTGGCTTAACTTGGGAATATCGACAATACTGTTTCTTTCTGTATCTTATTACCTTGGTCAGGCTACTACCGAACTTACGAAGTGGATCTGTTCCGGTGTTAACAAAGCTTCCCAGTCTGTGGGTGCCCCTCGATATTATGAAACCAATGCTACTTCTGCTACCTCTGCTGCGGCTGCGGCTATTGGTGGAGGTAATGGTGGTGGGAACGAATACCAATCAATTCCGCTTCTTCCGGCCACCACCCAAACATTAGATACATCTGTTCACACGGAAACTTCGGCTGAAAGTCCATCTGTATCAGCACGGGGATCTATTGATGAAGAACTTGGGTCGCCTGTTAAAAGACCTTCTTGGACAGAGCGCATAGGATGGTTTTGGGGGGACGTTCGCGTCAAATGTGTTGCTTTCTTACTCTGTTTAGGAATTGTCAATAGACTGTGTTAGTGATGTATTATTATTCTTTTTCTTCTAATGTTTTGTTTTTTTAGTCTTTCTTTATTTCTTTGTTAATTCACTCCAAAGAAGAATTCTTTTTAGAAAATGTATTCTCTTTAACTTCTTTTCTCTGTCTCTCTCTTTATCTATATATATATATATATTGGTATTAATGTGTCTTTATGTACATGTGTATTTCTGTGCGTGTAATTTAGTATATTATATTATAGTATCCTGTACTGTAATGTACTGAACTGAACTGAACTGTATTGTATTGTGTGTCTGGGTGTGTCTGGGTGTATCTGGGTGTCTGTGCGGGTAATTGATCTGATGAGGAAATAAAAGCTCAAGTTGACTGAGAACTATAGTAAGAAGAATACCGATGACCGCTCAAGTGACTCTATTGAATGTATATACGAACGAAAGATGGGGGAGGGCTTCGGTTTGTATATCAAATGTATTCTTTGTTATGGTCTTTGTGATCAGGTGAAAAAATAAAGTCGCAAAAAGCAAAGCATAAAGCAAGGCAAAAGTCGCCAGTTTAAAAACAATCGATTTTGGTGAACCATTGCTATATCCAAAGAAAACAACAACAACAACAAATCCTGTGCCTTGATTCTATATATAAAGAAAATGAAATTATACACATTATAAACCTTATTATTACTAGTATTATAAATATATTATATTATTTTGCTTGTCACTTGTAGCTAGGTAACAAACACAATCTTCTCTGTGTTTTATTTATCTTTTGAGTGTCTTGTAAAACAAAAAATATTGAATCAGATATTAAAATTCTTTTAACCCAATAAATACATCTAGCTGCAGGCGGAAAGGCGTACTGAGGATATTGATATATTATATTACTGGATAAAGCGACGCCACACAATTTTACGTTAATAACAGAAGAACTAAGTTTATTCTTTATTTCACAAAAAGGATAATAATTAAGAAATATATAAATACAATTGATGCTCCTGTAAGATAATTAGGTATCAATTTGACTTTCATACACTCAAGGCATTTTTAAGGATTAAATCCTTTTTACAAGAAAGCTCGGAAAGATTAGTTGTATTTTAGGAGAGCAAGAAAAATGCCTAATGGTTCATTTTAAGATTTGTTTGAACTAACAGAAAATAAGATCAATGCAAGTCTTTAAACACCTTAAAGTTGCTTGTAACAGCTTAAAAACTCATGCTAAAATATTGGACCACTGAGAGAAGAATAGCAAGCTTGTCAAGTCAACCTTGGGAAATATACTTGGTCATAGTGATAATATATATATATATATATATTGCCCCTTTCTTCCTAGCGTATATAAATGATATTTTAACAAAGTAAAATAAATATGTTTTTTTTTCAACCATTCTCTTTACTAGATATATAGGTAAAGTTACTATAGCAACACCTTTTAATTTTATTTTGTGAAAAATTGCTAATTATATTTTAGATATTCTTTGCGTGCTATACATATATTTCTTCTTTACTACTACTTCTACTGATTAAGTTGGAACATTGACTGTTACAACTAGTGCTACACAAGGTTGGTTTTCTAAATGCACAATATGTATATTTATTTAAAGTGTTGTATATATAGATATTTATATTTACATTTATATTAACCTGTGGTGGTGAAGTTACCTGTAAGCACGGACATTCAATCGTCTGAAATACAAAAATACTAAGATCCTTTATCTTCTATCCCAACGATACAATTTACAGCCTTTTTTTTTTAATTAAAAAAAAAGAAGACGAAGAAGACGAAAAAAAATGATGTGAAAACAGTTATAAGATGACGAGAAAACACACATACAAACAAACTGAAACCAAAGGTACTAAAATTATGTTATACCACATTATTCTATAAAATATACTATGTGCTGTATAAATATACGTATGTAGTATTGGTAATCGTCATATTACTACATGGTTTTAGTATCATCGTTTGGTTAACACATTAGATCGATTGTAGCGTGTGCATGTAGTGTGGTAGAGAAAAGAATAAAACAAATAAAGACGCCAGAATTACTAACCATCTTCAAGAACCTATCCGAGTTGTCTGATTTGTTTTTTTTTAAAGCTTTTTTTTGAATTTCTTTTGGGTGACCATCATTCGTCAGTCAGTCTGTTTGTCAGAGAAAGAGAGAGGCATTAAAATAATGCTTCAAGACAGCTGTGTTGTACGTTTGGAATATGCCATATATAGAAAATGAAGCATGTCAAATGTCAAAAAAGGTTCTCACATGTGGAACGAGAGGTTGGTAGATGAGCAGATCCGGATAACGTGCCGTAAAATAATCAAGAAAGAAAGGAAAAAACTACTTATGATGATAATAATGATATGGTAAGAGGCAAAATAGTTAAGAAGATATGTACCATGTAGGAATGATAGTTTCCGACAAAGAAGTAAAGAGACCAAAGGCACTGTTAGCTCGCTTTTTGAGTTCCTTCCTTTCTTCTTTCTCCTCTTCTTCCTCTTCATATTCTTTCTGTTTGCTCGATTTCCTCTAAATTTACTGTATGCTGTCTCTATCACTTTTACATATCTGATTTAATTCGTCTATTTATTTATTCCTTTACTTGTCAAAAAGGATCAGAAGGCCAGAAACCAAAAACAAAAAGAAGAAAAGAAGAAGAAGCAAATAACAAAATAAAAACAAAAATAAAAACAAAAACAACAGGAATAATAATTATATCATGATTTGCAAGCTATCAATAGGCCCATTTTTTACTACGACTGTCTACCTTTACTTGCGTGATCTTGTCAACCTCAAGTTCAAGTCGCGCCCGACTCCACCATCAGGTCTCCACGCTTCCGGGTGTGTGGCGAAACCGCCAGCTGTTTGGTTTGGTTTGGTTTGGTCTGGTCTGGTCTGGTCTGGTCTGGTTTGGATTCGGATTCGGATTCAGATACTAGTGCTGGGCTGATCACAGACAATGTTATCCAGAACCTAGTACACAAGATTTCTCGGGACTACAATGCTGTCCGGGAATTTCGGCTTGATTATCGTCTGCCCCTGTCGACCAAGATCAAGACGAAGAGCCTGCTGCTAGCCCTTCAGTTAAACTTGAATACTTCGTCTATCACTTTGGTTTCAAACCTACTCGATGTACAGCTGGCCAATCTGTGCACCAACCTCGAAGATTATCTCTTTTCACTTTTTTATTCCAACTTGCTCAGCGACAGACAGACAGCTCTACGTATCCCGTTCACAATCGAGGATTATGTGTGTGACGCACGCACCAACATGGCGTACATTGAGGATGTAGTGGTACGTATCGGACCGTCTGGCCGTTTCCATCCTCAAAATGACTAGGTAGGATTCTTTGGGCGCTTTTTTTTTCTTGCTTAGTGCTCTGGACGACCCCCTTTCTTCCGTCCGAGCAATTTGAGTCGTTTAATGTCCAAAAAACATTGTTTGTGGTAAATAATGCTACAGTTAATGAGGATAGACAGTATACCGGTAGAAATTATACAGACTATGTCGACGTAGGTTAAAGTAAAGTTGTAAACCCAAACGACGATCGATTGGGTTGATTATAGGGCTTGAATGGATTCCTCTTTAACAAACAATCTGGCTACCAAAAGCGCAATTATGATCGAGGAGGATCGTCGGAGATGATGGGGTACTACTGTACGACTAAACATACAAAGCTTAAGCAGACCAGTCTTGAAACACCCATCAGATATACCGCCACAAAGACATTTTGTGAGAATAAGAATAATACCAATATTAAGAATAAGAATAAAAATACGAATACAAATACGGATACAAGTATGAATAAGAATAAGAATAAGAATAAGAACATGAATATGAATAAGAAGAAGGCCCATAGTTACAGTCCTGCCCATCGCCACCGCACCCTTGAAAAGGTCACAACATCTATTCCGAAACAGACCGGGGTCTATCCGGTACAGCCCATTTTACGAGTAATGTGCTTCTGGCCAGCTTAACGAGCAATACAAAGCAGCTCTAGTGATACTTGTATAGATGTCCAGTAATTACAAAGACCAGGAGCTGTGTCTCATTAGAGTAATGATTTCGTATGATAGTTATTAATAGCTATTATTAATTATTATTCATTATTGTTATTAGACTAAAAAATTATGATAATTCATATTTAATATTTAATATTAATAATTTAAAGTACTTTCCTTTTTTTATGCCCTGAATTTTGTCTTTTTTGTTTTTGTTTATTATTATTATAATATTTTATGGCTCTATTTCAACTTTCTCAGAAACTCTAGTGCAACGCACGAGCTTTCTGTAGCTTATCATGTATCAGCTAAAACGCCCAATCTATGCCTTTCTCTTTCATCTTCTCTGTATCAATAAAAACGAAATTAGTATGGGATAATGAAATAAAGAGATATATAGATATATAGATATATAGATAAATAAAGAAGGAGAGTGGGATCCACTGAGTATTTTCTGTGCACTTTTTCTTGCAACTAATTGAAAATAATAAGAATCAAAGAGTAAGGATAATAATGATATATATATATTTTCTTGTTTCAATATTTACCTCATTATTTACATAATATTATCAGTATTAGCATTAGTGTTTTACGCCAAATAATAAGAGTATTAGGATATAAACCAAGGCTAATTATTATTATTATTATTATTATTATTATTACTATTACTTATTTTCACTCGCCCTTTTCTTTGTCTGTCTTTATTTGTCATTTGTCAAGAGATACAAAGTTAATATTTTTGGGTTTTATTTGATTTGATTTGATTTGATTTGATTCGACTTGATTTGTTTTTTTTTTTGGAGGGGAGGAGTAGGAGGGAAAGGGAATAAATGCGCTCAGGACAGGATTTTTTAATACAGTGTTTTGACTTGGTTTTCCGACCTTTTAAAAAAAATTGGACGTTTTCTCTCTCTCTTTTTTTTTTTTTTTTTTTTTTTTTTTACCTTTCAGATTTTAATTTCAGACTGTTTCCAAAAACAGCTTGGAAATTATTTTACTTTTTTTGGAAGGTTTATTGTTTAAACACAGACGGGTTTCTTACTATATTAGGACGCGCCCTACATACAGTCATTACGGGTTCAATTAGCGCTTTCTCAGAAGTAAGGACAATGTCTCAATGATGATGGTAACTTTGAGTGTAAAAGACAAAAACAGATGGTACTATGAATAAAACTATCGTGATATTAGCTATTATTTTATTACATTTGGCTGTTTTGGTAGAGAATTTTCAATAGATTTTACAAAATTTTGAGTATATAACTTTGTAAATCAGCAAGTAAAATATTATTAGAAGCTTAATACATTATATATATTAAATGTATCTCTATGATGAAAACCCTTGCGCTACAACTTACGAAGCTATTAAAAGCTTAACACAAGCGTCCAAAGAATTTTAGTCCTAAAACTTCAAGTGAATTAAAACTATAATAACATACTGAGAAACATGAAAAAGTTTTGCACGACTTTAGTAGCAATATGAGTGGATGTCTAATACAAAGCACCAGACATGGATCATATGTCAAATATGCATTTTTTGTATAAGATGCTGTTTTTATATCAGCATGAGACCAGGATATGAAAGAGCTTTGAAAGCTAAGCGTACAATAGCTAAGACACTATCAAAAAGAGGTAAATTCCTTTGAATTTTATGAGCAGCTTTAGCTATAGGTGTCATCAATGCTAAAATAAAAACCAAACACCAGCTAAAATTTATAAGAGCCACTGTTTCTGGTAGAAAACTAAAGCATTCACCACCTGGTACTTTTGGTACAGCTAGCGACGCTTTTCTTAATTTAATTAAGCCAACAATTAAGACTAGATAAAGAACCAAGATGTGCAAATAGCTATATTGTTACGGATAATATCGACATTCATTACAGTGGTCAAAGTTTGCGAATGTTACAGATAGAGGCTACAGATCTATGCCCTTTCCTTTATATTCCCGAGAATTAGACCCAATCAAACAGTTTTGAGTTGGTATCAAGTACAAGGTCAAGCGATCAAAGTTTTAATCCACTGAAGATATTTATATATATATATATATAATGTATTAAGCTTCTAATAATATTCCACTTGCTGATTTACAAAGTTATATACTCAAAATTCTGTGAAAGCTATTTTTTTAAAAAAAAAAACTAGATAAATAGCCAAATTTAATAAAATAATAATAATAAAAATAGTTGATATTATGATAGTTTTTATTCATAGCTGTCTTTTGCCTTGTAATATATTATTGTTCTGACTTCTGAGCAAGCGCTAATTGAACCTACAATGACTGTATGTAGGATTTCAACCAAATATAGTAAATAATACGTCTGGGATTAAAATATTTTCTTTCCAAAACAAGTAGCCTATTTATTCACTGTTTTTTAAAACTGTCTGAAATTAAAATCTGAAAGGTCAAAAAAAAAAAGAGAGAACGTCCAATTTTTTTTTGTAAAGGTCGGAAAGCCAAGTCAAAACACTGTATATATTTTTTTTCCCAAAGGCGCATTCGGTGATTGAAATTACTCTAAATATGAATATAATTAGTGGAGCAATCACAGGAAAAGAAGAAGAATAAGGAAGAATAAGAAACCAAAATGAAAAAAAAGTAAGATAAAATAAAATAAGAAAGCGAGAAATTGAGGTAGAGAAAGTTGTAAAAAAAAGCGTAAAAAAGTGAAAAGATGAGAAAAGTGAAATATGATAGAAAAACAAAAAAAAAAAGAAAAGAAAAAAAAAAAGTTTATTCCTGCCTATGAGAGGCACGGGGTGAAGGTTATTTTGTTATTTTGGCTTGATGTTTGTGTGCCTCACTGTGAAGGCTCTTTGACATGGTCTAGATGAACAGTACATCTTTAATAGGAAGAGGTTTTTTATGTTAGAATGAAATAAGAAAAAAAAGTTTAAAAAATAGTGGGCAAATTTCTATTTGGTCTATATGTCCTATGTGCTACCGCGTGTTTTCGGTCATTGGGAATTACTCGCTGTATTTATTATTATTATTAGTATTATTTTTGGCGTTTTTTTTTTAATAAATAAATAAATAACTAAATAAAAAGAAACAGAGTAATGGATGTGTGCTGTATATTTGCTGTGTATTTACTATATACGGTGTACTATGTGCTATGTACCGTGTAGTGTGTGTGTAGTGTGTGTGCACATAAGTGATATTTTATGATTTATATGTCAAATTCGGTGCTCCACCTTAGTAGGTGAGTGTTAGAAGCATAATTTATTTTTTTTGCAAAACTATACCTATTTTATTCTTATTTATTTATTTATTTATTTATTTATTTATGCATTTATCTTCATTTTGCCTTACCCTGTTTTCGCCTTCGCCTTGATTTTCTTCATCCCTCCCCCCGTTTCCACTCCTTTCTCCCTTTCTCCCTTTCTCCCTCTCCTTCCCTCCCCCCTTTTTTTTTGTTTCTAAAAACAAATCATACACACACACACTAGACACACTAGACAGGCACACATTTAAATTTGCATTTATATATATATATACACTGACGGACTGACGGACAATCTACACACTTCTCTTTCTGTATTCTCTACAACTTTCATTTCTTTGAATAAGTTCACGATGCTTGCACAAATCCAGCCTAGCGTTCAAATCTCTGGCCTTCCAACACCTGCACCAAGTCCCTCTCTTGGGACAACCTTCTACATCAAACCACTCAATCTACAAGGTGGTCAATGGTAATTATATAATTATATAAATATTTAATCTTTTATTCATTTAATATTAACATCAACCATTTATTATAACAGTACTTGGTGTGGAAAATATGGTCACAAAAGAAGGGGCTGTTCTTTCTTAAAGTAAAAAAGAAACAAAAAAAAACACCAACACCAACATCAACCACGTCCTGCAAAACTCAACTATTGAAAACAAAACTTTCTTTGATCACCAATCTCGAATACCACGAACAACAACTACAACAACTACAACTACAACAGTCTACTTAACCATTTCCTATTCGGACATCAACTATTTCTATATATGTATCTTCTTACATGTCACCCTGCCCATCCTTTCAACCAAGCCCAATACCAGAAAAAATCTTACAGCACCACTATCACCATCGCAACGAACAAATTTAATCCTCCGCCCATTCCCGTCAACACTTCTTTAACATCTTCCTCTTCCTTCGTTCCTTCTTGTTCCATTAACCCAAATTTCCTGCAATATTTTCTTTTCTCATATATTTCTATGTAACAAAACCAAAAATCCAAACCTACAATTTCTGTACATAACTTTCTCCCCCATACAACCTTCTTTGACTATTATTTTTTCTTTCTTTTATTCTTATTCTTACCTTGATCAATGTTTTTCATGCCAAATATTTTATTTCTTTTTCTGTTTTCTTTTATTTATTCTCCTTGTTATTTTGTCTTCTAATCTGTACAGTTGAAAGAAACATTTGATGTTGCCATTTATGCTATAATCCCCTTCTCCCCCTTCTTCTCCCTCCAAAAAAAAACAATAATAATAATAATATTACATTCATTATTATTATTATTATTACTTATTTATTTATTTATTTATTTATTTATTTATTTTTGTTTTTATATCTCATATATATATATATACATACATACATCTTTACTTCGAAACCTCTTTATTGGTATTACTTACAAAACCAAAAAAAAATAAAAAATTATTGTTGCTTTTATCGTGTAATTTGACAATATTATATATATATATCCTAGAGACAACCTCCAAGACAATGAAATCATTAAAACAAAAGATCGCCCGAGCGCGTCACACGTCCTCAAATTCATATGCTATTATGGTTAAACATTTATATAATTATATATTATTCTTATTCTTATTCTTAATACATCAAATGTATATATATATATATATCATTTGAATACTGTAGTGTTGCTGTTTTCTTCTTCTTCATATATCCTGTATGCATATAATTTATATATATAGATTACTATAGAAAGAAAGAGACGTTTATAGAAAAGAAAAGAAAAGAAAAAAGAAGTAGTTACGGTCCGGGCATTCCGGAGTCTCGGAATCGATAAAGGTGTACAATTCTTATTGAAGTTGATTTGTAGCCTAAGATTATACAGGATTTTGTATATATAAAGAGAAATTAAGCATCGGGATGTGGTATCAGAAAGGGAATTTAAAACTGACAAACAGAAAGGCAGAAAGACAGAAAGGCAGAAAGACAGAAAGGCAGAAGGACGGACAGGTGGACTGAAGGACTGAATGACTTAATAGAATAGAATGCCAGAGCAATGGAGATTTAGAGGATTAGAGATTTAGTCTCTTTTTGTCTTTAGTTTATTCTTTTATTCTTTTTAGGCATGGGGTTTGTTAGATGAGTTTTCAATAATCAACAGTTGTCATACCAAATCTTAAAAAAAAACCAAAAACCAAAAACCAAAAACCAAACCAAAAAGATTAAGAGCACAGTCCATTCAGTCTAAAAATCACACTATACCACACTTCACAACCCTACATTACATTGCACTACACATATACATACATGTACATATATTTAATATAACCTCCTACTGTTCCAGACTACATATGGCTTTAGCTTTACAAACCTATTAGTCAATTCATTCTCCTGAAAAGCTACAGATAATTTAATGATGTCACTATTATATTATTACAATTTTCTTTCTTTTTTTTTTTAAAAAAAAAGCTTCATAGACGAATATTTGGGACTCTGCACAACTTTAATATTTTAGTCATTAATTGGTGCGTCTATTATGATTAATTTGATAAAAGTGGTATGCTGTGTTTTGGTGTGGTGTGGTGTGGTGTGGTGTGGTGTTCTGATAGTCCAATTCACTGGTGTAAGGAGACCAGATACTCTAAATAATTATATTTTCATATGTATATGTATATTTTATTATTGATTTAAATAGAATGCATTTATAAATAATATTTGGTCCAAGCGTCAATATTACATAGATACACTTATACATTCATACAGATATGCATACACGGCATACATGCATACATACATATATACATACACATATTTATTTTTATATATATAAATATATTATATACTTATAAAATAAGGTATTCTTCCCTTTGGACGCCGATGACGGGTGCCTTGAATTCGGAATGGAATCCATATGGGCTCAGATGGTCTGAGCTGATTATGAGAATAATAGTGTTACTTAAAACTTAAATAAAGTAACCATGGTTACATTAACAAAAAAAAGAAAAAGAAAATAGGGCACGTCAGTAGTTTTATATATATATTTTCTGTGCAAAAAATAGGCAGTTGGCGTTTTGGGCAGGTTTGTTATTCAAAATAGAATACCAAGCTTATATTTATCCGTAACTGTTTTTGTTGTTGTTGTTGTTTCTGCGGCTGTTGTTATATTTGTTTTTTAAGATTGCCGTAGTCAAGTAACCAGCTAGTCAATTAAGCAACTAGCTTAAAAGTATAATATTAATAAATCTCACCCATACGCACACACCTACACACCTACACACCTACACACCTATACACCTACACTTTTTTTCTGTATATATTTTGCATGTGCGTGAGTATAGATTATCAAGATATACCTAATATATATTGTATTCCAAATATCCAATAAATTATGGTCTGTGGTTGTGATTTTTTTCTATTAGGATTATGATTATGATTATGATTCTTGTCAATTATCAACTGTCAATAGTAGTAGAAATCATAATAAATATTGTCAATTATTTCTTTGTCTGTTTTGATTCCCTTGGTTATTTTTTTTTTAGACTTATTCCGATCTCGATCTCGATCTCGCTCTCGCTCTCGCTCTCTCTATCTCTTTTGGCTGTGCCACTTTAATGAGGTCCGAGGGTAATAATTTGCTGGACTCTTATAGATAAATATATACATATAATGTATTGTACTGTATATTATAACACGGCAATCTAATACATTAAACACAGCTGTTCTTCACACCCAAGTAAATAAGTAAATAAAGAATATTCATGATGGCTACCCCCTCTTTATATACATATACATACACATATATAAACAACAACAAAATACAAAGTACAAAATACAAAAATCACCTAGCTTCTGATCTTGGGCAATCAATTTGCCTAGACTCAGGTCAGGTCAAGGCTATTATTAATTATTGCCATTAGCTTTTACATAATAAAAAAAAACCTCCCCACCCCCCCTTTATCAAAATACAACTAATTGACAAGCATGTGCCCACACACAATTATATATATATATATATCTTTTAGTTGTGGGTGGCCTGAGCTTTGGTGCCCAAAAATATAAATATAAATGTAAACATTATATTCTAACGCTTCTTTGCCTATTGTAAATATCATAAACTTGAGAATCAAGAACTCCAAATACACATCTTGGTATTACCTGCAAAGGCTATTCAGTCTGGTCTGGTCTATTCGGGCTTGGTCTAGACCTTGTATCGCTATTATTTTTTCTATTCAATAATATGTATATAGACCGGTAACCTTTTTGTAAAATAAAATAAAAAAAAACCAGCAACAGCACCTGTATACATATATAATATAACGTTTAAATCTGAATACAAACTTATACCATCTCTCATCTCTACCCCCCCTTTATTTTTCTTTTCTTGTTGTCCCACTTTAGTACACTGGATATTATAATTCTTATTATGCTTGTGCTTAATATATTATAAGCTCTTTATTAATTATAATAATAGTAATATTATTTAATAGTATCAAAGTATCAGTTATATAATAAGGCCGCTTGATAAGAAATACAGATATAATTCAAAGTTTCTGGTGTTCACTATTTTCATATGCCTGCAACCTTGAGTACCCAATAAAGGGGGTTTTCTATTCTTACTATGTTATCATATATATATATATATATAGTACATACATATATATCTTTTGGGGGGTGTTTCAATTTATGCTTTTTGCTTTAAAATATATATAAAAAATAAAAAGTCGACAACGGAACCTGCCGATATTGAAAACTCTTTATTGGTTATCAATATCAAAGCACACACACAAAGAAAAAAAATTGACACTGTGTATCCAATTAATGTGACACACAACACACAACACACAAATACACGCCACTTTAAGGTTGATGGAGGAGGCATAGGAACTAAACAGCTGGGAGAACCAGAAGAAGAAGAAGAAGAAGAAGAAGAAACAAATTGATAGACCGGTAGACTTTGATAATGCTACATATAACCTTTTCTTTTTTTTTTAAAAAAAAAAAAGACCATGTATAAAATATCTTACAGCTATTTAATTTATATAATAAAGAAAAAGAAGTATATATCTTTTCTTAATAATAGACCATTTTCCTAGTGTATTTTGTTGTTGTCCAAAAAAAAATCAAGGAAAGAAATAAAGGAAAATAGACGCACAAAATATGGTGTTTCTTGTATTTACTTTATTGTTTCTAGACCTTTATAATACAGGAAAGTTTCAAATCAAGCTTGTTAAATGTTTCAAGTCATATATAAATAAATTATTTTATTCTTAAGAAAAAGAAGAGAGAAAAAAACTTGAAAATCAAAGCATAAAATTTTAGAGTAAAAGATGTATGTATAATATAATATAATATAATATCAAATCAATCGTTCAATTGTATAGACAATCGATATTTTGTTTTTGTGATTTATAACCAAGGAAACCAATCTAAAGTGAATACAGCTCTCTTTTTCTATATAGAGAAAAACCGAAAAAGAGAACGCGTATTGGTTCAAAGGATAGGTCAAGCCCGATTTTAGTTTTAAGATATGTATATGTATGTGAAAGAAAGCTCTACTGTGTAAAATCACCAGCTACCATCTTTTGCCAGATTTCCTGCTCTCTATTCAATTCTGAAAATCCTTGTTCATCAGTGTAAAACATGAAAAAGGCCTCGAATGGTCTGCTTTCAAGAGTACCCTTTGTAACACAGCTTGCGTGTGAAGGTACCTGTCCATTAAGACTATTGAGCCGGACAACATAGCGAGCGTGCGAGAGATACCCATTAGTCGATGTGTAGGCAGCCCGTTCAATGTGATCATCGATATTGGCTCCATCTCCACGCTCTGCTCTTCCGGGTTCTCTGCTAGTGGTCTTTAATGGGTGATCAGTACCAACCCAGGAGCCATCTGGATAATACATAATAACAGGATATGTGGTCATTGGAGATGCCCTACATAATACGAACATTAACAACACAGTTAGATAGATTGTATACAGCTATATAGAAACTGAAATCAAGATCATAACAAGCCTTACATTTGTTGAGTTTGGTTTAGAGGAGCTACAGACATGAGGGCAATTTGGTTTCCAGGCTTGTCAAAAGGTGGTTCTTCGTCACGTGTAGGATAAAGCTCTGCATGGGTTTGAACATTGTACCAATGCTGAAATCCGGTCTTTTCGGGATTGCACACATAAACTCTGGTACCCTTTGCATAGAACACATCATACAGTGATGCCTCAGGGGGCGGAGCTATCAGTGGCTTGACATTTTCTTCTGTTGGGGCTCCCACAAGACCAGGGACTCTGTCGGCAGTGCCAAGACGAAAGGAAATTGCAAGTGCAAGGATTGTGTAGATAATCTTCATTAAATTAAAATATATCAAGCTGTATTTTTTTCTTTAAGAAATAAAATAAAATAAATAAGTAGAAAAAACGATGAATACAACTATGTATCTTATATATATATATATTAATTCATTATTTTTTTTAAAAAAAATAAATAGTCTCTAGTTTTTCTTTTATAGCAAAAAGGGCTGCTTTGGATTATCTAGTCGAGAAATGTAAAATGGCTCAAACGTAAGGGTCCTTGGTATTTGAATGAAGCCAAATATAATACTTGTGTATTTTGTTAGCAAAAAAAAAAGAACATGCACACTTAATCATGGTCAGAGTAGAATCATTCCGAATATTTGGGTACTAAGGTGATTATTGTCAAATATTATTATTATTTTCGCTCTCTTTCTCTTTGTATATATGTTTTGTGATTCAAGTAATAAGAATTTACAAAAAATAAAGTACAATTCTTTATGGTATATTTAATAAAAGGGGGTGGTTTCTCTTGGCTATACACACCAATAGAAAGAAAAAGAAGAAACATATTTGATTTGCTTCTTACATTCTTGAATATAGTGTATTTGATTTGCTTATTAAACCATTTGTATTCGTTAGACCTTGCTGTAATTAAACAGAATATTATTATTATTATTAAATAGATATATCGAAGAATAATCAACCCAAAATGACAATGCAAAACGAACTACATGCACAATGTAGGTATTGAAAGGTCATTTATAAACACTGGATCCATATACAGTAAAATTATATATATATGTAGATAAAAGCTAAACTGAATAAACAGATCGTAAAGCGGTGAATACTTTTTTTTTTGCTATAGAAAATTATGGAAGCACGCATTTATGTATTTCTACAAGTATCGATTGCAGAATCTCAAAATATCAGACGTGCTGATAAAGAGTATGTTTATATATCTATATAAATCCACTAAGAAATCAAATATTTGCGGCTTTTTTTTTGGTTTTGGTTTTGGGTCTAGATTAAAAGCTACATATATATGTATTTATGTACACTATTTTTTTTAATGGTTACAGTAAATTCTACTTTATGCTTTGTTGATATTAACAAAACAATAATGACCAATTAATTAACATGCACATACTTTTAAGATTCTGGCGGTTAATATACACATATAGAAGAAACGTTCTATGTTGTGAAATCCAAAACATACTATTCCATGCATTCAATTATCTTATTTTATTATTAAGCTCATAATTAACCAGAAAAATAAGTGAATAAAAAAGAACAACAAGCAAAAGGGTTACAGAATATTTTGTTTGGGAAGAGAAACTTGAGAAAGAAGGAAGAAGGAAGAAGAAGAAAGGGGATTTAAGAAAAGGCTTGTTGAATGTCAGTAATACTGACAAGGGATTGGATATAGCGTTGATTGAGATACTTTGGTACCCTGAAATTGGTCTTCATTGCTGGTAGTAAGATGTATTGTACCTTGGATTCCCACTCAGGATCTCCCACAAAAGGATCAAGCCAAGTAGGAGGAGTATACAGTAGTGCTAATTCTCTAGCAATATCATCTATACATTCCTTTTCTACCTCCCATGCTATCTAAAAACACACGCACCAACCCACCCGTATATATATTGATTGATTGATTGTGATTTGTATTTATTACATTAATTTATTCATAACAATTAAATACAGCTCTACTTACTTGCGTGAAATGAAGCAGAAAGTCTGGTAACTTATTCATATCAGGTGCATAGTCCCTTATTAGCACTGGCAAACTTATAAGGTGTCCTTGCACCACAGTGATAGAAAAGCATGTCTTTAGCATTTCTGCATGTTTTGATAAAAGAGACTTTGCATTTTTATTTATTTAGTTAGTTATTTGTTGTTGTTATTAGTTTTCTTGTGTATTAGCTTGTATTCTATAGCTTACTCATGCATGTGCGTATATGTATATGTTAACCTACCTCTATTTGTCCATTTCCAGTGGGAACAAGTGACGGTTCCTCTTCTTTTCCGGATGTAATATTTAGACACTCGCAGATCGAGACTGGAGGGTCTAGCAATATACGTCCAAAAGATTCACACCCATTCAGAACCTTTTGATAAAACATTTCTTCACTAAGCATTTTTAAAATAATAATAGCAATAATAATAGGCAAAATAAGATACACTGTCATTTAAATATAAATATATCTTTATGCATGCGCGCGTGTTACCCTAGTACATTATAGTTGATCGTGTAAAGCAATTTATTGTGCTCTACAATAGCCAATGAATCATCCACGATGTTCACAAAGTTGTGGTGCGAAATCAAGTCAGTAAGATCTAGTGTTTACAATGATGGGTCAAATATATACATCATGAGGAGATAAATAAAAGAAGTTTTTCATCTTGTCTTTATTGTTTGATTTATGTTTACCTATATCTTCTACATGGATCACATCCTTCTGTAATTCTTGGATGCTTTCTAGACTCGAAACTAGTGGAGATGTATTGGCCTGTACACTCTGTCTTTTGGCCTTGGGTTGTCTTTCTGGAAAAGGAACAGCCCCAGGGTTACGAGACGGCTGATTTTGAGACTGGCTACGCTGCGGAATACAGTAGGTCTGTATATCCATCGATCTTTTTGAAACCAAAGGCCGCTTGGTTGCCAAAGGATCTTTGGGTGAATTAGTTACTTCGGATGGCGTTTTTACAAGGAACCTGTCCAGAGTTCCTTGGCAGCTGGGTACTTTTACAGGAGGAATTGTTATTCTATCAGCCACTACCCCCACTATGGGTACTTTGTAACCACAACAAAAGAAAAACTTTGATTTAGCAACACTTGCTTGTATGTGTATGTGTTTCAGTATACCTGTTTGAGGATTCTTTGATGGCAGAATATACAGGGATGTATTTTATTTTATTGTGATCGTAAGTGTTAGTGTGAGTGTGAAACAAATTTGTGCATTAAAAGTCATTTATTTTATTATTGTTATAATTGTTGAAAATCATGATTCTTACCACTGTCGTTTTGGCTGTATCATCCTTCCATTTTGCCAGCTCTTCCTCAATCATAGTACTTATTGTATCGATCACTTTATCTTGGCTCAGAAATGATACCTGTACACACAAGGATATATACACAATTGTGTTATAGTATTAAGTCTTCTTGCTTTAGATATCTTCACTTGCATGCTTTTTTGTCGGATGAATGTTGACGTCTATATTCCTTAGGGGTACATCTATTGAAATATAAACAAAGGGATGCATATTTTGTGGTATATACTGGGAATACATTTTCTCGATAGACTTTTTCATAGCTCTATTCTCGACCGCTCGATCTGAACAAGGTAATTCCAAATAAAGGTCTTCATAAGAAGAAAGTTTATCCCACAAAAACAATCACAGCAACAACAACATACGATTGACAAACAGGAGGAGCTTGGTTGATTTGGCATCCCCATAACTAGGATTTGTAACAAATGTTTCGAAACAACATGCTTCTGTAGTTGTCTTTGGGATGAATAGCAAGGAAGTGAAGACAAAGCTACCATATAACTGTAGTATTGCTCCTTTTAGATCCTTTCCGGTTGTTTTGATATCAAATGTATTTGAGTCAAGCTAAATAACATTCAAATGAAATGAAAAGGACGATTATTTAGATATCAATTATCATTATTATTAAAAGCTATGTTAAAAGACAACCTTTTTACATGTGAATGAAATAGAGTGGTGATGAACTGCATATTCCCGCATGACAGACACTATTTGCTCGTATTCTTCGCGAGGTGTACGCAAAGTCTTTCTCTTCAGAGGTACATTGTAAAACAAGTCTTCAACCTAGCCAGAGCAGCCCAAAATACATACACGCACAAACATACGTAGTTTAATATCAACTAAACATATTTTCTTCTTCTTCAGCATCTTCAAAGAACACGCGTCATCACAGTAGCCACATACTCCCACCACTGTCCCTTTGTTTCCTGCACAAGGATGAGGAGCCTTAGATGTTATCTGACCATTGTTGTAGGCCGCTCTAAACAACCAACAATAAACAAAAGTCTCAAATACATATTTTGTGCTATGTGTTATATTATATATTTATATATTTATATATATGTGTATATGTGTGCCAGTCGAAGATACACAATTATACCTGTAAGCACATATTGAATCTGATGTCTTTGATTGTAAAGTAACATGAGATACATGGGAGATACTCGCAAGTGCCTCTCCACGAAATCCATAGGTTGTCATATTCTTCAAGTCTTCTAGTTCATGTAACTTGCTGGTTGTGTGGGATTTACAGGCAATTATCAAATCATTTTGCTATCATAAGCATAAAATACTCTACATTATATCTTGGTCTTGCACTTGATTTCTTTCTTTCTTTCTTTCTTTCTCTTTCTCTCTTTCTCCTTTTTTTTGTAGGTGTCAATGTTATTGAATAGTATATTCATACATGAATACCGTCTCCATTGTCTTTAATTTGGATCAATTTAATCCCTCCTTCTTTGACAACACAATCGATCTGACTAGAATTTGCATCCATGGCATTTTCAATCAATTCTTTAACCACATGTGATGGCCGGATGATCACCTAAGTTTTGCTCAGAAAAATAAGCCTTGCTATCCAATAACAGCAGCACAAGAAATCCTTGGCAGGCTTGCCTCTCCAGCTGCGATGCGATTAACTACGATTGGCTCTAAGAGTTTAATTGTAGAATGGGACATGGTCAACCTGTGCAGGATTCCTTCTAGGCACGTCACGCAAAAATAAAAAGATAGACACTTCGCGTCGGAACGCGTTCCGACGCGAATTGTTTTTTTTTAATTGGGGGGAGGAGGTCTGAAAAAGAGAGGAGAGAGAGAGAGAGAGAAAGAAGAAAAAGTTAATCGGCAGATTTTCTGAATCTATAGATTTTTTTTTCTTTTCTTCAATTTCTCACCCTCTCACTCTCTTCCCTTCACACACTCTCTCTTTTTAAAGAAAGGAAGACCAACGAAAAGAAGTATGAGCGATCGTCCACGAAGAGCAAGAAAACAAAAACCAACTGTTGCTAGGTACGACATTACCAGCCATTATAAATGTTGATGTGAAGATTTACAAACATGACGATTTGATTAATATTATTATTATTTTTCCTTTCTTCTTATTGTTCAATTTATCCAGTAATGTACACTATGTAGGCTATGTGGAAGATGCCGAATCGGTAGAGGCGATTATGAAAAAGTTTGAAGAGCTCGAACGTATCCAAAAGGAATTTTCGACAATGGATGTCAAGGAACCCGAAGTGGATATAGTAGAAGAAATGGAAGTCGAATCTCAACCCTTGACAGAAGAACAGTTACAAGAAGTGTTTAAGCGAACTTCTGCATTTACTGTCAAGACAGCCACGATGGATTCAAGAGCAGCCGATGATATGGATGCACTTGAGTTGTGGCAGGTAGAAAATAAAGACGGAAATACGGATGAAATATACGAGGAAGAGTAAGTATATTTTACTTTTTATTAAAAAAAAAATTAAGAGAGAGGGGGTAATATATTTCTTTTAAACAAGAAAGGAAAGAATGAGGAGGAAATAAAGCTGGTTAACTTCCAAAATAATAATAATAATAATAATTTTTTTTTTTAACTTGATCTATTAATTTTTTCTCAAATCTTTCAGGGACTATATTCATGTGGATGATGATTTCTGGGATCTTGAGTTTGGAGAGTTACCGCGACCAAAGCGAGCACGTAAAGGAGGACCAGTTGTTGAACGAGTGGCTCGACGTGGTGTTGATAGAGAGAGTATTTTGGCTAAATACAAGGTTATGCAAGTCCAAGTACAAGACAGGAATGGTAACTATCTCTTGGTAAAGAAGAGAGTCAGGTGAGAAGCATAATAATTGTGACACTGGTCATCAGTAAAGTAATAATGATAATAATAACATGGAAACTAAATCACAGCTACATCGATTTCAAAACAGTACAATTGATCCCAGTTTACCAACATATGTCAAGATTCCCGGAAAACCTATTCCAAGATCATGGGCACATTCTATTTTGTGTAAATCTAAATCACAATTACCAAAACCTCCACCAATAGCCTCAAGGTAAACTATACAATACAATACGATATATTATTTATAAATGTTTAAAATCAATCAACTAATAACGATAAATGACCGAATATTCTAGACTACACACGGTCAACAATATATTATCCACAGACCTCAGCCGGTATGGAAAGTCATTTAGCGCTGTCTATATGGATCCTCCTCTGCTGCTGCCCGGAGAGAGTCCTGTACCTGGAAAAATACATATTGATGATCTAGTGAGTTTCTATAAATATTAGCAGACATTTTGTAGGGATTTTAATATGATCATCCTAATTTTCTTTCTCTTTTCTTTCACAGGCCAAACTCAATGTGTCTAGCGTTGTTTCAGCCGGGTTCTTGTTCATTTGGCTCGAGAAAGAGTGGTTACAACGGATTGTAAGTATGGCAAGTCAATGGGGGTTCAAATACGTCGAGAATTTTTGCTGGATCAAGAAGAACATCAACAACCAAATCCATAAGAGTCCCTACAAATACTTTAACAAGAGTAAGCTGAGTCTGCTGATATTTAGAAAGGTACGTTTACAAAACCAAGCTTTTTTTATTTTTATTTTTTGGTACTAAAGTAAATTTCTTACTTCAATAATATATACATATATATAAAAAAAACATTGCTAACAAAGTAGAATATATATGTGTGGGGACTCTGTCTTTTTTCTTTTTTCTTTTTTAGGAGGGAGACATTGAATTACGTCACCAAAGAAACCCAGATTGTGTATTTGACTTTGTAAAACCCATGTTGCCAGGTAACAAAAAAGAAAGACTAATTAAAATTATGAGCACCAAAAAAAATAGTAAAATAATTATGAAAATATATAGTAATATAATAATAATAATAATATTTTAGACGAAATATCGGAGAAGAAACCTGAGTTTATGTACAATGTCATTGAGACCCTGCTACCCAATGCTGTCTACCACCCAGAGAAGAATCCTGAAGGAAATGGGCTTCTTGAATTGTAAGCACAAGATTTATTTTCAATAGTTCAATAGTTCAATAGTTCTATGACTAGGTTCGATTTCTTTTCTTTGGTCAAGTTGAAGGACAATATTGTATTTATTGATGTCTGTTACTACTTGTAGGTGGGCAAAGAGAGGACAGCGACGGACAGGTTGGACTACTTTGGTAGAACAGCCTATAAAGTAAAATAGCTACAAACCATTTTGTCTGGCTTCTACTCTTTTTTTTTATATGTTTAATTTGACTCTAAACTCATTCGATCGACCCGACAGCGGGTGTTACGTACCACTAGTTTTTGCCCACAACGATCTACCAAATAGAGATAAGATAAATATACACACACACTATATACTTTGTATTATATACTCTATATTGTATATACATAATACACACACACGCGCACATACGCATACAAATGTATATATATATAGAGAGGGAGAGAATATGGAGAGACATAGAGACATAGAGGCACAGAGACATGGGGAAGAATAAAAAGGATACAAGAATAATAGGGTTACTCAGAATCAGATATCAAATACCAAATATCCATTATCAGATATCAAATATCAAATATCAAAATAGTCAATTTTTACTTTTATTTTTATTTTTATTTACTATTTATTTTATAATTTATTTTAAAATAAAAATAAAAATAAAAAATTAAAAATTAAAAATATAAAACATATATAAAAAGGCAAATAGCCCCATTTCTTTTCACCCTTGACTTTCTTTCCAAAATGAAGCCCTACATAAAACTCGTCACTCTTTTTGCCCTCGTACTTCTTGGCTTCCTTCTTTATGCCGTCTTCCCTCCAGACTATGGAGTAGACTCTAATAACCACGACGCATATCACCAAGACCATGTAAGCAACCACCACTGCAACTATTCCTATAACAAAAGAACCAAAGGCCGATCATTAATTGAAATCTTTACTTAAATTTTGAATCATCAGACTAATCACCCAGATACTCCCCCTCCTGTTCCTCCACCTAATAATGTACCCGCATCTCCTCCAAATCCTTTTGTCCCTCCTCCACCTCCACCTCCAAGATACCCTCCTGATGTCGTCAAAGAAGCTACACTAGGCCCTTGTCCTCTCTTCCAGAATCAGCCGCTTCAACAACCTAAACCCATTGTTCCAGGTAAAATAAATAGAAACTCCCCGCTCTTTATTTTTCTTTTGTTTTCTTGTTTAAATAGTATATTCGCCTATAAAATTGCGAGGCATAAAAAAGGAAAAAAAAGAAGATACTAATATAAGTTGATTTCTATCTTTGTCTTATAGCATCTCAGCCCGTCTCTGTCGATAACTTGGCACCTATTGCACCCACTGCCGATCAAACAACAATAAGACTCAACACTGCAAAGAGTCTAGACTATGCCCGACCCAACGAATTATGGCAGTTCAGTGTGGTACGTAAAAAGCGTGTGTGTGTGTGTGTGATAAATAGAGAGAGAAAAGAGAACGACGCAGGGCAATAAATAAACATTACTGATGCTTACGGGGGGGGAAAAACTTGCTTAGATAAATTCCAAGCCAGACGTCTTTATTGCTTCTGAAGGACACACCATCGATATCAACAACCACTATGGACGTGAGCACAGAATTTACAGTCTTATGAAATGGGTCCTTAGAGTACATCGCCGTGATTCTATGCGCAAGAGTCCATTGATGATGGTCGACGTGGGTAAGTCATTTGTGTATACAGGCAAACATATGCATAAACACAGACACAGACACAACAAATACATAATGCACATGCTTATAAATCTCGTAAATTTGGGAGGATTCTACATTTCGGGACCACATCTTTGAATATTAATATTTCTTTTCCGATTACCCTTTAGGATCAAATCATGGATTGTTCTCGATGGTGGCCGGAGCCAGCGGTGCTCACGTTGTTGCCTTTGAACCCCAGACACCTCTTAGAAGTAAGTATTTAATTTTTTTTTATTATTAATATTGTTATTTTGGATTGATTTGATATCAAAAAAAAAAGAATCATTAGCCCAAGAAGTCTTGGGTCCTGTCCTATATCTTAATAATAATTTTTCTTTTAAAAAAAAGGTGTAATCAATCTTGCTGCCCGTTTAAACCAGATTTCAGACCGAATCAGAGTTCTTCCCTTTGCAGCACTCGATAAATTTAGAAAGATTGCCATGTCCAATTACCAGGAGGGTGATGGTGGAGTTGGATTCTTGGACTATTCGACACAAGAATCGGTCATCAAAACCCAGACAATCCGTGTGGATTCCATACCTTCCTTCAACCGTTTGTTTGACACAAACTCTAATAAGCTACTTTCACTCCGAACACCCAATGATTTCGGCCAGGACTACGCTGCTGCCCTCGAGAAGAACAACAAGGAACCCAACGGAACCATGCTCGACAAGACTCTGGCCTTCAAGCAGCCAATCCACTTTCTCAAGATCGATGTCGAAGGCTTCGAACTTCCTGCCCTTGAATCAGCATCCGGTCTTTACGAGGCTGGACTCGTAGAACACACTGTCCTTGAATTCGGCCCTCCTAGTCGATGGGATGTTACTATTGAGGATGGTGAGACAATGTCTCTGGCCGAAAAGAGAGCCGTTACACTGGCTCAGGCCAAGAAGATATTGTTGCGAGCAGTTCAGGAGTGGAATTTGGATATCTATCTTTTGCCTGCTATCGGTTGGGAAGCTACTGTTAACTGGATGGTCCAGCACGGAGTAGATTATCGCAATGGCGGGGTTGGTGACAACCGAGCAGTATACCGTCTCAAGGCTTGGGATTTTGATGGCAAGGGTCTTGAGGGCGATGAGTTTGAGGCCGAGTTAGAAGCCAAGGACCAGGTCGTGACAGAGTTCATTCCTCTTCCCGAACATTTGATCGAGCCATATCTCGAGAGCTTAGAGTCCATTGGTGAAATGTACCTTTGGTTTGTCAAGAAAGACAACAAATTACCTATTATGACAACCACAGAACTCTAGTAGAACTATTTTATTTATTGTATTTTTGTCTAAAGATTGGGATACATAGTAACATAGTCATAAAAATGACTAATACAATTATACGTATAAATGCTTGTTTTCTTTTTCTTTTTCTTTTTCAATCTTTCTTTTGCTGTCTTGTCCTAATGTCTTGACTCCATTATTCAACCAACCAATCAATTGATCAACCAATCGATTTTCAACGCATAGCCTTTAATTACTCGAGGCATTCTAGTAACACGAACAAAAAGGAATCAATTTTCTCTTCATAATCATGTACAGAAAATAATAAGAAATTTACCAAATGGTTGAACGGCATCAAGTAAAGATGAGTATGGTTTGAATTCTGCTTTATCTATCCCCATTAGGCATAGCTAAAAATATATATTAATACCGTATTAATAAACTAATGGTATCCAGAAAACCCTAAATTTGCTTTTATTTTTTGGTTACCTCTTTTCCGATTTGACGAGCATCTATTAATAGCTGAAGCCTTATCTTGTTCTCGTCCGTTACAGTATTGTCTCCCAAAGGGTCTCCTTGCACCGAGGATACAGTACTCTTCTTACTCTTCTTCAACTTTCGTAAAGAATCCTCTGTCTTTTGGAGATTTGTCAACATTTCTGACATTACACTTGTGTATCTATAAGCATATATTAGTATTATTATTATTAAATAAAATAAAATAATATCAGCCTCCTTTTTTTTCCTTTTTTTTTAGCGCTTGCTAAGCCCTAGAATTTCTTACCGAATCAATACAGCCGAAAATACTACTTTGGCCCACACTGCTTGCTTTTCGGGATTAATCCAAGCTTTATTTTGGTCAACAAAAGTCTTGAATGGTTTGAAGAAATTGGGAATAAAGTATGAAGGTTCGATGGGTACTGGCTTGTTAGTGTGACGATATTGGCTTGTGATGCTTTTGACTAAATTAACGGACTCCATGCATCGCCGGCTGATAATGTCTGTGATACGTTTATTGAGTTCCTCGATAGTAGATTTCTCAAGTGTATGTATTATCTCATTCATACTCTCTTTTAATAACAAAGGTATGTGTCATGTAAGCAATTATCAGTGAAACCAATATACAAATCTTAATAACCACTTACCTCGAAGAATATTTGGGAGAATGGTATTCGGAAGCTTTGGAATCATAACTTCGTTCAAAAGAGTGGTTGTCTAATATATATATTATTTTGTGTTGTAAGATTGACTGTGGGATTTACTTTTCAGTTAGAATATCTGGACTTACCTTGTTAACCAGAGTTTCGACATCATTCTCAAGTACCGTGAGCTGCTTTAGTCTCGTAGCTTCTTCAATTACACCCGTATCATGGGCATTGCTAGCCGGTGTTCCTGGACGTGGAGTACTGGGTCTTGAAGAAGGATTGATGGCTGGGTAGAAATTTGTCTACAGTAACAAAGCACAATGGTTGGTTCGTTGGTTATTCCCACTTCCCATGTAATTGAACTTTATTTTTATTTTTATTTTACCTTTTCCTTCTCAGCCAAGGTATCTCGAGCCAAGTCTATAAAACCAGAAGCCCACAGTGTGTATCGTCGAAGTAACTTGTAATTACTAGTATAAGTAACACGGCCCTAATTTTCTTTATATACATCCTATTACTCTACCTGTATTGTCAATTTCCAGAAACGATGGGAAAGACCATAGAGAAAGATCTGATCCGACCAACATTGTTCTATTGCTTTGAACACTGCTTTTGATCCAGGTAAAGCAAGTCCTTTATATATATATATATAAATTAAATTAAATTAAATTAAATTAAGTTGAACTAAATTAAATGTCCTTATTTATTTTGCTTTCCTTTAAAGACCCTTTGCTTATATTCTTATACTCACCATTCTCTGTTACCAGCTGTCGAGTTGCAACACTTGCTTGTTGATCAATTAAAAGTTCTTCCACTGTATTGACAATTTCTCTAAATCTGTTTTTTTTTTTGACAATTTAAAGAATAATTAAGGCCTCTCTCTCTTTCTCTTGTAATCATTTTTACCTCAATTGGAAATATACAGGCAGCTGCCACCGCTTCATAAACTCTGTGTAGCTGGGATGGCTTCTTAAATAGAATAAAGATTTTTTGCAAGTACACAAGGCCTCGATGCTCATTATAAACGAGATCGATGCTGAATAACACTGGGATCCACAAAGGTATGAGACCAACCAACCAACCAACCATCCATTTATTATTATTATTATTATTATTATTATTATTATTATTACTTAAAAAAAAACTCACAAACACATAATATATATATATATATATATATATAATTTTGCTTTCTCACCTTGTGAAATACATCCGTTTGGCCAGCAGCATAAATACTTGTGCATTCCAGATGTATTCTCTCTACTACTTCTACCCACAAAGAATTCACCAATACTTCATAGTTTGTTCCCCTGAGCGTTTTTTGAGTGATTTCTATGATCGGTTGAAGATCTGTCGAAGCAAATGTCAGGATATTGCCATACATAGTCGTAAGAGGGTGTGCTGGTGCTGTTGCTGAGGGATCTGAAGATCGACTAGTACGATGTGCATCAAGTGCTTTCTTGGTAATAACCTTTGACAGGAATGGGCGCACGAGTTCTTGTCTGATCAAATTCTCTGCGACTTGGACCTGATCAATAAGTGCATATGTACGCAGGCATTGCACAAGGCTTTGATGCGCTGTCTTGTCGGCTGAATGATCCTTTAGCTGTCGAAGTGCAGCAGAGAGGGTCTTTGATAATTTGGACTGCAGCGTGTCTTTGATGCGAGTGATGCGCTTGTGATACGATTTAGTAAATCCAATACCCACTTTATCACTTTCCAGACACAAAGCACATACACACAAATGTATAAATGTGTGTGTGTGCGTGTATGTGCATGTACATATATCTTACCCATGCATTCTCGGTCACAAATGGAAGGTCCTTGCCTCGGCCAACGAGATGTTGCATCTGGTTGAATTCGATAGCCACACGCTCAATCTGCTTTCCTGATCCAATATCCATAGACACATCTGAACCTTCAGAATCAACAACAGCTGGGGTAATCACGGATGATTTTGTAGTATCCACATTAATTTCCAATAAACTCTCCACCTTGGTAACCGAGTCGTGGATATTCAGCAATAGCTTTAAGCAAGCCTGTAATTATATATAATTATTGTCAGTGGTAGTCTTTTCTCGTCAAACGTAGTTATTTGTATTCTTTATTCCCATCATTTTATGTCTTTTTTTCTTGTCACCTTTTTGTCTCGAACATGGGCTCTCTGATTTAATTGTTCTTCCAGGGCATCAATGACTTCTTGAAAATGTACACTGGCAGTCTACTCTCCATCACCCACACCACTGCAAACATTAGCACACAGTAAAGATATTATACATATAGATATATTTATATATAAATATATATATTACCTTGACCTGAGTCTCCATGCGTGTCAATGGTCTCATCAAGTCATCCATTGCTCTGTCAACTCCTTTGAGATTGGTCGAAAGGTTAATAAAATCTTGATAATCCCGGTTAAGAAGCTCAATCAGTTCAGTTTTCAAAAGTCTAAGATGACTATTGAGTTCAGATTTGAGCCTTTCTAATCCTAAATGACGTCTGCTTGAAAGGAATCGATCGGGATTAAATTCGACAGCTGTAAATTCTGATCGCTCTACAGCTTGGCGTGGCAAGGGTTGGACAGATTTGATGAGCTGGTCATCCTCATCTTGATCGTCATCTCCAAAACTAAACAAGGACTTTCTGGGAGAAGCTCCCTGATGAAGACTAGTCATATCAGAGATGTTGAAAAGGGAATAAAAAGTAAGAGTATAAAAGAAGAAGGTTAGTTGGCGGGATTTAAAAATGAGAAGAGACGCGATTACCGTAAGTTGATGTTGTATTAAATACAGCTGTAATTTCAACTACTCAAATTGTATATATATATATAAGAAAAAGAGAGCAGCAAAAGGGATGCTGCGACGGTAACTATGGTTGATTTTTTTCTTCAAGTTAGCTCGCAGAAATTACTTCTTACTGAATAAGCGTGTGGAAGTATTTAAATACGTACATTTAGGCAACTTGGAACATCATATTTAACAAGCATTTTCTAGTGTAATCTATTTACTTTATACGTCTTTTTTTATACTCTTTTTTTATTAGAACCTTCTTAGTATTAACCTAAAGCAAATAGTTGCTTACCCAATTACTTACTCCCTAAAAGTCAGTAGCTGTTATTAATATTGTGAGTCAGTAAAGTACCAGTCCTTTTTTTTTTCTTTTAAAAAAAAGTGCAAAATGGTTATTGCTTTGTGAACTCCACGCTTTGGTTGCCTTTGAGCAAACAGAATTGGCTTTAAAGCGATTGATTGCCTTTTGTAGAAAATATGGATTTTAAGTACAGATCAGGAACCCATTTTGCTGTTATGTGTTTTGGCTTAAAATACATAAATAAAACCTCTTGCTGGTACACATATTGAACGTATAAAAGATTATTATGACCTACTCAAAAGTAGTGGTCAATCCAAAAAAGAAAAAGTCAAATATTAAATATCATTTAACCAAGTCCTGTGTGTTAATGCCGATCAAGGCTATAACACGTGACTTTTGAAAGGATAAAGCCTTCACCGCCCTTTCGCACCAGAAATTATATATAATACGATCTTGCGACAATGGAGCGCGATTTCCAGGTAAAACTAAATAAATCGAGTGCTTACAATAAAGATCAATTAGACCTTTTTATCCTTAATCAGCTGAATTAGAATGATTTGAATGGTATTCTCGAACATTTATCTGTAAACTCTCCTGTTCCTGAAGCTGAAAAGTAATTCAGTAAAATAGAATCTTGATCCACTTCAGATCAGTAATGTCAATACTATATATATTTATATATGTATATATAACTAGATCCACATTTGTAAATCTTTGCAAGCTATCATTTGATGAGACTCTTAGATACTATGCTAATATTCCTGAAGCTAAAAAAGCGCTTCATACTGTCTTGTTTCGATTTTTAACACAACAGAAAGGTATCATGATTTTAAAAGTTTTTTTTAAAAAAAAAAAAAAGAATAAGTATCGTTTTTGCTGAGAATAACAAACAAGTAGCTAAGTCAAGCCCTTCCCTGAATAGAGAAAAACAATTTTTCTGTATCTCGATACAAGAGAACCTTTGAACCTAGTGAATATTTTGAATTAGAGGATTATTTTGGATTATTTAAACATACTATACATTCGCTCTACAGATTATCACCCGAGGTACACACACACATATATATATATATATGTATTATTGCCAATATTTTCTTGGATTTATCACTTATAGTTGAGCATATCGACTTGTCATTTCTATAGCGTGGTTCTGAAGTATGTCAAGAACTTTTAAGTGATCTCATACCATCACAACACCAGCTGTTACCAGCATATCTACGCATATGTTTTTCTATCAGTAATGAAAAGTTCCAAACACAAGCTTTGGATTTCTTTATAGGAAAATGTAGAAACATACCTGGTAAGAAACATCTAGAGGCCTTATTAATAGCACTGTTCTTTCTTTCTTTCTTTATCTATTTATTTATTTTAAGAGTAATGATAATAATGGATTTATTTTCTCTTGCTTTCTCTCTTTTGGCTGTTATTTTAAACAATTGTAAAGATGACAGTATCTTATCAGATGTTCTTTCGATACTACATCGCCAACTACGAATGCTCATCACTAAAACTACTGTAACCTGTGATAATACCGAGAATATATGCGACTCTGAGCGAGCTAAAACATTAGCCGTTGTTACTTCAGCTGTTGTACAGACTGACACTTTAAAGCCGTCCTGTCAGAAACCCTACTCTGTTGAGAAACTTGCCAGGGAAACTTTATCTGAAATTGAGAAGCATATGAAAAAGATGATGGCAAGTAGTTACAAGATCGACAATGTCTGTTTAAAGCGAAAATCAATATTCTCGGGCAACAACATCATTAAAAAGAGGGTACACTCTACAGAGACCCTAGATGAAACAAGGTATATTAAAATTAAAGACGAAACAAAAAAAATTAGCAATATATTTGGATATAAGAGTTATCAGACTTAACGCACATTTCTAACAACAACAACAAAAGTATTCTCGATAGCTGGAATAATATTTCACACAACACGACCTTAACCAAGAGTGCTAAACACAAGTATGCCTTTATAAGCATATGTCGTCATATTAAAGACCATCGGGAACCCAGGCCGCCCTTATTGTACAGGGAAAATATTACATCTACAGTATCTAACGACGATAGAGATGATGGTGTTAGACCCATAAAAGAAGTGTGTGAGATGCTGATACGGGACCTAAGTCTCAATACAACGCATGATTCGCTTGATAGAACCTTACTATACACTAAAATCTGGTGCCTTGGAGTTCTACGAGATGAAAGCGGAGGGTGGAGATCGGTACTAAAGGTGATGATCCAGTTTTGTGATTTGTGGATAAAGTAAGTTTGTATTTTTTTCGTTTTTAGACTTTGAATGAAAAACAATTTACTTAAAAAAACGACAACAATAATAACGAAAACAATAAAATAGTGAAATGACAAATAATTCAGCATTGGATACATTTGCTGTACTTATTTCGGATGAACTTGTCAAAGATCTGTATAAGCAAGTCAAAAGGCTCGTGAATATATTTGAACACTATGGTGAAGGGCCAATTCAACTTGAATCCCTCAAGGTAGGTTCATTAAAGTGCTTGATAGATCTATTCTTGTAATAAATGCTGTATACACTCGAAAATAATAATAATATTATAAACTCTCTTGTATAGAAAATGTGCCTGCTGCTTCAAAAGTCATTTCGTAGTATCCCTTGTATCCAGGATTTGCTTGTTTTTAGGGATTATGTATTACGGACCGAGTAAGTTTAGATTTGTCTTGCTTATTATCGTTGTATTATTACTGATAACTGGTCAAGAAAATCAAAAGGATTTATAGAAGACCCTACTTATTCACGGCTGGATATCTGGACGTCAAACTTTGAAGCCGAGTTGATGAAAGCCACAAACCAAATTGTAATAGTTCAAGAGAATGAGGTTGATAATGACTTGGTCGGAACCACCAGCTTGGATAAAAACGTACCTAAAGAACTTGTACATAACCTGGCTTCGGTAAGCTTTATTATTATAAACAAATGAAAGTTGACTTGGTAATTTGTTTGCTAATCAGAAAGACAAATAATTATCAATAGCTTTCTATCATATGGCCTTATAGCGTATTACAAGAACTTGTCTTGCTCTGCTTTCAAAACAGAAATATGTACCTTGCCATAGTACCCCTTTTACGAAGTCTAGGCTCCTTGTGTTCTTTCCGCAAAAATTCAGGTGTAGAGACCATGCTAGGAAGTGTTTTGAAAGATATATTACACTCAAACTCTTCAGCATGGACGAAATATGACGCGAAAAACATAACTACATTTATTACATCCTGCTGTCAAGATGTAAGAAGAAGAAAGGGAGATAAAGCTGTCTTTGTTAATTTCAAGATTGACATTTTTTTATTATTTTTTAATTTGTAGCCGTTTAATCCAGAAACTCCACCTCTTCTGTTAGCATGTAGACCTACAGAAGTTCTTCCGGGAATTCTACTCAATGCAAGAGAGTATTTAGAAAGCCATATATTAGACAGTTTGGACTGCTTTAGCAATGACCGCGTACACAAGGACAAAAATGTGGAAGTTTCCTCTTTTCGACTTTCTTTGCAGATCCTAAATGAGCTCAGTACTTCCAAAGCTGTCCAAAGAATAGATTGGATCGAAGCAACAAAAGCCATTTTTCAATCCAAGACAATCAATATAGAAAATATTGCTATCCTTCAAGCCAAACCTTTCGAATTTTTACGCTCCTTTTGTCTTGTTATGGATATGCGGAATACCTTTCAGATGCTTCCAGAATGGATTCGTGTTCAAGAAGTTGAAGCTGCGTTGAAATATTTTAAAAGACTTGCGTCGATTATAACACAGACAATTGGATGGCTATCCCAAAAGCATCAATCAACACACATCAATTTCCATGGTACAGCCGATGCATTTATCGAAAGCCTTAAAAACGATACACGAGAATTTTTAAAAACTATTTGCACATATGGTAAGCTGAGAGGACATTCAACTTTTCTTAACGGCTACTAATCAAGATCATTAGACTGGAAAACTCAACTGCAATTGTACGATTTGCACCTTGCGGCAGTAAATCTTTTTGAAAAAAAGCAAGATTTTTCAATCAATGTACCTGGATCCATATATTCTATCACTGGTTCCTTAAATGGGAGACTTTTTCTAGATAAATCGGCCGACGTAGACACATCTTTAGATGATAAGCTGCAAGGGTGGAATTCGGTCATTGGAGCAGCTAAATTATCAGATGTATTTTCTGATCTTTTGTTCGAGGTGAGAATTTTTGAAAGTGAGAAAGAAAAAAGGATTTGGCAAACTTAAAGAAATGATAGGGACAGAACAAGGACTACTGGATAAACAATATGGCTCTTCCTCAAAATTATCCATTTGAATTCGGAGCATTTATTGAGGGGCTCTACCAAAATCTGTACCCAACCTTATCATTAAGTGTACATGACGAATATGAACGCCTTTTGGTTCATTTTATAGGAAGATTATTTGAGTCTTTTGACCTCCAAATACTCCGTGACAATTTAAGCAAAGAACCTGAGCAAATTTTATATATTAAGCAATTAACTACTCAAGGTAAAGAGAGAGAGAGAAACACTGACGTATCTACTTTTATTAGTGTTTTGTGTTTGGGGGACAATTTACTAATATTTCAATAGAACTCAAGGACTTCTATAGAGTCATGCTCGGTGCAAGACTGATAAACTATAAAAGCTTTCTGTCAGCCGAATTGTTGCATAAACGCGAAGATGAACTTTACTATGTCTCTGGTATCATACGCTCCATTCAGGTCAGAAATAAACTCTCTTCTTCACCCCCCCCCCCCCCCCCCCTCCCCCATAAAAACACATGCTGTTATGTGCTGTTTAATTTACCCATTTGCTTTCATGTAGACCATTAAAGATTGGACAGATCTTCGATCATCGAGATTAAAGATTTACGCAAAGCGCACACTGTCTGATAAATTGATACATGAAATTCTTGGAGATAAAGCTCTACTCGAAGAAAACCTGGAAAATAGACATGACGTTCACAGGATAACTGCACCAGAAACTTGCTCTGAAATTACATTAGAACAGACGTCTATAGAGTCAAGTGAACAGGATGGATATGTTTGTGATATATACTATCCTTTCTGGGATAAAAAGCAGCACTCTGCTCGAGCATTATCGATACTTACGCTTATGATGTTGTGTAAATCAAGCGCTCTGTGCAATACTGTTGAGGCCCAGGAGGTTATTCGAGTCCTTATTCTCCAGATCGTTGACGGGCTTCGAGAAACAGAGACTAAGCAAGAATTCAATCGGCTTGTAAGCGGACAGGCTCGGAGCAGAGTAGAAAAATGGCGTAAACACAAGAAGTTCAAGAAACGCATTGTCCTTCGCCCTATCTTGAATCCCGGCGAAGAAGAGCTTATCTCTTCATGTGTGTCTTGTTTGACAAATTCAAATCAGGCCAATGGCATTTTGAAAGCATTGGAGATCACGGACAAGCCGCAAACCTCAAAATCTAGAAAGGAACAAGCCTTTTATTTGCGGCTATAGCTTTTTTTAATATATATAATGAAGGATTAAGCGTTATTTTCTCTTCAAAAACCATAACCAAATGGAGGAGTAAGATTTCGGGTGTCTTGCTAAGGCTACTGGTCATATAAACTGAACCAATGATTTGTTCGTGAAATAAACTTAGTCATATGGATCCAGATACCGGGGTTTTGGCCATGAGGTATTAATGAAAAAAAAATCCCATTTATCAAACGTCGTAGGACTTGCTCCTAAACACGTGAAGCAAAAAGAGCAAGTTTTGGGATGTTTCACTAGGTCTTTAATTGGATAAAGCGTTGTGGTAAAATGGAAGGGTTGGTCTCGAAAATGCACACTAATGGCTTGAATAACTAGTCAAAAGTTACTGTGATCTCTGTAGAGTGATCTCGGAATAGAATATGCTTTCTCTTTCTCTTTCTTTTTTTTTTCAGGGGAATTTTATGGCTGTCATACAAACAAAATATGAATATACTATAAGCTATGTGGTCATCTTCTTTTTCTTTTTCTTTGTATTGTGGTCTGGACAAAGTACTTTTGACCAAAAGGGTAGTGATGGTAAATAACAAATGTTCAGATATATGGCTGTAAGCTCTAAAAGGTACGCACTTACTACTTCTTTAATATAACTCTAGGCTATGAAAGCTATATACCGAACATAAAACTGTTTGGACAACAATAGTAAGTTAAAGAATAGCACAAGGTACTTTAAGGTTGGTACCGTTTTGTATTTTGAGCAAGTTTATTTTTAGCAAAACCCCATTGGATTACTTAAAATGATAAACAGCTTACAGTACTTTGTTCGTTTGGTTATAAAACATACTAAAAGAACAAGAATAACACCAATGCTAATGCTAATGCTAATTCTAATGCTAATAATGAGCAAGATAAAAAGTCTCGAAAGATCCATTTGTTTTTCAACATAATGACCTTGGATAATACCAATTTTTATAATGATTTCTTCCTAAGCTTACATTAGTTAATATAGCTGGCTGTTTTGAATATTCAGTAGGCTTTCTTGATAAATGTCTAATAATTCGACAGATTGTTGAGCTAAAGTAGTTTTAAATAATACTGCAAACTATTATCGCAGGTAACTTATCTTGGAATGGATATTGCAAATCTATCCAGCCACATAAAAATATATATTATTCTTGATTCTATACAAGCTAAATAGAGAGAGAAAACGTACACGCCAGCTTGTAAGGTATTGCATTCAATAGACTAATACTATTTTTTCTTCAAACAGTTGATATGCCATAACTCACGAGTCAAGTTCTTCTTCAAACACCTGGTCTTAACCAATGAGAGCTTGTTTCTGCAACACTTGACACCACGTGGTGTACTTATTGAGGAGTAAGGGCTGATGTTTGTAATGGTGTAGTAACCATCACCAGTAAATCATAGGATACTTGAGAGTTAGCGTCTGTATGGCTTATATTTCAAGAAAACGAATTTGATTTTGCTTTATTGAATGTGAGATTGACACATTCAATATGCACAATATGCGATAATCAACCGGGTCTCTAAGAACAACTTTATCTAAAAAAAAAGTATAGTAGTGTAATCCCCCTCTTTTTTTTGGCTGTTTTTTGAAGGCTTCAAACTGTCGTTTTGTGGGGACTCCAACATTGAACACAAGCTCAACACAACTGTTTTTTTTTTTATAAAATAGACTTTAGGCTGGATCTCTTATCATCCATAGCCCCAAATGGCCTTTTCAGTGTATACCATTTTGGATCGGGTCCATAATCATTTTCTCAACATTTATCAGGGCTCTTTTGAATATATAGATAAAAGTGATTTATTGAGTTGTAGAAAAAGAAAAGTATGTGTCAAGAATCATGATTTCTAACAAGTGTCTCTATCTTTCTTTTTGGTTCTGTATCTGTGTCCAGGTGTCACTCGATGAGCCTGAATACGTGTTATATGGTAACCACCCAGAGAAAAGATTAAAGAACCAGAAAAAAAAAGGCTGTTCTTGTGAATAAACTATATATATATATGTATGTACGTATGGATGTATGTATGGCTGGGTATATATATGTATATGTAGATTAAGTAGATGTAGAGACAGAAAGATATTTCTTTGATCTCTGGTTTGCAATAGCCCACCCAAGAACAAATAGACATGCGACGCCAAGAACGTTTCCAATCAAGAAAGTGTTCTGGAAACAGACCGCGCCCTTGCAAAACTGCGCTCCCTGACGTTTGGCCTGGGCATCGTACAAAATGCCAAAGAGGATGTTGAATATCTGGCTTCCAAAGGCAGGTGAGTACAGAAGCCAACCCCTAAAAGAAAATGTTGATGAAAAGAAGGTAGTATTTCAAGGATGAGTTTAACCAAAGATCGGAAAATATTGGAGTAGTACTGAAATACTAATTCTGTCTGTATCATCTAATGCGTTTTCTATTTTATACTTTACCAGTTGCGCACAAAGACCTACAAATATTGAATGAATTCAAACAAAATTCGTCAATATTATATAAATATAGATAAATATCTATAGGTGTATATAGATTTCATTGCATCTATCATCTCGAACTAACCTGAGTTCCAAACTCTGCTGTGCTTGCCGGAGCAACACCAAATACGGCACCATAGACAATAGCCATCATAATTGTACCGAACAACAAGTCGTCTGCGCTGTCGACTGATCTGACCAAGAAGTTTGTTGTTAGAAGGAATGCTAATGAGGCACTCCAGAAAATCCAGAGACGGTGAATGTGGAAGCGGCGCTTGAGAAAGTCGCTCAGGGTCCCAAATAGTGCACGGGAAACACAATTGCCAATACTGAAGATCGAGACGTGGATGTTCCGGAGATGCTGGGACCCGACAGTGGGATCTTGAGAAAGAGACATGAGCATCTGTCCAATTCCAGCCAGGTAAACATAGCCAAAACCAAGTACAATAAACATGGTAAAGAATAGTGCAAATCCTGCCGGATGCAAAAAGAACTTGAGACCAGACAAACTGGTACTTTTAGTCTGAAGAAGTGGAGAAGTTTCTGATTGAATGACGACACGGCTGATATCATTGCTATGATTGTTCTTTGGTTTCACATCGTCGACTTCATCTTCTTCTTGATCTTGAACTACTAAGAAGAAGGATCCAAGGATCATTCCACTTGCCATTGTGATGGCCATGAATATCAAAAATCCATAGATTCGATTATCATTAGGGTTCTCCTTGTTGATAAAAAAGAAGTCGTTTATCTGGGAGAACACAAGACCGCACAGGCCGACCGATGCACTGGTCAAACCCATGCTCATTCCTCGATGGGATTTGAAGTTTTGCGCCTAAGAAAGATGTGAGCATGGATGTGTATGTGCATCGAGTTTGATCTAATACCTGTGAGTCAAGTGCACAAAGATAAGAGGCTGAACCGCCAATACCAGTGCAGATAAGGTAGAATGCGCAAAGAATGACATTATGAGAAAGTCTGCCGATGTATGACTGAGCCAGCAAGAAAGAGCCCGAGAAACAGAGAAAGGCAGAAATCAACATGGTCCTAAAGTGTGGGATTATGAGTTGAATGATTTGGTGAATATGTTATCGATATTTACTTTCTCTTGCCGAGTCTTTCGATCATAAAAGCGCAGAGAGGGCCAGAGAATGATACGCCTACAAAAGGCGCTGTGCTGACTAAACTGTTCTCCAAGGCCGACCAGCCAAAGCGAGTGGTGAGAGAAGCGCCAAATGCCGGGTATATGTATTGTGGACCAGAAACATTAGCTACAATCAATGCAGTAATGAAGGAAACTGCTAGTCGAGTAGAAGAAACAGGCCGTGGGCGCATTTTATTATTGTTATATGAATTAATGGTTGTGAAAATGCAAGAAAACACTTGTCAATTCCACCTCTATTTATATCATTGGAAAAAAAATAAAGAATATTTAAATGTATATATATATCATATTATTCTTGAAAAGGTATAATCATCTTTGGATCTACTACACGTCAGGGATTGGTTACAATTCAGTGTTGCAATACGTTTGCTATTTTGAGCAAAGAATGACAAGAGCACCGACCCCACATCCTTTTTGTTATTTCAGTTTATTTTTATCCGGTCCCCCACCCCTTCTTAAAGCACCAGCTGGTACTGACTGACGTTTGTCCTACTTACTGTCATCCCCCACCTTTATATACATTTTAGAAAAATAAATTTTCTAAAGCCACTAATATATTGCACTTGTAACCCCATTCTCATACTACTTGTGGTAATTAAGTGTGGCTATGAAAAAAATCAAACGTTGTAAAGAAAAATTATGTAAAGAGAGAGAGAGAAAGCTTATCCTTCTTTTTTATTTTTGATAAATTAAAAAGAGTTTAATCTATTTCTTCTGGGTCTGGGTCTTGAGGACACGCTTGACGATCTTCTGCTCCTCGATCAAGAAAGCACGGACAATGCGGCTTCTGACGCAGTGAGCGCAACGGGAACCACCATAGGCGCGGCTGACGTTCTTCTGGGTCTTGGAGACGTTACCGAACTGGCGGGCACGGAGAGCCTTGATCTATATAGATATATAATAGAGAATCAGTCCCATAGCTCTGAATATCCAATTATGTGTACAATTTCCCCAGCTAAAAATCTTATCCAAGCTTACACCAGCGAGAGCATCGCCACAGTCACCGCAACGGGGAGCCTTGACGGGCTTCTTCTCGTAGTGGTAAACGAGGTTGGCACCTATTTATATAATTGGTTCAAGAAAATAAATGAATACAGAAACATATACAAAACTGATGATCTTGTTCGTAATAAACAAATACATCATGTCTGGATCATTTTTTTGTATTATTGAACAAGTGTCTTACCGGGAGTCTTAACAACGTGGACTCTGTTGGAGCGGGTGTTGTACGAAAGACGACGTCTGTAGGTGAGTCTCTGAACCATTGCTGAACTTTCTGCTAAATGCCGTGAATGTGTTTAAGTTGCGGTCGGGAAATGATGATTGGATGGTGAAAGATTATAGAGTTCGTCCAAAAAAAATATTATATGCATATTTTGTGTTTGTGTGTAGATATATATCGAAAGAAGAAAAAACCATCAGTTACATCATGTTCATCCATCTTTCTACCCATCCATCCTTTTGCGGATACAGCCCATCCTTCTCTTAGTTTTTTTTTATCTACCCACCAAATAACAGCTAGCGGATGAAAGGGGGGAAGCCTTGAGGAGGCTGATGGAGGATGATGAACAAAGAATGGCGGTCTTTAAATCCAAGGAAGGAACCTGTCCGGCCATCCCGCTCCTTTCAACTCTTTTTTTTTTAAAAATAAAATAAAATAAAATAAATTACTTTATTAGTTGTTGGAATCGACAACTTATAATATAATACAATAAATACAATGTTACCAACTCGCATTTTACCTCGACCAATATCCTTATGTAGCCCTCTGCTACAAACATTGAGATCAATTACAACCTATCCCGAGACACGACCTGCTCGAATTAGACCTAAACAGGTACTCGAACAGGAAGGTCTTGGGGATGTCATGATCCCTGGTCAGTATCTCCGATTCTTCAAACCAAAAAAGATTAGATCCCGTCCAACAGAAGCAGGACCTGTAAGCATTTATTGCATGAGAATACTTATAACGATTGAAAAGTCTTCGTTATTGAACACCTTTTTACCAGTCTACTGGAAATATCGATCAGATCTACACCCAAAGTGCCCGCCCTTTAGCAGCAAATGAATTTGATAGCACACCGACAATTGCTCAGGAACGCATGGCTGATCGTATCCATCGTGCAATCATCACCATGTATTCTGCGGAATCACTACCTTCACTCATTACTACAAACAGTTTGATCATTCAATCGGTAATTTCTTTACAAACTATACAAGAAATGGAAAAAAAGGAAAAAAAAACTCAAGCAGTATATGCGTGTATTTCAAATTTAGGTTAAAGTATCTCGCAATCAACGTAAATGTCATGTTTACTATGATCCAATCTCAACTGTCAAATCTGAAAGGGTAAAATATAACTAAAACAGCTCCGTACAAATGCAGTGAATTGATATTCTTTTCTTCTTTCTTTTTTAATTAAAAATTGTAGGGAAATGTACACAGAGCTTTACAAAAACATGCAAACTTATTGAATTTACTGGCTCGATCTTATGCTCAGTTGCGGAGGCCAATGTCCATCAAATTTGTACCAGATAGACAAACCAAAGAACTAGAAGATATATTTAACAAACTGTCCGCAGAATTAGAACCAGAGAAATAAAGCTTATACAAGAGAAAATATAAATAGAGTGAAGAAGTGGGAATTTATTGATTAAGAAAAAAAAAGAAGATTGGAATATATGTGTGCATGCATCTAAATTATGATGATAATTAAGGTCAATCTCTTTTAGTTTTGCGCTTGTTGGAGGTTCCAAAACCAATGCGCTGATTTCCATAGTCAAATACCTAGGAATTGAATTATATTACTGTTAATATTATTATTATTATTTTTTAAAAAAAAAAAGGAATCATAAAAACCAACGTACTGTATAATAATGTCGCATGAAAACACCACCGAGAATCCAGGCATTCGCTACGTCTAATACCTGACCAGAGATACCCGATAGACACATAGTTTTGTTGGCACCCATCGGTGTCAGAATATAATCTTTTGGATGTAATGTGAGAGGCACGTTATTGACCCATATTACAAGAGGCTCAAGCGAGTAGCTCTTGCATGGGATGGACCATGTGGTGTCACCATTGTTCTCGGCTCCGGGTATCTGACGATGAAAGTTCTCAGCATCTGCTGTGGATGTGATAATTAAAGTAGACCCTAAGAGTATAAGTATAAGTACACAGTCCTGTGTATAGATTAGCAATATGATTGATCATATTTACCACTGTCTATAATAATTTTCTGTCCTTCCGCTTTGTAAGAGCCACACTTTATTAAATCTGTCTGAACCATCCAATATCCCGCGTGGATCAAATCTGCATACAACATCTGACCCTTAAAACGAGATTTGTCGATTGCTCCGAAATCGATCTCTCCTCCTCCCATTTCAGTGTAAATAGCAAAAACAGGCTCGTCTAGAATGTCCTGTTCAAGCATTGAATAAAACGGCGGCAAATATGAAGATGAAGTGAGATCTGCCAGACCAAGGCCAAATATCCCATCAAATGGAGTATTCTTAAACTCTTGTGATAAAACGATGGCGTCTCCAATTGCCTGATTCTCTAAACGTATACCGGCAACCTGGAGAGTGTCTTTACCAATATGGGCTCTGACATAACCAGACCCATACTGAACTTCAAAAGTAGTGTCAATGTCCATATTAGAGTCGTCGTCATCATCTTCGTCTTCGTAATCTTCATCATCTTCATCGTCGCCATTATCAGTACGCTTTTTTCTTAAGCCAGTTTCTCTTTCTGACGAGCCTTTTAGTTCTGACTCAAGATCAATATAAGATGTAGAGGCAGTGTGATTGAAGCGGTGGTGATGCTGACAAACCGCATCCGGCTCGCAATTTCTCGACACAACCCAAAGATCTGAGCTTCCGGTATCAAATATGACATTAAACCTCTGAGGAGGCTCCCCTAAAAAGATCTCTCCGTAGTAACCTACATTAAGAAACATCAGATTTGGCTATCTTGAGATGTTTCGATTTCAAGATATCTTACCACTGCCATGTCTGTACCCTACTTGTTTCTCCTTGGCTACTAAGAACGAGAGTTGTGTATCGTTTCCGCTTGAATATGGTTGAGTGTACTCGTGTGTTTTTAGTGTGTGCTGGTGTAAAGGAATTTTGAGGGATTCTACTATCCGAGATACAAATATGGCCACAACTGAGAGTGCAATAAAGGGATTTGACGATATTAACAACATTATGGTGATAATGTAAAGAGAACCAACTCAAACATTAAGCAAGATTTGCCGGCAATTTATTGTTTTGTGGTTTCTTGTATCCTTTTTCGCTTGTTTTTCGCTTTGTTTTTGTTTTAAAGGATATATCAACCAAACATTATATAAATCGTGGATATTTTCACAATAATTGTTATTTTTTTGTTTCCCTTTTGCCAAAGGAGATCAAAATAAACAAAACAGACTTGAATAAGTTGCTCTTATAATATATATATAAAAAGACCCTAAACGACAGTGTCATGAAGTTATCATTCCAGTAAAAATTAAAGTAGGCGATGGTTGCTTTGAAAACTGTCAATAACGATTATATACAGATAAATAATCATTAATGATCATTTTTTCTCTTATTCAAAAGTCAACATCTATTGATTCAACAAAACTACAAACCTATCGGTAATGAAAAGCTTTAGTAAAAGAAAACAAGAAAAAGAATATTCACCTTGTCTTATTCTCAAACCTTTTATATAATAAATTTTAATCTAGACCAAGTCTTTATGTTGACATTAATATATACCAATATCCAATGCTTTATTTATATAAACTTATTTATCAAACTACCGAGATTTGTTTATGTATCTGAACAGAACAAAAATACTTGAATACATTTATTTATTTATTTTTCTGGTAATCTTCAGTGTTTTTTCTTTCTTTTATGTATTTGAACAAATAACTAATAAATTGCGCCTTTTAACGTAGTATCTAATCAGTCCCAAGCTTGCTGATTGCAATTTTTGCTATAAGCAAAAAATAATAAAAGACATAAATAGTGTGGATCAATTGAAAAACTGCTTAAAGCACTCTTGCTTAAATATTTATAAAAACCTTAAAATACATTTTCCAACACAGTACCTATAGGATTGCTTTCTTTTTTTTTTGTTTTAGGTACCTTCCCATCTAGTCCTATAAATTAGTAGCCTAGGCTTAGGCTTAGGCTAAGTGGTTCACCAACTTTGCAATAATACTCTAATAACAATGTCAGTTTTTTTCTTTAAAACATTCCTTCTTCAATTTAGAGTATGTATAGCCCTTTAAGGATCAATCTTATCTTACAAATATCTCGGAGCGTATGTATCTGATATTCTGTAAATATCATAACATAAAGTGGATAAAGAAGGTCCTCGGCTAGCATGTATTACAAGGTCGATCAGAAATATAAAATTGACTCATTGTAAAGTTTATTATTTTTTGTGGACCATTTTACCTGTAGAAATCTAAATTCCCGGGGAAACCCCGCCCGTATTTTATACAGCAATATAGGTTGTAGAGAATAGGCCATTCGTTTCGAGGGAACGGAACTGGTGGGTGGCGACTATTTAAAACCTCTTTTTCAATTTGATGTATATATTCTTTTAAGCATTAAGATCTCTATTCCATTCCACTCTGCAACTTTGACAAGCGAGGATGCTTATGAAGCCAATTAAAATATTTGTGAGGTTACTTTGATTACAAAGATGGCAAATCTTTAGAACAAATAAATAAAACCATTATTAGCCAAGCCTTAAAATTGTTTTAAACTTATTGGGCTTTCCTAAGAGGTTCAGAACTCTCCGACATCATTCACAAGAAGGTCTCCGGCCTTTTGTCTATTACTCAATGCTCGGTAAAGAGCACTTAAAACTCCTGTGCCACAGCCTATAGATTTTATAGCATCTTTGCCTTTCATCCCGGTATCAAAATCAATAATAGGTAATTCAGATGTATAATAGTCGATTTTTTTTAGTCGCCAATATCCTTTTCCACTTATAAAACAGCAATACAAAAAAATCAGCTCTCTCGAAAGTTATTAATGTACTATATATGTATGGCCCTCGAGTGTGCATCGTTTGTTCGCATTTGTCCTTCTTCTTGGTATCTGTTCTTATCTTTCATCTAATGATCCCCCTTTCTTCTCCGCTTCCTACTATTTCGCTTTGCGTTATTTATCTTTTTCTTGTTGTATTTTCTGCCGCTATTCACTAATATGTTTACCATTTCCTCACGCGTTCTCTATACACCTTGATAAAGATAGAGACCATTTCCTCTCCCCTCCTTTTTTTATTGTTTCTGGAGTACTTATATAGCACCAATGTCAATTTTCTCATACTCTTTCTACTTTGACTTACAGAACTATTTTCTACTTATTACTACAAGACATCTTAGATATTAATATTATATGTCTAAATGTTTTTAAAAAGTCTCAATATTAAGCTGACAAACTGTAGTTACTGTTCTTTTTCTCTTTCTTATCATAATGCTTATTTCTGTATCTCAAGCGGACTTATGTTTAAACACCGATAAACATCACCGCTACTTTTGGAAAATATATTTAAAGCCAAATCAAAAGTTTTAGTACAAGAGGAGTTTGTTTCGTATTATATATTTATTTAAACACAGTACAGAGATCTTCCAATGTTAAACATATAAGAAAAATATAAGAAATGCACATGGTGTTTTACAAGGTATATGAAAAAGATTGCTTTAATTTTGTTACATATTTTATTTTTTATATATTTTTAAAAAGTAAAGTAATAGAAAGCAAATTTAAAGTCACGTTCAATCCTCTTCTTCCACCCCTCCCCCCTTTTTCTCCTTACTTATCTTGATCAGCCAAATCTAATGACTGTAGACATCTTCTTCCAGATCATACTCGATTTTCGTAGGAAAGAAACACAAAGACATCTATTTTTGTATATTAAGATATTAACGTTCTGTACACAGATAATCCATTCAAAATTTCACAGCAGCAATAATAATGTAATACGAAATATATGTGTGTGTATATGAGCAATATATACATAGACAAGGTTCTGTCAGTGATTAGATATGTGTTTTAATATCCTAATAGTTTAATGCGCATGTACAAGACTTTTTTCTTTCATTTAAATATTTATCCTTATCAAGTCTTATACAATTAACCGCGGTGACTGCCATTATTGTACTGAAGCATAAGAGCATCGACACTGAGGCTAATTTGTGAGGCTTTTTTAAAATCAAAGAAGATAAAGGTAATTACTATGGCTGAGCATATTGCCTTTTAACCAACTACTGATAGATAACTAGATTGAACCGTGCACTAAGATTTGAGGTAGGATCTTGGTATTCTTTCTTTTCTTTTATTGGAATTCTTTGAGTTCTATAGCTACATGAGCCACACATCAAAAATTACACAAAAGAAAATATATATATGGGAAGCGCCCCTTACACGTTATTGCTTCACAAGAAAAACTTCTACGTGAAATATTCTCTATAGTCTTTGTATAAAGTGCCTTTATCTAATTTTCGTATATATATATATTACAGCTTGGCGGCTAAGCATATTTACTAAGCATGTCTTGGCGTACGTATGGTTTTAATTAATAGAGATTTCCTACAAGAGTACCATTTTTATATTTATATATATACATATAAATATATTGCTCATGGTGATATCACAAGAGGATTAAAATACTCTAAATCTATGAAAAGAATCTAAATCTATAACCCCCCTATTGAATCATTATTTTTTGTGGGAATTAATTGGCAGTCATATTTCAATAGGCTTACAGCTCAAATACAGACTTACATATATATTTGTGTACATAAAATAAAATCTTATTTTATTGTAATGTAATGTAATGTACAGCGTACAAATGAGGTTGGACAAACCATGTGCGAATCAGAGTAACATAAAAAGCCATTATTGGTACAGCTATATTGGAGAAAATCAGCGCTCCCCCCACCATTGAATTTTGGTTTTCAATCATTGCACAGGAGGTATTGTCTATTGTACAGAGCTTTCTTTTTTTCTCTTCTAAACATTTTTTATGCACTAATTCTGAGAATTATTTTTTGCACCCGTCACGAGAATTGCTTGACAGCAATGAAGATTATTTTGAGACACTCCTAGCTAAGCAATTAAATACAGTCCACAATAATTTTGGGATCAGGCATACAGCTTGGGACATGTTAACGAAAATGGAAATTAAGATTCTTTTTTTTTGTTTGTATAAAACTTGTAAGCTCAAATGTATTTATGGAAAGACTCTTAAGAGGTATAACAAAAGAAAATATGATATTATTTGTTTGCTGTTCATGTTTATTATATAATGAAGGGTTTTGTTTTTGATATTTTGATATTTTAGTATTCGTGGGTGTTACAAATACGATTGTTTATCTAGTGTTTCAAAACTATCTTCATTGCTGTCAAACGATTCTCGTGGCGGGTGCAAAAAAATAATTCTTAGAATTGGTGTATAAAAAATGTTTAGGAAAAAAGGGACAAAAAATCCTCTGTGCAATGGCTGAAAAAAAAATCCAATGGGGGGGAGTGCCGGATTTCTCCAATCTAACTGTATATTAACCTTAACTTTCTTCACAGAACAAAATTGATTATATATAAAACTATATATCTTGGCGAGGATTTTTTCCTAAGTGTTTATAGATACCAGCTGTAATTACATACTATATTCAAGCATAAGGTCTTGGCTGTTGTACATGTTACATATAGTTTGAGACATTTACGGTATCAAACAGTTATATGCAACATGTTATATTATGGCTGTTTTTTTTATATAAAAAAACAAACAAATAAAGATAAAGCTAACGGAGCTAGCCCCAGAGAAGTAAATGATTATGAATAAAACATTTACTATATATAACTATAAGGAGCAGTAAATATTAAAAGTCCAAGCAAAAAGTAACTTTATGAAAAGGTTTTAATATTCAATAATATTAGTGGAGTCATTTGAACTCTTCATTTGACTACCTTTAATATACAGAGCTTCTTTTCCTTCCTACATAAATTTCACGCGACATTTCTGCGCTTTAGAAGTAATAGAAACGCTTAGCAATCTCGGCAAAGCCAACATTACGTTTGTTTCTATCGATCGTACAGATCGTCCTCGAGATACTTTTAAATAATATGGTTGCGATTTTCATTATATTATCGCTCCCTACTTATTACCAAACGATACTAATAATAATTTTTAGATTTTTTTATATAAGTCATTTACTTACCATTATAGAGCTTCTTTTTTTTGTGTACTTGAATACCTTTAAGAAATGGGGAAGACTCAAGCTTTAGTTATAATCTAGTTCAAATAAATAGCAGAATGATCTTTAATCAAATTGCTGCACAATTTGGAAAAAAACCAAGTCAGTGATTTAAATAGTTGTATGTATGTATATTGACGTAGTATGTATGTTTATCATCTTTAACGGGTCTCTTACGGTCTTTACTGCCCCATGATTGAGCTAAATGAGTTTTTTGTGTATTTTAGATATATTTTCTCTTTCTCTTTAAAGTCTTCGGTTGTCTAATTGGACATTTCTAAATATATATAAAAAGAAAAGCGCTTTCATCATAATTATTTGATAGATCCAAACTATTGTACTTTTATATTAGTTTAAAACCATAGGAAATAAGAATGAGAATATTGTTTTCTTTGTACGAGTAGTAAAGGGTTTTTCAGAGACTTCATTAAGCATACTATTCAATATACATCTACTCTTAAAGCTACCCTGAACACTTTTAGGCTGGTCTCTAACGCCAAGGTTAATATGGGAAAAACCATCGTATATGCTTTTTTTGGCTCTTTCTGTATCGGATTGGGGGGTCCACTATTTAGAGGTTACTAATATTTTTCTTCCTTGGCGTTGATAATTATTGTGTATCCAAGAAGCGTGTATGGAATATTGTGTGTTTTATATCTAAATTTCTTTTTCAAAGCATTCCTTGCATATATTTATATGTTTATCCTTGCTATATATAAATAGTATGCGTAAAATATGGATGGTTAAACAGGTTAAATTCTCCAAAAAAAAAATACAATTTTCTTTTTAGCCAGGCGTGCCTTTTTTTTTCTTTGATTTTTTTTCTTTGAAATTTGTACCTGTTTGATCCACCATAATAATATAATATAATATACTATACTATACTATTTTTATTATTCGATTATATAATGGCCTGTGCGGTAAGCGTGACGTTAATAACCGATAAAGAATACAATAGAATAATGCAAATTGCTTTATAATATGGATTGTCAATAATATTTTTATTGTAAAGAGTCGATTAATATATGTATAGTACCACAGATGGTAAATTTCGATGTTTGTGTGTACCAAACACTTGATTCTTTCTTTATAGTCTTTTTTCTAAGTTTGTATTGAATTATCAAGTAATTAAGCTTTTTTACTCATTCATTTATATAAATATATTTGGATTGTATGCTTTATGTTTGTCGTGTATTAGGTAGTAGTATATTATTAGTATTAAAATTAAAAGGTATTAAAAAGTATTAAAAGTATTATTATTATTATTATTTTTTAAAAAAAAATAGTGATTTCAAGAGAAATTATGGTTTGAAAGAATAACTCAAGTAAATTGAGTTTTGCTGATAGACAAGGCTGGTAATATATATATGGACCAGATGAGATTTTACATTAAAGAGTATAATAAGTAGTATAAGAAAGAAAGAGAGAAAGCTTGGATAAATGCGCAAAAATTATGAATTAAAATAGAAAGAGGGAATAATAGAGAAATAGAGAGTATACAGAAAAGAAATGAGAAATGAGAAATGGAAATGGAAATGAAGATGGAAATAGGAATTGAAATAGAAATAGGAATAGGAATAGGAATGGGAATAAGAAAGAAAAGGATATTTGTGAAATATTAATGAGTTATTTTTTTCTTCTTCTTCTTCGTCTTCGTCTTCGTCTTCGTCTTCGTTGTCTCTTCTTTTTTTTTTCTTGTTTTGTCTAGACCTTTTCTTCATCAAAGAACTTTTCGGAAACAATGTATTGGTCGTTTGTTTTGTAGAGTCGCTTGATGCAGGCAATTGTCGATGGAATAGTCATAAACATCCATGCCGCAATTGGAAGGGTGGCGTAGTCAAACACGTTACGCCACGAACGAGATTCACTCTTGGCTTTTCGGTACAATTCACGATCAACTACCCGATGAAGCTGCTCGTAGATAGCCAGAGTACCAAACAAGGGCATTGGCAATAATACAGTGATAATCTTGACAATATTCCACAGAGTACAATAAAAGTCGGATGTGAGGATAGGGTTGTCTGCAGGATCCACAAAAGCCACGGTTGGATGGGGTGGAAAGAGAATGAACTGCATGAGAGGCACGGCTGCGAACATTAGCCAGCCCGAAGATACCGGAATCATGTGGGCTTCAAGAACCTTGACACAGACAATGAGCTTGTCAACCCAATAGGTAGGAGAGGCATACATTGATGTTTTCTTAGCCAAACTCGGACCGTGCAACACCACGCCGTTTCCATCTACCGCCACACTCCGAACTCCAAACGCATTTCTCAACGTGTAGGCCACATCAGCCACACCATTGTAGTGACGTTTGGCTTGGACATAACGAGCATTCATGTTGGACCAAAATCCAGGGGTCTGAACATTGGTGAGGTTGATCGGCACAAAGATAGGACAGCAGCGAGCGAGACCGTCGGTCTTGAAGAAGCACTTTAGCATCATGTGCATGTCTTCTCCCACTGAATCAGCATCGGTATCCCAGAAGCCAACACGTTCGGCTAAGATCATAGAGAGACTGTATGTTGAACAGGGAAAGGCGATACCGCGACTACTACTGAGATTTGACATGACCATTGCAGACCAGGTAATATCGGTCATCCTGACAGCAGCAGGCACGTCGAATGCATTACGAGAAAAGAAAATTGGGGGAGCAAATAAGAGGAAATAAGGATCATCGGCCTGAGTGAATGAACGTTCGACCTGAAAAAAAATAAATAAACAAAAGATTCAATAAATAAGCTTTCTCTTTAGGTTCACCATGGTAACAAATTAGATTACCCAATACTATTATCTTTCAATACTTTTTTTAGACACCTTACCTCTCTAACATATAATTCGGGAATAGATGAATCAGAGTCTGATATGGTGAGTATGACCTGACGACGGTCTACACCGCGTTGGATCATCTCAGCGCAGCCAACACGAGCAGCATGAGCCACATTGGAGCCCTTTCCACGTGACTCCCCGGGAATATCAGTAGGATGTACGGTCACAATGAAGTGAAGGAAACTGTCTTTGAAATAAGTTGCCAAGCTTTCAGCCTTTGCCGATTGACCTTGTTCGGATGCTTCCATTGCCAAAATGATGACATAGTTTGTCTGAGCGTTACTAAAGATAGAATAAGGTGGTGAGTACAAAATAAAAATAAAAATAAATAAATAAATAAAGTGCTTGATCTAATTAATCCAAATTATGGGATTTATATTATAGTTTATTATAGTTTATTATAATTTTACCTGTGGTTTGCAAGTCTCTTGATTGTGTCCCTCAAGAGGGCTTCTGGTTCGGCATAGTTTGGGACAATAAAGGCTTGGATAAGACTAGAACGTTCGAATGACTTGAGGCTTGATTCCATTTCTTCTACACGGCCCTCATCTGACAGACGGTCTCGGCTTGGAGAGGAGTTACCACTGGTTGGGGAGTTTTTGCTGTTCCACTGGCGGATGGTACGCTTCATATTTGTAGCAGTAAGGTAGAACTTGAATACATGGTTTATTTGGGTGTACAAGAAACAGGTGAAATAGCAGAGTAGAAAGATGAGGTATAGGCGAGGAATGAGGAGTGGACCTAATGGCAACAAAAGGATGGACCCAATCGCAGCCATGGGTGCCACCAACTCAAAAGGATAGTTTAAGAGCATCATGTTTTTTTTTGTTAGGAAAAAATAAGATAAAAAAAAGGTATATTTAAATATAAATTATTAATGTAATATATATATATATATATTATATTATATATTAGATTATATATATATATATATATATATATATATTAGAAAATGTATGGGTAGGAAGAGGAAGAAGAAGAGTAAGAAAATGAAGCGAAAGAAGAGGGAAATATATTAAGAGAGAGAGAGAGAGAGAGAGAGAAATAGAAAAGGGGTTGCAATGAAGAGTTGAATCAGTTTGATTTGGTTTCTTTTTTTTTTTATTTATAATTTTTTTTGTACTTTGTGTGTAAAGGTTTTTGAGCCGTGCCACCTTGAGATGCTAGTGTGACCATTTTTAGAACGACCAAGACTGGACGGGGTGAAAGAAGGGGGGGGGGGGGGGGAGAAGGGTTGGGGGTGAAAAGGAGAGAGGCAGTACAATATATATATATATTTGTACTTTTAAATTTGGACGATGTTAATTTTTTTTTTTTGGACAAATCAAAATTATAATATTTTGGATGTTCAGCTTACCGTTTTTGGGTGAAAACCAAGCAAAGATAATATTAGTTTTAGGTGAATGGTTTATGTTCAGATCTCTTGGCTGTAATCATCTTAAACGTATAAAAAAAAAAGGTACAAAGCTGCGTAGCTTACACCGGTGATTTTTTCTTTTCTTTTTTTTCCTCTCTTTCAAAAGCAGGCAGTTTGTTGTTGTTGCCTTGCCAAATGAATATACCAATGATCATCATATATAAATCTTTTGTGACAGTATTATCCTTCCATCATAGTGTGGCGCATGTCTTACAACAAGCAAACAAGAAAGCCCACTCTGACCTGAAATATGTTTTTTTTATAGCCCAAGGCCTTTGTACACCAAGTACTGCAGACTTGGGAGGCATTGATCTCGTTCAATTACAACTGCAAACAAGTTCACAAGCTTTAGTTACCGCTTAGATTCCATTAGACATACTTAATACAGTGATAATAGAAATAATCCTTAGTGTGCTTCTGGATCAATAAGCTCCCATTCATAAAGGGTTCAGGCCTTCCGATATAGGACATTATTTACGGCTCTTTCTTTTTTTTTCTATTGAACCTTGGTTTTAAGAGCCTGCCAAATGTGCTCAATTGAATTCAGGTCTGGGACTTTGATACAACCAATAGTCAAAGCGTTTAATTTCACTCGGTTTTTTTTATCAAATCGTGTAAAAACAGTATGGTAGCTACCAATATCTCTTTTTTAAAAAAAAGATAAAAGCACTGTATCATGTTTCTCATTTAACAACATTTGATGGCGGTGTGAATTGTTGTCCGAGAGATTTTCCATGTAATTTTCCAATCGGGAGTTGGGTATTATTCGTTTTTACAGGGCCAAGTAATATCACTATTCTCAAGCTCAAAAAGGTCTTATCCAAAAGGCAAATTTTATATATTTTGATTCCTCAATTACGTGAGTGATTTAGTTATAAGAAAAAGGTTCTACAAAAGGATTAACAAATAAGGTGTAGTAAAAAAAGAAAGACGTGTTTCTGGGGGGGGGGAGAGAGAAAAAGTGATGATATTTTTTTTATCATCTCGGGAGTGTAAAAGGTACGTGTAACCAGCTAAGATTTATCTTGCATTAAAATATATAAACGCCGTCATAAACATATTTATTTCCAGACATATAAGGACTAATTTGTTTTTTAATTAAAACCCAATAAATTTTCTGAAAAAATGGTTTTATAATTTTTCGAAGTAAAAATTTAATTGGATTATTTTACAAAGAATATACATAAATACGTGCCAATAATGCTTAAAGATATCTAAAAAAAATACAAAATATTCCTCAATTCAGAAAAGAATATTGATCCGTATAGGTGTGTATAAAACTACAAATTACAAACTCAACAAAGTCTGTCTGATATTAAATATCATAAATATCAGCGTGTCGGTATTAGAATATTTAAGCAAAACTTGCGAAAGTATTTGTAGCTCTTTATCTCTCTTTATCTCTATCTCACTCTATAGTTCGCGTGTCTTTTAGTTGGAAAGAAGAATATCCAAGATACATATGTAGCGTGCATATGTTAAGGTAGCATATGTTAAACTTGGGAAAATTCAGAAATCCAATCAATCTATTATATTTAGTCCTTGTGCCCTGAGTGATGTCATTAACTGATCTAACACAAGAGCTAGAGGAAAATAGATATACGGGTTTGTATTTTGTACATTGAAATACAAATTCCTATCATGCGCGCATATATACACACACAGAGAGAGAGAGAGAGAAGAGCTGCTTATCTGTAATCTTACAAAAATAATAATAAAAATATAATATATGTATATATGTATATGTATGTAAGAGATAAAAGATAAAAGATAAAAATAAATCATACACACGCGCGCGCGCACGCACGCACAACACATACACAGTGAAATACTTGAGTACAAACTTTTTTTTTGTATTTTTCTTTCCTTAAAAGTCTCAATCATTCAGCCAATTAAGTGTCAAGGATAATCCACCATCGTATTTGACTCTGATATGTGCTGCTTTGTGTTTGTTGTTGGGCGGACCCTCAATTGACTCTCTCCTCCTACACAATAAAAAATAATAATAATACTAATGACCAGCTACATTGAACCAGAAGATCTCAAGTCCATCGTCAAGGATTCATCTCTTACACCCCAGAAAGACTATGTCATTGTCGATGTCAGAGACCTAGACTACGAAGTAAAACATAATTTATTTATTTATTTTAGCCAAACCACACCAAACAAACCTTATCTTATGTCTACAAAAAGGGTGGTCATATTCCAGGTGCAGTTAATGTACCAGCTCATGAACTGATGGATAAGGCAAACACATTGGTTGAAGAATATAAAGATGTTCCCTTGGTAATTTTTCACTGTGCTTTGTCCCAAGTTAGAGGTAATATTTTAGCAACAATAAAATAATCACAATAATAATAATAATAATAATATATACATACAAATTTAGGTCCCAAGTCAGCAAGGATCTATAATGAGACCAAGAGTCTCTTGAAGCCTGAGTCTACTCAACAGGTAAATAATTCTAGTCTATAGCATGATGGACTATCTATTAATACCCTTATCAAGGTCAAGATACTTCGTGGTGGTTTTGAAGGCTGGCACGCAAAGTTTAAGCAAGATCAGAGTTTATTGGAATCCTATGATCCTGCTGTGTGGCAGTGGGCTACCTAAGATTGATAGATTGATTGATTGATCGGATAACCCAGTAATGATAACAATGGTAGCAATAATTACTATAGATGAATTATTTACTTATTTATTTATACACATCTTTATAATTATTATTGTTATTATTTTTATCTCGCGTGGTTTTTGAACCACTGAGACATATTTTCATATACAAGAAAAGTAATACATGTTCCTGGAAGAACTCGGATTATATTAGGCGCCAGGCCTTTGTAAAATCCACCATAGCCCTCAGCTCTATAGATTCTAATCACACAATCAACTAATCCTTTGTAAGAATCTTTCGTCTCCCTGTTCTGGAGACGACTGCGGAGTACTTGATATGGGTATGTCATGATTGTAGCCGTGACTTTTGAAGAAGCAGCCATCACAAGGTATTCTGTGGTGGTCAGTCTGGCATTGGTTTCACTACTAGGAGTTATGCCCTGACCATGTCTCCACTGGTTCCTGCTCTTCTTCATCTCTTCATAGGCCATAAATTGAATCGCACCATGTGAGACACCCAGCAGCCCTGGAACCAGTCCTCTGTACAATCCCCTCAATCCCTCTTCAGCCGCCAATCTTCTTAAGCCATCGATCAGTCCACGATAAGAATCAGGTGAATCGTGCGTCGTGGTACACATTCTGGTCTTGACAACCCACAATGGATTAGTCATGACGGCAGTGGCTGCACCGGCTGCAGCTGAAGCTGCCAAATGTTGCCAAGCTGCCAACATTTGTTCATCTGAGTTTCTAAAGGACTGTTTGATCTGACTATACCTAGAAACCCAAATTCATATGCATACATACATACATTATTATTATTATCCATGCGTGAGAAAAATATATATATATATATAGAAAAAATAAAGCTAGCTTACCACCAAAAATACAATCCCCAACTGGCCGTAGCTCCGGCCATATTGGGTCCTACTCCACGATAAAGTCCCCGAGTAAATCCTTCGTTGGCAAGGATACTTTTAAATGCCTTAATCGTTCCACCCATCAAAGGTCTTTTCTCGGATCGTTTTGCAGTGTCGACTATCAACTTATTGGTTTAGACTTTTTCTATTGGCATATATGTATTATTTTTCTTTAATGTATTGATCGATTTTTGGTTTCTTATTATCCTTATTTACCTTGAAATCGTATTTTGATAAGGTCTAGAGGGTGAAGAAGAAGAGTAGACACCATGCCAGCACCAAACCCGGACAGTGCCTGGTCCTAATTATTTATTATATTATATTTCATTTTATTTTATTGATTGATTTAATATATGGCTTGGTATTTTGTAAATAGTAATAAAGAGTACAAAATATGAAAATTGTTCTTCTCAATTTACCATGTGGGGTGAGGTAGTGAATGACTTTGACATTCCGTAATGTACTGAAAGAAAAGAAGAAAAAAACAAGTAATACAAGAAGACCAAAGGTGAATAATAATAAATAGATAGAGGAGAAGAGATATATAGTGGGAGATGTGACGTGTTTTTGATTGGATTATTTTTAAGAAGAGAAAAATATTAATCATATAAATCAATCTTTCTCTCTCTCTCTATATATATATATGTGTGTGTGTATTTATAATTGAAATCTGCTCACACATATAAAAATAAATAATTATTGGATTTATTGGTTTATTTACAATACACAAGATAGACAGACAGACACACGAGATAGAATCAAAGCAAAACAAAAGAGGGGGGGAATAAGGAAAGATGGAAATATATATATAGTCTAATAAAAACATAAAGATAAGGACTATAAGAAAAAGAAGAATAGCCAAGGTGGAAATATATAGGTTAAATGCTTTTTTTCTCTTTAACTGAGGAGATGTTCTAGTCGCATGGGTATGGGTTGTTGATCGATACGTGGGGATGTTTTGCAAAGGAGATCAATGGGTTTGAGACTAGATTTTGGAGGGTTTGAATTGAATTGGTGAATAAAAGGGACCACTTCTTTTGGGACCATAGACTGTGGTGTTTTGTGCTTAGGCAGAGTACAATCGGCCAGCTTCTCTTTGCCTCCCATCTGGACCACTAGAGTCTCTAGGTGGTGTATGTAGTCAATCGCACTCTGCAGGATACTCATTTTGTGTAGACCGTCTTGGTCAGCACAGGCAGGAATCAGCTGCTTGAGGTGACTCATCTTGTCATTTATGCGCTCTCGTCGTCTTCGTTCGATAGCACTGTGGGACACTTTACGGGCCTGTTCTCTTTGCTCAGCCCCCGATGGCCCTGAATTGTCTTGGGGATTTCCAGGACAGCCATCCAGTGGAGGAGAAGGAATAAATGGAAAGATTGTGGGGTCTTGGTGCGGAGAATATGGCAAGCAATAGACCGCCATTGGCTGCAACGACTGGTTGTGAGAATGAAGTTGAGCTAGGTTTGTGCCTGCTGCTGCTGCTGCTGCTGCTGCTGATGCTGCTGGTGAAGGGGGTGTTGGCAGTGTGTGGGATGGCGGTGGTGGATAAGGTAATATCGGGGGCGGAAGAATGACGACAGGTAAACCATCACCAGTCTGGGTGCTGGCTCGTTTACGTTTTCGAGTTGTCTTTTGGGTAGTTGGCGGAGTCATGCTATGAATCTTTGAGAGATAGGATTAAAAAGAAGAAGAAGAAGAAGAAAGGAGAGAAGAGATTGTAAGAAACAAGACTTGTCTTGGCCCAATATTTGACTAGAGTTATTTTATTTTTCAGTCTTTCTTTTTATATATATGTTTCTGATACATAATCTGGAAGCCTGTGGATTATTGCCAATGAATCAACCAAGTAATACACACGTGTGTGTTTGATTGGGTCTTTTTATGATTTTTTTAATTTTTTTTTTATATTTTTTTTTTTGGCTGTAGGTATTTGACCCACCTTCCTCAACCAATAGCCACCCGTTCACTTGCACTCTCGCATTGCCAACAGCATCAATGGCTAATTCCAAGAATACATGTTTTGCATCAGTAAATCTCCACACCAGATACACTTGCACCACCTACTGTCACGTGGTGTCTACTCTAACACTCTCACTCAGACGTCCAAGTTTTATATTTATACCATCCTACTCTTTTCTTTTTTTCTTTTTTCTTTTTTCTTTCTTTTCTTTTTTTTGGTTTTGGTTTCCAGGCAACCATTTTAGGGATTTCCGGGACAAACAAGGAATAATCCAAAGAAAGTGTGCAGTGTACAAGTATGGGATAAACTATAATATATTCTTGTGCCTCTGTGTGCCTCTGTGTGCTTCTGATTTTCTGCGGCATCTATTGATTTAACCATTGAAATTCGTGGTCAATAAAGACACACACACACACAAAAGTGCCCCTATCCAAAAAAAAGATATCGAATTAAGGTTACACAAACCATGCTGCGACTGTCGGAGAATGATAATTAAACCATTTAAGTTTTACCATGGCAACCTTTTTTCTTTGTCTTTGGTTTTTTTTTGTTGTTGTTGTATATTTGCTTTTTATCTCCTTGTTGTTTTGTCTTCAACAGACATCTTGTAGTTTCCCTACTTGTCATTAAAATAATCACATCAATCAGATCATTCCAATCATCCTATTTTCATCAATTTTTTTTATTCTTAAAAAGTACAAGTGGTCTACGTATCTGGCTATCTACACACCTTTTGTCTATGTTTCATTTCACAGATCCGTTCGAATTATTGAATCCTAACTAATTGATCTCACAATTTATTTTTGATAATAAACTACAGATGTTGTAAAGAAGAACAAACTTTGAATTAATATAATTATAATATTATTATTGTGATTTTTATAAATTATTTTTATTTTTTGTTTTATTTTTTATTTTTTAACAAAAAAAAAATATGGCTTGTTTAATATATTGATGTATTTATATATAAATTATATATATATATATTATCATTGCTTAAAAAGGTATTTCATTTTTCCCCTCTTCTTCTTCTCTCAAAAAATTATATTTGAATAAACTAGATATTTATATATATTTTTATATAAAAATTCTCTTTACTAGCAAATAAGTAAAGAATAAGGACAGTAATAATTAAGTATATATTTATATATATATATATATATACACATACATACATACATATACGTAAAAATGAGAGAAATTATTTCATTGCATGTTGGTAAGTACATAAAAGTTATATATAATGATTTATTAACAATACTCTTGTTCTGCTGTGTATTTCTAGGTCAAGCAGGTGTACAGATTGGTAATGCCTGTTGGGAATTGGTAAGTCGATGTTCAGGATGCGATGAGATTCAGAAATTAGAATTACATTCCAAAAATTTGTGAATAAACATATATAAGCTCAAAATGATAATAACACATATACTGTACTATAGTATTGTCTTGAACATAACATCAACCCAGACGGAAGACTTGATCACCCAGAAAGTGTCAAGAACCACTCGTAAGATACATCTTTTTATATATATAATACCCCTATAAAAAAAACCAAAAAAGATAAATCTTCATATACCTAGAGAGACAATACACTATATATATATTTAAATATCCCCGTTATCCCCCCCTTTTCTATTTCTTTTCTCTTCATGTTGTACCCCCCTCCCCTTCTTTTCTATATACATATTTGTGTGCGTGTGTCATTTGAAAGTTATTAAACAGGCGTCTTTTAGATTCGAGACATTCTTCTCCGAGACCAGTGGTGGAAAATATGTACCTCGAACAGTCATGGTGGATCTGGAACCTTCAGTCATAGATGAGGTCCGTACAAGTTCCTATCGTCAACTCTTTCACCCAGGTAAATATACAAGATAAAAACAAAGGCTGTAACAGCGCGCAATCGATCATTATTCCTTTTTTATTTATTTATTTATTTTTTGAATCTATAAATACAACAGAACAATTGATCTCGGGCAAAGAAGATGCCGCAAACAATTATGCTCGTGGTCATTACACCGTGGGCAAGGAAATGGTAGACAATGTCTTGGACCGTATTCGAAAGTTGTCCGACAACTGTAACGGTCTCCAGGGCTTTCTCATCTTCCGTTCGTTTGGTGGCGGAACTGGTTCTGGCTTTGGCTCTCTGTTGATGGAGCGCCTTTCGATGGACTATGGCAAGAAATGCAAACTCGAGTTCTGTGTTTACCCAGCCCCTCAACTCTCAACAGCCGTTGTCGAGCCCTACAATTCGATCCTCACCACTCACACCACACTAGACCATGCCGATGTCACCTTTATGGTCGACAACGAGGCAATCTACGACATTTGTAAGCGCAGCCTTGACATCGAACGCCCTACGTACTCCAATCTCAACCGGCTCGTGGCCCAGGTCGTGTCTTCCATCACGGCTTCATTACGCTTCCATGGCTCGCTCAATGTGGACCTGAGTGAATTCCAGACTAACCTGGTACCTTACCCGCGCATCCACTTCCCTCTCGTGACTTACGCACCCATGATTTCTGCTGCCAAAGCCTTCCATGAGCAAATGTCCGTGCCTGAAATCACCAACGCGGGTTTCGAGCCCCAGAACCAGATGGTCAAGTGTGACCCTCGTAATGGAAAATACATGGCCTGTTGTCTCTTGTATCGTGGTGATGTAGTTCCCAAAGACGCAAACGCAGCCGTAGCCGGTGTTAGAACCAAGCGAACCATTCAATTCGTCGACTGGTGTCCTACAGGATTTAAGATTGGTATCAACAACCAGAAACCGACTACCGTACCTGGAGGCGATCTGGCCCAGGTTCAGCGTGCGGTGTGCATGTTGTCCAACACAACTGCCATCGTTGAGGCTTGGTCTCGCTTGAACCACAAATTTGATCTCATGTATGCCAAGCGTGCATTTGTCCATTGGTATGTGGGCGAAGGTATGGAAGAAGGCGAATTCTCCGAAGCTCGTGAGGATCTTGCCGCCCTTGAGAAGGATTATGAGGAGGTTGGAGCAGATTCTCTTGGTGACTCTGAGATGGAGGAAGTTTAAAAAAAAATAGCCTTTGAGAATCAAGAAAAGAAAAAGAAGACAAAAAAAATTAATGTGAAATATGCTTATCTGCTACTAAGATTGCTTACCAAGAGGCTTCTTTTTTTTAAAAAAAAAAAAAAAAAAAAAAAAAAAACTAAGCTCCAACACAAATCAAACATGTAGATGGGACTTCCTTGGCTTCATCTACACCATACACATTCAACTCCCCCCCAAAAAAAAACACATGCATCGATTTGAAGCATGCATTCTACACCCACTCACTCACTTACTCACTCACTCACGATGCACTAACTTACTTACTCACTCATTCACAATTCTTCCTTAACTTTTTTGACTAAATTATTTCAATATAATGTACTTTTCTTGTATGATTTATTGATATACCACAATCTCTTTCAATTTGTTAGAGCTATAATATAAAGACGATTGTTTTAAATGTGCAATTCTGGATCAAAACACGGTCTGTGTACTCCATGTACACGAACCATTAATCTAAATAAACCAAATAGTTTAATGTGGGAAAACATCTGTCTTTTTTTAAAAAATAAATAAATACAAAATACCAATCCCACCGATTGATATTCAATATTCCATTTATCACCTGTATCTTACTATCCATAATAACAATAATAATTATTATAGATCTTGATTGCGGTTGCGGCTGTGGCTGTGGCTGTTCCTCATGTCTATTGAATGAAGTATAATTTATTTATATATATATATATATATTTTACAACTTTAACTTGATGGTATTTCTTTAAACCAAGATAACCGTCGGATGAGGAAATATCGCTCTCTCTCTTATGATTTGTGTATATATATATATTGGAGGATGTGATTGAAATATAAAACGGAATTCTTATTAAAGAAACCCAAAAATAACCAGGCCGTTTTCATGGTGTAGCGTGTCATTGAACCAATTATTGATCTTTAGTACTCAATAAATATCCATCAACTCCCCCATCTATTTCTGTCAATGAAAATTAAATACAGTCCCTTCTAGCGTCAAAGGCCAAATATAATTATTATTCTTTTTCTTTTTCTTTTTCTTTTATCTATATTTAAGAAGAAAAAAGGGGATAGTCAGTAAAAAAAACAATTCCATTGATATGAGAAGGGGTTTTTTTTATAGGATGAGTACTTTGCTTTTACACTCTCCAAAAGAAAAGGCAGTGTCGTGTCCCACAAATTCTGAATTCGTATGCTTGCCAAAATCAAAATCAAAATCAAAATCAAAATCAAAAGCTACTATATACCAGCCTAAATATATCGAGTCTCGAGAATATTTATGAGCCCTACCTTTTTCATACTTTTCTAAGCTCAAGCATATTGAGAAAATTTTGGTCGGTTTGTTGGAAAACAAAATATTGTTGTATACTAATCAGCGAAACATCCAATAGCATAAGGCTTAACGATTCCGGAGCTTTTTTTTTGTTTCTCATCCCTAAGGGATTTGTAGAAAGACCAGTGTAGTCAAGTACAGCCAATAAAATGAGCATATTTTTCGTTTTTTCTTTTTGCTTTACATGTCACCAATTTGAAATCGCAATTGTTTAAATTTTTTTTTTTTGGGAAGTAGCAGTAGAATATGCATCTCTTGGCAAAAAAAGAGGGGGTCTTGACTTTCTCGGCAAATGGGGCCAAACAATTACTTTCTTTTTCACAAAGAAGTTCGTTTACTCAAGGAATTGGGTGTCAATTTACCTATCAATTCAAATTTAAGTACCCGTATAGTTCTGGCTTTGACCACATTATGACACGTCCTTGACGAGTAGACTCTGGACAACAAATAACATCTACCATTCAATAGCCGTTTGCTGATTTAGCTGGTAGTAAACGAATCACCAACATTCGGAATATTGACCATCACCAGAATGAAGATATTCTTCTCAATTGATGATTTTGGATCATAATGATCTGTGGCACCGAGAGTTTTGAATGACCAAATAATGCATTATATAAACCATATGTACCTTGTGAAAGACCATCAGTTGTACCAGCAATTATCTGGGGGAATACCCTCCGAATTATTGTTAGACTCTATATTTCTATCGTTCTTAATCAATTAGGATCCAATGGAAATTGTTCATTGGCAAGACACTCTGGAGTAGGTAGTAAAGTACCTCAAGGTTTATTTATTTATTTTGGTCACAGATCTATTTACTATGTAAATAGTCAGTGTGTGGTAGATATAAATTAACTTAATCAGATAAACCCCATTTTGACCTTTTTTTTATTGATCTTTTGGATCTGTCCATGCCAAGTACAAAAGCGACTACTCATCTTATAAGAAGAAGAAAACTACCCTTTGGCTTTTAAAGCCCTCGCTCATTGAACTGTTTTATTTGCTGCCCTTTTTTATTTAAAAGTATAATATTGGTGTATAGTTGTGTAGCTTGAATATTGTTTAATTATCGCCCGATAGAGAGGTCTCTTATATATAAAGCCGCTTACGCCACCAAAGAAAAAGGAATGTATCCATAGTTCAAGAAATAACAGTTGTGCTTGGTTGTACGCTACAGTCAGATTATATGATTGTGATAATAATTATAGTAGGTAGTTTAAGCTAAGAAAAAAAAAGGTTCCGATAGACCAAGTCTGTTTAGGGATTGAAGTAAATGACATCAATGTTTCCTATATGTGATCCACTTTGGCGGTGTACCATTTAAGTCCCTTCTTCTTTGTTATATTTATAAAAGTGTATTCCAAAACGTGTTTTACTTCCCCTGTGTTGGAAGCCTTTTATTCTGCTTTCTGTGTCAGGGACCTTTTTTCTTATTCTTTAGAATATGCTGTATCTATAACCTGGTCTTTTCTTTGAAAACATTAGATTTTATATATTTCCACTATCTCTCTCTCTTGCTTTCAGATCATGACATGCTTAATATCTTGTATATCTTTGAAATATAAATGTTTTTATAAAAATATAAATAAAATCTGTACTTAAATATAATTAGGTTATTGACACACAAAACCTTGGTTTTAGTTTTGTGGTATACACACCACAATTGAGTGAAATACAAACTCCACAATCCAGAACGGATACTACAATTGCTAATGAACCTGGCAGGGTCACATCTCAGGAACGTAACACACACCAGGCACTCGTACACTTCACACTGCTTCAGTGATAACCAACCATTAACCAACGGAGATCTTAAATTAGGAAACCAAATGTCTATATAAACAGCTATGATCTTCTTTCTTAAATAAACAACACTCTCACAGTACCTATTGTTCCCTTTCTGAAATTTATTCGTATACCTCAAGTTTCAACCACAGGAATACAATTTGTTGTTTCTTTTTTCTTTGTAGGGAGCTTCCAGCTTAAAATTACAGTGAGCATCTTTTTTGTTTATTCTATGTTGTGAAAGAGAATATTTCAACTTGTTTGGTCTTAAATGACATTGAGATTTTTTTTTTTTCAAAAAAAAAGTAATAATAGACAGAATAGCTGGATAATGCCCGAACAAGCATAGCCTAAATTTACCTCTCTACAAGTGACAAATAAGAGGGGTAACTCCTGAGCTCTACTAGATGAGAGGTTAATAGAATCTTATAAATAAGCATAGAAGAAGTAAAAAAGAAAAAAAAAGTCGATTTGTTCTCCTCTATGTCCATGTTTTGTACCATGACAATGAAAGAAAGAAAACGAACTTGAGGGCATAGGAGACCTGAAGAGAGAGAAAGACATCAATATATGACATTTAGACTATTGCTCGTGTCCAAAATGAGAGATGAGCAAAAAAAAATCCATGTCAAACATTTCATATTCTTTTAGGCTGCTAAAAAAAAAGGTTATTTAAGGATCAAATTCTCATACAATAAACTATGGTGTATTTTCAACACATGGCTGCTCATCAATAATTATCGATAGATGATAGAAATACGTAGTATTTAATCATAAAGGTTGTCAGCTCCACAATCAACTGTTTTTATTTTTATTTTGCTCTCGTATTTTCCACCAAAACTGCTATATTTATTTATTTACTTTACTTTACTTAATTCTTTAGAGATTTATCAAGCATGCTCAAGCCAGTCGAGATCTGGACTTTGGACTATGCAGTACACAAAGATGTGAAGTCCAGCTATCTTATTAAAGAACAAAGATTCTTATTATGCTTCTCTGATATATTGGTAACCCATAAAAAAAACGTACCAGAGTATCGCCAAATGTTAGCCCAATTAAGAGGTGATTTAACTGTACGTGAATTCATCATTTATAAATAAAGACTGAATATTTTCTAGTAAGAATGAACCTTTTTATTAAAGAATTTATTTATAGCAGGAGGAAAAACAAGATACTTTAATTTCATTTAAAACAAACTCATCATAAAATAAGTTTTGTTTTTGATTATATGAAAGTTATTTAGAGCTATTGCAATATGAAGTATTATTTCATAACTCAACCGACATTAATCTTTACCGTGTTCATAATTTTAACAGCATCGGTAAAAACACACGGACTTCATACACAATTCACTTTGAAGCCTTTAAATTATAATGACAACAGCATAGCTGTAACGTTTAACAGGACTGAATACAGCTTACAAAGTATTGTTACAAAATAGCTCAAAAATAATTCACTGCTTTGCTTTAATGAACATGCGACGCGTAAAAGAGACTCGAGCAATGCCATTGATTAAAAAGCATATTGACCAAAAATAACTAATTTTTCATTTAAAAAGAAAAAAAGGGAGAGAATTTTTTTTAAAAAATAATAATAATTTTTATTAAACAATTTTAGAAAAATATATAAACCAAAATAAAGAACCTAATGCAATAAAAAAAATGTTAATGAATTTGCTTTGAAAAGACATCAGATTTCTGAATTTCAAAAGAGAGAATAAAGAAAAGGTCTTTCTCAGTTTTTTTCACATCACTCAGCACCAGCTACCGTTATGGTAACTCTAAGACGGCTCTTCCTATTTTTTAATGATGTATATTTTCATCCTAAAGACCTTTTCTTCTACAAAATATAATTCTAACCTCTCTTTTGAAATAAAATAAAAATAAAATACATACCGAATATAAAACTAGTAAAGTCAATATAAGAGAGAAGTTGGTGAAAGCATCAGACATCCAAGGAAGTGTTATTTGCTGACAATGAGAGGAGTTACTAGAGTTCAAGTCAACAGAGTTGTCTCTACTATTTTTCGCCCACGACTAAGTCTCTTCCAGAGGAAACTGCGAACACGGGATTTCATCATCATATGCAAACATCATCGCTTCTCTCGATACATTGAGCCGATACGAAATCTCATCGTCGAAGTCTAATCCTGTCCGAATACACGGATGGGTAGTATTTCTTGGAATTATTTCATCTATTTGGATAAATATATAATTAGAATACAATCTTGACATAAATATTTTTTAGAAAATATATACATGATATTGTAATGTAAAATATATAAATTATATATTATTTGTCAGGAAAATATACTGGCAAGTATCAACTGCACTCAGCGAAGCGCAGCGGGTTGTTTCATCATGGTCGATAAGATAAAATGAAGACATGTGTTTTTTCATCACACAAATAATATACAAATACAAATACAAATACAAAGAGAATATTTTTATGTTGTATTTAAACATAAAACTTACCAGGCTAATGCGTTGAGTGAAGAAAGATGAAAATTACTTTTACTAGGATGTTTTGCTTTTTATAAATATTTTTTAAAAAAAAAATAGTATGACTGCTGTTCTATCCAGCCAATAGAGAACTACAAAATTATTTAGCGCCCTAAAAAAAAAAAAAAAAAAAAAAGAGAGAGACAAAAAAATAGACAAAAATTTTTGATACGTGACAGGGTTATTTCAATTGGCAAATGTTCATATGCATTTTAAAGCTGTACACTCCGAAAAAAAAAAAATGAAGATAGCATTATCATTTTCATCAAAAATGAACCTTTTTTTATTCCATGCACATTTCTTCTTTTGTCTTTGTCGCAGAGCCGTATATTATCTTTCTGCTATTAATAACGAAGTAGAAAAACAACAAGTGAATTGGAAAGCGCGTCTTATAGAAATATCTTCTTTTCGCTCTAGTATCAACCACGCGTTAATTGAATAATACAAGTTACATTAACATCCCTAAAACGACAATTGACTCCAACAACCAAACTCTGGAAAGAATCAGAATATCTTTATTTGAGTGCACATTAAAAATTCTCTCGAGACCTATTGATACCATCAAAGACTATAATTTGACAGCTATTGGTAACATTAGAATTATGAATTGATAAATTATATACCTATTTCTTCAGCGAGTGCAATGCTAAAAAAAAAGAATCTTTTATTTGGTTTCATATTTGAAAACTCTGCTTAAATTCACTTTTTATTTTTACGTTTATTTACAAAACCCAAGTATTACTTTTATGAAAATCTCTTGTGATATTATAGTATATAATAAATCCATATATGCATTTACGCATATTTATGTTAATTCATTTAGGTCATAAATATATTTCACTCTTTTTTCATGCATACATACATACAAGAGTGCTTTAATATATATATATATATATATATATTACCAGCTATCTATTCCAACACTGCTTACATTCTCGCAACTGTTGGATAGTATGATTTTCACAGGAGGACTACCAATCGATAAATTTGTCAGGTTTTCTTCAGTAATGAACCGTTCGCGCTTTGGTAACGATGTATCTGCATATGATCCCTTGAGGAAGTCTGACTGGTAATATTCTCGCACAAAGACAATCTCGCTCAGCATAGGAAAGATCTCAATCAATCGGTCGATAAGTTGAATTGGAGTTCCTTCAGGTAATCCATGGACAGTTAAAGAAACAAGATTAGAGTTGACTGAAACAAGCGCCTGAGAAAGCATTACACTGATGAGAAACATGGATACTGTCAAGTGCGTGATCTCTGTGCTTTCAAGTAATTTCTCTGCCACCTTGATGAGCTGAGAGCCGTTGAGATTAGCACAGTTGGAAATATCGAGTTGGCGTAAGTACTTGCGATTCAACGGTCCAGAGACAAATTCTAGCACAATTTCAGGAGAACATGATGTATTGGCCAGCAAGAGGGTGTGTAGCTTAATGTTGTATTTTGCGGTTAACATTAGACCTTTGTTTGTGATTTGGCGACATCCCGAGAGATCCAGTGAGCGGAGGTGATGTTTTCTAAACTTTGCAAGCGAAACCAGGCAGTTGTCAGATAGTGTGGGGCAAGATTTTAAAGAGATAGTTTCGAGTTTGTCACAACGATCGCTCAGAGCATCCACGCCTCGTGAAATCTGACATTTGAGTCCATCCAAAACAATGCTACGTAAGGCTGGTAATGCATCGGCCAGCTGCATTAAAATCGCTTGATTCATGTGATCGCAATACGAAATATCGAGTGTCTCTACACCAGGCCACTTCCAATACTGCTCTAAGCCCTGGAATGTATCACAAGAGAGAAACGATGCTCCGCGCAGACACAAGGTTTTTAAATTGGGTATATATCGGACTAGTAGTAACCAGAAATCTGGCCTGACATGATCATACAATGATTCTTCTATCACAGACAAATCTAAAGTCTCTATATTCTGGATTGTGGCGATTCGTACTAGAGGTAATGTATCAAGAAAGCGGTGAAATACTGATAATGCATCGCCCACTAGACCTTTATCAAAGCGGGGCTTGCTCCATATTAAGGGCAGGGTTTTACGGTAGGCGCTGTGATTTATACGATTACATTGAACGATAGTATGTGTATCAAGATAAAGCACTGTGAGGTTGAAGACAGCATTAAATTTGATCAAGACCGTAAAAGGATTGTAGGCTGTAAAATGAGTCATAGTGAGATTCACAAGAGTTTAAGACCTTTTAGTAAAGAAAAAAAAAAGATAAACAAGAACAAAAGAAAAAGAAAAAGAAATTTGAACCTTTCTCTTTATTTTACACTTTTTTTTTATTGTCATCATTACCATCGACGCTTAGTCTCAAATCATAAGAAACAAAGTGCTCATTTGACCATTTGTGTACTTCATACTGTATAAAATACTCTTATTTTCCTATTTTCCTTTTTCCAATCTTTCCTTTTTTTTTTGCTCAGCATTTTTCCTGTTATGGAAAAGGTACGACAGTGGCACTCCATTTTTTATTTTCTTTCAAGATAGTGAACAGTCTTCTTCTTCTTCTTCTTCTTCTTGATACTGCCTTTGATCCCTTGGTATTCATATAATAAAATGTTAGAATACAATAAAGAGACGTCTACCAGAGACGTATAATTCAGGTCGAGCCATAAAAGTCCCGTCAAGTTATCTAAATTTAATAAAGCAAATACGTGAACAAGATGGGAAAATGGAGACACTGAGACGAGCTATCCGCTATAAGGAAGAGGTAAAGGAATACTTATATAAAATATCTAATTGTATTACTTGCGAGTATATCTATATATTTACATCTATACATATATTTTATAGAACAAACTAAAGGAAATGGGGGACTTAATAAGCCGGTGGAGACACATAGCGCAAGTACGAATATTAAATGAGATACTAGTATGGCATCTGTTTGGAGGATAAGTTAACATTTGTCTGTTTGTTTTTTATAAAAAAAAAACTAACACATGTACACTTATTCCCTTGTACAGCAATTAGTGGTTGAGCTTCAGCAAAAGTTTAGTGAAGTCGATAATTTTTTTGAAGAGGAAGATACTAAATGCAATCAAGATAAGCCTTTAAAACAGCTTTTACAAAAGTTACATATCGACCCAGCTTTGGTTCATTACTCGGAGGAATCTGACGAGCTTTTAATGGAATGAGATCTGCTCTGTACACTTTCTATTATTTCCATGAGCTTGTCTACAAATAATAAATACGTGCACCATTCAATATATTTGCTTCTTCGTTTTTGGATACTCAAAAAGGCTGCTGAACGGATTTTTTGATATTTTAAGTTTACTCATGTTTGCTGTATACATCCTGATATATATATATATATATATATATTAGTGTAGTGACTTTGACAACAATAGTTTTAATAGATCCGTAAGGTCTCAAATACATTAATATGTATTAAGATACAATAGATTTATCTGTCTGAATTCTATACTAATCAATTTTCTTATTAATTTTTATTATTATGCAAGATAAATTAAACAAATATCTTTATACTGATTAAATACTTCAGGCCTACCATCTATTGTGGATTTAAAGCTTTTTTGTTGACCAATTCTCGCGTCCATATTTTCATTGTTCTTTATAGCTGTAATCAAGTTATGTTAAGCTATCTATATCTCGATCTATCAACAGATAATAATAAGAGAAGAAGTAGGCCTTTGATTGCAGTATTCAACTTTATTGGGATGTAGTACTTTCGATTATAGACATTTTTCTAAATGGCTCCAAAAGCTGATAAATAGAGCTACCATTATTCTTAGCCGCCTTTCTCATCTGTTTGCGTGTCTCTAATTCTTCTTTAGAGCGATCTTTGTAGGCGTTAGCTTGGGCCTTTGCTTCTTCTTGCTCGGCGATCGATCGCATCATTGTATCTCTTGATAATTGAGCTGTTGTTACTGCATCTACCTGGCTCGAACCTAGCTTTGTGGTGTGTTCAAGACCAACAAGCGTCATGTACACCATGTGTCGATGAGCGTGCGATTTGCGTAACTTGAGAGAAACACGAACATGGTCGAACAGCTGGAAGTTAATTGGATGAGGAAGATCGGCTGAAGTTACAGAAACATTTGTCGGCAAGGAAACCTCGATGTGGCTATTTGGTATATAATCTTCTTCTGATGTATTTTAAAGAATAAAAATAATATTAGTACCATTTCTATAAACTTCTTCACATCAATACGTACCCTTGGCTTTGTTAGAAACAAGCGATAGAGGAACAATAGGCGAGCCATCCTTTTCTATCAGAAACACGGGTCCTTTAAGACCAAATCTTTATTTATATAAATATAAGGATTAGCTGAGTTGTGGGGGTACCTTCAAAAATAAACTAAAATTTACCTTGGTAAAAATACATAGAAACCATTGGATCGGATTTCAGAAATGATTCCACTTTCAATCAATGGACCTGTCATGGTCTATAAAACGCGAAAAATAAAATATTATTATTATTTTGTTTTGAAAGGTTTGTGGCTATAACTCTTACATGTTGAAGAACATACAAGCTTTGGAAAAGCTCGGTAGAATCCTATTAAAGTCATTGGCTATAAGTAACCGTTACATGAAGTCTTGTTAAATGATGTTTTACCCTTTGTGCTAACTTGGATTCCCTTGATTTCAAGTTAAGATTCATGCAAATTTCAGCAATTTTACTGTCTTGAGTCATGACTGTTCCACGCACATTTGCATCATTTACTGCCACAGAATCGCCCACGCACATCAAAAGCTGTCTATGAGCTACCACGTCAGCATATCGGCGAATAGGTGACTAGACAAACAGAAAGTTGTTATAAATACATGTACAAAATCAAGTAGTTTAATTTTATTATTACTCTTTATTTAACGCTCGAATATATATATATATGTACGTACCGTAAAATGAGTGTAATATTCTAGAGCGAGACCATAATGATAATAGTCGCTCACAGCAAACTGTCCGGAGGAAACGTATCTACATGATTTATGTCATATTTCGATGGTGTGAGTTGCGCAAATAGATGTTGCTTAATAAAGTATAAGATACTGTACCCCGCCTCGTTCATTGCCATAGTAGCCATGGTCTTTAACATGCGTGTAATCTCGGGATTATTCTGGCACCCACGAGTAATTATTTCTAGAGATCTTGCCAAAGATCGATTTGAGGAGAAATCGATCGAGAATCCCTAAATGACAAGAGTGGGTGGTCAAATTAATAAGAAAAAAATAAAAAGCTTAATATTTTGTTGCTGTTCTTGTTTTGTTTTTGTTTTTTTTTTTGCGAAATAGCTAGTTTTCTCTTTATTAACTCACACCACTATTCCCACTACCACTAATGCTGCCAAGAATTAATTTGCATAATGTACCTGACTTTTAGCAGCTTTGATCAATCTGTCAAATTGTGTTGCAGATGGTGGAGGATGGCGACGTAAAAGAGCTGCATCTTTATAGCCCTGGTAAGCCCTCTTTCCAACATAGGAATTTGCCATAATCATAGCTTCTGCGACCAAACCATGAATCTCCATACTATCTTTAGGGAGTAAAGAAATCAAGAATAAAGTCAAGGATTTAGTCAATGGTTACCGTACAATACATCCAACATTATGTTAATGTATATATATTATATAATTATGTGTTTTTTTCTTTTAAAAAAAAAAAGGATATTGATATCAGTGATTTCGTTGTCTTTTGTAATTTTGAATTTGACTTCTGAGCTCTCGAGCTCAAGGGCTCCTTTTGCTAAACGTTGGTTCTGTTAATTTAGGAATCAATACATGTAAACAAGCTTGAATAAAGATAATACATCATAAGTTTCTTCTTATATATATATTACCCGCATTGTACGCAGAACCTGGGCCAGTTTCTCAACGAATGGTTTTAATTTTCTAGATAGAGCAGGGTCTAGACACCATAGATAACATATATATATTGGTTTTAGAATTTTGAAACCAATAAGTCTCTTTTCTTATTGCTATAAAAATAAAAGGGAAATATCTCCTGTCCTTTGTGTGTGTGTATGTATGTATGTATGTATGTATTTACCTACGCCAGCCGGAGTTGACTCTCCGTCTAACATTTTTTGGGCTTGCTCATATTCCATTTCACAGCTGGATCGAATGATGGTCCTTCCAAACCAGACATCCAATACCTTGTAAGATTTATCCAATGTCCAAAGAACAGAGACTGGCGGCATAGTATGCATTAGATGACATTAGGAATATATAGCTAACTTACCTGAATAACGGTCTACATTTTCGCGAAGAGAGCAAACTCTTTCACTTAATACTGAGGGCAGCATATCAAATCTTCGATCGGCCAGATAGACTGTAGTTCCTCTAAATGCAAAATGATCATAAAGTTGGATTTTATTTGATTAAAATAAAAAATAAAAAAAAGAGGGGGCAGAACGATATGAGCTTATAAAATGTTGCCAACTTACCTAGCTCTTGCTTCTAGATCCGTCAATGAATGTTCTTTGACAAAGTAACTCACGTCAGCAATGTGAACACCCAGTTCGATATTCCCATTTTTTAATTCACGGATCGAAAGAGCGTCTATAAAATTAAAAATATAAAGATCAGCCTCTTACTGTACCATGTACACTATACTATATTATACCATCAATGTCTTGACAATTTGGAGGATCAATACTGGAAGTATAATATAAATTAGCACATAATTTGGTCATATAAATATTTCTGTTGCTCTACCTGAAAACAGTTAATGATCTTAAATCCTTTCGTCGCTTGATCTCATCCTAGTAATTTAATCATGTTTTTGGTTCACAATCCATGTCATCAAAAAAAAATGGCTAGATTTACTTGTTCAGGTCTCCAAGGCATCTCTGGTGTATCGATCGGCATTTCCTTGAGTGAAGCTTCACTGAATCCTTGAGTTGCTTGAGACACAGAGATTCCGTGCTCTACCAAAATAGCAGATATCTCGGTATCTAGATGATGAATAGGGCCTGCGTATGCATTAAAAGTAGTGTGATCAAAGATATTAAAATAGTTTTATAAGTATAGCTATAATTTTACTGGTGAGTTTTGCACACTGACGTACCTAATGACCTTACATAGTGACCTTGTGGGTATTGACTAGATACTGGCCTTAAATAGTTCAAAAATAACAGTAATAATAATAGTAATAATAATCAGGGTGAGCGACATATACACAGTAATACATTGGCTCCAGTTAAATTATATACATGTCTGTTCAAGTGTTGTCTATTTCACTATACTGCAATGCAATGCAAAACTTTACCAGTGGTCAATGCGAACCACAATTCGTTGGTTTTGAATCAATTTTGCCTCTTGATGTCTGATTCGTATTTTTGGGATCACAGAATCCAATGGAACAGCAAGATGAAATGATCCATCTGGGCTATCTTCTTGAAGAGTAGCAACATAAGAGCGCCAGTTTCTGTTCAAAATACCAACAACACGGCCGGTTGGTCTGGACTTTTCTGTTTGTTGAACTACCCACTGCGATCCTTCAATATCTGTATACATTTTATTATACCAGTATTAGGACATTTATCCACTCCCGTTTTCTTTTTCGTTCACCTTCTTCAGTACTGCCGCCTTCATAAGATATTTCATTTGAGGCAGTGGCCCAATTGTTTTCTGATAATAGTTCAACTACTACAGTATCTCCGTGGACTAAATAATAATGTATAGAGTCAACTATTAATATGATACTCATTAATTTGAAATACTTTTTTTTTACCTGCACGGTTTCTGTTTTGGTTGCCAACAATAAGAATGTCTTTTCCGGCCGAATTTACATAAGCTTGATCGCGAGCATCAGACCTGCAACGTAGAGTGCCGGAAAAGAAACGTGAAGACTTGATACCCACTTCAAGCTCTTCTGTTGATTTGTACTATAGACAATAGATAAGTGCATCTGTATGACAACATCAGTGTTCTTGCTACACTGAGCAAGTTTCACTGTCTCCTTGTTTAATAGCTACCTCTGTGAACCCTTGAACTGCTGTACCAGTGTTGCCTCTCTTCTTGCTAGAGGTCATTCTGATACGCTCCATATCATCTTCCAGCTCGACATTTGCTAAAGCATGGACCAAATTTTGGAGTAAAGAGACAGTGGGCCAATATGCATTTAGATATGCCTGCATCGAATATACACAGACATCGTTGGATTCCTGTTGTGGGTGAATTTCTGATAATAGAATGATACGTTTCTTCTGACCAAGATGGTGATAGTACCAGTCTGCTAGTTTACGTAGTGCTCTCCAGTCACGTTCTCCAGCAGGTTCACCTGGTAAACGTGGGGTCTGTGTGTCTGCAAAGACTTCATTATAGAATATGACGCTCTTTCGTCTAGAATCGTTGATTATGTGACGCAGTTTTCGATAGGTTCTTGATTTGTCGTGTTGTTGAAGCTATTTGTACGTATGTGTATTAAAGTTAGAATATATTAAGCCTATCATAAATTTCGATCTTTTGGATATAAAAAAAATTCACTTATTCTCCTTTTACTCCCAGAAAAAAAATAGCCGAGAGAATGTATATCATTTATGAATAAGCTTCTTGACTCTCCCTCTATTTTTAACTTTAATTTTCCACACGACACCACACGACACCACACGATACCAATGTAAAACAGTTAAACAATAAAGAAACCCTACCGAGGTCACAATGGTTTGACTAAGAATGATCCCCGTCATTTCTTCCTGCTCCAGAATTTCAAGGTAACGCATAACTACCTAATAAGACATTCACACACATTCATACAGACATAGACATAGATGCGTACACACACACACAGTGAAGCAAGGAGAAAATAAAGAACACATAAGGAGATGAAAAAAAAAAGAAATAGTATATCAGCCTTTCTTGGTCACTCTGAAACCTCCAATCCAATATCTAACAAGGATTATATATAAGCAGGAAGAGGTAACTAGGCCGTGACTTGCCGACATATCAGGAATAATGTAATGATCTGATTCTTTACTCAAAAGCCCTTGATCCCCAAGACTTGAACATGGACAGACTGTACACGATTCGGCCAGACAAGGAATGTCATGGCGTAGGTACTCTAGTCATTGTCGTCAATAATTTTCTTGGGTATGGTATATTATTGGTTGTGTGTATGTGTGTGTGTGTTTTTGTGTCCGTGTCGGTTTTACATACGTTCTCTAACCAATTTGACAATTGCGTTTCCACGTGTCTTTCTAAAGAACGATCGGTCTGTTTTGGTGGTGGCCATCACGTCTTTGAAACAGTTCATCAGCTGCAAGATGCAAGCTTACCCAGGTTTGGCATTGTGGGGCCGATGACAGTCACGGGCTTCCGCTTTAAAAAGGTAAATCAGGACTTGGATCCAGGCTGATAAAGAAATAAACGAGAAGTCACTTGGCTATTTTGAAGATGAGACAAATCAAAGTTTAGGTGACAGTAAAAGGCAGGGGATGACCTTTTTACTTTATTATTATTATTTTGAAACATTATTTTTCTTTGATAATCTTATACACATATAATTTCTAAAGAATGAAGACAGTGGTTGTTATGGTAACCATTTTGAAATAAATAATTAAATAAAATAAAATACATTATATTTATATTTGTATTTATATTTATATATAAAAAGTATAAAATAGAAGAAAAAAGTATAAAAAGACACGTGTGCTAAGAGATAGGCTAGAATTAAGATCTGTCTTGTACCAAATTTCTGCAAATTATAAAATAGACAGCTTGCCGTACACTTGTCCGGTCCTCTCCCCCCTCCCTCCCCCCCTTCTCTCTCTCGCCGGTCCCCCTCTCTTTCTCTTTCTTTCCTTCTTTCCTCTCTTTGGTCCACTATTTCGGTCGCATCTCAGCATTTTTATCTCCATTAGAATCAAGTGACACAAGTGGGATGAAATTTGCAAAATACTTGGAGAGCGAGAGTATTCCAGAATGGCGAAAGGCCTACCTTAACTATAAGGGCTTAAAAAAGAAGCTGAAGCCAGTAGATAAGGTAAGAAGACCAAGTGAATCAATACCACAGTAGATCCTCTTAGTTCAATCGCATTTGATAGTCCTGGTGCTATTTGACAGGTCCAAAAATATTCACATTTCTCGGATAAGTCTAACATAAAAAGGGGGGACCTGCCTATGCATATATCTTCATTCCACCGATTAGTTCAGAAAAGCCAGTGAAAGAAAGTCTGCTATTGATCTCGACAACACCTTTCATGAATACGACAGCGATAGCGATCAAGAATACACTGGAAGAAAACGACACTCGCAATACGGACCTCCAAATGCAACATACCACTGGAGAAATGCACCACTCGCTGGAGACGATGACCCGCATTCACGTAGAAACTCATTTCCTCGGTCAATACTTCAAGCGCTTACAGCTAGATTCAACAAGGATGATAATGAGCTCCACAGGTCACCCTCTCGACCAGGTAAATGAGAGACCCCTTAAAAGGCAACATATTCCTCATCAATTCTTTTGATAAAAAAAAAGTATCTATCCAAAGCAATACTACTCTATCTGTATTTGATGAAGTCCTCCTTCATGCCAGTGAACCCGAACGTGCATTTTTTATGATGCTCAATGAAGAACTTGAAAAAATTTCAGATTTTTATGATGGTAAGACCAATCCCAAAAAAAAAAATCCCCACATATTATAGGTGAAACATATTTTCTTATCTCAGTTGTTACGCTTACTCTGTATTTAGAAAAGGAACGGGAATCCAGAGAAAAATTAGAAGTACTCAAGGTGCAAATGCAACTAGTTGGAGATTATGGGCGTTTATTGGCAGAGCAAGAGGTATGTTGAGCATCGGTAATATTTTCATAATAGTGGAGTATACAATAAGCTATTCTTGTATCTAAAAAAAAACGACTTTCCCGAAATATATATATATATTATAATATACTCCAAAACCAAACTCCTTAAATAGCCGGCATCTGAGGATAGTCTGGTAGACCAAGTATATAATCCAGTTCAATGGTTCAAGCGATACTACAAAGACAGAAAGATATCCTTACATTCTTCTATGGATTATGAAGTGTCCCAGGATATCAGTTATAATGTAAGTTATAAGGAATAGAGCCATCTTTCAACTCGCCCGATCTCACGCTACTTTCTTTTCTTTACTTTGATAGGTCGCACGAAACAGACTGAAAAAAGCACTAACTGAGTTTTACCGTAGCTTGGAGTTCCTACGGTCTTACAAAGTAAATAAATATACGCACATGTCCCGCTCAGATACTAAATTCATTTACGCTTCATTTTAATTAGACATTAAACGAGACAGGCTTTAGAAAGATCCTAAAGAAGTTTGACAAAGTAAATATCTACAATGCTTGGCTTTGTTTATAAAACAAAGCGTACTTAATATAATGTATGTGTGTGTAGACTGCAGGATGGAAAGCAAGTGGACTCTACACCAAACGCATCAAAAAATACCACTGGGCAACTTCAAAAGATCTTGATGAAATTATCAAAGAAACAGAGGTAATTGGCAACATAATTTGGCTTTATGATAAGCTATATTGAACGATTACTAATATCTTAGCGTGCGCGTTATGTATATTTTTTAGACCCTTTATATTAATGAGTTTGCAGATGGCCATCGAGGGCATGGCATGGAAAAACTTCGAGTCCTTGAGAGACAAGAGGTAATGGTTAAACAAGAAGCTAGATAAATAGGAATCTCATAAAAGAAAACTTGCAGACATTTACCAGTACTACCTGGCGTGTTGGATTATACCTAGGACTTGCTATTCCACTATTATATGACTCTTGTGAAGTTGGTAAGGACATTATTTAAAGAAAAAGAAGAAAAGAGAAAGAAGTGTTGAATCCCAAAGTTTGTTATAGCCATGGGTCTCCATTCATCAGATGTCATGCCTACCATGGCTCTCAATCTTCAACTGTATGCGTGCTTCCTAATTCCTATCCTCTTCTGCCTTGGGTTTTCTATCAATCTTATGGTTTGGCACAAATCTCGTATTAACTACAAGTTCATTTTTGAACTTGATCCTCGCTTCAATCTCGATTATCACCAGTTTGCAGAGGTAAAAGTCGCATGATACTATTGACATTCTTCTCTTAGCATGTACTTGAACTTACAAGTACTTTGCTATACTTTGTGTTATCAAAATAGCTCCCTGCATTTATGCTGCTGTTAGCAGCATATATTATACACATAGACTTTGAGCAAACATTTGCTCCTACAATTCCATCAGAGCTGTGCCCTTTACTTTTATTCGTTCTCCTTTCAGCTATTATGCTTTGTCCATTTGATATTCTCTATCGATCCGCACGCAAATGGCTGGGTGTGACATTAGGTCGTATTCTTCTCAGCTACTTTTACCCTGTTGAATTCCGTGATTTTTTTATTGCCGATGAACTCAACAGTTTGGCTTATTCTATTTGGACTATATCTTATTTTGCCTGTGCTTATGGATGGAATTGGACTAGTCTCGGTAATTAAAGCAATTTGATAAGAGCATTGGGCAGAAATATTAACAATTGGAGAGATACACAGATACCAACTGTGAGATGACTGGCTCATGGGCCGCGCCTTTGTTGGCCTCATTACCGCCCTGGTGGCGTCTTCTTCAATGCATCCGCCGTTATAGAGATTCAAATGAGACAGTCCATTTGGTAAACGGAGCCAAGTACCTTAGTAGTATATCAGCCTCAATGGTTACAGGTATCCGTCGCTTTTATCGTAAGTATCTTTTCGTAATTTTGTTTCTATGTAATCCCAACAAAAATTGTTGCCTCATTGGTAAAATTAAACAATTTTTTTTAAAAAAATATATATATATACTTTCATCGGATCTAGCCGGACCTACCATGGACATTCTGTGGATCGTAGTGAGCACAGTAAGCTCGTGTTACACTTCAACTTGGGACCTTAAGATGGACTGGGGCCTTTTTCAATCCAACAGTCGCAATTTTCTACTGCGAGATGAAATTGTGTTTCACCGCTGGGTAAGCGCACTGGGTCCCTTCATGGGCTCGTTTACTTGTTTTAATCAGAGAAGTGGCCCTGACTTGCTTTTATTTGTATTCTTAATCCCTTTTAGTCTTATTATACCGCCGCATCCTCCAATGTCGTGCTTAGATTTGGATGGGTACTCAATACCATCGGTCTTACATTAGATGGTCGTCTGATTGGATTCATAGTGGCTCTTTTGGAAGCTTACCGTCGTATCCAATGGAATTTCTTCCGTCTTGAAAATGAAGTAAGATCAAGAAGAGTCGGGCGTGTTTACCCAAAAGAAATTAACACTAAATCATATGAAAACTTTGTATTATCACCAATAAAGCATATCAACAATTGTGGACAATTCCGTGCAATCAAGGAAATCCCGTTGCCATTCGCACTCGCGGAACCAGTACCTGGTCATGATGAAGAAGGAAGCATACATCTGCCTTTCAATGACCCTTATCTTCATAGCAATCCCATGTCAGTTCCGAGTACTCGCCAATCGTCTATCTACCAATCTCAGCCATATGGATCTATGGCTGGTTCATTCTATGGACGACGTGACTTTGAAAATAGACAAGATAGAGAGGATCCAAACAAGGAAGGGTCGGTAAGGCCTCGGATCAATCGTCAGGCTTCAACTATCAACAGTGTTCTACTCAGGATCAGAAGCAGGCGAGGTTCAGATGCAAGTGACTCTGATCCAGAAGATCTGTATGATAATGAAGAAGTTCATGAATCTCAGGGGCGAAGAATATAAAGCAGTTGGAATTGGCATATAATATACATTGAAAGAGATAATAATAACCTTTTTATTACTTAAATATATAAAAATATAATATAGAAAAGCATGGCAAGTTAATAGATGTGATGTGTACATAATGTGTATGTGTGTGTGTGTGTGTGTGTGTGTGTGCAATAGGTCTATGATAAAAGAAACAGGCGATCATATAACAATGTATGTGTTATGGAAAAGATAAATAGATAAAAAAATGCAAGTGTGCTTATGCCTAGGTTTCCCACAATGCTTTGCTTGGAGAATAGGTCTGTTGCGTATTTGTTCCTGGAATCATTTGAGAGTTTTGATAAAGCGGTAAGTTTTGGTTGGGATTATTTGAGTTAGGGTAGTTGATCATGGGAGGCATGTCAAACTGAAATGAGGACGTGGCATTCGTATTGGCTCCTCTTGAGGAAGCATCGAGCATTATCTGTCCAAACAGTGCGCTGTCATAAAGAAACTCTGAACTATTAAAGTCAATGTCACCTCCAACTCCAATTCCACCTTCGTTTTGTGAATGATCTGACAGGAGACTAAAAGGTTGCTGTAGTGTGCTGTTGTTTACATGTGGATTGATAGGCTGCGTTATAGGTAATGAGTAGTTTTGTGGATTGTGGGTCATAATAGAAGATCCAAAGTTATTGTAAGGATAACCAGCAGAAGGAGACTGGACCAAAGAATTGATGGAATTTCTTGTTGGATTGTTGGTAGAATTAGGCGTTGTTACAGTGGTAGGAGGAGTTTCAGGGGCTGGTGTAGTGCTGGAAGGGCGCTGGGGTGTGTGTCTAGTCTCTGATGACTTGGAATATGTTGTCATATCAGGAATGCTTTGATCAAATAGGTAGTTTTGTCGGTATTGAGTATCATATAATCTGTTGTGGGCTGCTAAAAGGTCTCTTGTCGTCGTTGCCAAACGTTCACACATTGGCCAATAGTCTTTTAAACATTCGATGAGATCGTACAATATAGTCAGTCCCCTACTGCTCTTTTTACAAGATTCCGGATCTTTGGAGAATGTGGATGTCATTAAGACGGTGGCGAATATGTAGGCGGAATAACCCATGTAAGGCAATAGATTGATACCGCATAAATCCTTCAAAGCCTGAAATACAGGCATTGCTGAATCAACACATGACTTGCATGTATTGATACTAGATTGTATCTCCTGGTATAGCTCTTCAGATACATCTCCTGCAGCGAGTTCACTGTAGGCGAGACTTCCTCGGTGAAGTACAAGCACACTTGTACACCACACTGCATGTGAGCATAACCACATATTTATGTAATTCAAGCTTGCATTTTCCTTGTGATGCTGAAGATTAGCAGGTGTAAACTGGAATCTCTTTGGGAATGTATCTTTCCAGTTTCTGAGTTGCTTATCTAACATAGTAAATTCAGCGATTGGTGGCCAAGAAATTGCTGCAGTGTCGTTTTTCGCGCGCGCCATGAATTTATTCACTTCTCCAAAGATTCCAAGCAGCTTGAGGTAGTATCGTGAAACATCAATTAAAGGATCATTTGTGATTTCTCTACCATCTACAGTTACGCACTGGAATGGATCCCGCAATAAAAGACTTTCTGGCACAGTGGGGGTGTTTGCGTCAGTATCTACTTTATCGAAATATTGAGGGCGATTGGTGCCTGCACTTGAGAATCTGATTATATCGATATAAAACAAAATCCGGTGTATCTATAAGTTATCTGGTTTGGTTTTGTCTTGTGTATTCCATAATTCTCTTAACCATAATATACTTACTTGTCAATGCACAAGCAACTCCAAAATATTCTACGTCTCAATGCCATAGCCACAGTATCCACTCCGCCATTCTTATCCAAAATAGGTACACACAATGATTCTTCCCTGTTCAAACCAAGTTCCTGGCATATTCTTTTTGAGAAGTATATCTTTAATACATCTACTTATTGTATTTTTTCTCTCTCTCAAAATAAATATTACCTCACAGCAATGCAACCGTATATCCATGCCCTATATAATATCATATGAATTTTTTTAGATTGATAAATATTTTCTTTAGAGATCAATTGCTACTTCATAAACATTATGTGCTTTAATAAAGGTAGACTTACTTTGGTCCAGATGCCCTTCCATATTCCAAACATGACATAACTCCCCAAAACTGAAGATTTGATATTGTAGGCTCCAATGATGTTGCATTTATCATTGAAGTAGCCTTGACAGAAAACTTCTCCCCGGCCCAGTACGGAGGGTCAGTCTTAATCATTGGATGGTCAGAGAACCTTGCTCCAATGGCCATGACACTCCACAAAAGTGGTCTGGATACCGTTCCATCATTTATAGATTGCTTTAATGTGGCTCGGTGGATCAGTGGGAAGACGGAATTGATGTATTTGAAAAAAAGGTCGACCAAATGCATAATTATGTCTATCGGTGGGAAATCGTTGGTGACAGATCCGTCTTCAATAATATGGGCGACCTGAGTGAGTAAAAAAAAATTGTGGAATCTTATAGAAAGAAAAGCCGAGATAAAAGGATTTAAAAAAATGCTTACAAGCTTGTGAAGATAATGGGCTAATATCGCTTTTAGATGTTTTCTGAGGAGATGAAGCGGCTGAATTTGGTGAAGATGATAGAGAGTTGACAGTATCGTGCTGTTCAATTAATCTAATATTTGGTGTTTCTGATGATTTACGCTTTAATATTGGCGATTGAGTTCGCGTTGAAGCTTGTGGTGCTGGTGTTGGTGCTGATATTAATGTAGGAGCTGTTGTTTGTATTGATTCTGGTGCTTGTGCTGGCGCTAGTGCTGGTGATGGTGTGTGTTCTGGAGGTGTCGTTGCAGTTGGAATATCTCCTATATTAGATAAACGGTTTTCTAATTGGATAAGTCGTTCTTCAAGGAGTTGGACATAGCCCTTGCGTGGCCCGCGCTTTTTGCACTCGGTGTATTCGCATTTGGTGCCTGCCTGTTGACAGTGTAGACAATCTGGCTTTGTACCATCACACTTGATCTAAATAATCTTAGTTTGGTAAGCAATGCAGCTATTGAACTTGGTGAATACGTCAACATTACCTTTTTTTTACGGCAAATAATACAAGCTTGAGTCGCTCTCGAACGCTTCCTCGCACTTATTTCTGTAGTTTCATAAGGTTCATCGTTCTTCATCATTTACCACTCTAAAAAATAATGACCAAAATAAAGAGCAGTATTTGCGTGTATGTTGGTAAGACGCGGAACAAGACGAGGAAATAGCCAGGATTGTATGAAGGAACATGACACTCTTTGAAGCGCATGGTACAAGCCACTATCACGGAGGAATTATTATCCGTGTCATATTTTCCTGCTACGGTGATACTTTTTCCCATTCTTGCATTGAAATTCATGGGGAAAAATACTTCTTCGCCACGGTTAAGTTTGGCTCCAATTGCCTATTTTACAGTCTTTAATCGTGCCTTTTTTTATTATTGCATACTTCTAATTATTGTAACTTTTAGTAATTAGAGTAAAAATGGCTAGATCCATAATGTTTGTAACAAAGTTTATATAAGTCGTTAATTATAAATGTCAAAAAAAAAACAAGATTAAATTAGCAGATCTCATTGTGCCGAAAAAAGGTACACAATAGGCAAAATTATCTATATTGACTTTAAGATTATAATATATAATATTTGGTAGGCAGATACTTAAAGACATACTTAAACCAAAAAAGTGGTTTTCTTTATATTTATTATTCCATGGTTAAATAAACAGTTAATTAAAGGAGCCTGTCCTTGTTTTAAAAATCTGGAAAAGTCTGATCCCAGAATCTTGGGGGGGTTAATGAACGCTTGGTTTTTTTGCGGCGAGAAAAGGACTTCTCAAGCAAACTTTCATCAGATTGTGATTCTACAGAACTGTCCAAAATATGTATTTATATATATACATATATAAATATACATATAAAGATTGACTTGTTTAGTTATACATTACCAACTCACCTGGATTCATTTTTCTTAAAGAAAGACATGGCATTTTCTTTTTCTATTCTTCTCTCATTTTCATTTTCACTGTTTTGCATATAATTGCTCGTAGCTGCATCTTCGTGTAGATGCACTGTTGATGAAATAGGTGAGGATACCGGTTCTAATTCATGGTCATAGATATGTAATGTTTCGAGGGACTTCTCTACAAGCAAGGGACTGTCTAGGGCGGGACTGTTTGATGAACGATCTTGATTGTTGAGATGATTAGATGATTTACGATGATCCTCTATGCTAGAAGAAATGCTCCATCGCCTTTAGTAATGTTTTAAATTCCTAATTTAAAATTAAATGGTGGATTACATGAGACGTAGTTGAGCAATAGTTTGCTCCTTCTCTTCTAGCTGGCGTTTTTGATCTAATCTTTGCTTTTAATCAATGCACTGCGCAATTTATTTTTTTAATGTGTGTATGTGTGTGTGTGTTTTTTTTTTACATTGTATGATATCTTCTAATTGCTTCCTCGATGAACGCTCTTTAGCAAGCCGAGATATAAGTTCTACAACATAGATAAAATGAATAATGCGGTTTTTAACGATTAATTTATAATAATTCACCTTTATGATCAATCATCCAAAATGAGAAAGAGAATAGAGGATTCAACACCCGGCTGCAGGATCCTGTTTCTCTCAAGAGTGACTTGCTTTATCTATCCTCCCCTTTTTTCCCTCCTTGAATTAGAACCATAAGTCATGTCTACGTCGATAACTCAACGTCCGATTCATTACACAGCCTATACATCAGAGCTTCAACTACCATTCATAGTGAAACTAGTCGAAAATGACCTTTCAGAGCCCTACTCTATTTATACCTACCGCTACTTTATCCACAACTGGCCTAATCTCTGCTTTTTGGTAAAATGAGAATAAAGATGAGGCAATTCTAATAGAATGTCTAGGCCATGGATGGTGATAAATGCGTAGGTGTGGTAATCTGCAAATTGGACCCGCACAAAGATAGACTCCGGGGATATATTGGAATGTTGGCTGTAGCTAAGGAGTACCGTAAAAGAGCCATCGGTTCAACCCTTGTACAAATGTCAATCAAGGCTATGAAAGAGCAAAATGCAGACGAAGTAAGGGTTAACCTCGTTTTAAACAACGAACTTAATATGCATTATTTCTCTTTGTATATCTCTTATATGTTAATAGGTAGTCTTAGAGACAGAGTACACGAACCAAGGTGCGCTGGGGTTATATCAGCGGTTAGGGTTCATTAAAGACAAGAGGCTATATCGCTACTATCTTAATGGAGTTGACGCATTTAGACTAAAGCTGTTTTGCAAAACTATGGTCAAAGACGAAAGCGATCCGTGAATATTGATTATATTATAGTATTAATTTGTAATTTAGTTAAAGTAAAACAAAGAAAAGTCCACATTACACCTATATGTTATATGCAAGTGTGTGTGCGATGTTTAGAATGAAAAACTCAATCTGATGGATTTTCTGGTTTATATGCTTAATGAAGTTGAGCTGGCAACTAAAAACTCTTCTGTCACAACAGGATCCTAAATTTTGGTAAATTTAACAACGCTATTCTATAACTTTTATAGGCACTTACTGTTATTAGCTGAGTAGAGGATTTGAAAACAGTAAAAGCACCCTCTTTCATATCACTTGCAGCTTGTTCCATTCTCTCCTTGAACAATTCAAGTCTGGTTGCCTGTGGGACACTTGGATCCATAGCAACTTGTTGTGACTTGGGTACCTCTGTATTTGTGATTGCATCCATGGCTGTCTGAGAAGTATTTGTGCGCTTCAATGTACTGTGTTCCTGCGATATGAATTTACGGATGATGTTGTACATTCTCTCTGATGAGGAAGTGTCTTTGTTGTTGTCTGCGTGAATTGCCAGCTCACTAGAAACATCTCGTATAAAGACTTTGATGATTTGATCAGGGAACTGTCGATAAATCTCTTGATATCTATATATAGATACGGATGAGTACTATTTTGTTCTTGTGGGCTATTAAGCTAATTTATTTATTTATTTTACATTTCTGGGTCATGCTCTCCGGAATCGCCTATAAGGATAAACTTCCTCTTTGGAAAATCCTATGGATTTGGAGGCTGATGTATGAGTAAGTTGTTTTTGATAAATATACTACGAATCTTACCTGAATAATTCGAGGGATAACATCCAACTTGTGCTGCATCGGCTTACCCCTGATAATATCTTGAGTGTTGATAACACGAAGATGCATGCTTCCTTGAGGAAATTTGACTTGTTCAAAGAACTCCCTCAGAGCAGGATAGACCTGCCATGGTGAGTTTGAGACATAATGTATGTGTATGCCTTGGTCTGCCCAAGTCTGATACACCTTGGACATTCCTGGGACTTCTTGTGCTTTTTTGAAGAATGTGTTTCGTAAGATTGCATCCCTGCCATCTAACACACCTGTGATTTTTATAGTATCATCAATATCCTACAGCCGTGTTAGATTGATCTACCCCATATAAATTGTAGCAACTTACTGATATTACTGATATTCCCTCAGAGTCGATAAGGTCCACTAAACCTCTATTTGGAATATCTGAATAAAAAGCCAGATTAGTATCCAGCGTCCTTTTAGGGCAGATTTTTTTGTAGCTATTATATGACTTACTAACACCGTCAAAGATTGCTTCCAGTTGGAGTAGTTTTTTTTCTATGGAGTTCTCGCAGTCGACTGGATTTAACATCCATGTATCTTGGAATCGACCACTTGGTCCAGAACTCAACATCATTGATGTACCAGCCTCCTCCGCTTCACCCTCCTCTGCTTTCCTTTGCTCGTGCTCATGCACAAGCTTACCCATACTTTCGATAGCTTTTCCGAGGCGAATATTTACATCGATATTGCGTATTGTTTGACACCTGAACTGGTTCAATAAGCTTACAAAATGATTATCTTCAGCCGAATTGACCATTAAGCCGCCATAGGTACGCCCAACCGCTGTATAATAAACATAGAAAAATTATTAAACTTTCTCGGTGTTTTTTTTTGCACGACGATTTTACTACTCTGGGGTACTTTGAGCTATTTATTTGTGTATATTTTCTACATTTGTATAGTAATCCGGCTCAGAGCTTACCCAATAAAAGCCTCTCCATTCTTCCTGGACTTGGCATGGCATACACCCATCCACCAATATCCATTTTCCATCGAGTACCTTCTTCAGTCTCTATTTGTGTGGCGTATGTAGGATAAAGCATGCAATGTGGTGTTATAGTATCTTGTGGACTGTTTATAACGTTGTTTATGTCATCAGTGTCTGTTCTGTGTAATTCCTGAGAACGCGGTGTGATGTTGGATTCTTGGTCATGATCTGGTGGATAGTACAACTTGCTGAGCTCGCTCATGACTCGTGTTGTAGATCTTGAAGCCAGACTTCGTAGAATATCTCGACGTCTTACTCTCGGTTCAGAATGAGGCTCGACTTGTAAATGACTCTCGGGTAGCATGGTAATAGAAAAGAGATGGTTAATTGGCTTTGGCTCTAAGCCGTGCTTGTTTAAAGATTGCTGACTTTTGTGACACAACAATCATGGTCTCAGACGCCATTTGATCATCCGATCCATGCGTTCTCTATCCCCCATAGCGCACGTTTTCCTTAATTAAACAAATGAGTATCTATTTCTTGTTTAGTCACCGTGAATGGATTGGGCGTGAATATTCTTCTTTCCGTGGAATTCAAAAAAGTGATCAATGTTGTTTAGCCCCAAACTTTAGGAAAGAGGATTAATTCATTGAAACCCACTGGTAATTATGATTGAATCTTAAAATTACAATACAACGACAGCAGTAACGGTAAGAGTAACAACAGTAACAAAATTGAAAGTATAAAAAAAATAAAAAATAAAATTAAAATAGATAGAAGCACACTATAATAATTACCTTGATAACAGTGTAAGTTACCTGTAAGCGTACTAGTTTACATTAGTAGTTTTTGTGCTATTATTATTGCCTTTGGGAAATATGACAGACCTTATTAAGTCCCGTGTGGCTGTTGGTGCAATAAAATACACGCACAATGTCAACTATCAGCCACCACACGGATAATCCTCCTTGTTTATAAGACTCTAGTATTTCTGGGTGTATATGTGTAATATATGGTTGTTATTTTCTTTGGGTAAAATAAGAAGGACAATATATGAGATAGGTTGAGGTAAATGGGTGTAAAGCCTATGTTTTTTTAAATTAATAATAAAAGTAAAAATAAGAAGTATTGTTCTTATAGATGAATAGGACAAATACCTTGTGAGGGTAGACAAATCACTAAATTATTTTCATGAGTTGGTTCTCGTATTGATATTACTTTTAATAAACCACCATACTCTAGAACCTTAAGCTGCTTAAATTTTGAATATTTTATATAGACATTCAAATTTGATTGCGATGGGTGTGATTGTGGTGGTCCTTTAATATTCATGCAGATATTGGTGGGTATCCTTTTCTTCCTGGCGTAATAGTAGCCAAGACACTCGTGGTGATACTACGCTTTTTAGAGTAAAATATTTAGCCTTTCTTTCTCCTCGTTTCTCGTTTTGTGATACTAAAGCTTTTCTCTCTCTCAAACATATAAAAGGTTAACCGCTCAGTGCTTTACATTAAAGTCAACCAATAAATACAAAAAAAATGAGAAAAGTAAATAATAAATTGCACCCATTGTGTGATTCTTGTTCTTTATCTAATGAAGCGTACAAGAATATGAATATTTGAGCTGCATTTTATGATCGATTATATAGTATCTACTGCCCATCTTTTTTGTTGCTAATTTGAATGCATTGGCTGCACCCAATATAGAGGATCTTTAATATATATAAAGAAAATGTAGATTTTGTATACAAAGGTTTAATGTAACATGTCTTTTCTTTCTCGAGCCTTTCTGTTGTGGATTTTTCGTGGCTTTCTTCCACCTTGAACAACGTTTAGTATCTTCTCTTCCCAGTTGAAGCACTGCTTACACCCGACTGTCCTGTGAATCACACAGCCTGGTTTCCCTGATGGTAATCGGGTCCATTGAAGCGCTACAGTAAAAGGAGAGCGTTCATCACCTTCCCATTTTTCTTCAAGAATGTCTTCGGACACCTGTTCATGAAGCATATCCATGACCATTATATTGTTGCACGCCCTATTGTCAGTTGGGCAACGATAACAAAGCTCCAGTCCATGGCGTGTACAAAATGAGAAACCATTGAGGGTGACACTGTAGATATCCATTGCATTATCATAATCATCTTCGTTAAAACAAGATTCATTCATTTTCTTTTATGAGAAAATAGTCAGTTTTTGGACGACAAAATGTATAAAGAGTTTTTTTCAAAAGAAAAAGAAAAAAAAAGAAAAAAATCATTTGATTCCATTTATGCATTCTCCATTTGGCGGCTGCTGTAAATAAGAAGTAATATTTTCACACGGATTTAATATGATGGTTAGTTAAAGAGTGCTCCTATACACTGATGGTTTTACTTACCTCTTCCTTGCTTATAATATGGTTTTATCTGTAGTTAGCTGAAGAAGCTGCTAGCTTTAAAACACACACACACACAATATATATACAAATAAAGTTTTTCATATTCACTGTTTTATTATCATTAAATCCCAATAGATACTCTCTCTAGAGCCTTATTATTCAATAATAGATATATATATATAACTCTAAAATTAAAGTCGATAAAGCAATGGACATATAAGTTCTCTACGGAGATCTTGTTTATCTTTATATTTCAGTAGAAAAGTAAGCTATAAAACTGGTGTGTGGCGTGAGAACCTATATTCGATACTCTCAAAATGGGTGGTCGGGACTTGGTTTGATGTAGCAACCAATACAAATATTGCCTAACTTTCTTCACTCCTAATACATCTTAGAAGTATATGTTTCAACATTTAAATAGCCTAAGTATAATATATATATGAGCTCTTGATATAATTGTATGATTATTGCTTCCAAAGTTTGGATTATTGTTGTGTTCTGCCAATGCCAAATATATTTTGCGTATTAAAGGCTTTTTGATTAATTAGCTGTTACTAAATAGAATCCGAAAAACTGGGTATGATATGCGAAAAAAAAAACTGATCTAGATCATCTCTTAATTCACATTGATGCAGTTGAATAGACAATCTTTTAATATGGCACAAAGATCTAATACAAATAAAACCAATAAGGAAAGATGCTTTATTGTTGTTATTTTGAAGTTAATAACCTCATATGTTTTCTAAGAAAGTGTTATGTATTCTTTGTGACAGTCATTACACTAAAAAGCTTGTAATTGAAGCTAAGAGTATTATACAATTATAGAAAATATCTAAAATTCAAATATAAAGTAGTGATAGCTAATATTAATGACAGGCATAAAAACTTGATATTAATTATAGCCTCCCAATTTTTTCATATCATATCATATACTTTAAAAAAATCTAGTACTCATATTTCATCTCTTATATTAAGGTGAATTTTTTTTTCTGTGTGCATTTCTGAAAATGCTGTCTTTAATAATACAATACTATTATCTAAAGCCTAAATATCAAATATAGTATATTACTCTGTTATTCAAAGAGAATATTATATTTCTCTTAAAGCTATATAAAAATTATACTATGATACAACTCTATTTGCTTGTATCTTTGTATAAAAATCTGGACTTAAAGCAAGTTCATTCTACTAGCCTCTACAGTTTCAGTTCATCTTAATTTTCCCAAATTAATTTACATATTTATTGTATGGGAAAGGGTAAGCTTAATTTAAAAATCGTGAATATTTTTTAAGTAGTAGAATAAAGCGTCAGAGTTGACATTAATGACTAAAATTAATGTCAATAAATAACTAGTAATTGTAAATTCCTTTTAGATAAAAGATCATGACCTTGCCAGTTGATCTTTCTTGTATTTTTTAGATATTTGATATAAGTTATATAATTTATATAATTTTAGGGATATTATTGTAGCTCTTCATTTACCCTAAGCCACATAGTAATTTTCTATAGATAATTAGTGATTACTTTTAATAAAAAAGTATCTATTATTCTCTAAAATCTATTCTTTAAACTTAACAATACTCAGTAGTATTGATTCAACAACTTTGTTACAAGTGTCAGAAAAGAAAACCAGATCGAAACTTGATAAAAATCCATTAGCGGCAACAGTGATTAAACACAGCATTTGCGGCGCTTATCAAAAATAAAACCCGCAGTTCGTGTAACATACAGAGAAACCAAACAAAAAATATAATGCCCCTGGCGAGGTTCGAACTCGCGACCACTGCGTGACTCTGGTATACCTTTGAAGTATAAGCACAATGCGCTGCCTACTGCGCCACAGGGGCCTTTAAAAGCGAATGTACGTAATTTAAATTTCTTTCTTTTAAAAAATAAGCGCTTATTTTTATCGGACTAGCCCTGTGTCCAGGTATGGTCCGAGCAGAACGAGATAAATAATAAACTCAGTTATTGATATAATGCTGGTACCAAATTTCTGGTATTTTTCTTTTTACTAATTTATATAATATTTTCTTTTGCATGCCTATTTAATATTAATAACATATATTACATTTAAAGCTATATACATAAATATAAATATTGAAAGATACTCTTTTTTCTAATTCTGCCTATCATAGATATATATATTATAATTGAGTTAAATATAAACTTTATAATAGAACTCTGATTTCTTCTTACTAATGCTTTGGAGATTACTAACTTATAAGATTAATTAGTAAGAAGGAATTAGTGTTATGTATGAGGTAAAAATAAGATATAAAATAAAGCAAGTGCAGACGAGAGTATGGTGAGACTTTATTTTATTAGAAGAAGTGAAAGAATCAGAAAAGAGATGCTGTTCTATTGCTATTAGTATTGTGCGTTTATATAGACATTGTATTTAGCTTAGTGATGATATGATGATATCATGTAATGTCTGTTTCTCTACCATTATCTTCTATGATTTAGTTATTATGTTTTTAGTGTTATTGACTAGAGTCTTAGTATTTGTCTTAGTATGTTCTTTACGTAATTTCCTTGTATAAGGGAAGGTATATATTTTAGTATTGTTACTAGTTGTCGGTAACTCAATGTACATATTTATTGAGTGTCTATACTTTTAATTTAAATCTACAATTATGTTGGATACAACAATTAGTATTTGGGTTTGGTGTTTGTTCTTCACTCAATTGTAATATGTATATCACAAAAATATTACATATTAGATGTTGTGAATGAGTATTGATTACTGCTGAATCTGAGAGTAAGACTGAAGGATAAAATAATATCCTCAGCTATTCCAGTCAAACGGATCTCCCTTTATGATATTATCTAATACACAGATCATCATACACATAATTGATTATTTATTATTATCACCATGACATGGGATATACAAATACATATACATTATATATATGGCATCATTATATTTCATCTACATATTTCTTTTATTATACAAATACTTAATTGAGAGACTACAACTACAACTATCTAATATTATGAAACATTACCCGAGTATCTGGGTCGGAATACTAAAATATTACCAATAGCATAAATGCTCTTCTTTACCAAAACTCTTGGACTGATCTGACTGGAGAAGTATCATATCAATTGGTCTTTCCGGATCTTTCCAGAAGAACAATACTCCTGGAAGATGACTCATCGTGATAAAGATTACTTAAGCACACACTGAATTACAAATTAGAAAAACATATAAATATCAGTAGATAGTTCCGTGTAGAAAGACAATCGAATTTTATCATTCTTTACTTTTCTTTTGAAATAAACAACCTACACAAGTTCTCACGAATTCTTTCGTCTATATTATATTTTGCTTTATTTTCTCCCCACAACATTAGACATATAAATATACTATATACTTGTGTGAAATAAACTAATTATTATATAATAAGTATTTAAATTACAAGTAATTTAAATAGTAATATATATAATTAAAAACAATACTCTCACTTTATTTACTTTTTTCTATTTTTGAGATTCTAACTTATAAGCAATTCTAAATGTTGTAAATGAGTATTGACTACTGCTATAATTGAGAATAAGTCTGAAGAAAATAATATAAGGCCTCAGCTATTCCAGTCAAAGATGTCTACCAATTACTTTATTATTTAACACACAGGTTTATCATGCATGATAGTGATTATATTTCATATGATGATATCACCATAATATGGGATACATCAGTGGATTATTATAAGCATAATTATAACTCATAAACACATTTACTTTCGATGTTAATACTTCATTGGGACTACACACATTTATATAATTAATCATACATTAATTATCCCAAGATCATGTTGCTCTGATTAAGGCTCAGATAGAATTGATTACTTGACCCCAGTCATATAATTTTCCCAATCCAAAATAATATAAATAGCAGTAGTAGTTCAGTGTAGGAACCTTGTCAAACTTTGATATGAAATCTTTCTCAATAAACAAACACTACACAAGTTCTCACGAATCTTCGTTCCTCATCTAAAATCTTTAATTCTTCTTCTTAAAAATTTCTTCAACTTCAACCACCACAACACTAAATATCTTAAAGCTTAAAAAAAACATCAAATATTTGCTAGCAAGCACTTTTAAGCTTTCATGCTACATTTTTTTTTTCTGTTATTAATTTCTAAACACAACTGCTTGAATAAATCACAAATGAAAAGTTCTATAATATATGAAAAGAGTAATTAAAAATGAATTTTATTATATTTTCTGTATCTGTAGTTATAAATTGAAAGATATTCAAAATAAATTAATATTAAAAGTTATATTATACAAATATTTATATATGAAGATGATACTATTTCAAGTCTCAAATATAATAATAATATTGAATACAAAAGTTAGTATAGAGTAGATAATATAATATAGTAAAAAGAAGACAGCTTTAATAGAAGATCTTTTTTTTATAAAATATACCTTTATATATATATTCCTTTCATCTCAAAAAAAAATACATTTATTTTCTTATATAAATTTGCTATGGTATAACCCTTTGTTACTGAAATATTCTTTGAAGTAACGAATTTACATACATACATATGTTTTATGCTTTTTTAGCTGCCTCTCCCACAGATAGTGCCTTTGCATTTTTTTCCTTAATTTCCTTTTCGGCTTCCAACAAAGCCTTTGCATTCTTTCGTCTCTGGCGTTCCTCAAAGCTGTACACGTTTTAATAGCTAATTAGTTTCAAACTCTTACAATAATTAATGTTTCTTACATCAATCTGTTTTCAATGATACGGTCAATGATACCCTCAGTAGTAATAGTAGAATTGGGGTTTTCAATCTCACGGTAGATACCACGCTGTTTGGCAAGCTATGTATATATATTGCAAAAATATTAAGCCAATAAAAACAAAGATTAATAGTTGTTTAATTTAGCTTTATATATAAATTATACCTTGTAAGGATCGTTGCCATCAAGATCAGGTTCCATGGAGGTATTTCCGTGAGCAACAACCTGAACCTTGTATTCCTTGTTCAAGATATCTTCTGTGACACTGTATGGTGCACCGATAATAACTTCATCGACATACTAGATAAATACATGCATGTTAAAATTACTATTATAATGTATATATCTTATAAGTAACTTACCCGACAGGCCAAAACACTAAGTGCTCGCTCGTGTAAGTTCATCAGAGGATAATTTGATCCCTTGATAGCATTGACAGTCTTGATTGATAGGATGATAAGTTTTATGTTTTATATAGTCTCTAGAGTTATTTATATTTTACCTGGTCATCATGAACACCAACTATCAAAAAGTCCCCAAGCTCTTTGGCACGCTTTAAGAACTCAATGTGGCCTACATGGAATAGATCAAAAGTACCATCCACATATACTACACGATCGTTTTCCTTTGGCTCCTTTCCTTCAGAGAATTGTACGATACGCTTCGAAGTAGGCAAGAAGTGCGAGATGGTTGTGCGTTGGCGAGGGTTTCCACGAGAATTGCTTGCACTGAAAGAACCAAGATCTTCAGAGTTAAAGCTCGAGATGGACGAGGCACCAGCTGACATGCGCCGCTTGTGGTGGTTGCGTGTCATCAAAAGCATACGACCAACAAGTTCGGTAGTAGAGACACCCTCGGTACGCTTGCACTCACGATACAGACCAGCGTCCTTAACAGCCTGATAACAGTCAGTTCCATCAGCCATGGTTGTAATATCGTCACCGTGAACACAGAAATCAACATCGTGAGCCTTCAACACCTCAACAGTTGTGTTGTATGGTGCATTTGGAACGACCAAGTCCACCCACTTGCAGGCAGCAACAGCAGCATATCTTGGAATAACGTGTTTAATAGGTTGTGCATATTACACATTATATTTATTTACCTCTCGTCTTCCTTCATCACAGTAGGACCTTTGTTCTTTTCAATCTCGGCATCAGAGTGAACACCAACAATGAGAAAGTCACCCATGGCCTTAGCCTATATTTGAGAGTAATCCATATAATAACGTTAATATATAGATCTCAGGTAAATATGAACAATGACTTGCCTGTCTCAAAGCATTGGCATGGCCGTAATGCATCATGTCAAAGCAACCATCGACCCAAACTCTAATTCAATCACCAGATCAGAAAACATAATTTTAAAATGTCTCGGGGGATGTTATACCTAACAGGCTTCTTAGTAGGTACGTTAAGTGCGCTCATGGTAAAAATAAAGAAGAAAATATATAAGTAGGTTTCTTGCTGACAACTTTGGTCTCTTTGAAATCCCAAACCCGCCGCAAGTCTTTGAGCCAATACAGTGCCTCTACTTTAAATTCAACTGTTAATTTTTTTTAGACGAATCAAAATTAATCTTTAGATGTCCTGCTTACCTTTTTTGGGCGGAACGAAAATAAAATTTAATCAAGACAAAAAAAAAATTAGCTTTTTAGGCGAATTAGAGGTTTATGTTCAGCTTTGAAAATTAATGACAGAAAGGATACGCCATGTTTGTTGAGATGACTAATCGATACTTTGTTGAGGTAAAGATATTCTGTACTTTCATTTTCATATATCATACGTACACCACATGATATATCAACTGGTACATTCACAGCTTACTACTTCCAGTCATTTTCTTTTGGAGTTTAGGAAGATCCTGATTGTAAGATATTGACGCATATTTCAAAAAAATTATCAAAATCAATTAATGTTCATTACCGTATGTTGAATATAGTCTATCAATATATCTGGGCATATATATATTATAACTAAATTTATTGGTTCTATGCTTAGGTTTTTATCTATTCCAATAACATTATCTATATGTTCGAGAAAAATGCATTCAAAGTTAAAATGGAGAAGATTTGGCTATCAGCGAAAGAAGTTGGGCAGAAGGTGTGTATAATATGTGTTATCAAATTTACCAAATGCATTTTTGACAATTAAGCTCTGAATGCGGTAGCCTATCGATATGCTAGACTTTCAAAGTAAAGTCTTAACCCTCAAAAATAAAACAAGACGTTATTTTAATGACAATGTAGATATTTTGTTTTGTTTTCTCCAATTTAATGGAACTCGATCCGATCCAATAAGGAAATTAAAGTGAAGCTATTGTCGATTTCCTATATTCGCTTGGTAAACAAAACATGAGTCCAGACTCATGAATTCAATAGACATATATACTTTTATACAAAACTACACTAACAATGATTCAGTTAGAGGACAATCTCCATATTTATACAATAAAAAAAATACATGATAGATAGAAATTTACTACAATGCATTATAGAGGAACAGACTGTATTCATATCTTAATTATTAAAGCATATTTATTGAAGCACTCCAATAACATTTGTAGTTTACCTTGCTCTTGTGTTGATATACAAAATGTAATATATACTTAATCTGAGGAGCACAGCCTGTTATTTCAAGATAAAATACTATTGATTTATAGTTTCTCAAGGCATTTATTTATGCTGGACTTGTCGAAATCTAGAATGTATAAACATGTTTGAGCCCAAGACACATTATTTAAGTAATGTCATAATCTCGATAATAAAAAGATCAAGGAGGTAAATTAATCTATAATTACTGTATACTTATATAGACATTAAGTAGACAATAGTGACTTTGATAATCATATTAAATACTAAAGATCTACAGTAAGATTTTTTTTTATTTTTTTTTACTTTTGTTAGGGTTAATCACTATCAAAGGTGAAACAAGCATTGACCTGTTTTCTCGTCATATGTTACTCTTTATCAAATTTATCGATACATTCCAGCTGTACTCTTACCATAGCACGCCATCAGAATGATAATTAACCAAAATAAAACAATATCAAAGAAGGGGCGTGGTACACCCCCTTTTCTTTAATATATAAAATATATCTAGAAGCATATTATATAGATATAACATGTAAACCCATCACTGATAAATACACCCAATCATTTATGATGTTAGTAAACCCATTAAGATATTTTTACACATTCAAATGTATTTGTGTAAATGGAAAGACTAACGCTTCCAGCGCAGTCTTTAACTCTCCTTTTAATAGATTTTTTCTTCGATTCTTCTCAAGATGTCGATTGATTTTATCTAGTATAATAAGAGTATTACCACCAATCATAAGATTAAAGACTTAATAAATTCGACTTTCTTTTTTGGGATTTGAAGCTTTGTGCATATATAGAATTGTTCTTTTATGAAGCGAAATGTATAAAAAAAAGAATCCCATCAGGAAATATTATAGGAAGGTAAGTTAGACAAGGGTAAGAAAGGGATTTACAAAGCAAATGATAATATGATCAACATGATCCGTTTTTTATGCCCATATCTTGAGGGTAGAATCCCAGCTACCAGTACAAAGTGCCATACCATCACTTGAAACACCTACACACGATACACGATTGCTATGGTTTCCTAGTGCACCTACACGTTCACCCTTGAGAGTATCCCACACATAAGAATTATAATCATCATATCCACCAAACATTAAACGCCCTGACGCTGAAAATGCAAGAGATGTAATTCCACACAGAATAGATTCATGCGAATACACGCTCATTTCACAATCTGCACGCAAGTCAAAGAGTCTGCATGTAGCATCATCTGACCCAGTGGCAAATGCATCGCCGTTAGGAAAAAACTGGACAGCATTAATGTCTGCTTCATGGCCAACAAAGGTCTGTACACATCGTTTGGTGCGTATATCCCATACTTTAGCAGTAGTATCGCACGCTCCAGTAACAAAGACATTTGGATTAGGTCCAAGTGAAAGGCTAAGTTATACACATAGTAAGAAGTATATCTTTTATAAATATGAAACCAAAACCCCCTTCTTATTTTATTATATCTCACCTCATTACATCTCCAGAATGATCTTTGAATTCCTCAATCTTAACTCCCGCGTCAATGTCCCACAGCATACATGTCATGTCTCCAGATGCCGTCAAAATTCTGCGATCGTCTAGAAAACGGCAACTGCTGAGATATCCCGTGTGGGCTGATAATTCGCGAGCTGGACGAACAGGTCCGTCACGCGCTCGTAGATTGTAGATGGAACATATGTTGTCAAGTCCACCACAGGCCACAAAGTTTCCAGAAGGAGAGTAAGCACATGACATTACCCATGAAGAACGTAACGGAATGGCATGTACTTTATTACTTGAATAAGCATCCCAGACAATTAATTTACCGTCCTGAGAAGCCGATACAAGATGCCGCTTGTCAGAAGCCCAATGCATAGCATATATCTTGGAAAGGTGACCCTTGAGTGTCCTGCGAACCTTCATCATGATACGGGGTAGTGCGTCGATATCCTTGGTCATTTCTTTGACTAGATTATTTATTTCATTTTCAAGACAGTAAGAGCAAAATCTAATCGATTTATAGCTTTTGGCTACTTGCGATTTGTATCCGCCAGGGCTTCTTTTCGCTGTTTGATTCTATCCTTAAGAGCTTCGGCATCTCGTTTGGCAGCAGCAATGCGTTCTGGAATGTCACTCTCATCATTCATTGGATCAGTGGTGTGAATCGGTAAAGATGTTTGTTGGAAAAGATTGTCAAGATGAAAAGCAGAAAAGAACGAGATGGGAATAGGGGTGAGAAGGTCAAGTGGACAAGTTGAGTCATGCTGTAAAATAGGGGGGGTGGGGAGGACCTTTCAACCTATGTGGATTTGTAAACCAGGCCCTGTTACCTTTACGAAAGGTGTTCAAGAAGCATAGCTGTCATATCACGTGTACACTAGAGCTATTTACTATTACAGTTGACCTGCAGAAGAGAGCCGGTGGTAAGAGTATATATTGTTTCTTAAGCATATTTTGCAGCTCCAAATGATATACTATAGTTCAATACATGACCAAAGCATTCTAAATTGTGTAGCCTACAATAGAGAGCATGCGTTTCACGCTGTACTACGCTAAATCCAGCTTTATACAAAAATGATTTCTTGAAAAAAAAAATGGGATGGCAACCGTTACAGTTCATCAACGTACAAACATTAAACCAGCCGTCAAAACATAAATATGCCAAAATCATTGACGACGTGCGAGAAAGAATAAAAGTAAAAAATAATAGTAATGCTAATCAGTAGCTATATTTATAAAGTTTCTACAAGATGTATAGCCTATCATACCATTATATCTAGATTCTATTATGACATACGCACACGCACACGCATACAAACATCAATACTAAAGTACTACAAGAGCTTTGATTCCGTCCGAATTGCAAAAAAAGAAGTCATCAAGCACATTTGCCCTCATACATATCCAAAATCCACCCAACTTGCTAGTTAATTTTCGGCCAAATCGAGCCTTGAATCCAATAACTTGCCAAGCCCTCCCACAGATATTTCTCCCTTCTTTGATGAAAAAAAAATAAGCATAATAATATTCACTTTTTCTCTAAGAGAATGCCTTTGACTATATACAAGTCAGCTAAATCCTTAATGAATGTAATCACTAAAAATACACGTGAGTTCAAGTAGGCAATATTGCCCTATATCAATATTCCATATAACATCAAAGCGATATTCGAAGGTGGGGATGCTTTTTACAGATAAGTTAAATAATAATTTGATTATTAATTTTTAGAGAAAAGGACACTGCTTGATGTTTCCAATAAATTTATACGGGTACTTTTAATTTTTCAAGTCAAAAATTTTATCACTGCCATTGATAAATGTAGACCATTAGGGGGCTATTGTTCTGTTTTACCTTCAATTATTTTATTTTAGCTTTAATTAGGTCGCCTATGAGGCCACAAGTGCATTAGACCTTAATACATCAGCTAATAAAATATTTCTACCTGATAACAATTCAAGATGGATATATATATATATATGTCATATAAATTTATATAAGCTTATCGAGTTTTATTTTTTTTTACAAAGAATAGTTAATGTGTTTATTATACAATATATGAGAATATTATACCAATTACTCTTTTAATGACATCAATAGTGGTACTGATATTGATCATAACAGCCAAAGTAAGAGGATTGATCTATCCCGACTTAAGACGGATCAACCAATCATATGTGGTGCTATCTCTATGTGACATGTACTGTCAGTCACTGATACAAAATCAACTTTGACCATGCTCTTTGCCTTTCATGACTGGAACGTAAGTTTCTCAAATATATTTCATTCGAAAATAGATAATCAATTTGCGTTTAATGCGCTGGCATTGGGGATGCCTCAATGCTCAATCTTCAATTTGAGAAACAATAAGAGACTTGAAAAAGCTGAGAAGTGGAATCCGAAAAGCAACTGGCCTGGCTTGAAATCTAGTTCCAGCACACCATTTTTCACTTTACATTGGAGATAATCGTTATATAGTACATATTTCTACATCATGTTGCGAGATGAATCTAAGCAAAACATACAGACATTGAGAACTCGTTTTCTCTTTTAATTGTATAAGCTATGAGATATTTTAGAATCAAGTTTTGATGTCCAATTCTTAGTCAATGAAGGCTGATGACCTATTTATTATAGCACTGTACCAACATTAGATCAAGTCTGCATCCCAGAGACTCTTTTAAAAAAAAGAAAAACCAACGACAAAGCGGCCACAGATGCAGCTCAAAAGAAATCTGAGCAGCGAAAGGTACGGATTATCCAGTTTAAAGTATATTGATGGTAAACTGACATAAAACAAAATTCACAGGCCAATCTGGAAGTACGCAAGGTAATCTTTAAACGAGCCGATCAGTATGTGCGTGAATACCGACAAAAAGAAGAAGAAGAGATCCGGTTACGCCGTCAAGCCAAGAGCGTAGGCGACTTCTTTGTACCAGCACAACCTCAACTTTTATTTGTGATCCGTATCAAAGGCATAAACAATATTCAACCAAAAGCACGGAAAATCTTCGAGTTATTTAGGCTACTTCAGATCAATAATGGTGTATTTGTACGTCTCAACAAAGCCACATCGAACATGCTACAGATTATCGAGCCGTTTGTCGCCTATGGTGACCCTAACCTCAAGACAGTGCGAGAACTGGTTTACAAGCGTGGATTTGTCAAGGTCAACGGCCAACGTATTCCAATTACTGATAACAAGATTATTGAGAAGTCCTTGGGAAAGTACGGTATATTGTGCGTAGAAGATATGATCCATGAGCTATTTACGGTTGGCGACCATTTCAAGCAAGTCAATAGTTTCTTGTGGCCATTCAAGTTGAACAACCCGAGCTCAAAGGCATCATGGAGACCACGAAAATCCAAGCATTATGTGGAAGGCGGCGATGCTGGAAACAGAGAAAGTGATATTAATAAACTTGTTCAGGCCATGAACTGATACTTGATCTAAGCATTATGAGAAGATGAGGACGAGCTTTAGGGTAATTCAAAGAGTATTATTAAAGGTAATACTAGGGGTCAATTTGCGTAAAATTTACATTTTTTTTTACCTTTTGATTTTATAGAGAATAATATATTCCTACTCTCTATGGGCGCAAGCTTTTAGCCATATACCAATATGTTTATCTATTTTTTTTTAAATATACATTTATATTGGATAATGCATCATAGAATTCTCTTGTACAATTAAAAGTCATAGTCTCATCTTGTAGCAGTATTATGTTAATTGCTATTTATTTGTAGGTTTTCTTTTATATATGTTATGTTGAAACTTTATTGGATAATGATAATTAATTATAAAGTTATATATAATTATAATAAAAACAAAAAGCACCTTTTGGTTGTTCTTAATAGAAAATATTCTTTATTTATTACAATCATTGGCTGTTAATGTTATAGGCCCTCATATGTTTTCATATCAAATATGATGTTAGATAGTACTTACAGTGTGATTGTTATACTATTAAGCAGTATATAGAAATATAAAGCTAGTAAGATAGACAGATTAATTGTGCGAAACCCGATACAGACAATGAAAGGAACTACCATATCCCGAATACTTTTTGTTAAGGTATCAATACACCAACAGAGTGGATGCTGGAATTTTTTAGACAATTGCAGGACCTAGCTTCCAAAACATACAAAGTTACCACAAATATCTTTGCACTTGGTAAATACGTTTTACTTGAAGAGTTGGCAGTCGATCCATTTTTATAGATATATTAACGAATGGATCGATTAAAAGTTCTTTGTGAAGGTGTTTTTGTTACTAATAAATTGTCCCACTACCACATACCATACAACTGAAGGAATAAGATAAAATCGTGAGCTAACCTACTGCCATATTAATACCTACCTTTCTGCAAGTCCCCACCAAAACGCCATGAGCTCCAACAAAATTCGATTTACTATGATGTCAAGCCTTTTACTTACAGCCATGTACTTGCTTTTTTATATGGTCAGTTTTCTAAAGCAGCTTGGGCATCAATCCTTCAGCTTCTTCCCTCTTCATCAACATTGGTATATATATCACATAAAAATTGTCATTATAATATTGTGTCAGCGTACCTTAAAGGAATCGTGAAAATCATCTATGGGTAAGCTAGACCCGTGGGAAATAGTGGTCGATTTAAATAATGATTCTTTTCGAGATTCACTCAGCTGTGCGATGAGGCTCAGAGGGACAATATAGATATATATATTATTAGAATTTTCATCCTAATCAGGCTCACGACACTACCCAAGAGAAGAATTTCCGAAAGGTTGTCATATTCCGCTCCGAGAAGATTTTCTTTGTACATGTTTTTCTTAGTAGAGCAACGTGAAATGATTCGGGAACTCTGTATTTTTGGTGATTCTGGAAATATAAATTTGATGTACTGCTTAACTAGTGTCGGTGTTACAATCATGACATTAAATCATAAATCGTACTTCTTTAGCTCTTAGCTCTTCTTTTCTCTTTTACATTTGAGCTTTAGGACTTCCTACTAAATTAGCTCCATGTAACTTTGACACAGTTTACCCGACATTATGATATATTTGTCTTAACAATCTTTAATATATTATCTACAGTACTAACTGTAATAATTATTGGTCTGATTACTTAATCGTTTTTATATATATTTTATGTGCTGACAAGATGATGGCTACTAAGCTACCCCAATATGAATATGTTCTTATATGTGATAAATCCAACAGCCGAGTATCTGAATAACCACAGCTCCAATGATCTTCTGTAAGTGTTTTCAGTTAAATTGACTTGCCATTTTGTTAATATCGTGTCCTCACTTGCTGACAGGTACATTTCATTTGTGCTAGTATTACAAAAACGCATAAAATACGAACCTGTGCCCATCGAAAAATTCCCTCCTTCTTTGTTGATAACTTTGCATCGAGAAGTTTTAAAATTGTTGTCATTGTCGAGTATACTTGATCCCGGCTTGTTTATGTCAATCAAAGGCATCCTCCAAATGTATCATGGAAATTAAATCAATAACTTGGTTACGCGGCAGAAGTTGATCAACCTTGCCCTGAAAAAATTTGGCTCAGAACAAAGTATTGTTGCTGCGGTGGAATCACTTTTACCTGCTATGAAGGATTTGGATGCTGGCGAAATTGGTGAATCCGAATTGGCTTGTTCAATTGTTCATCCCTTTATCTAATCATTACTTGCATATGAAATGGATGAGAAGATGACTAAATGTACAAATACCATCCCTGAAAACGGCACGGATGTAGGACGACGACCCGATTATGAAGTTACCACCTACGAACAATACCAACCACCCTTTCGTAGATACTTCGGGAAACTGAAGGGTGGGGAGTCATCAGATATATCAGCAATTATGTATTTTTATTGTTTGGGAGTGTTTGCAAAACTGGAGATCTTCACCAGGAATTTGACCAGTGTGTTGTGCTCTCAAGCCCTTGGAACAGCAATCACATTCTATGCACTAACACATCCTCACCCTCGTATCTATACGTTCATTGAACTTGCGCCAGTTACCATACCCAAGACAAAGAATGCCATAATGTTTATGATAAGCGCCTTTGATGACCTCTTCAAAATTGCCGTATACCATCGTACAATATCGAATACTCCCATAACAAATGCTTAGCTACCGACGTTGCCATTTGAATTTGTACAAGGAAAACGAAAATCTCTTCTTATAAAACAACGACTATCTTTGGGATCCATTTCGAACAGGAAATTGTAACTGTTTTTTATTTTCTAGGTTTCCATACCGATCGTATCGGTCGCCATTGGTCGATCATATCAATAAAAACAATTCAGTAACATGTATTCCTTCTTATTATCTTTGTCAATTCAGGTGTGCTTGTTAAGTGTATTGATTGACGACAAAAGTGCTTTTGACCAAGCTGACTCAATCCTCGCTTGGTTACTTTTCATCAAACATAGCCACACTACCTACTTTTTCTCGGCTTTCTGAATGAGCTGTTAATAACTATTACATGAGCTCTCTGTTTCGTCATTTATCCCATCATTTGTAAGAATGCGAAACGAATCCTTTAGTGATTTTTCTCCACACTTTTACAGGCTTCTGTTATTCTTTTAGATAAAGTGTCTTCTTGAAAAAAACCTATGGCGCTTCACCTTAATCTTTGCCACCGCCCAGAATTGTTCTATTGGGTTAAGTTCAGGAGAGTAAGCTGGAAGATACACGCATTTATATCCTCGACACTCAATATACCTTTTTATGCTTTCATGAGTGTGAATAGGTGCATTATCTATGGCTATATAGTGACCTTTCATATGTGGATGATTGTCCATTTCATCGAGAGTTACTTTTAAGAAACTAATGTAGTGACCAGTTATTGTTCCTGAGCTTATATGTCCGTCAGCCTTTGTCTTCTTTGCAGGGCCAAGTTGTTTTTACGCCGACGGTAATCAAATCTGCGACAGAGACAGAACCCAGTATGGACGTTGTGTTTGCTCTCGTAGTAGGTCTAGTAACAATAGTACGGGTACCTTTTTTGGACCAAGCTCTTAAGTGTTTCATATTGATATCAAAAGCAGACTCGTCGAGAAACACGAAATTCGTCAGGAAGTTCATGTCTGTATTTTCTCATTTACAAACCGAATTGTACCGTTCCTCAATCTTTTCTGGACTGTTTCTCTCAACAGAATGAATATCTGTTTTCCTTCAACGAGAGATTGCGTTCACATCTCATAAAGTTATTAACAGTACTACGTGATACTTTAAGGTCATGAAATTGCTTCAATAAATGCTCGGCAACTTCAACAACAGTAGCAGAGGGATTAGAATCAATGAAAGTGATAATAGTCGCTTTATGTTCTTCAGATAAGATGCACTTTGGACCTATTTTTTTTAACAGCTCTCAAAAATACTATCAGGACACACATTATACTGGCTAACCCATCTATACGCTGTTCGAATGTGAAAGCTCAACTGCTTTGCTGCAGATAATGCACTCATACCTTTTTTAATTTTCAGATCGGAAAACCTAGCTTTATCCTGAATGATACAACGCATATAAGCACGTTTTGTGTTTGTCTCTTCTATACGGACATCTTCATTCTTTGGCTTTTCTAATAACATTGGACACGCCAGAGAGAATTCATTGGGGGGTACAGTTTCTAAGTACTTAGTATGAGTAGCAATTATCTCGGCAACAAAATCATTCTGATCAACAATGTAGTCCATGGGCTCAGGACCACCATTCTCATCAATAACATTTCCATTCCCATCTTCATATAGAAATATTGTACTCAGGTTGAATTGTTAAAGTGTTGAAAAAGAAAAAGAAAATACCAGAAGAAAGAAACACTCAGTCTCCATTTATATTTTTTTTCGAGTGTCAAGAATGATGATGATTTCGAAAAACATGACAATGATTTCGATTGGCCGTGACATTACATTCTTTGAATATTCTAATTTTCTTTTGTACTATGGTGGTGAAGGTAAAGGTGAAGATAAGATTTTCTGTGTAAATTTCAAAAATGAAATAAGAAACTATGCTATAAAAGCTGTAAGAAATGTAGGACAAGAGTGAAATATTGAAAATGTATCTATTTTTGACATACAATAGCAAAGAAATGGTATAAAATTGAAATTGAACATTAAAAAAAATAAAGAGGGGTAAAAGCATCATCGAGTTAAACTACCACCCTAAAACAGCCCTTAAATCCCCGAAAAAGCTTACGAGATTTCCCTACTTAAAGTCGCCCTTTTTTCTTCTTTCTTTTACCATAGTGTAAGGTCTTATTTAATACTCTATGCTCAACTACAGATACAAATTCTGTCCTACATTTTTAAGCTATATGTTAATATTAAATTTAGTAATATAGTATGGCAGAAATGTGAGAACATACGATAGAATTCTAATGACTGATTTGTTTCTTATATACTTTAGACGCGTTTAGTAACGATAAAAAGATGATGAGTGTTAGTTCAGTAGTATTGTCCCCATCAGATTCAACGAGACCTCCAGAAATATTGAGGGGGAGACCTTTTTTTTCTTAGTCAATGTATTAAGAATCTTTTCTTCTCCTTTTTCATTTTTGTGCTTATTGACAAATGCTAACCCACTGGTGGATATTTCGAGTCAATTTGTAATACTGGACTTTCATTTAATTCTTTGATCTAAAAAAGAATACATAGTTCCATGCCTCTGTGAATAAAAATAGACCCAAGTAATATAAATCACTAGACATAAGTTATCAAACCAAACAGAATGATAATCCCATCCCCCCCTATTAATCTTAATAATCACGTTTATTAATATTGTATTTAAAAAGTATTAAATTATATATATATTGTGCCTATGAGTATTGCACTGAAATAAAGTTGAGTATGTATCAATATACAATTTAATAAATTGATGTTTCTTGAAACGGATATATTTCGCTGGCTTAAAAATATCTTTTTACTGAATGAAGATTTAGCAGATATGTACAAATATATATATAGTCAAGTCAAAAGGTAATTTAGAAAGGTTCAAGAAAATAATTACTATATTAATAATTATACTTATAATTTTTACTTTTTAATAATAGTCATAACAGATTGGGTACGATCGATCAAAGACCATCGAGTAACCAAAGAATGTAACTATAATAACTGTCTTACTAGAGTCTCAAAATAAACAAACAAACAAAAAAAGCAAAGTCGTTTTCTATCTTTCTATCTTTCTCTCTCTCTTTCCCATATGTATATGATATGCTTATGCGTGTTCTCGAATAGAATTATTATAAGCAGCCTTGTACAATTCGTATTTTATTTATATATATATATATATATATATATTAAAAAAAGTCTAGATCTATAGATATTTTGAGCTGAAATGATGATATTTGACACGACTGTCATATATATATATAGATGGGGTCTTGTTCAATTTAACCTAAAGCACAGACATTTTGTCTTTTAGTCTGGGATAAAATTAAACTGGCCTAGTATGAACCCTGGCATACTGTTGGGTGCTACGACTAAGAAGCGTACAACCTTCTTTATTTATCCATTTACTCATACCACGCTCGGACTGGAATGAGAAAATTCCAGGACAGTTTGGAGATCACATACCAATCTATTCATATTCTCATTTTATGTTTATATCTATATATCTATATATACGCGATCGCGTTGTACCTATCAAGTTAGTAGCTGGAGAACAAACTGGAGTGCATATTACCGATTGTGCGTCTAGTTACTTCAAGCTACCAAACGTAGAAGATCATATATTAAGTAACTCTGTTTTTGAATACTGCATTTGACATATATATATATATATATCTAATTATACATATATTAATTATGAAAGTGCAAATATGGTCGGGATTGAGGTTTGTGATTCTGGGTAGATTGTAATAGTATTGGTATAGTCCCATTAAAGACAAGTTACGATACAGGAGCTAATATAACAATGCAAGTGTTTCGTATGGGCTGACTTTTTGATAAAAAAATGATAAAGAGCTAGAATCTATCAGCTAAAAAAAGTGATAAATAGAGAAAAAGAGAAAAAGAAAGAAATATAGACTGACTGGGTTACTTTGAAAGGGAAAGTGGCCACGCCATATCTTGGCTATGAAAAGGAGGGTCCAAAGCATAATGTGTCACCATCATGACACGCTTGATGGGTATGACTAACATGGAGTTGATCAAAGCGTCCTCCTAATCCAACCACCTTCCACAAGGAAGGAATTAGCATAAGGTTCGAATCGACAGTTCATTATGTCAAGGAGGATTTGTAGAAAGATTTATATATACACATATACACATATACAGATATAGAGCATTCTCCTATGATAAAGTGATAATCAGACCGGAAATATGGACAATGGAGCTGGTCTTGTATTACGAATGTGGGTTACACTTGTAATAAGCATGCGACCCAAGAAAGCCATAGGTATTCAAGTAAACAAATTATCGGGCAAGAGATGTGCGTAAGTCTTTATTGATGAAGAGTAAGGTGGTAAAACAAAGCAAAAAAGCAATGCAGAAACTCTAGTCATTTTACATAATATTAGACAATGAGCGGAATTGTGTTATTTATGAATTATGATGAGCCTCTACTTCTGATGGTGTTTTTGGTTTACAATGATGACAAGCCACCTGGGGGAAAAACTTGAAGAGGGGTTTATATACTGTAACAATTTACATGTGTTATGTACTATTTGCTGAGGGCGATCGATGACATGAAGAACTAGGCAAGATAGGGAATGCTGATCTAAAGTTCAGTTTTTCTATAATAATAATAATACTGATACTGATACTGATACTGATAATTATATCGAGATTAATGTTAATTCTAATAGTAATATTGATAATATTATTAATAATAATAATAAAAAGAAGAAAATTGTACAGACAATGACAACAAGAGAATGAATTAATAGCCAAGTAAGAAATTCATTCCGTATTAGAGAGACATTTCTTTCAGCTCCATCCAAAGGTCTTCTTCATTCCATTGTTCCTTTATATGCCTATTCGACACTTGGACCATTTTACTTGGCCATTATTTATTATAGAAAAAAAAAACCCCTTTTTTAATATTCCTTTTTTCTCCTGACGATCTCAAATACACATTTATTCATCTCCTTTTTCCTTTTTACAAGCGTAATTCTTTATAGATTAGTTGTTATAAATACCCTACCCTATTATCAATATTTTTTTATTTTTCTTCTTCTTCTCTCTTAAACTAACAGTTTTTTTTTTAAAAAAAAAGAAGAAATAAACCAATAATGTCTTTACCTGTCCATTTGTACGGCCCATCAAACACCAAACCAACTCTTCCTCCAATCGCAATTCACCCAACCCATTCTTATGCACTACCCAGCATTCATCCTCTACAGTCTATCGGACTCCCCTCTTCACCTCCAGTAACACCCCCCATCAAACAGGATCTCACAGTCTCTGCCCAGTCTTTGATGCACCATCGTCTTCATCCCGGATTTTTAGCAAAGTATGCTCTCGGAGAAGAACTCGGCAGCGGTGGATTTGGGTTTGTTGTATCCGCCCACGAACGTCGTACTGGTATCGAACGTGCTGTCAAATTTATCTTTCGCCACAAGGTGCCTGCTCATGCTTGGGTGCGTGACATCGAAGAAGGTCCTATCCCAATGGAAATATATGTCCTGAAGAACGTCCGACACCCTGGAATTATTGGATACGTAGACTCATACCAAGACGAATCCTTCTTTTACCTTGTAATGGAGCTCCATGGTACTCAATGGTCTTCTCCTCTTGAAACCGAAGCATTTCCTGGCGGTGTACCCCATTCGCCTGCTCTGTCTCAGACCTCCGAAGACTCCTACACATCTTCAATTGATTCGCCAATTGAAGAATATCCTACCCGGGTCTTTACTCGACGTACCTCATGCGATTTGTTTGAGTGCATAGAGCGTCATCACAATTTTGAAGAATCTCTAGCCAAGGATATTTTCCGCCAGATTATCGAATGTGTTGCTCATCTCGATTCGTTCGGCATATGTCACCGCGATATCAAGGACGAGAATATTGTGATTGATGATCGGTACAAGGTTAAGCTGATTGACTTTGGCTCAGCCGTTATCCTGCCTCGACACTACGGCCAGAACAAGCCATGTCTTTTCAACAAGTTTTATGGAACCATCTCCTTTGCTTCTCCAGAAATCTTAATGCGACAGATGTACCGTGCTGAACCTGCCGAGATCTGGTCTCTCGGTGTTCTTTTGTACACAATATTATTCGGTGAGGTGCCATTCCATGACCCTCAGATGGCTATCTCGGGTCGATTTGCCCAACCCAAAATTAAAGTCTCCTCTAAATGTCTCCACCTTGTCTCGTGTATGCTGGAACGTTCACCTGATAAAAGACCCAGCATTCATCAAATTCTCACCCACCCATGGTTCCGTGACTAATTCCTTTGGCATGCCTCTTTAAAATTCTTACAATATTACACTACATTACACTACACTACATTACATTATACTACATTACATTATACTACATTACATTACACCACACTTTCATGGACCAAAAATCCGCAACATCATTCTTTTTCTTCTTTATTATAATTATAATTATCTTTATTATTTCTATTTTCTATTATTCTTATTATTACCCTTAGTATTAACTTCATTGCCACTTTCTTATTATTATTATTATTATTATTATTTTTATTATTATTTTTATTACATTCTGCATGTCTTTATATTCTTTTGCTTCTTAAGCTTTTAATGCTCTGTTTATCAAACTCATTGCAACACACTATGGTTATCCTGCATTTATTTCTAACACATCTCACGCTTCCATTTTCCCCTAATTCTGCAACTCTTATGTCTTTAACCCACCCCATTTTTCCTCCTTACCTTCTCAGCGTGTATACACCCTCACACACCCTCACACTCTCACACACACACTCACACACACAACCATTCTTCTTCTTCTCTTTTTATATATATTTTTATTTATTTTTATATATAATTTTTTTTAATCATTCATATTATGCACTTATTTCACATTAATCTTCTTCTTAATCCAAATTCATTCATATTATTTCTTTCTAATACAAAAAGGGAGCCGCTCATGCTTTGGTCGTGAACCTCCCTCTTCTGATATCAAAACATATACAAATACAAATACATTCATACATTCATACATACATTCATAAATACATATATAAATACATTCATACATAAATACATTCATACATATGTCTCTACCTCTCGGACTATATAAAGAAGAAGAACAAGAAATCGGGGACTTTCATACATTTTTGGATTTCTCTTAATATTGATACTATTGTCTTTTATACAATGAAAGTATTATTCTTGGTTTGACATTTATGAAAGAAATATTTCCGCATAGTCAGAATTATTATACTTATAAATATCTTAAGACCACTAGATTCAAATGATAAAGAAAAAGGAAAAGCAATGCAAACCTTAATAAATAATAAATTATAAATAATAATTAAGTTTTCTATTGAATTGTCTATAGATGATCACGGTGGCACAAATAGGTCGTTATCTGTATCTTTGTAATACTTACATAATAAGTACATATATATTATGCTATGCTATTCATATTCATATTATACTATAATCTATATTTTCTAGAATATGTTTCAAAATTATACAATCGATTCAAGGTTAGATCCCTCAAGGGTCCTCAGCCCCTTACAAGTTACCTGCCATGTAAGATTGTGGCTTTATTTGGATCGAGCACAGGGTTCATTTCTTCATGCCCTGACATATACACGGGGTCATGTCTCGCTTAATCCTATGGCTCGTATCTGACACACTGTTTCTATTCCTTTATTTGCTCACGTTAAAGTTTGGCCTTCATTTCTACCAAATGATTGTATACATGAGATCCAAATAGCATTTCTATAGATCTATATCTATATTGCAAAGAATAAGAAGAATAAAGAAAAGGTTTCATTTATTTCAATCAAAAACAATCCACAACGTGTTTATTGCCGCATTAAACAGTGCTAGAGTCTATAGAATATCTATGGCTCTATTTAGAATATTTCAAAAAGTAGAAAAAGCAGTGCTCGGATGCATAGTGGCAGAATTGATATTCTAAAACAGATAAATAAATAATAATATCAAAATCTTCCAATGTATTCGTATATGAGATAGAGATTTAGTGGTCTTAAAAGTGGAGCTTACTAATCTCCTAAATCTATTGTGAATTTGTACATATTTATAACTGTATTGTATATCTGTTACATCCCATACACACATACATATATTTTTCTTTTGTGGGAGCCTCTTGCACACACTTAAAATACACCTTATTTATGGTTTGGTAGATGTATGTATGTATGTGAGCGAGTGAGTGAATATATAGACTTGATGACTGTATCAAACCAAGTGTCGATCTTATTTGCTATTCAAGGGGTATTTTGCAATGTACAAAGGATGCGTAGACAACACCACAAGGCACATAAGTAGGGCAGCATATTTCATGCCCACGAGGCTCCTTTGAATAACCCCCACACACTCCTTCTTTCCTTTTTCAAAAATCCTTAATCTATCGACTTATCAGCATTTTAGGTATCCACTTTAAGGAGATAGTATATTACAGTATAAAGAAGTAAGATCTGTGGCTTGACTCTTATTTTGAATCTTGTTTTATTATATCAATGCCAGTATGAGGCCAGTATGAGGCCAGTCAGACAGAATTTATAAACTGTTTAAGAAGAATAAAACAAGACATATAACCAAATATAGTGGGAAGCAGGCCTGAAAAGAGCTTAAGTAGCTCTATATCCTACCGATGGAATATATAATAACTCTAAAAGTAAAGAAAAAAAAGGTGGTATTTGCATAATAGAATGGTGTATATTTGAATACCACACCGAAATACTACAAGGTATTTCTTATCAGCCTTTCTTCCCCTTCTTCCTCTTCTTCTTTTTATAGTACGGTAAAGCATATGTATTCAAAGCTCTTGATTTATTAGGGTAAAAACTATAATATATATATATATATATAAATACCTAATATTTGTACTGTACAGCAGTAATGCTATGCCTGAGAGGACACAATAAAAGGATCGTCAATAATTCAGGAGAGGATCACAAAGTGAAGAAGAGGGGAATATCACTATATAAAGTTTATCTACCTTGCTTAAAAGACTCATCTTATTTCTAGCTGTTGACACCAAGAAATCGGTCAATTATTGTTTATCTGATCAATTAATGCCCCCCCCCCCCCCTCTTTTTTTGAGGTCTCCCTTTGCTTTCTTTCTTATTTCTTTCTTTATTTCTAGACATAAAAGCACAATTATGCAAGGCAAGAATACTCATAGATATAGCCATCATGAAAAGCAAAATGGCCAATAACCGATGAAATTACCTTGCTTAGATGTGAAATTGATAGATTAAAGGGGTCAACCTTTTAATTTAATGCCGGTATATTATTTAATCTACTTTGCAGCTACAAAATAAAGAAAGCCAGTTCTTTGCTATAGATAAAAATACCTTGTTTCGGTCTTATCTTTTATGGGAGAAAATTAAATAAATCAATAACAAATTTGGCTAAAACACCAACACATTATAGCTTGCCTCGACTCTATAAAGTTTGTTTCTTTTAAAAGATAAAAGTTTAAAGCATAATATTCAGGATACGTAAATTCAAAATCTGTAAAATAAATTTATTACATATATATATATATGCGCTAGGTGGATCTTTCATCTAAACCACAAAATCTGTCAAAATTGATAGCTTAACATGGGAACTTCATTTCTACTCCATTAGTCTCACTCACAAACAGCCTAATTACAGTTAGGAAGTACCATTTACTGGGGACCAACATAAATATATATATATATATCTATATATATATATATATCTACCATTATACACGATAAAGTCCTCAAATAAACTCCTCGAATGTATTGTCGAGACACCTCTTTTAATTCGGGTTTTTACCATATCCATGCTGAGTTCAACGACCTTGATCCACTTTTTCGACGATTGAGAAAAGCTTATCTTTGAGGTATTGAGCTTCAACTCAAAACCAAGGCAGAAAGAAAAAAACACAAGCACTTATTCAGATAGATGTTGAAATGTACCTTTCTGACATCAAATAATATTGACGTGCATGGGGCAATCCAACTGTTGTGGGTAGCAAGGAATTCCTGGCCATGCCTGTTATTTAGGCAAATCTCAAACGATTCCGAGTGAATATTACGAAACTCCAGGCAGAAAGTTACAAGGCTGTCGCTGTTCAATTGCGACACTGCCTTACCCCCATTTGAAAAAGTTCGCGAAAATTTTGTTTATGAAGAAGGCCAGCACCAATGGTTCAAAGGAAATGACAATATCTATAAAGAGCGTCTTATTGTCTCAGATAAGGTTTGGGCCCAGCTGACACCCGGATCTATGGAACCTAACCCAAAAGTAGATATCATTGTGTCTTCTGTTAGACACTGAGGTACTCTGTCGACAGATGCACTGAAAATCATAAACATAAGCAAATAAGGCATATCTGTGAAGTGGTTGGGCATATTAATATATTCTGCAATTGAAATCCACCTTTCCATAGCCATTAAAAACCTTGTCAGGGCGATGAACCCAGCAATTCGGTAACTCCCCGCAAAATATTCATCCCTACAGCCCATTCAAGAGGCGTTGCAGGCTGCTCTGGAAAAAAAAAGACAAATTCTCGGAAGCAGGCTAAAGCCCAGGAAAAAAAAGTGAGGTTTAGAAGAAAAATGAGCCAGATATACAGAGACAGGAACAATTGTTGCTAAAGACCACGTTTAATGCATCTTTGTATGACTGCATGTCGCCTATTGTACTGACTTATCTTGGTCACCCTCCGGGATCGCCAATTGTCCAACGGGACCAATTTCGCCACAAGCTCCTACAAAATAAACATATAACTAAATAAATATGCTTGGAATATACACTTTTAGCGCTCACTTTCTGTTTTGGATCGAACTAATGTGCTATTTTTTTTTTAATTATGCTTAACATTTGGTATTTCCTCCGTGTAAGACCTGTTATTACTTCATTCTTTGACAGCAGGTGCTACCTTAGATGTTGTTGACTACCCAAATCTTTCTTTATAGCGTATAATGATGTGCGAGACTCTACTTCGAGCCTGTTCACACATAAGATGCTTGTACGAGGCAATGTAACTAGTTATGCTACTATTGTGAGGAAGGAAGTTCGAGCTGTATAATGTTTACAGCTGGATTACTAGCTAGCAAGGGTGTTTTACCCTTAATTGAGGCGCTGTAATAAATGATAATAGACTACTTCATGAGGATAAGCCCTCAAGACAATATATGTGCACTCCAATAGTTAATACGAGTCAAATAATAGTTAATTGGCTAGATGTATGGGGATAAGAGTCAGCTACCAAAATTATAAAATGGGAAAAGTATTTTTAACGAGGTAAAAAAGGGATACCTTATTATGTGTTAAACTTGCTCTGATATGTCCTCTGTTTCGTTTTCCAATTTCGTACCACGACAATAGTCGGCTTTCAGCCACCACGCCCACCATCTCAATATAACAGTGAGCAGGATAATATTATGCTTTTATTTATTTATTCTTCTTCTAACAGTAGCATACTTGTATAAATTGAGATATAATTAGAATAAGAGCCTTCTTACTATGTATACTTTACAGCAATTAAACAATACTATCTTTTTTTTTTAAAAAAAAAAGTAGCAACTGTGCCTCCAATTGCACTATACAGTCATATCTGCCTTTTTTTATAGTCATAGTAATGAGACATATAGTACCTCTTTTGATACAGACCTTTGTCCAAACATAGGTGGTTTTGAAAAAAAAGGCATAGCATTTTTCAAAGCTACCCTCTGAATCCCCTCCTTTTTCTCATAGCATTCGTATGAATATATGTAATATATTGGACATAAATCTCTGCTAACATTATATTAGAACAGACGCGTATGTAATATATACATACAAATGTGTGAGTATTTTAATATAAAGCATTATTCAAGTATAAATTATTACTTCCAGAAAGCCATATGAACATACACATGTAAATATTAGCGAACTGTCGAAATAAACTATTTTGGCACCACAAAAACAAAAATAAGCCCAATTAGTGTAACCTTCATCTTTATATTATGCATGTTTTGTGCATGACTTGGTTCATTATAAAAGTGTTCTGACAATACTACCTCTTCTTTACTATTTTCTATATTGGCACGTGATCTAGACACTTTAATAACATTACAAACCCACCTTTAATTGAAACTCTTATTTAATACTGATAGTATCTTATAGATATATATACATGTGCATGTCTTTTTTTTTGAAAAGTCTTGTCTAATTAATTATTTAAAGTTTTAGTGCATATGAAATGTGTATAGGCGTATAGAACACGAATTCCACAAGGTTAATTGTAAAAAAGTCTGCTATTATACTAACCACAAGTTCTACACATCTGCCCTGGAATGACTCCATAGGTAATCGTATCCAGACTTCATCTTCCTCCATATCGATTCCAAGGAGATCTTGCAGGGGAAAGAGTGTGTTTGTGTATTGGTCGGAGATAAATCTCGAGCCTAAAACAGACGAATTGTCACTGATGATTGGCTGGAGATCATGAAAAAGGAAGGCTTTTTGATCTAGCCTAATCTGAAGCATACAAGAAAAAGCAAAGAAAAGCAAAATAAAATAAAATAATAAAAATAAAAATAAAAATAAAAAGCTGTGTTCAGGATTAAGAATCCATAATTATAGAAAACAAAGAATTTCAGTAAGCTTATACCTTAAATATCACATCAATTGCTAGTCAAGAGCCTATTAAGACTTATATAAATAGTATAATGTTTGCAAAAACACACATCTTTATAGTCATTTTTATTTCATTTTGAAAATGCTTTGTAAAAAAGACGCAGTACCAAAGCATTTGTCAGCCAAATGTCTCCAGTAAAATTCCTGAAAGATAATTGAACGATTTGGTTTTTAACAGTAAAGAATTCAAAAAATGAAGTTTATGATTATCCATAATTATTAGAAAAAGAGAAAGAGAGAGAAAATATACTGATATATTGTGGCCATCGCCATGTTAGGAGAAGTTGAGCTTCAAATACCAGTGAAGATTAGACAAGGCTTCTTGGACCTTTGTTCTTTTCTGCGCCAATTATGAACATCCTCTTATTTTGCCCCTTCTTTGATTTTCCTTCTCTTCTCTCGGGGAATCAAAACCTATTTGATTTGCAACCCACGTCTGCCCCGCCACTTACAAACCCTCTTGCTGGGGTCCCAAAATTTTTAGGTGAATCGTCAGAATTTTTTCAATTCCTTGTTTTTTTTTTATACCTTTTTGGCCCACTCTATCGACCTTCCGGATAGAAAGGCGAGGCTGAACAAGTCTGACTCGCTTTCTTAGTCTGATTATCTATAATCGCTTACATCCCCGACTCCATCATCTTGATCAAGCACCAAGATTCTTTATTTTTTATTTTTATTTTTTGACTCAGCGATTGGTACGTCATGGGGTTAAAATGGATGAGACAAGGAGAAATGCATCCAATGTTAGCACCACTCGTACGCACGCCTAGAATGGAATACAATATAGTGAAATAGAGACGCGCATATCATATAGAGATGGAAACCGATGACGCGACCTTTGCGCATGCACACGAAAGAATTAGAAACACAAAAAGGCGTGTGCATGGGGAGAGTGGTGTGGGGAACATGGATGACAAAGAAAACGAAAACCAATCATCATTCAACACAATCACCCATTTACTTACATTAAATCTCTCATTAGGATATCTTATTTAAGCGCTCCTTCCCTGTTCTGACGAACAGTAGACAACAAACGAAACGTATATTCTACGAGGATACCAAACGGATCCTCTTTAACTTGAACAATCAGCATATACAGACAACATGGCTCATCAACGAGATATGTTTCAAAATTATATGGCGACATCTGGTTATCAGATTCCGAATCTTGACCCACAACAGCAACAGCAGCAGCAGCAACAACAGCAACAGCAGCAACAACAACACTTACAGCAGCAACAGCAGCAGTTGCAGCATCCGAGTATTGTTGGCATGCAATTAAATCCTGGTTATCCTCCTGTTGATCCTGGTTTTTCTATGCCAATGTATCATGCGCAGTTTCAGCAACAGCAAGTGCAACAGCAAGTGCAACAGCAAGTGCAACAGCAACAGCAGTTTCACCAACAACAGCAAGTGCAACAGCATATTGTTTCTCAACAGCCTTCTCAACAACGACCAATGACTTCTTTACCCTATATGAACCAACAAAACATGGGATATTCTCCAGGTCATAATTTTCAACCTTTGTTCTCACAAGGAATGATGTCCTATCAACAACCACAAACACAGATTCAGGCAGCACAAACACAATCTCAACAGCTTACTCAGGCTCAGGCTCATGTACATGCCCAAGCACAAGCACAAGCACAGGCACAAGCACAAGCACAGGCACAAGCACAAGCTCAAGCTCAAGCTCAAGCACAAGCACAAGCACAAGCACAGGCTCAAGCACAAGCACAAGCACAAGCACAAGCACAAGCTCAAGCTCAAGCTCAAGCTCAAGCTCAAGCTCAAGCCCAAGCTCAAGCCCAAGCACAAGCACAGGCTCAAGCCCAAGCACATCAGCACCAACATCAACAAATTACACCTAATGGGATGGCATTGGAAGGGATGGGTCTTGGTCATCAAAATTTGATGTATAATATGACATCTATGATAACCCACCCAGGGATTCAAGCCATACGTCCGATGTCAAATCCTCAATATGTAAACTCATTTCAACGCCCTAATAATGCATTCCAAATGACACAGCAGAATCCACTTGCATTCTTACAAGCTTATCAGCAGCAGCAGCATGTCCAACATCAAGTACAGCAGCACCACCACCACCAGCAAACGTCGCAGCTTCAACATCACCAGCAGCAACAGCAGCAGCAGCAACAGCAACATCAACATCAACAACAGCTTCAACATCAACATCAACAGCAACAACAACAGCAGCAACAGCAACATATTCAGCGCCAACAGCAGCAGCAGCAATACGAAAGACAATACTTTCAGTCGAGGCAAATGTCTATGCCAACAACAGTTGCGCCTCCACGTCCAAAACGACCGCAACGAAATGCAAAAAAGAAGAAGGCTTCTTATGAAGAAACATCCGAAGAAGAGGAAGTGGTACGGGTACTTGTTATATATATAGGCCGTAAATATACACACGAGGAAATTAAACGGATTGTTTTATACTAGGTATTTGCAACAGAAGATTCTGAGCAATCTGAAGGCAGCGAATTTGAGGATAGCGATGGTGGTAGGTCCAAAATGAGAAAGAAGTCAAAAAAGATGGGTGGATCTGGCGGTCCTGTAGAGCAAGACGAGTCAGTTGTGATACCAATGAGCACAAAGGTAATGGATATTGTCTATTGGAATGATACTAAAATCTTTATAGATTTTCGAGAGAATATTGGACTACCAGAAAAACTACGAGACTGGAGAAGAAAAGTTGCTTGTTAAATACAAGGTACCTTACTATCATGTTTGAGCCAAAGGATGATTTGCGTGTTCTAAACTTCTTTGCAGAATTCAAGCTTCCATCATGTTGAATGGGTCCCTCTTGACCAAATTGAAGCAGAGCACCTGGGTAAACATCGCGTAAAGAAATTCTTACAGAAATGGTACCAAGATGGTGAAAAGGGAGAGGACTTTAGAGAACATCTGAAGGTATGTTACTGATAAGTTTTATAGAGAAGAGGAACGCAAAAAAAACTTATATTTTATTTTGTAGTTGGATCGTATTATTGATGAGGGAGAGTTAACGGATCCTGTCTCGGGGGAAAACAAGATTTTTTACCTTGCAAAATGGAATGGTCTTTACTATGATCAATGTACTTGGGAGACGGATGCAGATGTTGAAAGGGTAAAATAATAATAATCAAGGGCGCGTAAAAGATTTTTTTTTGCTAAATAATTACATCCTTAGATTGACAAAGCAAAGATTGATGAGTTCCATGCCCACAGAATTATTCCACCACAAAAGGTTCCCAATCCTCCACCACGCCCAGATTTTACACGATTTATGAAATATGACTCTTCGCCTGTGTAAGCGAGAAATATTGACTATTATTTAGATACAGAAACAAAAAAAAACTCATGTATTTATTTCTAAACATATTACAGGTATCGATACTCAAACTCATTGAGATCTTACCAACTCGAAGGTCTCAACTGGCTTCGTTTTTGCTACTTCAGTTATCGCTCCAGTATCCTTGCAGATGAAATGGGATTGGGTAAATTTGCTGACTAAGTACCATAATAAGGCTGATCAATTAACACAATCGCAGGAAAAACCGTACAGTCTGTTGCTTTTCTTAATGATATTTACCACCATCTTGGTGTTCGTGGTCCTTTCCTGGTAGTTGCTCCACTATCAAGTATGCAGATATATAATGTCTATATTAACACGAACTCTAACATAATTGTTTCTACTTAGCAATCCCTCATTGGGAACGTGCTTTTAAGGCCTGGACTGACCTTAATGTGATTGATTATCGTGGAAGTCAAATGGCTCGTAATTTGATTTACGAAACTGAATTCTATTACAAAGATATCAATGGCAACATCATTCCAGATAGATACAAGTTTGACGTTATCATTACTACCTATGAAATGGTATATTATTTTATTTTCTCTATCTCTTTCATACTATTAGTATTATTTTATTATTTAAAAAGAGGCGAAATAATGAATATATAAATCTAATACTAAATTAATTATTTTATGATCTTAAAAATAGGCTTCAGCTGGCGCTGATGTATTGAAAGGAATCCCATGGCGCTGTGGAATTTTTGATGAAGCACACAGATTGAAAAATAAAGTAAGGCTATAAATTAATAGCTTGGACTTCTTATTAACCATATCCTATGATGTTCTTACCTTATAGCAATCCAAGGTGCTCGAGGTTCTCAAGACTTTCTATCTCGAACACAAGGTTTTACTCACTGGTAATACTCGTCAAAGCTAAAAAATGAATTTAAGTTAATTATGGTCTTTGATTTCTAGGAACTCCACTCCAGAACAATCTTGATGAACTTTATAGCTTGTTGAATTTCTTACAGCCTGAGATATTTAGGTAAATTATAAAGACTATGTAAACTATATATTTATATACTTATGAAACCATGAAATTCTTCTAGTGATGAAAAACTGTTCTTTGCCGAGTACGGAGCACTCAAGACAGCAGCCGAAGTCGAGAAATTGCAGGCTCTACTAAAACCTATCATGCTCAGACGTTTCAAGGAAGATGTTGAAAAGACGATTCCAGTGAAAGAAGAGACCGTAGTAGAAGTAGAATTGACTAATCCCCAAAAGAAATGGTACAGGGCAATTCTGGAAAAGAACTTTAGTTTCTTAAAGCGATCTGGAAAATGTAAGGACTCCAATAGTGATATATCTTTATAAAAAACGGGTTAATGATTTATGTTTATTATTGTAGCAAACAAAGAAGTGCCTCATCTTCGCAATATTATGATGCAGCTTCGCAAGTGTTGTGTCCATCCATATTTGCTTGAAGGTGCCGAAGAAGTGATTGTATCGGAATGTAATGCCAAGGGCCCTCAAGAGCAATTTAACTGTCTTGTTCAATCCTCCGGAAAGCTTGTATGATAAAACCTTGATAATCACTTTACAACATAACATACTTATATTTGATACCTTTTATTTTTTTTAAAAGGTGTTAATTGATAAGCTACTGAAGAAGCTCATACAAGGCAATCACAAAGTGCTCATTTTCTCACAATTTACCACGTAAAAAACAACAGCAACTTTATTTGTATCTTATACCCAGAAAATCATTATTAACTTTCAGTATTATTATAGCTGCTTAGACATTTTGGCAGATTACCTACGTGGACGCAGTTATGCTTACGAACGTATCGACGGCAGTGTTCCTGGTGATCAGCGACAAGCGGCCATCGATCGTTTTTCTACCCTACCAATCGAAGAATCATTTGTGTTTTTGTTGTGTACAAGAGCGGGTGGTGTCGGAATCAATCTGACAGCAGCTGATACTTGTATTATTTTCGACAGTGATTGGAACCCCCAGAACGACCTTCAGGCTCAGGCACGTTGCCATCGTATTGGACAAACAAAGCCAGTACAAATCTACCGTCTCATTTGTGCAAATACCTACGAAAAAGATATGTTTGATCGCGCTGGAATGAAACTTGGCCTTGACAAGGCTGTAATGTCGAGAGCCGGTTCAGGAGAAATTGACGAGAGTGGACAATTTAAGAACGAACTGAGCAAGAAGCAGATTGAAGATCTTTTGAAAAAAGGCGCTTACGGCGCGATGTTAGATGACGAAGCCAGCACCCAATTTTGTGAAGAAGACATTGATCAAATTCTTGAGAGACGCACTACTGTCATCAAACACGAAGGCAACGAGAAAGGATCTGTATTCTCAAAGGCTACTTTTTCGACCACTAGCGATAATGTAGGAGTAGAGCTCGACGATCCAGATTTCTGGGAGAAATGGGCTGCAAAGGCAAATATTGAGACAAAAGACGCTCCTGATGAAAATAAGCTGATAGTAGCCGAGCCAAGAAGAAGACGCCGAGTTCAACGCTTTGGAGCTCGTCCTACTGACGGTAATTATTCATCAAATGACAACGGAGACGATTCAGACGCGTATGAGGAAGAAGAAGATAAACCAAGAAAAAACAACCAATCGCGGAGCTGGAGTCTTTCTGAAAAGACAAAATACGAACGAAAGTTGATGATTTACGGTTACGGTCGCTGGGACCAGATGCAAGTTCATTTCCCTCGTAGATCAGAGAAGGATCTTAAGGCCGTTACACGTGCCCTGATGCGTAAAGTTTTGCCAACAATTGAAGCAAGTCATGAAGAGGACCGAAAATTAATTGACGACATTGAGGATATTCTTGAAATGGATGCCGATGATGAGGTCGAGGGAGATGATAGTATACCTTATGTTGGTGCCAGCAAAAAACAGATCTCTGAATTTAAATCATTTTTGGCTCAAGCACCCGCAGACTATATCGAACATGTTGAACGAAAGGGTACATTTATTATTATATAAGTAATATATTCATTATTTAATGTGTGAATGTTATAGGGCGTAATTTCTTGCTACGTATTCAGATGTTACACCTTATTCGTGACAAGATTGTCCCTAAGAACTGGAAGGAAGCCAAGGCTCTTCCTGTACCAAAGGTGACTGGTAAGTGAGAATACTTTATAGACATTCCTTCAGGGAATCTGATTAGATTGTCAATGTCCAGGGTCTCTTCCCGCAGACTGGTGGACAGAAAACGAAGATAGAAGTTTGCTTTTGGGTATTTGCAAGCATGGTTATCAGCAGTAAGTTAATACTACAAGCGAAAATGAATTACTTAGAATTTCATTAGGTATCTTGCCATGCGCAATGATCCAGAATTTTCATTCTACGGAAAGAAGTACGACGACAGCAAAGCAGGCTCTTTGGAAGACGACGACATTCCTACTGGATCATTGGATAAGAATGATGAAGACTATGATAGCAGACAGGGCTCCGTAGAAGCAAAAGAACGACCAGATGTTATAAAAGATGGTGAGGATGGTCAGATTTATGTCTGGCCCTCAAAGGCAGACATTGGCATGCGCTTGCGACGAATTATTGCTGCCTTCCTTCGGGAGCATGCAGGTGGGATGCGAAGACGCAGAGGAAATGAGAGAGATTCAAGAAAAGATCGTGGGGCAAAAGGACGCAGAAGAGAGACGCGCCAAACCCAGCGTCAGAGATCTAAAATGAATGAAATATCCAACCGATGGTCGAAAAAGAACAAGGGTGACTTCTTGAGAGTTCTTATGTCCTATGGTGTTGACACTGAATTAAACGAACCTGATATCAGATGGGATCGATTCAAAGAGATTGCTGGTCTGGAAAAGAAAACAGATGAATCTCTTGATCTTTACTATCAGACAATTATAAGCGCGTGTGATGAGGTGATGAAGCGACACGAGCAAGAGGTACTCTCAACTTCGATTCAACCTGCAGATCAAGAAGCTTCGGGCTCCTCTCCTTCGAATACTCAAACTCAAAGTATGGCTCTTACAACAAGCCGTGAGTCAAGTCTAGAACCTCAAAGTGCTGGCGGAGCTGCACTTACTGACCGAGATGACAGTAATGATACGGCCGACCTTGTTCCTTTCGATAAGGCAAGACGTGCATTGAGACGTATTGCTCAGATGAAGAAGATACGAGAAGAAGTGATAGTTAATCCTGATTTGGATGCACTTTTATTAAATGCACGTAAAACATCCGGACTTCCAGGGTAAGATGCAACTTACAGAATGTATCATTTGATTAACCTCTTAATATCTGCAGATGGTGGGAAGTACCTGCTCATGACAAAGCTTTGCTGCTTGGTATTTGCCAACATGGAATTGGTAGAAGTGATCTCTTGATTGAGGATCCTGATCTTCCCTTCTATAAAATCAAGCAAAAGATTGTGGAGGATGAAAACATCCACGATCCTGACGGCGATGATGCGAATCTAGTGATGGAGAAATTTGCATGGCCAAAGGATCTTGTCATATCCCGTCGCATTGATGCTCTTTGTGATCTGATTATGAACCCAAAACCACCGTCAAAGAGGCAAACAGCCAATAGGAAGCGAAAGGCAACCATTGGCGAGTTTTCTGATAAGCCGTCGAAGATTAAATTGGAATCCGAGATTAACGTAAAAGAAGAGGAAGTCCAGCTCCGGATGCAAGATCTTTCAGATGGTGAAGTATCCGCTGCCGAAGATGTTTTTTCTGAAAGTGGAGATGAGGCTGACATTAAATTGGAAGACAACACGGAATCTGCACAACAGTCAGTGACTGAACCAAATGTGGATAACCCTGAAGACGACCAATACTCATTACACGACGAGCCATCTCCAAACTCTTACTGACCTTTTTCCGAATTTTTTTGTTTTTTTTTTTAAAAAAAAAACCGTATTCATTCAAATTAACATCCCACCTTTTTGCCTATAGCTCTATAAATAATGCATCGAACTCTATCATACTTCTTTAACTCTCGTAGATATGCTTTGTGACTTCTCATCAAATATTGTAATTATTGCTGCAATTACAATGTTGGAGAGTCTCAAGAATGTTGAGAAAGTTGATAAGAACATAATGCACATTTCATTTTCAAACCCCGTCAATATTTCTTTTTATTTTATTCTTTTATTTTATTTTATCTTATTTTATTTTTTTTAATAACCATGAATTCTTTCTTTCTCTCTTTATTTTTTTTATTTTGTATTGAATAATCATAAATGATTCCAATAAATTTTCGGTTAAAAGTACTTACAAGCAAAATGTACAAGTCGCGTATCCAATGTATCCAGTAAATCGGATAACCTATCAAATTAAAGAAGTATATCGACCAACACACCCATTGAGTTATTTTTCAATTTTTCAATTTTTCAATCTCAGAAACAAAAAGAAAAAGAAAAGAGGTTGCGATAGTACTTACCTTATTGGGAATCTCCGACAATTGAAGATAGTGCTTTCCTTAAATAGAATAGTTGGTGGGGGATGGAGAGCAAACACTGAATATACAGTGTTTCAACTTGATATTGATACGTCTTCTTTGAAAAATTATGTTTCAAAATTTAGACTATTTCCGTTTTATTTTATTTGACAGAATATGTATTTGTGCCCATAACCGTTTTAAAGATATCTCCTTCGAAATATTTCAAGACGTTTAATCCAACCTTAATGGTTCTCAAGAATTACTTTAATATACAGTTAGGCTATATGCTCTATGGATGGAAAATTTGAAGCATTTTGGGGTAAGCATCTTTATAAAGAGTTTTGGCAAAGATACATAAGGACAGAAAAGAAAGAATGACCTAGCTTTATCACTTTATAAAAATCACTACGTAAAGTATTATTTAAGGAAAAGACAATAAGCTTTCCAAGAAATACTGGGCAAACCAATTATGGCAAGAGTTGACGTTGGCTGGCTAGATAGATGGTAGACCTGCTATATTAAAAATAATTAACCAATGTCGTGAAAATAAGATACCTCCAATAAAAGGTTATGTAAGGATGGTGATGGGGGAGATTCTATTAAGGCTATTATTTTTTCAAGCTTTTTAATTAATGAGGGAGGGATTAAAGACGCTATTGGGGCCCTCATAAAAGACATATTAAACGTATATCTGCCTGCTTATTTTCCGTATGAAAAAGACTAGAGAAAGATCCAAAGGACTCGAATATGAGCTTTATTAGACTTCAAGATAGCCCCGAATACCGGGAATATGTTAACTGTAAAGATGAATACAAAGAATTTATATTATATATCTAAATTGTGAACAATACCAAGGGGACAGCATAGCAAGAAACCATAAAAAAATCCCCATTTTGATTAAACAGAGAGCGAGGAATCTTCTACTTAAACAAGCAATTCATTACATATTTCAGTGCTTAACTTCATTCAGCACTGATGAGTTAACAAGATGAAATTGAATAAATCTTTAGAGTAATAACAGAAAGTAAAAACACAAAAGTAACCACTAATTAGCAAAATACCAAAAAAAAAAGCAATTACTATGCTGTCCTGAAAGGCAGAATATTACCAAAAATCAATTTCAAGTCTTCTTAGCAAATTAGAAAAAAGAAACTCACAGTCCACCAATAGCCCTTTTTTTGGTATACGTCAAGTATGTCGCAGAAAATCCTAATAAAGAACCTTTTCGTTAAAACTATGCGTATTCAAGCTATATAGACTGGTTCAAGACTCCACCAGCAAAACAATGAATAAGAGCTAAACATAAAAAGCTATAGGAAGAATATATACCCAAGATAACAAGCCTTTGTCTAAAAAATCCACGGGTAAGAAACTCAATAGGATCAAGCCAATGTTGAGAAACTGGGAAATAAACCAAATATTGAGAAGGCATTTCTTATTTAACCTATATTTTTTAGACATTTTGTCCAATTAAATCCACAGCCTTGCCTTCGTGCCATGCGAAAATTAAAATATATTCTTTGAATTTAATTGGAGAATGTCTATGAAAATATGCTTACTGATGCGTGAAAAAGAAATTAACAATTCCCAAATTGTTAGTGAAAACACAGTAGTTGGAACATATCACCATTTTTCTCCATTTAATTCACAAGAAGAACTTTATATACGGACCCCGTGTAAGTAATCTAGAGCTGGTACACGTAAAATACACAGAAAAACGCCTGCCAATTTTTAAAAATATATAATAAAGCTATTCATGAAAGCCGATATCCCCCAAGATAATAATATCAACGCCTTCACAATTACAAAATCTTAACTTTATTAAAAGATTATTTTTTTAAATATACACTTTTTTAATACAGAAAATCTCTAAAAAAATTGATGTTGAAGCCAATCACTATTGCTCTTTAATTATGTGTATTGCTTTCTTTTAAATATACGTAAAATACGACTTTTCTTTATATCATTTCATTATATGGAACATTAGAAAGAGAACTAGCTGCCTTGTGCCCTGATAAAAACGATTCAGAAAATCTGATAAATCCATGGTATTATATCACTGGACCTATTGTAAACCATATTGATAATGCAATCCTTATAAATATTCAAGTTGGTCATGGGAAATATATTTTCTTAAAGCCATATCTTTTCCCAGAGGAGATATAATTGCCCTGAACCTTGGGCTTTCCAAAGATCTTCACACGACGATCCTTCAAGCCTGTTTAGTCACGAAAGATAGTCACACTGACGACATAGTATAAAGTGCGAGACAAGAATCGATTGAAAAAAAAGCTTTTATTCTTCATCTTGTTCATACCTTAGTTCTCTAACGTGTCTCTCCTGAAGTAAGTCTAGACGCTATGGTATACTTTGAAGTCGGCTGAATAATAGTATCTTTTGTACTTTCAGAAATATATTGACATTTACGTTATGTTTGGACCCATATTTATCATCCTATTCGCGGTTACCATGGACATTTTTTTCCTAAAAGACACCTCCATATCAAGCACAGTCTTCAACAAGTCTTTTCCAGGTGCTTATGACTATGTAACCCGTATTGCTCAATTGTACTACAAACCCCAAGCTACCTTTGTAAAATCCACCACCAGAAACTCCCCGACACCATCTTCATCATTTCCTCCGCAATCGGGCCCACTGCCGAGTACTAACCTATTTTCAGAAATGCACATCCCACACCCAACCACTAATTTTCTTCTTACGCCTCCCCCCACGCGTCCAACCATCACTAAGACGTCCGACATGGCGACAGTGCCGGACACCCCTACATACAACTCAATGCATATGTACCTGCCAGCCAAAATAACTCCCCTACACATCTTTCCGTCTACTATCCTAACTCCTTTATTAACTCTTACACATGTCGCTCAAGATATGTTGGTGCGCCTTCCTTTACAGAATAGCCCAACAAAGATTTTATATTTCATAATATACAATCCCACCCAAGCCATATGTATTATTATCAGTGTACGTTTAATGTTCACATACCTTATCAACGCCAAAAAAAGCACAGGGTAATATATGACACATACCACATTAATCTTGTCGTACAATCAAAGTTAGGCCAAGGCAATTAATGATCATAAAACATTTTAAATAGAGACAATTCAAAATCCTGTAGAGCAGAAAAACCCCCCTCCAAAAGTTTCCAAGATAATCCGGAAGAGATTCGACGACAACTGGCACTCGGTCTCACTCATTCCGCGCGAAGAGCCTTCCGAATAGCGTGCTTATCTACAAAGTTCGATGTGAAAAACAAATATCCATCCGTGCTTGAAGAAGTATCCGGGCACGAAAATCAGATTCAAAAGGACCTTAACCGTACCTATCCGAATGAAGGTCTCTTTAAAACAGAAGAAGGTAAAGAGTCCTTATTCCGAGTGTTAAAAGCATATTCAATTTATGATCGCGAACTTGGGTATTGCCAAGGTATGAATTTCATTGCTGGCTGCTTATTGTTACATGTGAGTTTTTCTTCCAGAAATGTTTTTTTTTTATTCTTTTACCTTCCTTTTCTCACCAATGTTTTCTACAACAGCTGAAAGAAGATGATGCTTTTTGTGCTCTTGTTACACTGCTAAGCCATAGGCTTAATTCGCCCGGTCTCCGAACCCTTTTTCTCCCCTCAATGAAAGGTCTACAAGAACTGCTCCAAGAGTTGAATAAACATATGGCCATTGAATTTCCTTGCATTCACAGTCATCTGGAAAAGGAAGGAATTGTTCCATCAATGTATGCTACACAATGGTTTATGTCCCTTTTTGGCTCCTGTGGGCCTCTGTGTCTCGCTCAAGATACAATTGACATCTTGTTGATCGATGGTCCACATATGTTACTCTTTTGTGCCTTGGCTGTCTTAAAGGCGAACGAGTCGGCTATATTAGAAATGTCATTTGATACCCTTGTCCCCTATCTCACTAGTTCCATTTTTATCCCATTCGATGTAAGGTGCTCGGATATCTCTTTTTTTGGTGTGAATAAGACTGTACAAGCTGCTTATAACAGATGTGTTACTTTGACTAGCATGATAAAGGGACCTTTGTGCTCGACACAATCAGACTTGCCGGACTTTCTCTTCCGCCTCCAGGGGAATTACTGAAAGGCATTGATTGTTCTAGTGATGACGAAGATGAAGATGCTTACATTGACTCTAGATTTTTTGCACAATAGCCGTTTCATGTATTTAGTCTTATAAATATACACACACATATATCCTTTTTATTGTTTATAATTCTAAGTAAGATCAAGTATATCTATTGTTTAAGAGCATGTAAACTAACGCCAATAAGTCCAGTTCCTTGAGGCCCTATGGAAACTACTGGCACTTCGCTAATAGCAGGTGTCTCAATTGTTATAGTCGCAAGTTCCTTCTCAAAAACTATGCAAGATGGAATATTGAGGTGAATATTAATATTTCATAAGAAGCTGACTAACCTTTTCGAACATCGTCCTTGGAAACATCGAGATCTTGGTAACAGAATAGCTTTACAAAGAGCACATCTGACCAGTCCTTCTCACAGCGAATGAGAGTTTTATTTAAATCAAACACCAATTTCTTGACCAGAAGTTCAAGACTGTATAAAGACTGCTTTGTATCTACTCGACAAATAATTAGAGTATTTAATTTAAGACATATATTTATTTTGTCTTACCAAACACAGAAGCAGTCGCTACAACTGTCGTAGCTTTGTTTTGAGAATAAGCTTGTATATCAATAGATGCATCCGAATCCGAGCTTGTATATTCTAAATAACTCTATTAATATGAAGTTTGTTCGAATGGTTTGTTTACCGAAAGGTGCATGGCTGAGGGATAAGCTAGCTAGTTTGCGCAACGCCTCCTGCTCTTCTTCGTCTGATGAGTCTCCTTTGTTGATCGGTAAAGTTACATGAAGCATAACTTGCCATTCTACCAAACCGCCTTTTGGTAGCGCAGGTACTACCAAAAACATAATTGGTGCAGATACACCATCCTAATACAGCCATATTACTAAATAGTATTTGGTTTTTTGCAGATCACCCAACTCACTTCAACGTATTCATTCCATGCTGTCTGTGCAATTTGGATATGCTCGGGTCGAGTCACAAAGCAGTAGCAAAGGGATATATTGTCTTTCAAGACCATATCCAATGCTTTGATGACTGTTTCCAAGTTACGGAGAGACAATGCGGCTTCTTCTACAAAAGAAGGGGGGCTGGGAAGTTCCAGAGTTTCGGGTACAAGTCCAATTTGACCAGCTACCCAAACATGGTCCACAACCTATTGGCACCAAAACGATGAGAAAATAAAAGAAATATCTGTTGTCTAGATAGATAGATATTTACATACTGTTACTGTTTGAGAGTATGGCCCGATATTTGCAGGGGCCCAGTATGAGATGCCTTGGACATGCATAGTACTCTTCTTGGCGTCTTTCGGTTTTTTGCAAGCGACAAGATCAATCTTTAGTTTGGCCAGTCCTTTTAGTTTGGCCCCTACCAAAGCACTATACGTACATGTGCACACACATATTATATTATTATATATGTTGAAAATTCAAAGTCATTTGTATAAAAATATTCATTTTTTTGCGGGGCTTACCGAGGTGCCGGATTGATATCAAAGAACTGCTTATATACCGCATTAATTTTGCCAAAATCTGCAATATCGGCAACAAATACATTCATGCAAACAACATCATCCCAAGAAAGGTCGTAGTTCATAAGCTTGTCTAAGAAATGACTTAGAATTTTTAGAAAGACATTAGTGACTATATATTTTTTAGTTACCTTGCACTGTCAGCATACACTGGAATGTCTCATCCTCGATACTTTCAAAAGCACCCTGTTGTAATTCTTCAGGTGTTCCATCGTCATATGCAGTAATCGATGCAATAGCACAAAGAGGACCTCGTTGGCACGAAATGTAGGATTCGTCTGATTTGTAATATTAATAAGCATTGGTATATTTATACTCATGTTTACAAAACCTACCATGCTTTTCGGTATATTGTCCCACTAGGCCAACCTTGATAGGCGATCTCGGGAGCTGCGATTGATCCTTAGACTTCATCACAGATACCAGGGACTCATACGATTCCCATTCCTTCCAATATATTTTTTTTATTGTATCCATTCCCACCATCTCCTCGGGTGTCTTGTCAACCAAGATACACCGCTTGAACCTCAAGTAAGCTACCGGTGCAAATGCGTCATCAGAATGAACTATTGTCTCCCTTTCTTCTCTAAAAGCAACAAGAGTAAATTTATAATCAGACGCATATTATTTTAGATATACTTGTGCCAACTTACATTACAATTCTCTTTTTAAACAATGGGCAATCCAAGGTGAAGGTTTCATATTCACCGCCTTCTCCGCATACATGTAAGTCATACTTTTCATTCTAATTCGAGAAAGTAGATATATACATGTAATCTTTTAATAACCATCGATATAGCATCCCAAGTTATTTTTCTCTTACCAAGTTACAGAGAATAGGATACATCTGTGCAATACTCTTTTCAAGATGAGCGGCCTTGAGTCCCATAGCTGCCACCTTAATCAAAACAGCGTTCACATTAGCAGCTGCCATTTCGGCCAATAGTTCACGCTGGTCCCGTCTCCAAAGGTATGCTAAAGAGGTCAATCCAAGTCGGTTGCATCTACAGAATAGTCAGTATACAGGTAATGAGGTCAATTATTGTGATCCTTCTTACACATGCTCAACCCGAACACGTTGATAATTTGACAAAATTGCACCCACAGAAACACCTTGAACATCTGGATGTTCTTTCTATAATAGCATATATTAATAAAATGGTTTATTTCTCAATTGAATTTGACCTACCAACACATCTTTAAGTAATAGGTATAAATCTTCAGTTTCATCGTTGGCTGTCACAACATAATCTGACTTTTGAAGTACGGACTGGCCATTGATTTCTCTTCTGTATAGCGGAAGATTCATACAATCAGAGTAAAAATGTATGGCATCGTGGCCAACAGTTTGGTACATAAAGCTATCGAGTTCATCTAATATTTATTATGTATATTTATTAACTATAGGCGTCTTTATCCGAGGGATTAAAATGATATATTACCCTTTCCGGATGCCACAGGTGGTTTGAGATTAGCAAGTGCTACAATCGAATGTCCATTGGCGACGCATTGCATCATATTGTAGCAACTATCTTTACCACCGCTGTAGTTCGGAATCAAAATGTCATTATTAGATCATGGGATCGTCTTGGTTCTAACATGGGAATAATCTCATATTCAATGTACCTAATGAGCCCAACAACTTTCATTTTTATAGTCTTTTATGAAAAAGTAAAGGAGAGATTCTGGAAATTTGGATAATCTATTGCCCTGATTGACAAATGTGATGTCCTGAATATCAAATACTATGTACTCATTAATTATTTATCAAATGTGAATACATTTTCACATATCGGTAAATAAATTTTTTACACGCCTGTTCCAATTATGTGGCATTAAAAAAAAAGGAACGACTTTGGTGATATTTTTACAATATTTTCGGGGGTTTAAGGGCTGTTTTAAGGTTGAATTCTGACGATCTTGGACTTTCGCACACTTTGTCCACTTTGAAAAGGCAGCCTTTATTTTAAAAGTTTGGCTGGTTTTGATTCTGATTTTTGCCTGAAATTTATTATATCTATGTGCGAAACATTAATGAAAATAGTATATGCCAATTAGTCTCTTCGCAAACACGATTTTTTTAATTTTGAGAAAACACGAATCAAGAAAGGATTCGCCACAATAGATTGGCCTATTCATAGTCTCAGGTTAAATATACCTTCTCATTGTTTGACAATACAGACATTGGTCTATATTTGTATCACATAAGCTGTTTTGGATCAAGAGTATCAGAAAAAGAAACGTTTATACCACTGGAAGTGCACGGGAAATTCTTGTGATCACTTCGGGGAAGCAAATGCACAAAAATCGTTATATATATATTTATGAATACCTTTTTCGCACGCCTCTTATCCTTTTACTTCCAACACTGTCAATCTTCTTTTCTTTAAAAAAAAATAATGTCCAATATCACTCTCGAAACTGTCACCTATGAGCAGGTTGCCAAGATGTTTGACCACGCTATTCTCAAGCCTGAACAAACCACATTGGACGTAATCGAGGGCTGCAAGTTGGCTGTCGAATATGATGTCAAGTCAGTGTGTGTCAAGTCGTGCGATGTCAAGCAAGCCGCCTCATTGCTGAATGGAACCAGTGTATTGGTCGGTACCGTTATTTCTTTTCCTCATGGCAATGCACCCACTAGCGCCAAGGTTGCCGAAGCTATTCAGGCTGTACGCGATGGTGCGATTGAACTTGACGTTGTGATCAACATTGGTCATCTCAAGTCTGGTCTTATTGAAGAGTGCGAGAAGGAGATTGCTGCTGTTATCGATGCTTCCAAGAAAGAGAACGCGAATGTTGTGTTCAAGATTATCTTTGAGAATGCATACCTTACCAAAGAGGAGATTGTTGCTGCCTGCAAGCTGTCCGTGGCAGCAGGAGCTGATTTTGTCAAGACATCAACCGGATTTGCTTCATCAGGCGCTACATATGATGACATTGAACTGATGCGCGCCAGTGTTCCCGACAATATTGAAGTTAAGGCATCGGGGGGTATTAAGAACTTGGACCAGGTTATTACTTTTATGCAAAAAGGCGCCACTCGCTGTGGATCTTCGTCTAGCGGGCAGATCTTGGATGAGTTCAAGAAGAGAAGAGGCTTGTAAATATGCGTGTTGAATAAAATGTATAGTCCTAAAATATTAGATTTAGTAATTATGTGTGATATTTTTTTAATACTAAGTGAGTTTATGTCAAATTATAAATGTCAAATACATGGTGCACTAAATGAGATTTGAGTGATATGTAAACAAAATACATAATTTCCACAAGATCTTTAGAAAACACTGCCATTAAACGTTAAGAATAAAACAATGTACATAGAGACAATCAAAGAATACATTAGACAGAAGAGTTGAAACCGGGCGACCTTGATTGATGAGTCTCGAAAGAGTATTTTTCTTTAAAAAAAGTTAATTTATGTGTAAATAAAAATTGATGAGAAATACTCTTCTTGCTGTCTTTAAAAGTATGTTGAGGCTGTGAGCCATCAATGGTATGAACAATTATTTGGGCTGGAATTGCTGAGCCAACTGTATCTTTTATAGATAATATCGTGAATGTAAAGGTATATAGTAAATTATCACAAAGAAGCTTCGTATCATTACATAATGTGTTGGTTTAAAAGGATGATCTATGCGGCTATTTCTAAGACAAAAAGTTTTAAATTCGCGTTCTATCTTTTCATCTTTTATAACTTGAAAAAATCCACTCTTACATAATTTTGCCTAAAGAAGCTCTAAGATATCTTCTTTTGGCGTCTTTGTATACCGCTTTTCTTAAAGTTATTTTTTACAAGCCATTCATATCGCATCTTCTTTTGACAGGTTAACACACTGTAAATTTAAAAATCTGTCCGATATCCATTACAGAATTATGCTTATCAAGAAAGTTTAGATGCGTTCAATACTAAATTTTATGCTCGTTCTTTCGTTGAAGAAACTGCGTGGTTAAAGTCTTCCTTTTTAAGCATTGTGCTATAGATGTATTAATTGTATATATGAAGAATAAGGGGAATATAAAAGCATAATGACTACTTCCATATTATCATTATTATTTTGGGAGTCCAATCCGGGATATATTTATGTATGCCTTTGTGTTTGTCTGTTTCAAAATTATACACTCTAAAGCCCAAATTATTTCCTACAAGCCCATCATATATTTTCAGTGTCTTTCTATTTCATTTGTAAATGGTCCAAAAATCAATTATTTACCCTATCCCTTTTAAGCCTTTTTTTTTAATAGAAAAACACTTGCAATTTAAATTGACTTTTAACAATATCTGACTGAGTTTGACTGATTAATACAGGTAAATCAAGGGGGTGCGAAAATTTGTTGACTATGTTGAATGATTTAGCAATATAGTTTTCTTGTATATTTGTATATTTGTATATCTTACCTCCATGTGTATGTGTTGGTATACTTGTACCTATACTTATGCTTTAGTATAAAGTAGACCTTTACATTAACCGATATTTTAAAGCGAAAGTTGTTTTTGAAAATACAAAAAGTGTTCCTGTAGTTTAGTGCTCTTTAGATATTTTAGATCAAAAGGCAAATAAGTGTAACATTATAATTTACGCCTATGTTTCTAGAGCCTCACCTACAGCAACGAATTATCTTGCCACTTACCATATTAGATTTAGTCATATCATATAGAATATTGTATAGAGCAAATTTTGGATAAGGAAGATATATATATATTTTTTCATATGCGTCTTTCTTTAATAGACATTGAAAATAACAATTAAAATAAGAAGAAGATTTACAGTGCAAAGAGAGAGAAAGAAAGTACAATTAAATAAAATATGAGATAAAGTAAAGTAAAGTAAAGTAAAAACAAGAATTCTATATAAGCTTAATGCCTATTTTTCAGTAGAGGTTCATATATTAACCAAGGCTCCACCATGAGCTCAAAGTATCAAATGTAATAAACGAATGCGGATTAGAGCAATCTACAGTAACGTTCTTTCTTCCAATCTTTGTTTTTTTTAAGAGAAAACAGCAAAATACGGTCAGTATGTGTATGTGTAAGAATACCATGTACATACCTCTGGAAGGTTAATTGTTGTCCGCGCCTCTTTTGCGTGAAACGCAGCCATTTTTCCGTACCCCTTTCGACTGATGAGCCGATAATTTGTAGCACTCAACAACCAGTTTTCGATTACGGCACTGTTTACTCCTGCTAACATATGTCCTTTGGCCTTAAGAAGTTTGGATTTTGCATCAGCCGAAAATTTTGGAATAACAACAGTAGGCTCCATATGTTCAATCGGAAGCCCTGTAGTGACAAGAGATGTGTATTTATAGCCATCCCCCAGAACTTGTTTTGCCAGTATCTTGTTGTTGTTCATCGAAATAAACTGCTCGCGCAAGCTAATAGAGTCCGTGATAAGAAAGTAAACTACTGTTTTATGATGATCTCGTTTCTTGGCATCTCTTAGGTCGTTTGCACACTTGAAAAAATAATCCCATTGCTCCAAAGTATTGTCATCGCTTTCTGGGTTCGCCAATGCTCTGTCATCTGTGCGAATCTGAAGAAAATGTTAGTGACAACTGGCTCAATATTTCATGTGAAAATAACATGTATGTTTTATGTGTACCTGTAACCCAATACTCAAAACGCTTTCCATATCAAACAAGTTTTTGTAAGCTTTGATAAACCGCCTTGATCCAATTGTTGGGCGGAAGAGATAGTCAGTCATGCATCTAAAGGCATTTTCCTTGGTAAGTCCAACTTTTGCGAGCCATTCAGGATAAATAGAAGACTTTTGAAATGTGCGGATAATGTAGGCTCTATTGGATCTCATGGAAACAAACTACAGGAAAAATGGTTATAGTTTAGCTTAGTTTCATCTAAAGCAGTATTTCTGTACCGAAGTGTTCCAAAGCTGGTGGAAGTTTTGGCTAGGTCCGTTTGGAAATAAAGTATTGCCGATGCTTTTCCAGTTATAGTTTAGCATGTCCACCTCGCTAAAACTCAATAATAGATTTTCCTTTGTGAATAATTCCTTGAGCTGATTTGGATTATAACTCCAATCGATTGATGGTTTTTCGAACAAATCCTCCAGGGGAACCGGGTTGGTAGGTTCCCAGTATGCCAAATAAGCTCTGTCCGTAAGTAAGGCGTAAAAGAATGTGGATACCATGCCTATCAAGGTTAAATACTGTTTTAGATTCTGAATGTTATACAAGCAAGTATTTGGTTTAATTTTGTTATTATTATTATACCCTACCACTCATTCGGTCTGCTAAACCACCGCACCCGCGTCTTGGATTGTTCTTGTCTACTTGGCAAAGATAGCCAACATACCGTGGACGGTCTTCATGACTGAAACTTTCATAATCACCTGCCTTGAGCCTTTCAAGTTGCTCAAGTCTCTTTTCGTGTAATGCTGTATATCTTGCCATCCAAGTACCACAGCTATCTTCTTTCACATCATCTAGTTTGCCGTCTACAAACCCCTTGTGAGAGTTCACCTGAGAACAAAAAGAAAGCTGGTCTTCTTGAGAAACATACTTTAGTGCAGAGTATAGAGTAGCATCTGGAGGAGGTGGAGTATATGATCCCTCTTCACTTTCTGGTATAGGTATCTGTTCTGAGAATCCACACTGTATGCTTTTTTTGCTCCAGTCTTCAAAGGATAAGGACGTGTTCTGTGTATTTATACTAGTAGGAAATCGATGAACTTCAAGGTGTATTAGTATCAGTGTACCTGTCTACTTTGTATTTAAATATGATTCTTACATGGGTATATAAGCATGAACACTATAAACAATGCTCCTGCCATGATTGTAACGAATACATATCGTTTGACAGGTATGTGTTTGACATGCAAGTCCAATCCTTCTATATTTGGACTTAATAGGCGGTCCTGACCCAACAAAGAAGACATTGTATATATATTTTCTTGTGGAATGAATGAAGTAGAAGAAGAGCAAGGATCAGATCTGAAAATAATATAGAAAAATGAGATATATGAATTATATTCACTCTAGGCTTGTACTACGATATATTTTTATTAGGAAAGACGATCGCTCGTCATTAAAGAACCACGTTTGGTCAGCTACGGAACTGCTGTAGAAACTGTGTTTAGAGATACGAAAGGGCTAGACCATTAAGATCATAGTATAAAACGCCAAGGCGTCATCAGAATCTATTTTAGATAAGTTAAGGTATCAATTTTGCTAGGTCAGGTACCATGATCTGTACCTGTAGAATAACAGATAAACAAAAGCTACCTAGGAGTCTAATGATTAATGAAATATATTAAAAATTACATTTAAGTGTATGCCAAGACGTCTTTGATTGGTTTCGATATTAGCGCAATCAAATTTTATTCCAAAGTAAGATTTAGATGGAGAGGTTATTAGGTTGACTTCTTGCGACAAAATATATACAATTGTGTGTTTACTTACAAATGCATGTAATATATACAAACAAGGAGTGGGGGAAAATATAAGATCGTGCGGACAAATGCTTGCAGCTGAATGTAGGTATACATATCTGAATGGATATGTTCCTGACTGGGCAAAGGCTTCCCAACTTCTCTCAAAAGGATCGACGGATCACCATTGAGATTAGAGTCTCTCGAAATTGTGTGACCGCTATATTACACAATGTTTTTACACATTTAATGTCCGATTTCGTTTTTGAGCTCAATGTTCATCTTTACTGTCCTTCAATCGCTCTGTGAGTTAACAAACTTCATAATCATAGTTCATTTCCCATGTCTCATAATTAATATTAAATTTAAACAATTTATTGAACATAGTTATCAGCTAACCGCTAATTTTACACTATATATATCTTTTCAGGATCATCGCTTATATTTAATTTATATATGTATGCATATTTTACGGTACTAGCCATTATGAAAGCGTTCAGACTACAGTGTTTCAGATGACATTAATTTTAAACAAAAAAGGCTATTACATATTTGCCAAGCGCTAGTACTATGGTAAACAAAGGGGAAGCGACTTTAGTAGGAGATTTAGGCAAGATGTTTGGAGGACTTAAGGGTTGTTTTAAGGTTGAATTTTGATTAAGCAATATCTTTCCTTCCTTTTTTATGTTTCAATTTCAATTTTTCTTATTTCTTTGTTATTGTAGTTCAAAGATAAATGCCCCTATTCAATACCCCAGCTTGGTTTAAATATTATTATTTTTTTGCAAAATATACCTCTAGACCTGCATTTTTTCCCTGTAACAATGGTTGGTTAATATGGTTTAGAGCCTTTAAACAAATAACTTTGATTAAATAGTATCTTATCAATCTTGTTTTTATTTGATTTCACGAGTACTTCTTTTGGGGTAACTATTCTGTCTTGTTTATCGTGTTTAAACCAATCAGTATTTGCACAGTTCAAAATACTAATGGTCTTCTTCCAATTGCTGTACACATTCCCATTCACCCTTGGAATCTTCTTTCCACAAGGTGACCTTGTTGTCGCCACAAGAAACAGCCAAAACATTTCCGGAAAGTGACCAACTGACACGCCAGACAACATCAGGAAACTTCTCTCCAAGCAGCTTCTTAGTCCACTTTGAGTTGGGGCTGTTCTGTGTCCAGATCAAGACTGTCTTGTCCTATAGAGAAATATACCGACTTTTAAACATCATGTATATACCAGTCATAATCTACACTTGTATACCTGAGAACAGCTTGCAAGATAGCTCTTGGGAAGCCCAATACTGGGTGCCCAAGAAACATCGCGAACCCAGTCCGAGTGGCCCTCAAGGGTCTCTTCCTCCTGCCACGACTTTGTATCCTCTCTACCCAGACATATTATAAATATCCTGTACGCCGTTTTGTCTAGAATCTATCACAAACCTCCATCCCCAAATTTTGATGAGATTGTCACATCCAGCAGAGACGAGTTTCTTTACTACACTGATGGTAGGGGCACCTCCATTGGCTTGAACAAGACTGCCAGGAATAGCAGCAGGTGCCCAGGTGACTGCATTACAGCCGATGCCATGTGCATCAATAACATATGTTTCCCAAGATCCATCGTCTGAATAAAGGCATGAGCAATAGTGTGCAACCCTTTTTGGATAAGATCTTGGGGGAAGCTACTTACCTTTGTATTCCAAAACAGAAACCTTTCCATCGGAAGAAGCACATGCCAACATGGCACCCAGCTCATGTGGAGCCCATGATACAGAGTTCACTATATTCATAATGTCAGATAATCTGAAATTATATATATATATATATTGTTTATTTGCTTGTCTTTTTTTTACCTGATGCTGTGTGCACATTGTGTTCCTTTATTCTTGACCATGTACCGTTTTGCTCTTTCCAGATAAATACGCGTCCGTCATATGAGCACGAAGCAAGAATGGAACCAAACTTGGGGTGTGCCCATGAGACCTGCCAGACCGGAGCTTCATGACTATAAGCTCATCCCTGCTTCAGCGTTTCATTGTCTGTGCTTGATACACAATGTTGATGAGATTACCCTGTCAGTGTTTCTACAAGTCGCTGTGAATCGCCATCGACGTCAAAAATCTTGATGGTATGATCGGATGATGCTGTTGCCAACCGACGCGAGTAGTAGTCGAGTTGGGCATCATGCTGTCGTGTTATTTGCGAGTGTAAAGATGGGGATGATAAGTAAGATGATCATTCAGGGGAAAAATGTAAGACTTACAATCATATCCTCATGATGAGTTTCGATGGTCTGTGTTGCTGTTTGGGACTAGAAGCAAGTATGAATATTTTTGAAGTATTCTTTTCTTCATTAGTGATCAATAGCATACCATAGTGAAAAGCGTTTCTAGTGGGGACACGTTGCAAAAGCACGAAGATAATGGTTGGTTGCCTACTTCTAACATTAAACCCAGACATTATCCGAACAAATGTGACGTATACAAAAAAAAGAGGGATCAAGATTGATTTAGGCTTAAACAGTCTGATCAGTACACGATGGATCTTCAACGGGTTTAACTATAACGTTTTCAGATAATGCAAATAAATGTCTCTAAGATAATTTTATAGAATATATAAGTCACCTATAGTTAACATGGCACTTTTGTATTGAAATAAAGTATTACACCTGTATTACAATAATTTCATATGCAAAAATAATATTTAAGTCAATATTCTTCACCCATATATGCAAAAGTATACTTGAAAAATATCTGAAGAATATGTTCAAAGTTTGTGCATAGTCAAAGAAAATACAATATAAATACACTTATTAAACTTTGCTGTTTTGAAATTTTCGATTATTAATATTAAAATAAGTACAAAAGTTAATGATGTTCGAAATTCACCTTAAGAATTGATTGACTCCATTGAAGGCTTCAGTTAATTTGATTATCTTTGCATTTGACAAAAACCTTTTAATTAGTTAAAAATATTTTTGTAATATATAATAAGGAAAAAGGCTTAATTTACGGTTTGTCTTGTTGATGTTGATAGTGTAACAATATAAGAGGTCTTATTACGGGATGAAATTATTCTCACTGTGTTTTATTGTGCTTTATACGTTTATCAATCTTATCCTGTAAGAGTTTGCCATTTTTGTGACTATCCGAATCTGTCAAAGACTCCCATAAATAAATAAATTAATTAATAATAACACTAATCTTGAGGAACATATTTAATTCTTCTCAGTAATTTGTACATAGTAAAAGACAAAGTCAAGATGAAAGTTTGGCTTTAGAGATATAGACCTGAAATTATAGAAGAGGATAAAAATATGATTTATATTTTATGGCTAATGGCACAGAGGTTCTGCCTACTAGTTATTGATATTACAAATATCTCCATATACATCTTTTTAGTTTTTAGTTTTTCCTTATGTTTTTCTGAAAATATTTTCTTTTTTCTACAATAGTACATAATATATCTTATTAAATATAATAGCAAAGTTTAACGAATATTAGAAGAATCTCAAGATCTTTTACTAGCATAGAAGCGCACAATCATACTGTGTATTGGAACAAGTCTCAGTCCAAAAATATACACATAGCCACAATGATGTATTTTCACAACATAATTTCCCCTGCTACCCAAAAGTCGATATAATCGGAGACTTAACTAGATGGAAACAAGATTTGAGGGCAAAGAGTTAAATTCCTGCCAGTAGATCTATTTTGTTTTTGGTCTTTTACTTCTCTACCTCTTGTCTCATGGCGATCTCTGCCACACAAGTCAACTCTTTTAGAACACTTGTTTTTGCAATATCTTCTATTATTTCTGTCGTAGTCGCTCAACCTATTGTCTCATTTAGTCATGGCAGCCAACAACATTTATCTGTTTACTCAGTCTCCTTTTGGGAAAAGATTGCAATTGTTATTTTCCTCGTGTTATTAGGTGGCGTTTTTGCAGGTAAACATATAAGATATATCCATACCGCTATATTATGTAAACTAAGTTTTCTGCGTGGTATATAAATATTAAAGGCTTGACACTTGGTTTGATGGGGCTGGACGAGACGAACCTTCATGTTCTTATGGAAACGGGCACTCCAACTGAGCGTAAAAATGCTCATATTGTATTAAATCTACTTGATCGCGGAAAGCATTGGGTGCTGGTAACATTATTATTATCCAATGTGGTGATCAATGAGACGCTGCCGATAATTTTACATGGTGTGATTGGTGGCGGTTGGCAAGCCGTCGTTCTATCCACCGCTCTGATTGTAATCTTTGGCGAGTAAGTCCATAGCTGAGCGTTTCAAAGATCCAAAAAAAAGTTCCATTATTACATTTACTCATTATATAAATTCATTTATCTTTCTTTATAACCAGAGTAATTCCACAATGTAAGTTGTTACTCTTGTCCTACATTGATGTAAATATGTATTGAATTTTCTATTTGTTATAATATGAAGCCATCTGTGTCCGTCATGGTTTGGCCATTGGTGCACAGACTGCATGGTAAGACGAGCAAGAAAGTGAAGAAAAATGAAATCTACAGAAATGAATTACATGTTCTGATATTCTGCTTTATAGGATGATGCTCATTCTAATGTACATAATGTATCCTATTGCTTACCCTACTGCTCTCCTTCTCGACTACTTCCTTGGAGAATCCCATGGAACTGTCTACAAAAAAGCCGGTAAGTAGAGTTAATATTTCCTGACTATTGAATTTTTGAAAAAAAAAATGTTTAAGCGTTTGAATTAACTTTAAACAACAACAAGGTCTCAAATCTCTCGTGTCCTTACACCAGTCTGGCAATTCGTCCGATACTGAAGCTCTGACATTGGATGAAGTAACCATCATCGGAGCGGTGCTTGATCTGCGCTCAAAGCCAGTATCACAGATTATGACACCCATTTCAGATGTATTCACTCTTTGTACCGAGGATATCCTGGACGAGACTCTGGTCGATAAGGCAAGTTGGTCCAGAATTGGATTATTTTGTCCTCCCTAAAAAAATAGAAATGAGGATATGTTTTTTTTTCTTGCTTTACTTTATTCTAATTCTATGATTCTTTTTGTGTAAAACAGATTCTTTCAGCTGGTTACTCCCGTATTCCCATTCATGCACCTAATGACAATGGAAACTTGGTAGGAATGTTGTTGACCAAGCGATTGATCACCTATGACCCCGAAGACGCCCGTCCTGTCAAAGAATTACCCATTAGTACACTGCCTGAAACCGGTCCTGACACTAGCTGTCTAGATATCCTCAACTATTTCCAAGAAGGCAAAAGTAAGAATCGTCTCACAAGAAAACTTATTATGTGATATTATGCTCAACATAGTACACACACATACACATATGTTTGCATGTAATGTTCATTTAGGTCATATGGCTCTTGTTTCTGCTGATCCCGGAGGAGAATCTGGTGGTCTTGGTATTATTACCCTTGAAGATGTTATTGAAGAATTGATTGGAGAAGTAAGACTAGCACTATTAGATGTACAAAAGTTTAATGTGTACTTATTATCTCTATATTGGATAGGAAATCATTGACGAGACCGATGTTTATATTGATGGTAAATTATAATGATAATGATAATGATAATGATAATATTAACTTTTAATCTCATAATTTAAAAAATTATAATAGTACGCAACAAAATCCGTGTTGTACGTCGCCAGTTAACCAACAAGAAACACAAACCATTGCAAGTTCCCCGGGCGCGTCCTCAACAAAATGATAGACTTATGGTACTTGACCAAACTCAATTGTCTTCTAGTCCGCTTGCAGACGATGTCTTTGGAAACAGTAATTATGGAGCCACTAAAAACTAAAACTATTCCCCCCATCCTTAAAAAATTAAAAAGGAAATGTATCACCTCATTTAATATACACACACACATATATATATCATATAAATAAATAAATAAATAAATATTCTTTCTTGATAGCAAAGTATATAATGAAGTACACGCACAAGGCTACTTGTTTGTTTATTTCAATTTAATTATTTTCTTTTCTGTATAGAAAAAAGAAAGGAGATTTATCCAGGTTGCAGACAATTCTTAATTGGCCTTTCTGCGGAAAGAAGAACCTATGTAATTAAATCAAATAATAATGATTATTATTAATTTTTGTTCAAGTTATTTGGCCTTGAATACACAGTATACACATTCATATATTCATGATTTTTACCTTCGGTCAAGCGGGCTTTACCACCAGTAGGCTGGCACAAGACAGTTCCGCATGAGGAGCAAAGGACAACAGTCTGGGCGTGGGAGAACACAGTGCTGATGTTAAGACATCCTATCAATTATAGCAAAATGAAAAATGTCAATGGGATCCTCGTATTTTATAAAGCCAGATTAAACGAGAAAGACAAATGAGGCTTACCAGGGCACTTGACATCCATGAAGTAGGAGTTTGGCGATTGAACCAAACGCTTAAGCTTGTGGGCACGCTTCTCGTGCTCAACAGAAGGGTTCAAAAGATCAACAGCCAACTATATAAGATGTGTTTGATGAGTGGTTGCTTAACAATGATATTTTGCTCTTAATGGCATAAGCAAAAAGAGAGTATAATAATTGGGTTCATTAATTAATCCTTCATTTAATTATGCTTGTATAAGTGTACATATGTATGATGTATATATATGTATATATATGCGCATAAGGGTGTGTCTTTTCTTCCTTTTTATTTTTTATTTCTTCTTTTTTTATTATTGTGGTAAAGTGAAATAAAATGAAGGCCGAATGAATATCCCACCATTCTACCAAAATTATCAACCAAAATCATCCATCCATCCATCCATCAATTAATCCATGTATATTTGGATCATGATGATGTTATCGATTGTGGATCTATTTATTTTACTATATTCTATCTCTCTCCATTATCTAATATGCCTTTCAGCGTGAGTTTTTTAACTTACAGTCATACTGGATAGATGCGTTGCTCAAAATGAGAATGGGAAGACCTCCTACACTGGCAGGCAGAGTGCCTCAGGTCACGTGCAACAACTTCTGGCAAGCCAATTCTTATTAAAATTTACAAATTTGTATTTAAATACAGTAAACATTTGTAAGGCGCACAATTAGAGAATTTAAGGCGCATTTTTAAGAGTTATTAACCGTTATGAATAGATCTTCTTTTCAAATAAACAGCACAGCAAGTATTCTTAGGTTATTAATGATCATACTAAACATTTTGTTTAAATATAAAAAAAAACTTGAAAAAAATCATCTCAAAAATGCGCAAGAGAAAATACAATTACATATGGAGAAGTGGGGAAATATCATTTACTTTTAGAGAGATTAATATCAAGTATTGGAAGATGAGGTTGGGAATCTAATATGAATATCGATTATATTTCTATAGGGCTACCGTCAAGTTCATTTACTTGTTTATTTTTCATAAATGTTATTTCGATTATATGACTTTGGGATATTGATATCTCTAAAGTCTTAGACCACCTAACTCGACTAAAACTTTATTAATAAAGCGGAATAGACTTGTATTGTTGTATATGCTGTGTAAAATTAAGCATGGTTTAGTTAATACCACAATACTGTGTATGATATGGTTATATCCCAAAGTCTATAAAATCTTCACCTGTAATTCATTATATCATCATTATTAACCAATATGTTTTTTCTTGAAGCTATTGTTTATTATGAAAGGGAAGTATGCGCATACTACACATACACACACGAATATATATATATATAGAAAATAATCGACTGTACATGGGGTAAAAAAGAAAGAATAAGGAATAAAGGAGATGGCCATACAATGCTTTCATTTGTTGATGCGTGCATGTTGAGGTGCTTCTAGTACCACTATTGGCATTGGATTTGCTACAGTGTCTGGTACAATTGATCGCCCCAAAGTAGTCTTGATTTCTTTGATTTCAATTCCTGCTTCCTTCAGGGCCTGGTGTGCCTCGTCGTCAGCAAAAGGATTTTTCTTTTTAGCGAACAACGACAGACCAAACAAAGAATTTCTATTACTACTACTGGTATTGTTGTTGTTATTACTATTTGTAACTGGTGTTATGCTTGGCGCACTTTGACTCCGAAGCGTTTCAGATGAGATTTTTTGGATGTGTGTGGTAGAAGGTTGAATAAAGTCTGTTGATGAAAGGGTCTCTGACTTGGAACGGCTGGTGATACCAAAGAAGCCTTTAGACTTTGTCTGCTCCGAGTCTGAAGTCAAAGCTGTTGAAGTGATAGAAGCTTTACCGGAAGACAACGAGCTGTATGTGCCTGATTTTGAAGAAGCAGCTGCGGTTGCACTAGCAATAATATCCGCAATAATGTCATTGTCAGATACTCCTTCAACAATACTCTTAGATGAATCGTCAGTGGAACCCTTGCGTGTGCTTTCCGAAGCACATAAAGTATTATCATCTAATTGTCCCTTATCAAATAAGGACAATTTAGACAGGTCGTTTGTATTATCTAAAGAGCTCGATGAAGGAGTACTTGAATTCCCAGGTAAAGATGAATCTGAGCATTTGGGAACATCTTGTACTGTCATTTGAATAGATGCCTTTCCGGAATAAAATGAGGATAGCGGTCTAGCTTTGTTGAGAGAGAATCGCTTGTTATCTTTACCCGATTCCGAGGATTCCTATTTATGTAGACATAGACAAGTTTTTTTTTATTAATGGTTTCTTTTTTTTTAAAAAAAAAAGGCTTACCTCTCCTTGTGATGAGGGTGAATTTCTTCCGAAAGATGGAAAGCTCAGGATACTTGATGTCTCCTTTTCTTTTTCTTTGGATTCTGGTAATTCTTCGGAAGTTACTACAAATCCAGCTCGTTTCAAAAGCTTGGGCATCGTCAAACGATAGCTGAGATGACCCTTTATGAGATCAGTGCAATCAAGGTTTTGAACGCGGTCGCATTCAATGTTATCCAAAGGTCCTAAGCCGGCTACATTTCCGATTCCTGCTGTTGAAGCTCTGAACAAGAATCCGAGTAACCAGTCATTGGTGGCATAGCCATTGACAAATTTTCCTGCAACCACAGTAGTACACTCATTCCATTGGGACTTAGAGGCACTCACAGGGGTGCCAAAAAGTGCGACATTTTCAACGAGACCATAACAATTCATTCTCGCTAGTTCCAACAAACAGTAAAAGATCATGCGGGCTCCAAGTGAATATCCTACAAGAGTGATTGGTCGTGAACCCAAATTTCGGTTCATCAAACAGTCAGCCAGCACAAGGCCTGCAAGACGAGCGCGATCGAGTCCGTTAGTCCAAGGATTGTCTACAAGGTAACCTAATTTTGTGAGAGCAAGAGGGAAAGTCAAGCCAGCCATCAAAGCACCAAGTACGGTGTGGCCCAAGGCTTGTTGGATAGAAAAGGTCACTGCTTCCGTGGCGAAGATCTTGAACGCACTACCAAGCTCAACCAGCATATCGGGCTCCCAAAATAATGTGAAATGGTCACCCATGAGGGGGTCAAGGGTACTGAATGGTAGAATCGTCTCATCCTCTCGATTATCAGTATTTGGTAACCAGCTTATAATAAATAATATAAATATGATATTAGTTTCACTATAATTTTTTTATAAAAGAAAAAGTAGCCTAAAATATAACATATAGAGAAACTTACCCAGTAACTGTGATAATACAGCCAACATTCTCATCTATTCGCACCGGCAAAAATTCAAATGTATTGATAGTCTTCATTCGCTTGTTCATACTAATAGCTACGAACGGAACATGTCAGTTTGCTAGATATGTCAATAATACTTATAATAATAGGAAGATCTATAGATAGTAATAACTTTAAAATGTTTCTTAGTACCTCCTATACCTATACATACATGTATTAATTAAAAACAGTAGATTATAATGTAAGTAAAATATGCATGTTTCTTAACTTTGATTATATGTTAGGGTACTTACGTCCACCAGCAACGGTTGCTCCACTCGTAATGAGTGCGATACTTGCTGTCCCGCCCAGGAATCCGGCAGAACCGCTCACTCCGACTGTGGTCAAGAAAGCGCCCAGACCGCCTGCAATCATAGGGGCCATCAAACCTGCACTCAGACCAAGGATAAGACCACCTCCGATGGTGGCTAGTCCGATCATAACATATCGCTTCTTCTTGCGTTGCTTATTGCGACCCTTTCGTTCGGCATCGTTTCGGACAGCCATAGAATCGTCTATATTTGTTTGTGTTCCAATGCTGAAAACAGATTCCGTGTCCCAAGAAGATTCATTCTGAATAAGGTGATCCGCAATTCGCTTCTCGAAAGCGATCACTTTAAACCAGTCAAGTTCAAGGTAAGACGCTATACGGGCTACAAATACGCGGGATCGCGCATCATAATTTTCTGATCCGAGACATAGCAGCAAAAGATCACACATTACGGTCCAGCGCAGGTCGATCACTACTTGTTCTTGTTGATGTTTCTCCGTCGTCTGTTTGAAATGGAGATTGGCCATCTGGACTGTCGTGGTCTCACCCTGAGCTGTAAATTGATGGACAAGATCTGACGGAAGGATTTTATGCTTAGACAGGGATTCGATCATCTTAATTTCTGTTCGAGAGACGAGTTTGTTTAGTTGCATCAGTTTTGTGTGTTCGACTTACCTTGACCAGATATACCCATATGAGAATAAAGGATCTTCATCCATTTACGCTGCCAATTGTCGGCACTCATTCGAGCATAAGCAAAGTCTTTGCCTTGGAAGTCATGGACAACTTCTATACTTGTAAGGGCACATAAACCCACATAAGCAACCTTTTGCGAGTCTGTGAATACATCTTTGGTTTCTTGTACTATGGGTTGGTCATCTCCAACAACCGTTTCTTCGACCTCATACACACAAGAATTGTCGTCTACGATCGTAGATTCCGGTACTTCAGGCAAATCAGCTGCCCAGGCTCTAATGGCGTTTGGAGATAGTTTTGTTCCAAGAGGTGTTTGTTCCAAGAGGTCGTTCTGTTCGGCTAACGAGGCCATCGTCAATGGACACACAGGAGCACCGGGTAATACACATTCAGCGGGTCGGTCAAAGAGATCATCCTCTTGTGTTACATTCAACTTGTAGTCTTCATCTTTTGGGTCCGAAAGACTCGTGGTAGGGCTAGGTAGGTCTGTATCAACATATTTTTGGGTGGAGTCTACAGAGTCGCGAGTAGGTTCTTCGGGTTGGTGCGATTGGATTGGTAAGAGAGAGCAGGTGGGCGAGAGATGGGGAGGTGTGTTTGCTGGCGTTGGCGTTGCCATTACGAAGACGATGAGGAATGATCGACCTGGCTGACGAGTGAATGAGAGGCGATCCTAAGGAGAAGAAGAGTAAAAAGAATGCCGGTTGCAGGACACGCCAAGATAAGAAAAGGCGGGGGTTTTTTTTATACATTTCTCTCTATATATATATATTATCTTTAGTGCACAAGTCCAAATTAGCCTATGTCTCAAAAATAGAACTTCTGTCCTCCGATGAAAGTGTTCAAAAGAACAAACTATTTTACATTGTGTACGGCCCCAAATTACAAATTTCAAAATCCAATCAACGGGTTTTAAAAAACCAATTCTCATAATTAAATAATAAAAATAACGAATTATTGGGCTTGTCAAATATATATGTATATCTGTATGGATTTCTGAAATCTAAATGGCAGCCTTTTCAATGGTTAAAAGGCGTTTCTATCAAGCTTTTATAATACACCAAGTATGAACGATGGTCTTGTATTTACATTTGAATATAGCCAAGTAAACATAACCATGCAGGTTTGTTGCGATGCCATGGTATGTTACTGGAGAAGGAGAAGAGTTAAATTTAGCCAATTTGACAGATGATTAGATATAAAATTACTGACAGATGTAAGTAAATGAACATGCTTTAATTTAGAGTTTTCATGGGCAATATGCAGGCTTTTTAATTAAGAATATTTATATGGTTGGTCCAGGGTTTTACTCCAAACCTTCAGCCCATGTCCAGTAGTGCAACTTATCCTTTTTTTTTCACGTTTTCAATATCTCATTTACAATCACCAGAATTAGCTCTTCTGTTATTCAATGTACTCTAAAATCTAAATTATCGCTATTTACTATCGAAAGTGCTTCTAAGATAGGTATATAATCAACCTTTGACGGTTAGAACGACCATTACAGTAAATGTAACAGAGGCATATCGACCGTAAGAGTGTCTCATATTCTTATTAAAAATGTCAGTTTTAAAGGTAGTCCGTCCACATCTGTTGCTTCCCATTTTAGAACCCACTCATATCTTGCATTAATACATGTCATAATGTTTTGAGTTGCAGGATGGCGAGCTGATTGTTTTGTTTTTCCTTTTGATTGAAAGGTTGTATCCATACAAACTAAAGCTTCTCATAGTAGATTCTTTTAAAGGTTAACCTTTCAAACTCTCCTGTTAAACAATCTATAACCCCCTCAGTCATTGGTATTTGGCTTCTAATGAAAATGAATGACTGAATTATGAGCAAATCTGGCTCCCAAGTTGGTTTTTTAACATGTTTGTTTTCTTTCCATTCGTATCCCAATCAGGATTCATTCTGGCTCTCCAGACCCATGTATAAGCAGATTGCTACCAATAGAAATAATAATATTGAGAAAAGAAATCAAATTGATAATTTTTGTAAAGATGAAATTTTATTTTCTATTTTCTATTCTCCATGTAAATATTCTAACTATTATCCTTGTGTGCTTAATACATGCTATGCTTGTTTATACCCTCAAGTGCAGTTATTATCTTACCTTTAACGTTCTCATTTTCAGGATCTAGTAAAGTGGGACCTTCATAAAAGTTGAAGTCTATATATATTTACAGTGAAAAGTATGAAACTTGGATATTTAACGACCGATAATTATTATTCAAACAGCGACATTTGGGACCGAACACATTTTAATGAATTGCAAAACTTTTTGTGGAATACATGAACAGATGGTCATCGTTGGTACAAGCTTATTTTGGGGTACAATTATTACGCAAATAAAGATTTTAGATAAGAAAATACTTGGCAAAATGCCTTAATGGATACGGAGCTCAATATTTGCCGGGAATATTGATAATTTCTTTTCCACAATTACCATTGTCATTATAGTTAATAAATTCAAAGATGAAAATTCACAGTGAGTGTAACACAACCCCCTGTTATCAAATGGCTGCCTGAGACATCAGCGTAAATGTGACTATCAATTGTCACCAGAGCTATTTTTGAACCTCTTTAACAAAAAAGAATGATTATATAAAAACAAATACAATGACAATTGATTGTCACAAGAAAGACTTTATTCAAGTAAATCACTAAAATATTAAGCAAAAAAACATATCCAAAATCAAAATTCATAAATATATAAAGGCAGCTTCGTTTGTATAAGTATTATTGTTATTATTATTTTTTATTATTTATTTAAAATAAAATAAAAAGGCTTTTGTTGTTGTTGTTATTGGTACCAACCACCACGGCAAACAATTATACATTATGTATACCCACGTAAAGATGTAAAAAAAAAACACAAATATATACACATATTACTCTATTTCTCCCCACTCTAATTTCTCTTTAGGATAAAACTGGAGACAAATTCCATTGGATGTGTTAAGAAGGAGAAAAAGATAATTTTTTTGTACAGCCCTTGTGGTTTGAGGGCCGGGAGTCAGTTATACCGTAAAGAATATAGAAAAGGGTGGGTTTAGATCTATAAAGAAGAGTTAGAAAATCGTATTTCATGCAAGTGTATTGGTATTCTATTTATCACTATCGAAGAAAAATAAAAGTAAATTTCTTTTCTCTTACCTCATCAATGTCAAAGTCGAATTCAACTTCATCATCCTCCTCGCCACCAAAGGTCTCGGTTTCATTGATCTTAGTGGTATCGGGAAGTTCACCGTATGACTTGAGAGCGCGAGCTTCATCAGGGTTGTATTTGAGCAAAACATCTGCCTTCTCATCCTGGTACTCACGAAGAGAGATGAGGACAATATCACCTTGACTAATCCAGACCTAAAGTACTCATGTCAGTACATCTCATCTTGGCTACACATATTGTATACTGTCTAACCTTCTTTCTCAGCTTTCCGCGAATATGAGCCAAACGTCTGACACCATCGAAGCACTGGGCCTCAACGCGTCCGTTACCGAGCATCTTGGTAACCTGAGCATATTCTGTTGGTCGAAGATGGTGAGATGGGTTGCCTATAGAGTAGATTGACTATTCTTACCTTGTCCTTCTTCCTTAAAGATCAGCTCACGCTTGTTATCTTCGTTCTCGTTCTTTCCTCTTCTTCTGTTTTTTCCTCCCTACAATACTTGATGAGCATTGCTTGCTTTAAACGTCATTGTAGATAGATGCTCTTACTTTTCCTTTATTCTTGGGCATGTTGACTGAATTTAAAGAGAGAGTCTGCAGTTTTGCACCTCAAATTTTTTCTTATTTGCTGTGGCCATGGACATCGGTGGCTTTTTTAGTATTTTGTCGGAGTTATAAAAGTGCGCAGTAGACCTCTTGCTTAGCATTGGGGTTCTTGCCAAAGTCTTTAGGAAATTTAGTCTACTAGAGCCAGAAAAATAAATATGAGCACTACAATATTAAAGGTTATTCTTTATTCGAAAATTGATGTTTCTTAATATTTGAAGCTTCTTTAACTTGTGTTACACATAAAAGACGAGAGGAGGTACTAGAAAGAAGGGAGAAAAGGACAAAATAAGGGAGGGGAGTGGGGGGTTGAAGAGGGGGGGTTGGAAGGCACTCAACTTTGTACCAAGGCCAAAAATGACTAGAGGCTAAAATGACCAAATTGTTAAAAAAAATTAAATTTTTTTAAAAAAAAGCATCTTGCTAGGCGAAAATCACTACACACACACACACACACGTACAAATAACACATGCACACAAACACAAACATATACGCACACGCACACGCATACGCATATAAAAAGCGAGCTAAGAGTTAAGTGACAGCTTTTACTCGCAACTACGTCAGCCACCATCTGCCTCGTTCGCTTCAGTGTGATAGTCCTTGTGACCTTTTTTCAGTCCTCCGAGACTTGAGCAGACCAGTGCGCTAGGTACATTCGAGGCTTGTGAGATGACTATTGAAAGCATAATAGATAGTCAACATTTCCTGACCATAAATCGCGATGAGTTAGGTTATATCTAGTATGGAACAAGACCAGTCAGCCAAAGTCGAGCCTATTGAGCAAGACGCCAAACCTGTTATTAACTACTCGTGCCAACAAGAGGCTAATGACGAAACTACACAGCAGGAACAAACGAACGACCCTATGCAACAACAAGAACAGCAAGAGCAACCTGATATTGCCATTCAACAACAAGAACAACAACAACAGCAAGAACAACAACAGCAGCAAGAACAACAACAGCAGCAAGAACAACAACAGCAGCAAGAACAACAACAACAACAGCAGCAGCAGCAGCAGGAGCAACAGCAACAGGAGCAACAGGAGCAAGCCAACATTGCTATTCAGCAGCAACAGCAACAGCAACAAGAGCAAGCTAATATTGCTATTCAACAACAACAACAGCAGCAGCAGCAGCAGCAGGAGCAAGCTAATATTGCTATTCAGCAACAACAACAGCAAGAGCAGGATGCACAACAATTTAAAGCATCTAACAATGCTACTACTTCTTCACCTCCTTCCAACCAGGGGCTTTCTGAGCTGAACTTGACGCAAGAACAATTTCAACAAATCAATGCAGCTCATGCCCAGGCGATTGCACAGGCCGCTGCTGCTGCAATTGCAAGTGGTGGTAATTATCAGCAATTCTTTTCCCACCTTGATCCCAACGCATCAGGACAACCTCAAGCCCTGGACTCAACCCATCATCAGACAGGTGTGATAAGTGACGAAACACACCACCCTGGGTCGGTCACTCAACTGACAACAGACATGCTTAAGCGAGAACTTATGAACCAAAAAGTAAGAAAGAATAACAAAAAAAAAAAGCACAAATGTGCTAAACTTCTATGGGTGTTTTGTATCTTATGCGTTTGGTGTAGGTCAGAGCTGATAATCGCGAACGCAAGAAGAGATGGAGGGTCCATAATGAAGAAAGAAGTAAGGTTTCAACGATTATATGGCTTCTTCTGACGCCTTCTTAGATAAAGACAACGACCTACGATGCCGTGTCAACAAACGTGCCGTAAAATTGTTTGGAAAAGATGATAGTGAGCACAAACTCAGATGGGTAGAAGATGAGTTCCAAAAGAGACGAGCAAAACGTCAGGAAAAGCAACGACTGAAGCATGCTGTGGATGGCGCCATGGGTGCCTCGACTGGAATGGGTTCAGGGAATCACGGCGGCAATGGAAACCCAGAAACTATAGACTTTTCTGCAATTGCCTCGGCAGCGGCAGCGGCAGCACAGCAAGCACAATCTGGAGCACCTACAATGCAGACTCTTCAAGAGGCAGATTACATTACTATGTTCTCCAATTTTAATAGTAATATAGCTGCCGCTATCAAGGCTCAGGAACATAGTCAATTCTCTGATCAGCTTCTTGAATTGCTGCGACAACAACAGCAGCCACAAGCAGGACAGGGTATGTCACAGCCTCAAGAATACACACCACCTTCGCCCAAAGACGAAAAATCGAACTCGAATCAACAGCAAAGTCCGACCGATCAGAACATACCACCAGAAGAAAAGTTAGCAAGTGGACTGTTAGGAAGTGGGTCACCACAAGAAGGATCGGAAAATAGAGCACCGGAAGAGGCGAAAGAACCTTCGGACGGAAAGGGACAGCCAAGTGGCGACTATCCTATGGATGCTGTTCTGACACTTATGCAATTAAATGCTGGTTGGCGACAATAATTTAACTTTTTTCCTTCCTTCCAATACTTTATTCTTTGATACTTTTTTATGCATTCGAACAGCAACCCAAAAAAAAAGAAAGACTATTTGGGTCTTCCGTGTTTAATATGTACATTTTCACCATATATGCTCTTTAATGCATCTCAACATTTTGCTTTGTTTGTTTTAAAAAAACTAGAAGTGTCGTTGTTTTATAGACAATTTGTTTTGTTTCTATAAATGTGAACATTTTCAAATCAAATTAGTCACTTTGTTTTTTGAAAGTTTTCGGTGCATATATAATTGGGAACCTTCTTTTAGATATCCTCGACGCATATTCAAGAACATAACATTTATCACACTTTAAATATTCTCAGTGATTTCCCTTAATTATTATATTCGCGCTCTATTTCTTGCATAAAACATAAAATATATAATTTCCCAAGTTTTTTTCTTCTTCTTTTTCTTAGCTGCTCGTATAGTCACCAAATAAACTCCCTAAGCTCTCTCTCTCACTCAAAACAATCTTTAAAGTTTAATTGGCAAATGATTAATTACCAGAGCTCGGTGCTTTACTAATAGAAAGAAAGAAAAACCTATCGAAGGGCTACTATGAACCACTGGTGGTTTCTTAAAAAGAGGTCCAAAATTGAGTCGGGATCTCAATGCATGACGTATCAAATAAAAGAAAACTGGTGGAAATTAACTTGTTTACCCTCATTGATCATGTCCGTGATTTATTACAAATTCAAGGCAGCAAAAGATTCAGATTATGATTTCTTTACTTTTGATGGTGCAGGTGCAACTGTGTTTGATGTGAAGCGAGAGATTATTCGAGCAAAAAAACTCGGCAAGGGCACTGATTTTGATCTGGCGATCTATAATGCCCAGACAGATGAAGGTAAAATCCTACAATTTCCTTTTTTCTTGGGTTTTATTCTTTCTCTTTAAGAAGGCGAGCGTTTGACGATTTCCTTTAGAATACAAGGATGATGTATTTTTAGTACCTCGTAATACTTCGGTAATCGTGAGGCGGTTACCTGCATCTCGGCCTGGTAAGGGCACTGCACAAAGATATGTGTTGGGGGCAGGTCCGGTAGAGGGTAAAGGAAGTGGGATGGGGATGATGAAAGGGAATCATGGACCACCAAGCGAGAATCGCTTTGGTAATGGGCGGAATATGGTCCTGAATGCACAGCAGCATAAACCACAGCGCTCTCCCGCACACATGGCCAATCACACCGAGCAAGAATCTGAACCTGCTCAAGGTCCCACAGACGATTCAGAGGAAGCCAGGATCCAGGCAATGTTCAAACAGACAACTGACCAGTGGGGACAGGAGCAGGAGAGGCTTGCTGAGTAAGTAAAAAGGTTTATTTCTTTGTCTCTCTATTTTATATTAGCTTTGTGTAGCTTTGCTAGGAAAATATATAGTCCCTGTTAGAGCGAAATATATCATATCATTTTCCCTCCTATTATTATTTTCTTGCTTGTCTCTATAAAGACTGAAGAAGCAAGAGAGAAAAAAAAGATACATAAAATATTTTTATATTACAAAAAAAAAGAAACATTATCTTCTACCTCTGTTTGATATCTTGTCTGTTTGGTCAAAATTATATTGCTGTCCAAGTGAACCCTTTTTTTTATCATCTTCTTCTGCTATATGGTACTTCTATTTATTCCTCTTGTACCCTAACAGACAAACATATATTCCATATAATGCTCGAGGACCTGGAGGAGCATGGCCCAGAGGACGTGGTGGTCATCATGGTACTGGGAGTGGAGGCGGTACACCTAGAGAGGGGGGTGATAAGGATCAACAAAGACTTCCGCCTCAAACCTATGTCTGCTATCGATGCGGACAAAAAGGTAATAAGGATACCTATATATATATAATATATACAATGAGATACAACAATGAATTGGACGAAAAGGAGCATCAAGCGTTCATATTTAAAGGCAATCAATGTGTGAATCTTAGGTCATTATATCAACCAATGTCCTACAAATGGAGATAAGGAATATGACAAACATCCACGTATAAAAAGAACCACAGGTATTCCACGAAGCTTCCTCAAAGTTATAGAAGAACCTAAGGATGCCGTCAAGTCTGGAACAGGTGGTCTGATGGTAACCCCAAAGGGCGATATTGTCGTTGCCCAAGCAGATTCGTAAGTTCAATTGTAACAAAAGATTAGGGTTGAAAGAAAAGTGAAGAAGAGAGAGAATTGTTGACTTTCTTTTCTTTTCTCAGATCAACGTGGGATAAACACGTAGCAAAATCAGCGGCTACAGTAAATCTTGGTTCTGCTACAGCTGGCGATCTTTTGGAGTGGTACGACTCAATTTCCGTTCCTCCTCATCTACAATGTCCCATCTGTCAAGGTTTACTTCGAGAAGCAACAATTACCCCATGTTGTGGCGCTAGTTTTTGTGATGAATGCATTCGAGGCTATATGCTAGAGAACGATTTCCAATGTCAGGACTGTAAGCAGCCGATTCCTTATGGCCTTGACGGTTTAATTTCAAACAAGGACGTACAGGAATGGGTAGAAAATTACGTGCGAGCATATGCTCATAAATAGACACCCTCACATTAAGCATTATACATACAGCACACCATATTACATTGTCTTCTTTCCTTTTATATATATATATATATATATGTGCATAATAAACAACAGGTTTTTTTTTTAATATCTAAACCATCTGCGCTTTTCAAAGACTGCGTTCGTAAAACGCAAGTTTTTGTATTTGATGTTATTTCTTTATGTATTATTTTAAGACAATCAATACTCTTAATGTATGATAAAATAGATATATATATATATAAATATATAAATATCTTTTTGGGATTATCATTCAGTTTATCAGGAATCTACAAGAAGTATCGACTTTTAATATTATAAGCTGACTTTAATCCACCTGATTTACTTGATCTTTTTAATTTCAACTTACTTTGTAAGAATCAAAAGAAAAAGAAAACACGTAGGCTCAGGAATATTCTCCAAATAAATACTACAGTAAATTTAGTGATGATTTCTAAAAAAAAATTGTGAAAACTTGAGGTCTTTAATATTTTGCTAACGAAATCATCTAATTTACCACTTTTGTATACGCTATTTGTCTTGTGCTTTTATCAATCTCAGCTCTTAAGGTGTCTGTGACAATATCCATTTGGCTGTATGAAGTTATGTCTTTCATATCAAATACCCTGTTTTTAGACAAGCTTAACAATCTTTCCATTAAGTGATCCTACAGATAGATAATAAAATAAAAGCTTGCTATTAAAAAAAGTCGACTTTTTACTACTGTTTTTGGACAATTTGAATGTTTTAAAGAACTCATTAAATGTCGTCTTTGTAAAGTAATTTATTTTTCTTTTCTTGATTCCGTCTCCATTTTTTTATTGTTACGTTTCTTCGTTTAAGTTTCTAACCAAGGAGAAGCTTACGGACAGCTTGGACAGCTTAGAAGTACGCAACGTTACCCTTCTTGCCAATCTTACGGGGATAATATTTCCTGGTGCGAGTCGACATCTTTATTCAACCGAACCACAAATCGTGACCCTTTTGCAGGTATCGAATAATTCAATCTGGTCCCTAAGGACACATAATATTCGTATAAAGGCTTTCTTTTGTGCTTTGCAGAAGAAAAGGGATGAGTGGAGATTACTTACCGGTTGGTGCTTCCAAACTCTGGTAATATAAGTAGGTGAAAGAAAGGGAAAGATATCATACGCATGTGAAGGCCAATCGATAGTAAAATATCAAGCAAGATTGCACCACACTTTAATGACAACAACTCTTTATGATCTTCTGCATAACTGGCTATTGATATATTGCATATGTAAGTAATTATTATTTCTTTATTGTCAAGTCTAAATTTAGGACACACACTGCTATTAATTGAATAAACTGTATATTCACAGCAGAAAATGGTTATGTTTCCGGCTCAAACCAACTTTATGAATTATTGGAAGGAATCTTGATTAAATCAATTGTTTTTGGGTGCTTTTATCATTTCTCTTAAAATCTATCTTATTAATTAATATGGTATTTATACCGCACCAGAGAAATCCCCTTGTATAAAATACTATCAATACTTTTTTCTTTAAGAAGAAAAAAGAAAACGACAGAACAAGCTTTTATTCCAAATATATAGCACAATTAGGAGAGACCTAACCCAAATGTATTCAGATGGGACCACATAGTGCCACACAGTGGGCATGTGCTATTGGGCTGCTCACGAAAATATCTCTCCGCACAGTGACGGTGGATACGCACAGGGCAATCAACAGATTCACAGCGTTCTCCCATTGTAACCACATCAAGACAGAATTGACATTCCTTCATGTACTCCCCATACTGCTCTTTAAAATAAACATTAAGCTCAAGAACAGTACGTGTCTCCATCACATAAGCACCCTGGCGAGTGCAGAACAGCCAGCCATCAGCAACCAAGCGATCCAGAAGATCCTGTGTTTCCTTTTGAGTTAATGCAGGTGTCATCTTCTGGCCAAGGCGAATAGCCTCCATTGAGCTGATTGCATAATCTTCATCTTCTGCTGTAATAATGTTCTCTGCCTTTAGAAGTTCCATAACATATTAGCCCGCGTACGAATATATTAATACATATATAGGGAAAATATTACCCTTTATGTATCTATTTTTAAGGCTAATACCTACAAGTTGTCTAAAGTACATTATAGTACTAGGAGAGTATTCTGTTGCCATTTGAGAGATCTCATCGTCAAGTGTATTTACCTATTCCAAATAAAATAAAACCATTTATTATTTCAGCTTATATATATATATACATATACATATATATATATTAATTAGGGTTTTTCAATTATTACAAAGATTCATCTTACCAGGGCAATGACAGGAACTCCATTGCGTTCATTGTGTGAGCGCTTTAAAGCAAGATCTATTTCATTGATGCCTTGATTGATGCATGCTACAAAGTCTGAAAAGTCTGTTCTTGGGACTAATTTTTTAAGAGTAAAAATTAAAATAAAGTTATAAGTATTTACTTTCTTTTTCTTCCCTTTTCTTTTATCATAATAACGCTTGTAATAAAGCAAGACTATGTATGTATATATATATATATATGCATACCACCAGTTAGCTTAGAGGCTTCATCGTATAGATTCAGGGCCTGATCTTCACGAACTATCTTTTGTGTGAGCATGCTTTGTAAAAACAGGCGATGACAGTCATTGTATGATGATGGATCAACGGGCTGATTTGCGTTCATGGTTAGTGGTCTTGGGCAATTGACATTCATTGCATGCACGCCATGACCTCTTTCACCATTTCAAGACGACCGTCACGCCGAAGAAACGAATAATTCAAAATTAGTTGAAATATTCCTATTTGTTTTTTATATTTATATTTATTTACTTATATATATAGGTATATATATATATGTATGTACATATTAAAAAGAAGTTTATCCAATGAAAGCTATTTTTACTGGAAACGAGTCTTGGAGTATAAAAAGAAGAAAAAGAAGAAGAAAACGTTTTTTTAAGACAAGGAATATTTGAAAGTTGTCGTATTTTGGTGACCCGGAAGCATAGATATGGGCACGTATGTAGGAAGAGGTTTAAAAGAAAAGTAGTCCAGAGATTGCTTGAAAAGGTCACGACTGGGCTGTGGTTGTGCTTGTGGCCGTTGTTGTGGCCGTTGTTGTGGTCGCTGTTGTGTAAGTTGCTGGGGAAGCATTGGAGTAGGAAGCATTTGTGGGTCGGTAAGAGCAGGAGAGATCATCGCCACAAGAGAGTCAACAACGGTCACCTTGGAAACCATTTCGGGGAAAGCCTTGGTAAAGCTTATCAAACCCAGTTTGAGGCTATCGTAACTGCCTTCAAACACTTGAATTGGATGGGTACTTGCCTCCATGTTATCAGTAAAATCCACGCAAGGAGCCCAATCAGAACCACCCAGGGCTACTTCCTTTTTGTAGAATACAAGTCTGTCAAGTCGATAGAGCTCTACCACAAGCTCACCTGACAAGTTAGGGGAGCTGTGTCCAGTTAGAGTACGGTGTAGTCTGATATTTCGAATGTCTTCAAGGAAAATATGCACTTTAAATACATATCTGCCTTTCCAGATTTGCCAGTACAACAAACGTAGCTGATGATTGACACCGCATGCCAAATCAACTGGATCCCTGAGTTTACATGATGTATAGTAGGACCAATTGCCGATGTAAATAGTATTAACAGGAAATCTAGTTTTTCCGCCCATAGATCCAAAGCTTATATCTAATACATATGTATCGAAAAAATAAAAGAAATATTAATTAGATTCTGAAAAATAAATAAATCAAATTTGTAAACCACAGCACATATTTATTTCTTTATTTTACCTTTAAGAGTTGTCTCTTGAGGACTCATTCTTAATTTTGATTGGGGACAATCGTATGCTGTAGGGATTTCTGCAATGTTTTCTGAAACCGAAGCAGTCTGCAACTCTGACTCGCTACACCAATTATGAGGCTGGTGTTGGTGTATACGATAGTAATCCAGTGTTCTTGGAGTGTCCCAATATATAGCAGAGTAAGCTACACTGACAGGACTATTATGTGTGTGCTTATTAACAGCTCTGCTGCTACTGCTAATGCTACTATTATTCTCTGAGTTTAGTGCAGTTGATATGTGCCTTTCATGGGCTACATGTTTTGGTGATTCCGCTAATATTTCCGGCAGATTGATGTGTTGTTCTTGCCATTTTTTATCCTTGCGAGCTTTGGCCCGACGGTTCTGGAACCAGTTTTTTATCTTGGTGATTGAGACATTTAGACGAGAAGCAATGTCGATGTAGACTCTCGCATCTGGCTTTGGATTGGCAGAGAAATGGTCTTGAAGAACTTTGTACTGATATGGCTTTAACATCATACGCTTTTTGTGAAAAGATGTGGGCATATCCATTTTGAAGACTGACAAAGATTGATTTGACAAATCCTGTGAAGAGGAAATGGTGAAGTTAGAAAAAAAATCTACTTTAAATATGTGTGTATGCTAGCAGAGAAAGAAGAAAACGGTCTAGGCGTCTAGGCGTCAAGGACCATTGACTACCACAAACTGTTACACTGCCCCACTTCTCTTTGATCGTTTTGATCATTTTGATAGTCTTGCTGTTGGGCGCATTTGCCAAATCGGACTGGCTTGACAAGATAGAATTGTCGCAGTTTAAACAGGTTCATTCTTATTAACTACAAGATCAAAAGTGCCAATGGAGAGGGATGCCTGTTAACCCTTCTCCCTCCTTTTACTCGCCGCATCACAAGCTCTACCACAGCACCCACCACTACATTCACTATCACCACACACACACACATACATACATACATATATATATATCTATTTTACATCATTCTTTTTATTTAACAAAATCTTCCGTAACGTCTTCTTTGGTAAATGGAGATTAACACTACAGTCGGTTCTAATAGTCTTAGGGAGACTATTCGCTTCGCTATCAGTGTGTAATCTTTGTCCCACTTCACATGCTTGAAGAGTACACAGAAACCTAAACTTCATCCCCTTTTTTTTATTATTATTTTTGTGCACAGACCCAGACACATTACCTAAAGGAACAGTAGCCAGCCGTTTGAGCCTAGATCGACCTCATCTTTCAATTCAGATCGAGCACGATACACACCCTGAGCCGACTCCTCTTCAGAACTATGGACCCAGACGCTCTTCGCCTCTTAAAGATTCTCTTATAGATACTTTTCATTTATTCCCAAAGGGCAAGTTGAACGAAGAAATCAACATGAAGACTATAGATCTAGATGAAAACATAAAAGAGGATCTATTGACAGACGATAACGAGAACGAGAATAATAACGATGACGACGACTTTGATTGGAATGATGATCCCGACCAAGGCAAAGTAGAGGTTCAAAAGTCTACTCGAGAACGTATTCAGGAAGCCATGGCAAGACGTTGCTGCTGGCATTATCTGTCACCCCTTATACGACGTATTATACTTGCTCTATCTGGATCTTGTATGTTTGCTGCCATTGGGGTTTGTATCTATTTATTCTTGCCTTATCCTACCGAAGAAGAAAAGCAAGATCCGAGCTTTAGGAATGTCCGTAGTAATGTTCAGTGCTGGATGTACTGGGCAGCATTTATGTGGCATATTGGGTGGGTAACAACAATTGTTATCGAACTGCTTCCTACCGTAGTTTCAACATGGACAAAAATATTTAAAGGAAGACGATCTGAAAGTGTAAAGACCTATATGGAGGTAAACTACTTTCTTTTATATATATACATATATATGTTCTAGATTTGGCTTAGATATATAATTGAGAGAAAAAAGTATGGTTTGATTAATACAAAAAGTTGTAGTACTATATGAGTCTTAAATGGTATACCGGCCTTCTTACTATGGTTTCATGGAACTGGGGTACTTGGGCTTTTTTATTACAATATCCTTTCCCAGTAAGGTCCAATATTTTTTAAGACAGAAGCGGGAAAGTAAACCGCATGTTTTCTTAGGTTTAATATTACCATTTGTTTTATTTAGTCTGTCCACAAACAGGACTATTCGCGTATTATCTGGAATGTATACGCTTGTGTTTTTGTAGCCACCTGTTTTCTATTCATTCAAAAGCTCATTATTCAAATGATTGGTAATTTATCACGAAAAAGATATATATATATAATTTTTGACTAATTCTTCATTTTGTCTTTTTCTTTTTTCATATAGCCACCAGTTTTCATAGTTTTGCTTTTAATGATCGTGTCCAGGAAAGCAAAAATGCGCTTAAAAGTAAATTAGAATTTGGTTTTTTTTTTTTTACTATTTAATGCTGTAAAAGAAGATTAAATATATATATATTTGTTTCGTAAATATAGTTCTTGACTCGCTTAGTAGAGCAGAGGCACGGAGGGCAAGACAAGATTTTGCAAATCGATTGAGAATTCGACGTCCATTGAGTAGTCGGATTTCGTTTGCCCCAGACGACAGTACTCCGACCTTGAATAATCTTACAGCTTACAGCGCGACTTCTGTTGGATATGGTCACAAGTCAGATACCAAACGCTTGTCAAATACACCCGAAATCTTGTCCCAGTTTCAAAAGCGCCTACAGAGCATTGTGTTGACAGACCAGCCTCAGTCACGTACCCTGATTGACAATGACAAGATTGACATAAACTCTATAGAGTTTGCCAAAAAGGTTGCCCGAAAGCTCTTTCAATCACTTGCATATCCAGTCGGGACACCCTTAAGTGGAGAAGAGGATTCGAAACGGTCTCTTGATGTTTCTGACTTTCGGCCTTTCTTTGACACATTTGAGGAGGCAAAGAGTGCATTTGCAGTATTCGACAGAGATGGGAACGGCGATCTCACACGAAGAGAGTTTAGAGACACGGTTGTTCAGATATACAGAGAGCGAAAGGCTTTGGCCCAGTCCATGCGAGATACCAGCCAAGCCCTGGGAAAAATAGATGCCATGCTTTTGTTGATCAGTATTATTGCGACAGTGTTTGTATCTCTGGCTGTGTTTAATGTGGAAGTCTGGCACTCGCTTGTTCCACTTGGATCATTTTTGTTGGCTTTGACCTTTGTATTTGGTAACACTGCAAAGAATACTTTTGAGAGCATCTTGTTTCTTTTTGTCACAGTAAGTTCTTGAATAGTTATCTCTTTTTGTTTTTGTGTATATTTTATTTGTTTATTTATTTATTGGAAAGAACATTCTTATCTTTATACCTTTATACAAAGCACCCCTATGATGCAGGTGATCTAGTGATTATTGATGAACAGTTTTTGATGGTGCATAATTTAGGACTTATGGGAACAGTCTTTATGTAAGTACAGAACACAAATAAATTATAGGGCTTTATTCTTTTTATTGGTTTTTAGAATGTACAGAAACCCTAAAGAAGAATAAGAATAAGAATAAGAAAATAAAGCATTAACTTTCCTTTTATTAAAATAAAATAAACTAAATAAAATAAAATAAAATAAAATAAAAGCCGCGGTGATGGTCAGAGAATATATGCACCAACTACAGTGTTAATGACAAAGCTAATTACCAATGTACGACGATCAGGAAATATGGGAGAAACGATTCAAATAAACATTGATTTCAGGACACCCACTGAATTGATATACAAGCTACGAGACCAAGTTAGCGAATGGGTCAGCGGTGAGACGCGTGATTTTGCAGGGTTCGATTTGCGTGTCTTGGATATCGTGGATGTGAACCAGATCTTGATAAATCTTTGGTTACCTTACAAGGGAAATTGGCAAGAGCTTAGCAAACGTTGGCAACGACGTACTCGGGTAAAAGATAATTTTTTTTTAAAAAAAAAAATTAAAAGAAAAAAATCCCTTGATATTTTGTAATATAAAATTTAATGATTGTCTAATTGTTTAATGATTTTAATTTTCTTAGTTTATGTTAGCTCTCAAAGGAATCCTCACCGACCTTAATATTCGATACGAACTTCCTACTCAAAAGTTTACTCAGGCACAAGAAGATCGGACATTTCTGAACGTTAAATCACCTTTGAGTGGTAACAATTCTGTAATCGAAACACCCCAATCATTTGCACACCTTCCCATCAGCTAAGATTGTGGGAGATATAAGATTTATACCAAGAAGACCAGTTTTTTTTTGTTTTTGTTTGGTGAGACCTATAAAGTAATCAGGGAATACAATTACCATGAAGCGAGTAACATATTTTCTCTTAGTGAATCTTATTAGATAATTGTTTGTAATGTGGTTATGTTGTAATGAATCAATTGCATGAACAGATAAGCAGAAATAGTAAGAATATATATATATATATGTGTCTAGAACAACCTCACCATCTTCAACTGCCTGTCTGTCATTACTGTATCACACACACACACATATATATATATAATATTTATATAAGAAATATATAATAAACAATTTTATTTATTTATTTATTTATTTATTTTAACGACCCGCAAATTTCAAGTAGACCTCTGAAGCACAGTGAATGGAGTATGTTTGTGGGTCTGAGAGAGAAAAATAATATATTCGCCTCTTCTTTTCAATTACTTCTTCAAATTTACCTAACTCCTATGCACCATACTCGTGGGCCAGTGGCAATCCGTAAAATGGGCAAGATCCTGGCAGACCCAGTGGTCTGTATAACTACAGTGGTATCTGTAGTTACAGTTGGCATAGGATGTTATCTTTACTTTTCTAAGCGTAAGTCCTTTAAAGAAAAAGAAACACGCCCATATACACAAAACAGCACAATACAATATAGTATGGCATAGCATAGCATAGCATAGCATGTATATATTAGTATAGAGTAACATGGTATAACATAGCCTCGCATGGCATAACTTAACATAACATAACATAGAATAGCATAGCATAGCATAGCATAGCATATAGTAACATGACATAATACCACAAAGCCTGGCGTGGAATAGTATCGTATTACACAGCAAATAGTTCGTACCTTTAATCCACATGTATCATACTTTATAGGTCCTATACCTGCACTAGAGAAAAATGCAGTTCGGCAGTTCACCTTGATAGAGAAAGAGCAAAAGAGCCCTAATACATATAGGTAATAAAAAAATATAAATATAAAAATAAAGATGCACGGTACCTGGTTTTTAAAATTCTCTTTGTGTGTGGCTTCAGATACCGGTTTTCTCTTCCAAACAAATGGAATGTGCTAGGTATTCCTATTGGACAGCACATCCAAATACTGGCGCCCATAGATGGAAAAGAGGTGGTTAGAAATTATACGCCAACGAGTCCCAGCGATGCCAAGGGATATTTTGATATTCTTGTAAAGGTAACAAACAAATCGAAAGTTGATTGGATGAATAAAGTTTTATTTTTTCTAACTGAGTTGAGTAATAGACCTACCCAGATGGTCTAATGTCAAACTACTTGGTCAACCTCGAGATTGGGGATAAGATCACCGCCAGAGGACCAAAAGGTCTATTTGAATACACTCCTAACATGGTACGAGCTATTGGAATGGTAGCAGGCAGGTTTTTAAAGATTTATATATATATTTATATATATATAAAACATTTACTATATAAACTAACATCTCTCTATAGGTGGCTCTGGTATCACGCCCATGTATCAAGTAAGGTTTGGCAATAAACTTTCTTTAGTGTTTGTTGTATGCTTATCACACGCGAAATAGATTATCAAGGCTATCTTGGGTAACCAAAAAGACAAGACAGAGGTTACTTTGATTTACGGAAACCAGACTGAGCCAGACATTCTCCTCCGAGAAGAGCTGGATGTGCTTGCGACTATGCACCCAAATCGGTTTAATGTACACTATGTGCTAAGCCGCCCACACACAACGTGGGCTGGACACACAGGTCGCATCGACAAAGAGAAAATGGAAATGTGGCTTCCAAAACCGGCAGGAGACGTCAAAATACTTGTATGCGGACCTCCGGGCCAGGTCAAGGCTATTACAGAGGTAAAAAAAAATTATTTTATTATTTTGAAAGGGGGCTTTATTTGGTTGGTTTTTGACATGTGATTTCTAGGCAGCAACGGCTTTGGGCTTTGTTTCTCCACGTACTGTCAGTAAAGTGGTAGATCAAGTGTTTAAGTTTTAAGGAAAATCTTTAAAAAGATAAAGAAAGAGAGAAACGATATATAGAGATGGTTCGATCTTTTTTTTTTCTCTAAAAAAAAAAAAGACCTTTAAGGTGGGACAATACAGCGGGTTCATTTTTGGATATACCTTAATTAAGTGCGCCACTTTAACCCAGAGAAGGGATAGAAGAGTTAATGAAATGGTTTAATAAACAGTTTATTGAAATTAGATGAATAGTATTGGATCAATATGTACATTTATGTCTCTCTTGTATTCTGATAGAGAGAACGTTGGACAGCTTTGATATCTAGACACATAGATTTGTACACCCTATGGGCTATATCTACCATATCTTTTGTATTTATATATAAATAAATTCAAAAGGTACAAGAATTACAATAAGAATAAGAATGGCAGAATTTATTTTTTATTTTTATTTTATTTTATTTTGCCCGGAAGCCTGGTGCGTGCTTTGATATTTACAATCAAAAGAGAACAATAAAAATGCTTGACTACAAAGCCATTATGTTAGGTTTTGATCGGCTCAAGTTCTTGAATTGTCCAAGGCCATAAAGTCTACCAGAAAAGATTCCTTTTAGAGCAAAGTATCTACATGTCGGCTTGTTTTAGCCAGAAATCTTTATGTATCTATCGATGACGACGATTTCATTTTCATTTTTATTTTTATCTTTTTATATCTATTATTTTTGCGGTTGGAACCTTTGGCCGGCTTGACTCCAAGAAAGGTTGGTTGGTGTGTGTATAACAGAAAGGTTTAGATTCCTACAGATCTCATCGCCTTTAGAAGAACAAAGTCGGAGCTTATGGGTGGATTTTATATATAAATATAAATATAAATATAAATATAAATTATAATTATTGTGTTTTTGCTTGGCTTCTTTATTTGATAAAAGAAATAATATGCTTAATAAAAAGGTTATTATGTTTCGATTGTGTTTCGGGTCAGTTTATTCTTAGATACGAAGGCTCCCACACATATATCAGCCCCTTCTTTCTATTGCTCTCCTTGTTATAAGTATATTTGATTTATGTTGCGGTTTTGATCTGCAATTGTCATGGTTACACTAGCAAGAGGAGGCCAAATCTAGACTTGTATAGGCAACACAGTTAATTTGCAATTTTTTTTTTCGGACAACGAAAGAACTTACCAGTAACCATGCATAAGCTATTTTACTCTTTTCTTTCTCTTTGCTGTCATCTAACTATCTAGTATTAAAAATAGTCGTACAACCTCCCCCCCCCCCCTCCTTCCTTTCTCTCTCTCTCTTCTTTCTTTCATTCACTCCCCCCTTTTTCTTTTTTATTTTTATTTTCTTTCTTTCTTTCTTTCTTTTTGTATTACTGGCATTGGTTGTTTGCTCCCCTTCTACGTCTTGACCTCCAAGCGTTGACCCTTATCCCTTCTTTTAAAATCATAAACAATCCTTTATCAAACAACAATCCCTTGAATCCCCCCTCTTCCTCCCCTTACTTCATCCTCAGCCCATTCTTTATCTTTCTTAATTTTTGTTGCATTCATTCTTTTCACTTGTTCCTTTCACTTGAAGAATAAAGCCCTCCAATGCCCACCCGTTACGACGCTGCCGCTGGTGGGAACGCCTCTGGTGATGAGTACGCCTATCGCGCAACCGAAAGCAACTATCGCTACAATGCAGGCGCTGCCTCCATAGGCAGAACACCCACCACTCTTGGTAGAGCACCCACCCGTCGAATGGCTCCCGGAGGAAACAGTATCGCCAATGCCAGCCAGAACATACAACGCGGACGCACCCTCATCCGTCCTGATCGATACCAAGAGCCACCACCGCTCCTTACCGGAAAGACCACCTCGACAGGAACCATGTTCGATCCATGGACCTTTTTTTCTCGTGTCGTCACCTTCTGGGCTTTTTCCCCGATGCTCAAAGCTCTCGGAATGTCTGATGCCAGCATGCAACAAGCCTGGCGTGAAAAGATTACCCTTTGCTTCCTGATTGCCTGCATGGGTGGTTTTGTTGCCTTTATAACTATCGGTCTGAGCTCTGTTTTGTGTCCCTCAACCGATGCCAGTAACCAACAAAATTATCTTTCGTACAATGACTCTATAAATGGAGGTATGTACTCCATTAACTTTTATTATTATTATTATTATTATTATTATAATTATTATAATTATATGGCTATTGTACAGAATCCGCTAAAGAAATACGTTTTACCAAAGAAGAAACTAACTTCTTCTTTTCTTAAATATCTATATTATTATTTTATTGATCCAATAATTTCAATCACAATTATAATTATAATTTCAATAGCTTCATTGTTGGGAATCAATGGGTGGCAATTCAATATCACTAACGCGAAGAATACCGGAAACACCGATTTCTTTTCCTTGGCAAAAACCCCTGGTACCGACATCACCTCTCTCTTCCAACATGGCACCACCATCCCTGCATGCCAAGATACCGGCAACGCCGTCTCCACCAAATTCGCTGCAGTCACTTTCAATCCTTGTACAGCTGGAACCTGCACCCTCGGATCCCTCACACAGACAACATACGACGGCCTCGGAATCTTCAACTCCACTCGTCAGGTTGGCTACGACTGGACAAACCTGGCAGGAGAAGATCTTGCAAACTTCTTTGTTATCGACGGAAACGTCCTCAATCTAACCCCTTACATTACATCAAACCCTAACCCCCTTCCGGATGACGAGCTTGACGTCCTTATTCGCTACATCCTCAAACAGAACTTTGCTGAAGGTGGCCGTGATGCCACAAAGCTCTTCTTCCGTCTCCCGGAGCTTGAGGCCTCGATCGACTGTATGGTAGAAAAATACAGGGCCGGAAAGATCGACAAGGACACACCCGGATGCTTTGTTGCCTCGATCATCCTGTTCTGCTCTCTTTTTATTGTCCTTTCTATTGTTCTCGCTCGCTTTTTTATGGCCCTCATCTTCTCTTGGTTCATTTCCCGAAAACTATCCCGCACTCCACCAGAAATGCCTCGTATCTCGCCTGGAGCTGCTGCAGGAGCTGCGATCAGACCAAATCAGACCATGGAAATGTCTGCCATCAGCCCTAGTGCACCACTGATGGCAGGCGGTGGAAGCGGAGGAGCTGGCTCAAACGCAACGGCTCGATTGATGGAAATCGGTAACGACCTCTATACCGTAATGCTTATTACCTGCTATTCAGAAAATACAGAAGGTATTCGTGGAACCGTGGAATCATTGGCTGCTACAGATTATCCAGACGATCGTAAACTGCTTTTCCTTATTGCGGATGGTATAATTACTGGCCACGGTGAGACTATGTCCACCCCCGACATGTGTCTTTCCCTCATTACCTTTGATGACCCTGCTATGAAGAACCCAGAACCAAAGGCATACATGGCTGTTGCTTCAGGTGCAAAGCAACACAATTGTGCAAAGGTTTATGCTGGTCACTATGGTGAGTGGCTTTCTTATATATATATATATATATATATTTGGCTAATAGTGACATTTTTTATTACTTAGTATGTTCTGGACACAAGGTGCCCATGATTTTGGTCGTCAAGTCGGGCAATCCAGGCGAACAGGGCAAGCCCAAACCTGGAAATCGTGGAAAGCGTGATTCGCAGCTTATTTTAATGAACTTTTTCAGTCGAGTAACATACAATGACCGCATGACACCTCTAGATTTTGAACTTTTCCAGAAAATCACTTACCTTATGAAGGCTACTCCAGACTACTTTGAGCTAGTACTAATGGTAAATTTTAAAATTATTATTATAATAATTATAATTCAACAAAATAATATATACTTACTTGATATTATCTTTAATATATATATATATTGGTTTTTATTAGGTTGATGCTGATACTAAAGTATACGAATCATCCCTTCGCTTATTGATCAATTGTATGGTGAACGACAACCTAATTATGGGACTGTGTGGTGAAACAAAGATTGCCAACAAACGAGACTCTTGGGTGACAGCCATCCAGGTCTATGAATACTTTATTTCCCATCATCTGGCTAAAGGTTTTGAAGCCGTGTTTGGTGGTGTGACTTGTCTTCCAGGCTGTTTCTGCATGTATCGACTCAAGGCTCGCAAGGGTGATGGTGATTGGATCCCTATTATCACCAAACCCGAGATTGTTCAGGAATACTCGTCTAATACCATTGACACCCTTCACCAAAAGAATCTGTTGTTGCTTGGTGAAGATCGATTCTTGACCACCCTAATGCTCCGTAATTTCCCCTTCCGTAAAATGGTCTTTACTCCTCAAGCCGTAAGTCCTCCCCTTTACTTGTATTTATACTTTATATCTCTATATGTAGATAAAGTCTTTATACTAAATATTAATATTTTATGTATTAGATTTGCAAAACAGTCGTTCCTGATGAATTCAAAGTGTTGCTGTCTCAACGCCGTCGCTGGATTAACTCGACTATCCACAACTTGTTTGAACTTGTGCTTGTGCGTAACTTGTGCGGTACTTTCTGCTTCTCGATGCAGTTTGTTGTAATGATGGATCTTGTCGGTACTCTCACTTTACCTGTCGCCATTGTTCTCACCGTGGTTCTTATCGTTTCGATGGCAAAGACGCACATCACCAGCTTTACTCTTGCCGTCCCTCTGATCCTATTGATCATCGTCTTGTTTTCGCCTGCTTTCTTGATCCTTGTTACCACACGCAAGTGGGTCTATCTTGCCTGGATGCTTGTCTATCTGTGTGCACTCCCGATTTGGAATTTCGTCCTCCCAGTCTATGCGTTCTGGCATTTTGACGATTTCTCGTGGGGAGAGACCCGAAAGGTCGAAGGAGAAGCCAAGGGAGATGACCACAGCAAGACCGACGGTGTGTTTGATCCCGCAAGTGTGCCTTTGAAGAGATGGGAGGACTATGAACGCAAACGAGTCCGGGCCAAGAAGAGAAGAGAGCGAAATGAGCGCGACTTGGGACCCACTCACCTCACACACAACATTATTGATGAAGAAGACAGTCAGTTTGGAACATTTGATGACAACCGATCGAACCTCTCGTTTAACAACAGCAATGCCCAAGATCCGGCACATTACTTTGATCCGTCCAAGGAAGCACCAGCCAAGAATAGTGGTACCGGATATTACCCTTCATATCGGCCACAGTCGCAGGCTCCACTTCCGTCCCGTCCTGTGGCCCCGGTCCAGCCACACCCTACTGCACCAGGCCCTTGGGGCCCTCAACAAAACTTCACACCATCTTCACCAAACTCTAATTCACGGCCTTTACAACCATCTTCAGCACCACTAGGTCCTGGTCAGTATGTAGGAGCACAACAGCATAATCCTAACCCATATAACCAAGGACCCTACCAAGGATTCTAGAAATCTACACCCAAAAAAAAATACAAAAAAAAAGAAGACAATGAAAACAAATTAGTAGATGGCTTCTTTGTTTTTTTCTTTGTTTCTTTCTTTGGATTATCTGTAGTCTATCCTCTTTCTTACATCAACCTCCCTTACCTTATCCTTTCTTTCTTTCCTCTCCTTCCTCCCCCATTCCCTGTTCAAATATATTTTTTAGTGTATCTTTAGCTTGAGCATACCCCTTCTCCATCCTTGTCCCCCTCAGACACCCACTCTTTTTTTTTATATATTATTTTTATTATTGTTATTATTATATACATACATATTCTTGTGCTCTCATTCAAAATAAAAATAAAATAAATAAATAAATAAATAAATAAATAAATAAAATTTGTGGTAAAAGTATCATAATTTATTATTCATTTTTCATTTCATTTTATTTTACTATAAAGAAAATAGACAAATAAGGAGGGTACTATACAAACAGTAAAGAGAACATAATAAACTAAGTAATATGGGATAAAAGCCAATTCAAATATATATATATATAAACTGTCAAAATAAATATACAATTTTGATTAGCCTATAGTTTGGGTTTCGTCTCGACAGATAGAATTCTTTTTTTTTCTTTTCTTTTGATAGCAATCGAAAAAAAGATATATATATATATATATATATATATATATAATAGAATAAGATTAAAGGGTGAATTATATAAAGGCTATATATATAAAAGCGAGTAGAAATATCGTTTTAAACGACAATGGATCTGAATAAACACCAAGGTTTGTAGATAAGGTTTTGATGGCCCCGGACTCCTTTGCCGGTTCGTTCCCAGTATTTGGATTACCAGAAGTCTTGGTCGTTGTTTCCGGTATAAATTTATTTACGGCTTTCTTGGACCCATTGAATTTTCCGGCAGGCCAAGGGAATTTCCAGTTGGCTTCCCAGTATGGATTAGGATCACCGATGCACTCATGGATAGGAACCACATTGAATTGGTTCTGTAGTCTTGGAAGCCACTCTTCTGCAACAGCAAGTGCTTCCCTATTATTCTCATGTTCCTATAACAATGTTAAATATCTTACTCTTATATATATATATATATATATATATGTGTATGTGTATGTGCCTAGTTAAATGCTTTTACCAATGAAACATGCCCCGTATCTCTGTCCTGTCTGTTGGCCATACGTGATATCCACTTCTCAAATATCTTGCCTACTTCTAATTTCGATAAATGTCCTCCTCCTGGTACACCATTCTAATTACAAAAAAAATACAACGAAACATCAACCAAAAATCATTCATTTTTTTTAAATACTGTAGTTAGAAGGTTTTGGTTTTGGTTTTCATTGCTACGGGTTAAACAAAGAAAAGAAACACTTACCAAATCCCAGTCGTTTGAGTCTCTATCCCACACAATTGTTCTTAGACCCATTTGCCACGCAATTGATCTAACACGATCATCCACATCTCCGTATGGGGGTCTCCAGCACCGGGTTGTTACTCCAGTAGTTTCCTTGATTGCCTTCATAGTCCAGTACAGTTCAGCCACCACTTCTTCGTTGGTAAGCGAAGTCATCTGCTTGTGAGACCAAGTATGAGCACAAAGTGTGTGTCCATCTGCAAGAGCACGTTGAGCAGCCACAGGGAAGTTGATAACATTATGTCCAACATCTTGCAAAATAATAATAATATAAGCACAAAAAGGGGATCTATTGAGGAATGTAGCATCTAAAATAGATATGTAGATGTAATGCGCACCTACACCTAAAAATACATATTCACGCACAAATGTGCATACGTGATATTAAATAGTCAGAATCTTACAAAATAAAGTCGCCTTTTGATTTCCAGTTGTGGCCAAAAAGTTGTAGAGACGCGGCGACTCCCATGCCTTGTCTTCTGGCGAGGTTGTCCAGGCACGGAAGGGTCCATCGTCGTAGCTCAGCCCCCAATCGCCAGAATTGGGGCATTCATGCACGTCTTCGGGTAAATCAAGGGCTTTTGGATATCTGCAAAGACTAGAAGACGACCAGCAATCGGGGTCTCCAAGGTAGTCGTAGCCTGTCAAGTCAAGAGACCAGTCGACCACTTTGCGAATAGGTGATTTGGATACCTTGGTCCAGTCAATAGACCCAATGACCTTTTGGACCTCTGGGTGATCTACAGACGGAACCTTGTTGGCTGCAGGGTATGTTTTTTTGTTGATGTGAAAGTCGGAAGGCGCAAGAGGCCCTGGTATGATTGCCTGATCTGTCGGGAATTTTGTGGCAACGTTGGTAGGAATCGGGACACTACTTAACCACGTAGGAGAGGACACAGGCATAGGTGATCGCTTGTCACTGCCATAGTGAACAATGTCAAAGGCATTAGCAGTTCCTATACACAATAGTAAAGGAAGAATATATAGCATAACTCTTGATGTTGCTATACTAGCACTAAAAATTTATTTTTGTATATATGTATATTTAATATATATATTTAGCAGAAATTAAATACAAAAATAAAAGCAGCAATAATGGAAATATGTTTTTTATTCATTTATTCTTGTATTATATATATGCACGGTAGGTAACTTGCGTGCCTGATGGTTTGTAAGAATGAGTTTTATGTAGCTATCGACCAGAATTCATTTAAATTCCTTTTGTGGAAAACTTGTCGATCAGAAGGATTTGTATTTTCTGTTTTGTATTATTGTTCTTTATTGTACATCTACGCACTAACTCACACACGCACGCACGTACGCACTGGTATATGTATGTGTAGGTTTTATATGAAATAAAGCAGACAATTAGATTATCAGAGTACTTCCCAAGTTAAATACAATAAATAGATAGATAAATAAATAAATTAATGAATAAAGGAGTGAACATATAGGTGAATAATACCAATTGTTGTATTTAATATATATATATTACAAGGGTTTCTTTTTTTTGGGATGCTTCTTCTAATTTAGTTTTCATCCTTTTCTGAGAGAAGTAACCAGACATTAAGGCTCATAACCTTTGCTGGGTCAGTCATTTGGTCTGTCTGATTAGCGGCGAGTCTCATGTCATCAAAGCTCACATGGGGGTTGTAAGATGTCACCAACAGATAGCGATGCTTGTGGATACGAGGCAGCATGGCTGTCATAGGCGCAACCAAGAGAGTTCTGATAATAGTAAAAAAAAGAAGAAAAGAATAGAGAATAAATGAGTATATAAATACACAAACACAAATACACCATGAGCCTCTTCTTTCTACAAGACTTTTCCTTCCGCATATTTACTAATCTTATTATTTACCTTTCGAATGAATTGGGGAATTCCTGGGATGGTGCAAAGTCAATCTTGTGCTTGGTTTGACTATCCTTGTGGAATACAACACCAGAACGATGTTCCAATTCACGCTCGGCCGATTCAATATCACTTCCAAAATCCTTAATTTGAACATGGATATTGCTCGTGTCTAAAGAATTTCAATCAAGATAAAAGAGAAGATGTTAGGGTCTAGCTAACCACTTCATCCTTTTTTCTTAATTATACTTACCCTTCCATTCAGTAGGATAAGCCAATAAGTGGTGGGGAGCCATATATGTCTTGAGAAACAAAATGTGTGTAGTGACATTGTAATTGCTCTGGAAAGATGCGCCTATTACACACACACACACAGATAATCATAAATCAATCAAAACCCCAGTGTGTATGTGTTTCTCTTTTGAATTCTTATCATTATACTATTAACTTACTTGTGAAATCCAATTGGCAGGCAAGGTCGCCAGAAGATAACTTTTCGCAACCATGAATATTGGTAGATTGTTGCTGGAGGTAACTCATAGTAGGAACAATACCACCCTAATAACCAAAAAAAAAACAGGCAAAAATGTTACCTCTTTGTTTAGTTTATACTATTCTTTTTAAAATCTATCCATGTATATCCCACAACAAACCTGGTGCAAGACACCGAATACAAAGGTGGTAATGACATTGAAAATTATCCAGGTAAACTACAAATCAGACATATATAAAAAATACATTTGTTAATGATTCTTTTTTTCTTGAGTATGCGATGCACAAAATTTTGTTTCCAAACAAAACATTATTATTTACCCAGAAGAGCTTTGGCAGATTGGTCTTGTTCCAGGTGTAAACAATGACAAGAGGAACAAGAAGAGGGGCCAAGAAACGTGCTTCCTGATGGGGAACAGTCGACAAGCCAGCCATGGCTGTAACAATAGTACAAAGGGCAACTGAAATAAAATGTTCAAACATTATTTAACAATATATATATATATATATATATATATATATATGTAACTGTCTTCCTTGTTGATTCTTATATTCCTCTCTGTATCTCTTTTACTTTTATTTTGATTCTTACCATAGTATATACGGCTAAACAAAGTATCTCCAGCTGCAACAACGGTATCGGTAACATCCATAAGAGAAGCAATTGCTAATGGGCCAAAAAGTAAGGGGAAGTTTACAATAAGGTGGAGGTAACGAGGATGGAGACCGTGGGTTGCCAAGTTGTCCACATTCATGTTGTATTTCAAGTTGTTGAGTGGTGTAATGACAAAATTTCCCTTTTGATTTAATTTTTTTTCAAGACAGTATTAGAACAATTTCTTGTGTCTTCTTTACTTTCTTCTTCTTAACAAAGAAGAAGACGAAGAAGAAACTACTTACTACCAAGTTAAAGGAAAATTCGGAAAAGTTCATCAAGGCTTCGACGATCTGTGAGAAATGAACAATAGGCTGGTCGTTGACGGTTGCCTGAAGAGTTCCAAAATAAAGCGAGTCGGCTAAGATACACACGCCAGCCACTGCACTGGCACCAAGAGCAAACGAAACCAAGGATCCAATGAAGGAAGGCTTGCTCGAAGAATTTCTATAACATGACAAATTGAAATGTATCAGGATATATCTGAGCCGTCTCTCTCTCTCTCTCTTTTTGTTTTCCTTGTAGATCAACCCTGTTTACTCTACATTTGATGCATGTATTTATGTATTTATGTATTTATTGTCTTACCCTTTGAGAGCATGCAACAAGAAACCAAGACCAATGGGGAGACCAAAGAGTCCAAAGGTGATACGGGTAAAGATTCCAAGACAGAGCAAGAAACCAAGACCAAAAGAAGATACCAAAGATCCCTAATGATAATTGTATTTTAGTAAAAACATATTCCCTTTTTCTTAAATCCGTTCCTGTTTTTATTTTTACCTTTTTGGTGAATGATGCATAAGAAGCCAAACTCAAACAGAGGATGATGGCTTCAATTGAATTGGAGAAAGTACGGGTGTAGTAGACCAATGCAACTTGACTCGATGCAACCAAGAAAAGAGGCAAAAGGTAATCTTTTTCCATTGTCTTGTAAAGGTTGATGACACTGAAATCTAAAATAAGGATTGACGATCAATATCAATATCAATATATTTTCTTCTTTTACCCAGAATCCCTTCTAATTATCACTAATATTATCAAGTGCTTTACCAACAAGTAGAGAAAGAATGAAACTGGCGGTTCTTTCTGTCAAAAAGATACTCAAAGTGCCAATGACTATTATTATTATTATTATTTTTCCAACAAAGACAATCATTTGTAAGTTTTCATTTATAGACATAGAGACATATTTATATAGATATTTACTCTGTTTTTCACCGTTGGTCCAGGTTTCTACTTGACGCAAAATCCAGAAAGGAAGACCAGTTGTCAAAAAGCTTAAAAGAAAACAAAAGGGACAAGTTAAGATACAAACACACGATACACGCTCTTCTTTCTCTTCTTCTTCTTTTGTTTTGCTTTAAGCTTACGGAATGACAATGCTTCTAGAGGCATGAGCAGGGCTGTACTCCCATGGAATGCTGGTCTCAACACCTAGTATAGGACCGGCAGTGATTTCCGGTGACTGGAAAAACTCATCGGGATGGAGGTAGCCAGGTAGGCTGGACACTAGCCATCTAAACCACAAGAACGCTACGTATAATATAGCTTGACGTGTCTTCATATTATTATTATTATTATTATTATAGTAATAATAATAATATTAGCAGTAATAAAGAACCCAAGTAAACCAAAAAAAATAAAATAAAATAAAATAGCCGAAATTACCAGTTTGACTTGTATTATATTATATTATACTAGTAATAGTATTGTTATTTTTATCAGATTTCAATAAAAATAATAAAAATAAAAAGGTCAAAATGGCAAGTAGTTTAAGCGGGAATTCTTTCATATATATTTTTTTAGCCGCTTTCTTCGAGAGTTGTACAGAATATTTTTTGTGCTCATATATTTCTTCCGATCATTATCTATTCTTTCGTACTTCCTTATGTTGTGCTGTGCTGTGCTGTGCTGTGCTGTACTGAGCTGTGGTAGACATGATATTATGGCTTAGATATCTAAATCACTACCCTTTAGTTTGCTTTACTCTGTCTTACTCTAGAGAGAATAAACTATCATATAAGCTGTTAGCAAATGTTAATATAATTAGATATAATTGAGCGGACAATTCGACTCAGAATTCCAAGTGAGCAAATGGTACGACAAAGTTATCAGATCAAAAGTTTATTAGACCAATATTTCTTCTTCTTTCTTTCTTTTCTATTCATGTTTTACGTAAATAAAATAGAAGACCATCAAAAAAACCAAGACAACCAAACGAACAACGTCTATTACACATATACATATGCGTATATACCCTTGTATCCATTACTCAAAGAAAAGGGGCAAATAGAGAGAGATTCAAGACAATTTTTATGTTCATGAATTATAAAACTGTTAAATTGTCAAATGATTATAGCTACTTGCACAAGTACAAGTACAAGTACAAGTGCAAGTACAAAAGATAATGCTTTCTAATCCAACAAATAAACATAAATTATGTATATATACACTTACGGTCAAAAACGTTTCGCCCACGCAAAAAAAAATTACCAAAAGAAAAACATTGTTTTCTCCCAGTTTTATTAATCAAATCCTACACGCAAGACACGAATTCATCAGAAAACACTCATGGATCATATAAAAAAAATGATACCTACAGATAGGAATGCATCATGAACATGCATTTAGAAGTTTCTCGTTAGCTCAGATTCCATTGGTAGTTTACACGAGTCTATCGGCTGTCAAGTACATCATTAAGAGAGTGGGTGAGACAGGATCTCTACAGCAAAGAAGAGGGTCTGAACGAGCCAGAAAGCTTGATGATGGGATAGAAATACACCTTATGAATGTAGTTCCGAAGGACAATTTTGCTTTATATTCTAGGCTAAAAACCTCTTTAAAGAAGATAGAGGTATTCGTCCGTAAAATAAAAGCAATAATTAGCTATCTTAAGCGTTTGGGATTTGGATTATGTATTGCAGCTCATAAATTGGGTGTAACATAAAGCTATAAGAAAAGATGGTTGCATTGGGCTCGTGAGCATATACATTAGACCAATAGGCAACATAAAGGTGTTATATTGCCCTTTGAATCAAGATTTATAGTCAAGGGTAATGATGGGGAAGCCGGAGCTATTAAGAGTTGCGAAAAGGTTCAAAGAAAGTATCATTACGAGAACCAAGTAAAGGTGTGTCTGTGAGGGAGACTGAATAAGGAATAGAAAATAATCAAGTTTAACGTTAAGCTTGTCCCTATAAATATACCAAACACACGTAATTAAATCCACATTACAAAGTATTAGCAGAATCAAATAGAATCTATTTTTTTAATGTTTCATTTTAAATACCCCTTTTCTTTACAAAAACGTCTTGTCCTTAAAAATTGAACCTCGTCGTAACCCAATGTTGGTCAATTATTAGTATTTTATTTTTTGAAAAAAGGCACAACTATGCGTTTTTGTCAGTTATAAAACACCAATTCTATTAAACCTAACAGTCGTAGCTTACTCATTCAATAGGATGTACTTAATACCAATGCAAAAGAAGAAGAGGTATTGGTTTGTAAACAATTCTTGTTAGGATTGGAGATTTACGATTTAACAAAAAATATTAAAAATAATGTTTGAGATTTTCAGTTCTTAAAAAAAGCCAAAAACGGCCAAAACGGCCGTGCACACCTCTTGTAGTGCAACTCCTTTAAATGGATTTTTAATAGGAGCTATTTAAAAAGGTGTAATTACTTGGATTTATATTCTCTTTTTTAAAAAAAGATTCACTTAAAGAAGTTCGTTTTACTTTGGGCAGCAAACGGCCGTGTACGCTTTAGATACTACGCAATCACCAAATTACTCACACACTGAATATTTTCTTTCTCATAGAACCTTATAGAACAATAGACGTCATCCAGAAATAATAAGTCACGTATCCAATATCCTTCCTAACACTATGAGCCATTTTTGCGGTGACTTTTCTTTTTAGCAGCCTCGGTTTTCTCTCTCTGATGTGACTTTTTTATTTCAACCCCAAGGACTCTTTTTTTCATATGGCGTCACAATTTTAAAAGCCAATCAAAATGATTTAAAAGTCATTGACTCATTTTTCAAACACCAATCATTTTAATTTTCACGTTCCGTGACTTTCTTTCAATTGCAAAAGGTCGTACAAGAGTTGAACCATTTTGTCTATAAAAAGGGGCCAAAAGTTTGCAAATTTTTCAGATCTTTATTGTGGCGGTTATCTACGTAGTCTGCTCATAGATGTGGCCTTAGTAAACCGGTCGAAAGACTTTCACAGTTGAAGACCTATAAACCAAACTATATAAACCACGCGATGTCTATGCAGGTGTAGAATGCTGATAACCTATCTGTTGCCCACTGCGAGTTTTTTGAAAATTTTCTCGTCCAACAGGGAGATCCCACTTTCATCATGGGCGGGCCCCCAAGGGTAAATAAATTCAATAAAATAAAGGAAAAGGACCCAATCAAAATCTATATATATGGATTTTCTTAAACCATTTTATATAGATTTGGATTTTTTTTTGGTTTTTCCAATTTTTCTTTTGGTTTTTTAAATTTTTTTTAAATTTTTTTTAATAAATAAAAAATTAAAAAATTAAAATTAAATAAATATTACCCCCCCCCCCCCCACCCTCCATATTTTTTATAACTGGGCTTTTATCTATAAATTAATTAAATTAATTGCCTTGGTGCCAATTTTTTACCCCATTTTGCTACCAAAAATCTCATGACATCCTTAGAGGTTAAGAAGAAAAATTGTCCTCATTTCAAACTGAGTATTTCTTCTAGCACTCAGATTTTACGTTTGCATGAATCTTGTTAGAAGACATGGTCTAAGAGAGCAAAACGATTCGCACCAATGGACTTGACAACAAGGAACGGACTACGAGCAAAATGAGACAGCCCTATTAAGCAACCAGAAGAAACAACGCTTGATAACACCGGAAACTTGACGAGGACTCGATCTCTAATAGCAAAGTTAGGTGCTACACGATATTAGTTATAGCTAATGACATGAAATTTCCAGCCTGGCAGCGAAAGGATTCTCCAGTTGAATTAAGCTGTGAGCGCGAGAAATGAATC